CGCTGTCCGGATTGGGGTTGGACATGTCTGGGGATGCCGCGCGAGACGGATATAGAGAAGTGAGGCGTGAGAGCGGGTCGTTATACCCGAGATGCAAGTTTGTCGGCATGTACGAGGATGGGGGTTTAGAAACGTGCGGGGCTCATAACCACTTAGGTTGAGAAATCACACAGCAGATGAGAGCAGTGCGAGCTGAGTTTTCCTCGCTCGAGTTCGTCTATTATTTATACTACTAGTTTGTAGGGGCTATAGGCCTCCTCTACTTTAGATTACTCATACGAATTCTATGGGCACGGCTTGCCATCGGTTTCAAGTGTAGCTCCGTCCGACTACTAAATTCATTACAACAGGAGTAGCCTCAGTCAGCGCGCTGCGGAGAGCACGTGACTTTACTCATGACGCCGAGACTGACGTCGTGTCATTCTCGTCTCGCTTTATTCAACATGAATGATCCAGTCCTCGGCTTTAGGCTTATCCTATCGCAACAGTCTTATGAATATAGTATCACCTTCAAGGTTTTGTATCGAGTTTCGTTTCATGCTGTATCACGAAGATGTGCTGCTGCCGGGGCTAAGACGAATGATCCGGGCGTTCTGACATTAGGGAGGACTACAGGGCTCCTAATCAGCTCTACGTGCTATACACAGCAAAAGATCTTCGACACCAGGTTTTATCTCTCCTCGGACTACCAATGTATATGTTTCAGTACGGCGTTTTCCTGATGCTCGGGGAGACCTTCCGCCAGGACGTGTCGGTACATCTATGCAATAGCCCATAGGAACAGCATTTCTAGGTTGTGCAGCTCTGTTTTCGTGGTCGCCGTCGTGTAATGGTAATCATTAAAGATCTCTGGGGATACAAAATTAGCCTAGATAATAGAAATTTTAATGCATATGCATAGAGCTTGAGGTTAGATAAGAAGATACTAGCGTTTGTATTCGTGTCGCGCTTCCGCTCGGCTACGACATACCTGCTGTGGGTAGCGGCGCAAAAGCACGTTTGTTGTATGCGAGCGTTATTCGTCAAGTCGGCCGCCGAGATTCGCGAAGTAATAAACTGAGCAGAGGCTAGGAAGCAGCCCCGGGCCCGTTCGTTGTTTGTATGTTCTGTTTTCAGCGAACTTCGTGGCCCTTCATCAGCCCGATGACGCTTTTAGTTTACTTAATTCAAGGCACATCGTTTCATAAGCCTAAGAAGGAGACAAAACGGACCGTTCCTTCCACCAACGACGTTGCATCGATCCTATGTCAGCCCCGGCCCTACCCCATACCCGAGCCTCGCGAGATTAACACCTAGATTCAGTGACGAAGACGCACTGCAAACCCTGCCCTGCCAGTGGGCACCAATTCTCCATCTGTGCAAGCCTTCAGGGCACTGAGAGCTACCCTGATCGGCACTCCTGACAAAGTTGACTCGTACACATGTAAGGCTCCAATGAACGGTCCGGACCAGGAAAGTTTTTCAGCCGCGGAGGGCGCAGCATCACCGCTCCATCGAGATTGGGGGGGCGACGGCGACCTCACCAGTGCTAATGAACGTTTGACAAGTTGCCAGCCGGCGCCAGTGGCCTTCACATTCTCCATTTCTCCTGGCACCTGGCGGCATGGTTGTGATGGCGTTACGGCGCGAGAAGTAAATGGGCGTTTCGTCAGCGTTTCGTGCGTGTGTGTCGTCCAAAAGAGAAAAAGAACTTGACGCCTGAAATCCGCGGACTAGAGAGCCAGAGCCATACTTCCTGTACATGTGTGTGTGTTCGGTTGACGCGGGGAAGATGGGATCTCGGCAACTTGAAACCATTCTCGTCAGCGCGGAGAACGCTTCTGACATGTCTTCTGCGTTATCAGAGCATCCGGTTGCTGACGCAGGTGAGGCACTCGGAGCAGCCACAGCGCCAGATGGAAGCATCCTCGTGATCATCAAGGAGTCCAAGGCACATCGAACAAATCCCCTGACTCAACTGATATTGAAAACGCGTTCTGTAAATGGCCAATATGATCGCGCTGCTTCTGCATAATTAATGAATTCGTACCGTTGCCTTTCTTGCCTTTCTCGCCAAACAAGCTCAAATTTTAAATAACATTTGCTTAGGAAGGCGAACAACGAAGAAGGTCTCAAAGTTTTGAAGGAAGGATCGTCAGGGTAAGAACTCGAAGAAGCACGCCCAGCTTCGCAGTCTCAAAGCTGCTGCGCTCGGGCACAAATCAAGTCCGCCGACACGCGGGCTGTTGTTGGACCCGGGCTCGTGCAGAAGGCTTTCTAAAGATGGGATGGAGAGGGTTGAGAATCGATGAGAGCAGGTTAGCTTCACTTTCCTAGCTTCGGCTTCGTCCTGATCCCCGAGGCTCTGGAGCCGGCCAACGAGACATTGGACGTTACTAATTCGCGCATATACTAGGTAAGCAGCCAGTCGCGAGATTGCGAAGTGAGACTTGTGATGAGGGAGGGAAAAACAGAAACCCAAGCACACAGTGCCACACACCGAACTTGATGATGCCTCTTTGGGCAAGGCACCCCTATCGGTTGAGCCAGCTAGGTGCCGAGGCTAATTATGGCCACATTGTCCAGCTTGATCTCGATCAGTCCAATGGCCACTGAACTCGTGGGCTCTCGTGGGCGCGACGCGGTGGCTGTTTAAATTGGTACTAGGCCCCAATAATAAGTCTATAACAATGACCCACCCGAACAAACGCTGTACATTGCACTCGTGAAGTATACATGAAAATTGATCATAATTTCGCCTTCGTCCGCTATTTCCGCGCTTTGACAGCTCATTTCTGATTCAGGCATGATGTTTACCTTCGACACTTGCCAAGGAGATGATTCATTAGGCATAAATCGTTGATCCATTCGCACACCAACATGTTGCATTACGATAAAGCGACGCTGACGCTGTCCGACCATCGCCAATCTGATCAATGCGAGTCTACTATCATATACAAGTATAAAGTAGGTAAAGTAGCTGTACGTTACGCTGATAATCATACATAATCCGGAGCGCGATAAGCGCGGTCGTGAAAATAAAAAGAGCAATACATCACAGCGGAAGCGAGAGATGTCTAAACACCTCGAAATGATTCCCGTGGAGATAAGGCCATGGGCAGCTCTCCCCTCGTAGCGACCCAGTAGTCCTTGAGGTCGTGCTCCCAGGTGTCTGGACTGTACCCATCTGCAAGACGGAAATCGAAGCGCTGCACCAGCATCGTGACGACGGCGCGCATCTCGTGATACGCCAGTCGCTTGCCGACGCAGTTCATCGGCCCGTACGAGAAGGGCAAGAACGCCGACGTGTTGTGCACATAGCCATACTTGTCCAAGCATTTCGCACCAGACGGCGACGGCAGCGCGGACCGCTGCTCGGGCGTCAGCCACCGCTCAGGCCAGAATGCGTCTGGCTTGGGCGAGAAGTAGCGCGGGTCGCGGTGCATCGAGTAGAAGTGTATCAATGCGCTGGTTCCTTCAGGCAGGAAACTGGGGTTGACACGTTAACCCTTACCCCACTCTCCAGAGATAAAAGAGTAACTCACTATGGCCCCACCAATCGACCTCCATGATCAACGACTCCACGTTGGCTACCCCCCATGACAGCCGGATATAGCCGCAGTGCTTCATTGCTGGGGAAACATTCAGATCTGCTTCATGCGATTGGACAACAATTGACTTACATTACGGCATTCAGGTAGGGCATCTCTGCCTGGCGGCCGACATCCCATGCGTCGCTTCCTGCGGGGAACCATCGATCGACTTCGGCCTGCAGCTGGTGATACGCCTCCGGATGGGTGGACAGAGCCCAGAACAAGCTGCTGAGCACGGTGGCGGTCGTATCGGCCCCCGCGACGATGGCAAGCACACCATCAGCCATCACCTCAGCAAACGTAGGCGGAGTGCTCTCAACCCCAGCCTCGTCAATCTGAGAACAAAAGAAAAATGGTTAAAAACACCGTCGTGAGAGGATGGTGGCATAATACGAGAGAAATACGAACCAAATAGTGAAAGAGGTCCTTAACCTGTGACCCTTCCTTCTGTCTCAGCCTGGCGCGATCCTGACAAAACGTGCGGAACTTCTTGAGAGCGTGGCCTACTCTTGGCAGCATCACGTAGTACTGTCCGAGCCAAGGGACATGGGAGAGGACGAGTGCTAGCCTGCGAGGTGTTCCAGAAATAAAGCAGGAAAAATAGACATATGACTTACGGTAAACCGCTATCGAACAGCTTCCATGTGTTATCAACGTCTCCATCGCGGATCATCTCAGACCCTCCACCGAAACTGTGGATGAGCTTAAGTTAGTCAACGTCTTCGTAGCCAAGAGATCCGGGCACGTACGCCATGTCGCTCATGAAGTCGAAACTGCGCTCAAACTGTCAGCGGTTGCCTGCGCGAATAAGGGAGAGGAGACATACGTGAAGCAGCTGAGACGCTCAGCCATATCTACCGGCTGCTTGCGGCGCTCGAAGCTCGAGAGCAGCTGTCGCAGTCGCCTCTCCATTATGATCCCATAGTCGGCCAACGCGGTCGTATCAAACGCCCTCTTCCATGGTCGTCGCCGCCGAGTATGTTCCGCGTTATCCCTGATGCCGATGAGCGCCCTCGTGTCCTTCTGCTCAGCCATTCGTCCATCCCAATCTAAGTTCAGTCCGATTAGAACGCAAACCCAATACAATAATATGGAATGTGACTTACGTGGGCCTTTCGGGCACCCAGCCGTCCCTACCAGAGAGTTGATAGCGTTCACATCTCGTATGGATACTTCATTGGGACCTTTCAAGGGGCCGTCAGGGCTCAGGATCGGAAAGTTTTGAGTTTGTGCTCACCAATTCGCACGATATCCCCGTATTCGTTGTGCAGGGATTGGACATAGAGGTGCTGCTTGCCATCAGAAGACATCCACGCCATCCAGAACTTGGTCAGCTTGCACATGGTCGGGCCGGGATAACTGGCGAGCGGGTGATACGAAGAGAGGCGGTACAGCGCCACGGAGCCCAGAACGGTCGACAAGTAGATTGTGTGGATGAAGAGTGCGGCGCGCAGAAAAGATGAGAATCGGTCGCGGAGTGCGAGGTCGAGGAGGCATGGTACGAAGACGAGGAACACGAAGTGCAGACGCGGGGATGTTGGCTCCCAACGCTTGAAGAAAAGATAGCAGCACTGAAGTGATGGAGGCGTTCCATATTCAGAACAATAAGCATGGGCGGTCGGGGGAGGCCGAGTGAAGACTTACCAAGCCGGCTGCCACTGTTGTGAGACAGCAGTCTTTGAGGGCGAAGAGGGACATAATTGATCTCATGAGGAGGGCGGGGAGAGTTGAGATGAGATGAGACGAGCCAAGACGCGTTTTCCGTGGTTTATAAACTGCCCGGACAGCTCGCAGTAGGGGAGGGGATATATGTCGGAAGCCGGAGAACAGGATCTTCGTGTCCGATTGTTCAGGGCGACTAGACTCGGAAAGAATGCTGATCAAAAGGAGCAGCTCCAGGAATCGGGCGAGGGTTCGTTTGGCGCCGTCAGACACCCCTCCAGGGACATAAGGGTTGTGATCGGATAAGGTGGCTTTAAGAGCGAAACCCGCCAACACTGCGGTTTCCTGTGGTCGTGATTCGAGCAAATAAGCAGTAGATTGATGGCTAATGGCGCTGTGGCTGAGGAGTGGCTAGTGACCACCCCACCCGTGCTTCTGGAAAGGAAGCTCTGAAAAAAGAATGGGGCAACGTCCCAATCATCGCGCCTGTCAGGACAGAAAAAAGGTATCGGTTAGGTTCAGCCGGGCATCAGGAAAAGGCAGCCGTCGCCGCGGTCGCGGATGGGGTGGACGGACTAGTGCCGAGTGATACAGCTCACCTGAGGTTATGTCCGTGGACTTAAGATCTTAATGAACAAGTCAAGAAGTCCTCGTGTGCCTGCCTATGCGAGCAATGCCATGGGCGCCGCGAGTATCATGATGCACCGAAGCAGCCAGCCTTCTGTTTCAGCATCAACATGCCTCGTCATGCATGACATTCGCCAGCTTCCCCTCGCTCCAGGGCTCACCCAACTCGACTTGCGCGTCGAGACACGAGAGAGTGCTCGAACCTGTCAAAATCCACTCTGCCTCTTTCTCAGTATGGCATCTCGTACCCACGCTGACTCGGCTCGGAAATTACCTTTTGTTGTCTGTTATGACGCACTGTATTTGGCTTGTTAGAACGACCTGCTGCTTATATGGCAACTCTGGCTTGTGGCCACAGCCAGCCACTGAGGATCCTTCCTCTGCATTTGGCGGTCCTACGTGGTACACATGGATAGTTTCTTCTGATATCTAAGATTGCATGACATTCTTGACCGGCCGCATTGCACCGAAGAAGAGAGAGAATTGGCAATGCCAAAATGGCAGAACTTGGCGAAGTTCGAACTCTGATAGCTCATCTCACAAAAAAACACATGAAGCAAATTTATCCAGCCGAACATCGTCGAGTCCCTCGGACCGCCGTCACAACCGAGCTCACATCAGAACATATGCGAACACAACGACGTGCATACCGCCTCTCCGTTTGTCGTTTCAATCAATCCCGCGGCCCCATCGTATGCGGCGCGGATGCGCTTGTGGACGAAACAGCAACTCGCCCCTCATAGAACACAGCACACCAAAGTGCAAACCTTGAATCTCAGCAAAACTAGGGGCTGCGACGACCCGCACGCTCGTGTTCGCGTTTTAGGGACCACCCTGACCACGATCGGACCAGGTTCATTAAGAACGTTCGTTTAATTATGGCGAGCTCAGGTCTCGACCTGGTGATCCTTCATAACGCGAGGCTCCACGTCGTTCTCCGCGCGGTGCGCTGACATCTGTGAAGAGATGGACTGTCAGAATCTGCCTGCCTTTTGTTTTGACATGACACCGATCCACAGGAATTTTTTTAACGTGACGCGGGCAATTTCAGGCGGTGGTGCTGCCGTGCCTCGCACCAGGCGGGCCTGAACCCATCGTGGAAGATCATCGAGATTTGCCGCATTCACCGACAACGAGCTGATTTTTAGGTTTATATGCGGGCGGAAAGTAAGGCTGCATGCTTACCTGTGATTCGCAACGACAGGGGCAGGCATCTGGGTCTGGCGGCAGCCATCACTTCCTGCCAGACGGAAATGACCTGAAATGACCTACAAACGGTTAAAGGAACGGTAAGGTCGCTTCGATAGCTCGCATTGGGCAAATCGCCTGTAGATCAACGCCGGGTGGATCCTACCCCGAAATCAGAAACTGTCAACCGGTAAGAAGATAAACTCTGACAGGCAGCGGTGTACAGCTCACGGCGTTTTAGCTTTACAGTCTCAAAGATCCGCGGAGACAACGCCCTGAGATCATTCGTGCTAGATCAGTGCTGGATCTTGGCGGTGGAGAGTCTGAAGGTCCCTTACATGGCATGTTGGTCCTTCGTCGTGCCGTTGCGACGGAGACGGAATCTCAAGTCCAAGAACAGAACCGGAAGGGCGTAGCTTCACCATACTGTGCAAACGTAGATAAGTACGTTCTTCGGGAGATGTCTAAGAGCACGCACTTCGCTGATTCGTCTTCGTGATCTCCATCCTTCAGGTGACGAAAGAAAAGTTTTGAACGTCGAATCTGGTGGCACTTCAGAAAGAAGTATGGGTGACTTTCTATTGAAGTCTATTGGGCTCGTCACTCACATGCAGCCAGCCACATGAGCGACTTCGGACTCGGAGACTGCGCAAGCTCTGGTTGGTTGGAAAGGGATGCGTCGGGAATCCGGCAGAACGATGTTTTCAGATACCGAGAAGTGGCCTTTCCCCATAAACATATATTGCAGGCCTGTCAGCGACGTACGTTGCGGCCAGCCTCACACGGTGCTCGTCCAGCGTCGAGAAACGCGCGTTAGCGCCTGCCCGAGTCCGAGGAGCAAATTTAACCTAGCCGGTCCAGACCTTTCGTGCATCAGATAAGCCACCGGCCAGTCTGTGATGGTGACGAAGGCCAAATGACGACCGGAAGTCGCCGCTGCCGAGTCGAAAGGAGTCACAGAACCAGAGGAGAAACTCTACTGCAGGTAGAGGAAGAGCACTGGGTTAGTGGCGCAAGGTCAGCAGCTCCTACGCACTGGTTTACTTGGGTCTGGTGAGCGGTCAGAGATATCGTAACCAGGGCTCATACGTTATTATTGTCCAGGTCAACTTAACCGGGGGTTGCCAACGTTGCCCTCCGAAGCCTAAACATATCGTGATCAACAGTCATTGGTGGAGAGTCGTTCCTTACATTTTGCTTATGAATGAAGAGCTGCGTGGATGTCACGAAGGAACGAAGTATTGTAGAGTTTTGAAGATTCAGTGAGACGCAAGATCGAGGTAAACGTGGTTCTAATGGAGAGTTCCTGGCAGTGTCGTGTCAGGTCGTGCCCACCGGCCATACCCATGGTTAGGCGTTGCACGCGCTTAACTCTGTTTAATGGTCATGCGAGTCGCTGTTGAATGGTTCGAAGTTAGCACTTAAATGAAACCTTGCAAAAAGAATGTGTGAGGTGAGTGAAGTGAGGCAATTATCCACATCACGAACGCTTCCCGGCCATCAACTTGATTCTCGACAGCCCCTCAGTAACAAGGCGCTACATATCAAGACCGTCAAGAGAATGATATGACTTGCAGATCGTTCGATGTTGCTCGCCCCAACGTTGTATCCTGCTCGACGCGCAAGCCTACAAGTGGCTGAGACAAAGTCGTACGAGCGCGCGGGAGCAGTCGCGGAATTATTCTCCCCAACATTCACACGTGGTGTGACCTCATCTTTAAACGTCCATTGTACCCCAGACTCGATAGTCCTCTCTCTCTTCACCACACCCCCACCCACCCCACAACCACCAACGCACAATTAATCATGACTTTTCGCATAATGCAAACCTACGCTCGTGCTGCCGTCCGCCCTGTGTTCCGCGGAGCGCCCACTAGCAGCATCGCAACCCAGAAGCGCTCCTTCCACTCCCCATTCACCGTGCTCAACTCCGCCCATTCCCCGCTCACCAACCCGCCGAGCTCATCCTCCACCGTGTCGCACATCACCTCCTCCTACGAGAAGCAAGACTCCTACGTCTCCGAGGAGCCTCCCTCGCCAGGTGCCCCGCGCACATACGTCGTCTCAGAGCCCGACCCCGCGCACACGCCGTACGAGGTCCCCTCGGGCGCCTTCCCCACCTCAGCGCCATACGACACCTATCAAGAGACCTCGGCGCCCAACCCAAGCGGCGCGCACAGCTCGACGAGCGCGAGCCCGCCGCACCCCAACACGACGCGCAGGGTGCTCATGAACGCCTGGGGCGTCGGCGAGAGCGCAGCCGTCAGGCACGGGGAGGCGCCTGGTGAGATGGGCAAGCGGGGCGGCGGCCAGGGCGGCCTGGGTCTCATGGACAAGGAGGGCACGAGGCAGGGAGAATTGGGACAGCTCGCGGACAGGAACCCCCAGCCGGATTCCGACGTTGCTCCCAAGTGGTCTAAATTGGGTGTCGACCAGGCTTGGAAGGAGCGGAAATAAACTGATGAGGAAGATTCAACTCAATGGAGGAAGGACTCCATGGACGCACGACGCGAGAGAGGATGGAAGGATGCGTGGTCTCAGAGAAGAGGAAGTATGCTCATCGCGGAAACCAATAAGTAAAGCTGGACTAATAAGATTTTAATGCCTGCCTTGTAACATAGCGTGTTTTGTGACTGCTACCAGTGTCATAGTGTTCAGTATTCAATTAGACTTTTGCCTGGCTTGTCCAATTTTCTGTGTCCGATTTTCTGCGAACCACGACGGAGACAATGTATATGCAAGTTTTTTCCATTAAAAAGCGAAAAGCCAGTGGTAATGAGGCGCGGCCTTGCACGACTAAGGTAGCGACAATGCAATACACGAATGCATGAGCAAAGACGGGTGGAAGATATGTACGGTAACGCGGGCGGTGTGTTGGCTGGTGGGTGTTGGATGGAAATGAAGATGGATATGAATGGACAGTGAAGGAGTGTTAGCGGCAAGTGGGAGACCTAAAAGCAGAAAAACGATCGGATAGGGTATGTGCGGAGCGAAATTGAAGGCAGCCATATGCACCAACGGAAATGTGTATTGAAGCGAAAACGGCGTTGTGAATGAGGAACTGTGATGGAATAAATAGGTATCTTATGTGTAGCGCGGCAGTGGCTTGCAAGAGATCGTGACCATGAATCGTGAGTGATAATAGCAGTCATGTCTATCGAATAAGCCGTCAGCACAAAAACGGCATCGCAGCATGCAACTACTTACCGCAGCAAGAAGCACGACGTAGGCGTAGCGGCAAGGGTGTAAGTAAGATCTCCGACTAACGGAAACAGAACAAGCAGCCGAGGAAGCCCCGCCGCCTCGGGTGTCTATCATCGTCCATATCATCGATCCCACGCCGCTGACTCTCTTCGAACATGGCCATGTTGCGCGCCTGAGCATCCCGGATGGGCGTGCCGGCGGTGGTGTCCTCCCGAGAAGCGGTGAGGTTCTTGACACCCTGGTGAGGCTGGCCATATAGGTACGCATCGGAAGGTTCTGTCCTTCCCGGAAGCCCGTTGCCCATCCCTGGATGGGAGTTCGGTGGGATGGGCGAGTTTCTCCCATAAACGCCGTTTACGCCGTTCACGCCATTGCTTGCACGGTAGCCCGAGGGGCTCGGCGCAGATGCATACGGATGAGCAGGTGGGAGAGCCGAGGAATCGCGGGCCTGGCTCGCTCGGCGGCTGACTGGTGCAATGGCCTGAACAGTACTGTCTCGTCCGCCCTGGGCCTCGCGAGTGCCAGGCCGCCGGCTGCTCTTGACATGTGCCGCACTCGGCGACAAAACAACAGGGTTCGCTGGTGATCCATCGGCGGGATGGCGCGGCCGCCGGTTGGGGTCACGGTGACGAGGTGTGTGAGGCGAACCGGCGGCGGTGGCATGAGCCTGTGCCAAAAGCGAAGCGGAGGACTAGTCAAGAGTCAGTTGCAAGGAGGTAATGGAAATCACTGTACGCACCCCTCCGGCCTCCCAGCCTCGCCCATTGTTAAGCAACATCCAGTCGTATACGCCGTCTTCATCCTCGTTGAGATTCTTGAGGACTTTACTAAAAAGGTCGCGCAAGAAATCGTAGTCTGGGGATTCTTCGAATCCAAGCTTCCGAACATAGTTCATGTAAATTCCAAACTCCTCTGTATATTAATCAGCACATGATATATTTATCGCGTGGTCAGAAATACACACCAGGGAAGCTCTCGCAAAGTTCGGAGATCGGAGTAGTCTGTTTCTTCTCTCCAATCTTCTCGTACTTTTGCTTGTTCGTGGCAGCCCGAAGACCTTGCCATGGCAGTCCGCCACGCAAGAAGTACATAAATACATGGCCCAGAGATTCCAGGTCATCCCGTCGCGACTGCTCGCGACCCAAATGGGTATTAATCGACATGTAACGTGCTGTACCAGACAGCGACTTCCGCTCGCGATATGGAATGTGCACTTTGGTCTTGGGATCTCTATAATGTTTCGCCATGCCAAAATCTGAAATACATAAAGATTATGAATAAAACTGCTTCACTTTGCAAGGACATAAGGCGGACATATAGATGCCCACGCAGTGCACACGAGGAATGAAATAGAAAACAACACACACCGATAATGTGAATAGTGTTGGCCGTCTTTGTGCCAGGGACGCCGATGAGGAAGTTGTCAGGTTTGATGTCACGATAAATGAGAGACTTGTCGTGGACGGATTGTATGCGGGTGAGCTGCAAGGAAATTTACGTCTTTAGCATCATCGCCAGACAGACGGCCATCAAAACGCCTTCAACAGACCATTTGCTTGGCGGCCATGCAAACGGTCTTCAAGGTGAACTTGCGTCCGCACATGTCAAAAAGGTCCTCGAGGTTAGGGCCGAGAAGGTCGATCACTAGGACATTGTGCAGTCCTTCTTGACCGAAGTGATGTACTTGGGGGACGCCGACTGGTGTCTGTGTGAGCCACGATCATGAGACATGAGATACCATTGAGGTGCGTACCTGTGCCATTCAGAGTCCGGTATGAACGGAACTCATCGCGCAGCTGCGGTGCATCAGACTTGCGCGGCTCCTGCGAGTCGTCCGCGAGTGAGCGCTGCGTCACTCCGCGAGAGTGAAAGAGCGACTTACGAATTTGATTGCGACAGGTTGGTTGGTAACAAGCTTGGTGCCTGAGGTGGAGTCAGCGTGAGCAAGCGCCTATAGCGAACACAGATGAATTGCAAGATCCGAATGGGAGTGGGAAAGGCGTGGAAGGGCACCCAGCGTCTACAGCGCTGCAGACGGTGGCAGGGCCCGTGAAGCAGCACGGTCAATGATATGTCGCGAGTCGTACGACTGCGCGGCGTACTGCGGCCGAAAGCCTCGCTTGGCGTCTCCAGGCAGGTAACCCCCAGCGAGAACCGCTGAAAGCTTGAAGGGTAAAGGGCAATACATACCTTCAAAGACAACTCCAAAGGACCCTTCGCCTATCTTCTTGCCGACTCGGAAGTGGTTTCCGACGATGCCGTTTGAGGTTGTGCTTTGGGAGTGGTGGGCGGACGAGGAGGCAATAACATGGGGGGTAGTCATCGAAGTTCAAGAAAGGGGAGGGTGATTGCTGACTCCAGCTCGAAGTATTGGATGGTTAAAGGTAGGGGGACGGGAGGAGGGGAAGCGGAGGAGGAGGGGGTGCTTGGAAAGCTGTGTGCAGCGAGAGCGACGGGAGGAGAAAAGAGGGACGGGCGGACTTTCAACCTGCCATATTCGTGGGCTTCCCCATAACCACGTTGTCCCCGAGACGCGCGCTTGCAGTGTGACTTCCGAATGTCTCATTATTCCCAATTGACTCTGGGCGTCGAAATGCCCTTGATTATCGATTGCAGCGCCTGACCGGCTCGCTGATATGTGCACGTAGGTCCGAGACAGGGCAGACTTCAAGTCTCTGGGGTAGACGACAGACAACTCATGTATGTCCATACTTAGATCAAGCGGTACACCCAAGACCAAGGTACCGGCTTAGACAATTCGCCCCAGGAACCGGGTGTCGGTGTTATTACTGATCCAGCGGGTTAAACCAGGTTAAACCTTCGAAGGGGAGTGATCCGTTATCTGTCTAGACAGAACGAGACCTCAAACTTTGTGAATCTCGTTCTCTGGCTTCATCCTCAAAAACTTACGCTCTAGACCCACTGGGTATGCAAAACGTGGTATGTAAGAACTTCTCCGAGACTTGTTTTCGGAGCACCTTGTGGCCTTGCGCATGTACAATGTACGCACGTTTCTAGCCGCCGGTGATACTTCCTGTTTCATGATTGTTTCATGTCAGGACCATCTACTCAAAAATTTCCTTGTTCCTCGTGCAAACCCGTTTCCATGTTATGATTTGTTGGACCTGGACGGCCTTTATCTTGCATTCAGTGTTGTATGACCGGAAACCTTGCACCACAAACAAATCTCACAAGCTCTTCGCGTGTGCTAGTGGAAGATGCAAGGTGTTCCCTGCTGTCCGGTATCCTGTGCATCAGCCTTACTGTTTTCTCATGTCTATATAGTGCTACCCGAAGGCTGTAGCAAATTCGCGAGTAGGTAAATCGGACCGACGAATGCGATGAACTGTTCCCCCCTATCCTTACCAGCCCAGCCTGGTTCAATAAACGGAGAGCTGGTAACGTTGAACACCGGGACAGTAACAGGACAAGATTGTGGGCCAATGCGCCCAGGACTGACATTTCCTCATAAGCAGCGCGGATCACAAACAAGCTTCGTTTGTAAGTTCCAGTCGTGTGTCGACTATCCTTAAACTTGTCCATTAGAAATTGAGTGGACGTCGTGGGTGTGCAGTAAATATCTAGGCTCTTTGATGCACTAGCTGCACAATCTGACGTGCTCGGGATGCCTTCGGTACAGTCCTAGGCGCTTGCATCCAATCTACGCGCATCCAATCTACGCCAGTAAGACTTGCTGATACATTTACCCTCGCTTCCACGATACGTACACTCAAGAACGCCAAGAGAACGCTTGCATAAAACTTCACGAATATATCGACGAAAACAGTGCTCTCATTGTCAAGCGACGTGTTCACTCCCGGTCTGACCTCTTCACGAGGGGCTGACGCCACATCGAAGAAGGGCCACTACCTTCCCGATTGAGCCCCGATTTTATGTCAAGTTGATGTCAAAGGCAGAAACATATTCGTGTAGGGTCGACGTCATGTCCCCGCACGCGGTCCATCGCCGCTTCTAATCCATTTGGCGGAGAGAAATCGAGGTGACGTCGAGAGGACCATCATACATGACGCATTCGAGCCCGCTAGGCGGCGTCGTTGTTCACAGAAACTATATAAACTGAAAGTCTTGGAAGGTAAATGCCACGAACACATCACTCTAAATTCCTATCAGTTACCAAACCCATCAGTCAAGTACATCATGTCCGGCAGCACCTACAAAGACGACGAAGTTTCTGCTGGTCTTGTCTACAACGAAGGCGCCTCCGAGAAGGTCGACCGTGCTGGGTATAACCCCAAGGACGACACCGGTGCCATCCAGGAGGATATAAATGCGGAGCGCAACGAGGTCAGGGGCAAGGTCTCCCAGGGTACGTGGTCTAATGATCCGCCTTACGCCAAACCTTTCATTGACACGCAAGATTTACCTAGGTGAAGTCAACGACCTTCAGGACGATTTGAGCGAGCCACCCAAACTGGGTCTTCGTCAACCGCGCCCTGACCCTATGGCCACCGATCGCATGTTGGACAAGATGGCTGAGTCCGAAGGAGTTTAATGCTGTAAGAAGGGTTAATTAGCATCAAGTCGTCCTGATCGACCAAGTGGACAACCAAATGCGATTGTCATTAATATCGATACTTTCACCGTGCAATATGTATAGCAGTCCGACCACTTGTAACTTTGTAATCCAGATTTGATTCAGATATAATTAGTATGTCATTACTTATGAATACTTTACCGCCACGCCTGCGGTTGTAAGTAGCCTGGGATCGACATAATTATTGGAGTCATCATGCCAAAACCCGACTTTTACTTGATGGGACGTGACCTGTCAGGACCTTTATCTCGGCATACTTATGAAATAGCGACAACTACTCAGCGACACGACTTAAACTCCATCACAACATCTGGGCAGTTACACTATGGAAACGACCCACATATCTTCCGATCTCGCCAGACGTCCAAGCCGGGGAGCAGACGAAACTTTTTGAAGCGAAGGATTCAGCGATACGCCTTGTCGGAGCAAAGCGCCATGTCTAGTACGTATCTCAGCCACAATCGGACCATAAGCTAACTTTGCTGGGTAGTAGGTAGAGAATGGACTGTAAATAGTATAGCCTGGCCTTATCGAGTCTGCTGAGTCGCGCAAGCAGTTGAAGTGGTGCCTTGCTAGATGAACGTGGCCTACATCTGCCTACTTGCTATTACAAGCGCAAATCATGACATAGAAATGATTTATCAAGTCACCGCGACAGTTGCACGGACTCGGTCCAGCGACTCCCGGGCGCAAGCAGCGCAAAAGAGAGTGTGGTGATCTGGGAACAAGTGACGAACGTGAATTTCCCTGAGCCAATGGGAGTGTGGGAAGACCCCTGGAGGTCTAGCTACGGGTGATGCGAGGACCCCGGAAGTGGCTCGGGACGAGCGCGGGGCCTTGCCAATGCGCACCACAGATCAAAGAGCCGTCAGATGGACATATAAGTAGGCCGACACGGTTGATAGCGAGCACCTGCTTATCCTTCCCTTACTTTTCCTTCTACATCGCCGCCCTAACCATGGCCGAGGTAGTGACGAGGCCGAAGCTCAAGCAAATCTCCCTTATCTTTGCGTACGTCGGATCCGAACTCTAACAGCTTCGGAAGGGTTCGCTGACATATTGTGCCTCGCTTAGCTGCGGAACTGCCCTCTTTTCTGACGGTAATTTACATTTTCATCTCCATCCCTCCGTTCCTAACCGTTACCCCAGGTTATGCCAACAACGTCATCGGTTCCGGTGAGTGCTTCAACCTCGCTCGTCTTTATCTTGCGCTAAACCCCTTTTGCAGTGAACACCTGTGAGTATATGCTTGCCTGCCCAGCAAAGCTAGTGTCCTCAGCGAGCTCAACCCCACCCTAGTCTTGAAACGTATCTACGGCGATGATGCCCTCACTGGCAACAACTACAGCAATACCCTCAGCAGTGTTGCATTCGCTGGTGCGCACTAACTTTCATCATTGTCTCCTGGCCTGAAGCCAAACCATGCTGCCCACTTATCTAGGTACTGTCGTCGGAATGCTTGCTTTTGGCTGGATATCGGATAAGCTTGGGCGTAAATTTGGCATGGTGCGTTTTGTTGGCCTATGAAATCGTCATGAATTTCCCTGACTCTAGGAACCAGATGTCCGCCACGGCCATCGTCGCGTTCTTCTCTCTCCTCTCCGCCGCATCCGCTGGCGCGCACAACAGCTTATCTGGTCTCGTCGGCATGCTCAGCTTCTGCCGGTACGTATCACTTCACAATAGAGTAAATGTATTGACCTGACTTGAGGCTTCCGTCATTAGTTTCATGCTTGGTATTGGTGTCGGTGCTGAGTACCCCTGTGGTTCCGTGTCTGCCTCAGAGCAATCTGAAGAAGAGGGTGTCGCAAAGAACGCCCAGCACCGCTGGCTTGTCCTGGCTACAAGTGAGAAAATGTTATCTATCACATTCGTGCTGACCTAACATTGTGTCACAGACACCATGATTGACGTAGGCTTCGTTATCGGTGCCTTCGTACCGTTGGTGCTCTACTGGATGTAAGTCCGCTCTTTAGGATTTGGAAACGTGCCATTTTGATCTTTTATCTCAAGCTTCCGCGACGACCACCTCCGTGCTGCATGGCGGGTGTCTCTGGGCCTTGGCTTTATCCCAGCCATGGCCGTCTTCTTCTGGCGTCTCAAGATGGAAGAGCCCACGCGTTACAAGAAATCCTCTATGAAGAATGTGCGCATCCCGTACGGCCTCATCTTCAAGCGGTACTGGAGGGGTTTCCTTGGAATCTCCCTTTCTTGGTATGCAATCTCATTAAGACTTGAATCTGGAACATGGCACTGACTATCACGGACAGGTTCATCTACGATTTCATTACTTATCCTGTAAGGTTATCCCGAGTCACATGCATCCCCTCGACTGACCACAGGCATAGTTCGGCATTTATTCCTCCACCATCACTGATGCGTAAGTTCATACCCTTTTCTCAAGATCTCGAGCCTTGTGCTTAGTGACGAACCAGTATTACTGGAGGAAACTCCTCCCTCTCCGTTGTCTTCGGCTGGAGCGTGGTTATCAAGTAAGAACCCTAGCGCCCGCGTGCCGCATATGCTCACCCTTTGCAGCTTGTTTTACATTCCTGGTACCGTGATCGGTGCATTTTCCATTGACTTCCTCGGCCCGAAGGCTACCATGGTAAGCCTGCCTCCGCAACACGCGGTTCTTCATTGCGCTGACGACTCGTCTTTAGATCACTGGTCTCTTGGCGCAGGCTGTTATGGGATTCATTATGAGTGGACTTTACACCCAACTTAGCCACCACGTTGGCGCTTTCGCCGTAGGTCGTTGTGCTCCATTATCTGCCCCTTCTCTTAGCTGTTCGTAGGTTGTCTATGGTATTTTCCTGAGTTTCGGAGAGTTCGGTAAGCATACTATCCGGTTCTTGGTTCTGCATGTGTGATAACGTCGCGCCAGGCCCCGGAAACTGCTTGGGAGTTTTAGCCGCAAAGACCGGACCTACCGCGGTTCGTGGACAGTACTATGGCGCTGCTGCTGCGATCGGGAAAATTGGCGCGTTCATTGGCACATGGGGTACGTGGCATTGTAACCCTACTTGGTTGCTGACTAACGACTGCCTTCAGTGTTCCCCATAATCATCGATGGTACGTTGAAGGTGTTTATATATCAGCGAATCCTAACCCTTATCTTTTCGCACAGGCTTTGGCGGAACAGGCACCACAAAGGGCGACACCGGGCCTTTCTGGATTGCCAGCGGTGAGTACCAAAAAAGATGCAGTCGGCGTGTGGTAAAACATACTTATAAACTCGCCAGGCCTCGCGGTTCTCAGCGCAATCGTCGTTATACTGTTGGTCAAGCCACTTACTGCAGACGGCATGACCATGGAGGATGAGAAGGTGAGTAACCCTGTATACGTTATCGTCGTTGCACTGCTAACAGAAGCTCAAGTTCCGCGAATATCTCATGGAACACGGTTTCGACATCTCTACTCTCGGTATACAAGAGGTGGATACCACCGACTCGGAGGTTGACGTGAAGTCGACCGAGGAGAAGGTTGCCACAGCTTAAATTAACGTGGCCTGGTGACATTCGTGCCGAGGTTCGTTTGGAGGACGATCAAAGACAGTCAGAATGCAACAGTCGTTGCTGGACATTGTTGAGGCACGATCATTTACGACGTTTGATTCTTTCTCGAGATACCATCTAATTTCTTAACTTATCCACTCCCCTTACTACTCGGCTCCTACTGGTTGTCATTCTCTGAACTGTTGTCGCTCAATGCATTGTCTTCTTGGTCCAGCTGGACCTGCTATAAACATGGGCGCGCGAGACGTTGCGCTCCTCTTCATTACCGGGGATATGAACATGCACTTGAGACGATCGGTGGAAGAAAACAAGGAGGCAGACTTAGTAGACGAGAACTGTTGATGCGATGGATCTATAGAATTACAAGAATGATATCGATTATGCGATCATTGCTGCATTGCGTCGCCCTTAGAATCCTTGCCCATCTTCGCCAGCTCGCCTCTGCACAACGGCGTAAGCATCAGCAATGCGGCGAGCGATAGAGAACGGTCAATGCCCACCTTAGCTGTGCGCTGAACTCTTCCTCAATGTCGTCATCATCCCAGTTGTCCTCCCAGAGCTTGTCCCCGCCCGATTTGGCTGCGCCGGGAGCCGTGCCGTTCAGGTGCGCGAGGTCGGTCTGCGAGTCGTCCCAGTCTGACGTGCACAACGTGAGTGAGATCAGGGATTGTATCGCCACAAGCAGAGGGCCGGGGTGAGGGTGGCGAAATGAGAGGCATAGGCTTACCAGCAACGGGGAACTCCTCGAATTCGTCATCCTCCTCTAGGATTCCAAGGTGCGGCTGCGTGGTGTCGCCCTCCTCTTTCGAATTCTCGTTCACGCCGGGCAGGCTTTCAGCGGGCTTGGATGCGGGTGCTGATGATGACATTTTGATTGTGTACCGCTGGTGGGTGGCGGATGGCAAGGAGATGTGGACCGTAAAGACAAGAGTGATATTACCGAGACGCGTCAGTCATCGGGGTCGCGAAAGTGTGATCGTGGGACATATGGGAATTCAAGTAAAGACTTACACCTCTCGTGTCAACCACAACCACCTTTACTCTGCCATGCCACTGGCGTTTTGAGGTAAGGAAGCCTGATTTTGTTTCACTTTAAATTCGTATCTGGTGTGTAAAGAAGTCCATCAGCTCTGCCTTGAGATATTCTCGCTTGAATCCTCGATGACCACCACCGTGACAGTGATATTGTGAATTCAAGGAACTCCAATGGTAAGCGATAGCTTTAGGCGAGTGGCATCGCTGACGTTGGGCCTCACCTGCAACAGGGCTCTATCGTGGACAACCAGATAGCAGATCGAGGAATGCTCTGGCAGACCTCGCCACTATGGTAACGTTGCTCAGTATGCATCACATAGCCTGGTGCATGTTGCATCTAGACTCTATTCTGAGGTTGCAACCGGTTCAAGCACCTGTTCATCTAGAGAAGAGCATCAGAAGCTCTGTCCACTCGCTAGGCAAGCCCTAGTACCTCGACAAAGGAAGCAGAGTGCCACCGTCTCCCGCTCTTGAGGGTGAGGCTGGCTGAAGACAAGTTCACTTCTTACAGTCGATAGAGCTCCCTTTGTGACTGAAGATCGTCTTCAGCGACATCTGATTCATTCGCTGGTATCCATACTGGTAGCATCGCTGACCACCTCTCGACGGTCAGCACTGCCCCAGCTCCCGAACTCTGTGTATCTCTGACGACGATTGAATCTACTCAGCCTCCTATGGTCTACGCTGAAGGCCGCGAGAAGAGAATCTCGATGAAGAACATGGTGGGCTAGAATAACAGCACCTACTGAACTAACAGTCCCAATGACTTGGATGCGAAGAGGTTTCTAGGCCATCACGCCAGCCACGACTAGGGTCTCTCGGCTCCCAGGAGCGGCACAATGATGATAAGGAGCATCAGCCATGTGAAGGGTGACTCGCCTCATCATCATCGTTGCGAGCGCACTTCTCACCAGAATATTATGCGCCTGGCGGCACGGAATAGGACGGCGGTTACGCATCTGACGTCGACCAAGATCACCGTGCTGATACCATCGGTCTGTCAGGTTGACTTTGGGATGCTATGAACGACGTCAACTAGATCCACCCCATCCTTTGAAGTACCTATAAGTATCTAGGTCACTGTGTTCTGAAGAAACTCTACCACGAATCCGAAACGGCTTCGTAGGGCCTCCACAGTGGTTCAAGTCCCTTTACGTATGTTGAATCAGAGCCGCGGCCTTTGCAGCTGCTGATTAAGGAATGGCTGCATGGATATTGTATGAATGAAGCCAAGTGTCGCATCCCGTTGGGGTTGGCATATGAGATAGGAATGAACATTTCTGAAACAAGCTATAGATTCAGTTGATTCGAGAGCAACTAGAACCTGTCAGAGCACTCAGAACACGGGTTCACAGGCTGCGTTCCAAGCTCCATTGGAGTCATTCTCACACACTTAGTTGAATAGTGTTCTGATTGTTTCGAACATTCATTCGTAGGTACGTACGTCCAACTAATTCCGGGAAGGATGACCAAGATGTCAATTCGCGCATCGGTCATCTTTGTCACGCCTTGACTCAGCTGACCGCCCAGGCCTCAGGAGAAGCCAGAATGCAAACGGCGTTGTATATAAGCACCAACCTCACATAGACTCTCGAGCTCAGTAACACCCATCTGCATCGATCCCAATAATCATGTCCCTAGCACAAAGACTTCCCGTTGCATTAGAGGGGCACCCTCGCATCATTGACACACCCAAACGCGTCCGTGTTCTCTTCCATGGACAGTACATTGTCGACACGACCAAGGCCAAGCTTGTGTGAGTAGTCAGTGTGCGCATGGGTGACGTCACTATAACCTCCGACTCTCTACCAATAGATGGGAGAAGCCTTTCTACCCGACGTACTTTTTCCCTATCTCGGAGCTCTCATCGGACCTGCTGCACCGTTCTGCAGATGCGGAACATGGAGGGGTAGAGTACGACCTGGTCGTCGGCAGGCACATCATCCCACGCGCGGTGGTTGTGTACAACGAGGGCGAGCTGAAGGGGCTACTCAAGATACTCTTCGGCGCGGCGGACGCTTGGCTCGAGGAGGACGAGAGGATTTATGTCCACCCGAAGGATCCGTACAAGGTTCGCTTCCCTCCTTCGCTGCTTGAAGGGTTAGAGTGTTGGTAATAATACGAACGAACAGAGAGTAGATGTGCTCCAGAGCTCGCGTCACGTCGTCGTGAAGCTGAACGGCGTCGAGCTCGCGAACACGCGCCGCCCGCGGCTGCTCTTCGAGACCGGCCTCCGAGTGCGCACTTATATCCCCCTGACGGACGTGCGGGTGGACTTCCTCAGGCCTTCGAACACTGTCACGGCTTGCCCATACAAGGTGGGTTTCCCTTTAAATCGTGCAATCTCTGTGGGAGCAAATGATGCTTATGCGAATGAACAGGGTGAAGCGAACTATTACAACGTCGAGTTGCCAAACGGGGAAACTTCCAAGGACATTGTGTGGTACTATCGCGTTGCACAGCTGGAGTGTGCACAGATTACAGGTTTCGTCGCGTTCTATGATGAGAAGGTCGAGGTGTGGGTGGATGGAGAGAAGCAGTAGACTCACGATGGGTCGTCAAGTAGCCTTTATCTGGTCAGCTAGAAACTCCGGTGTCCTTCGCATGCGTTTGTATGATACAGTTTGGAGAAATCAGGGAATCTTGCAAGTGAAAGTCGCGATCGAAGAGGCGAAGACGCGACGACGGAGGTAATATTGGGAACGTGAGAATCACGTGCCAGGGGCTATTTTCGCGTCGGGGAGGCGAGTGTGCCGGGGAGCAAATCATGGAGCTTCTGTTTGCACACTGCTCTGGTCATAGGGACCTCCAATCGCAGACGCTGGCGTCACAGGCATCACCCACACTGCTCAATTTCTGACGCTTGTTCGACACCTTTGCATCCCGCTTTTGTCTATGTCTCGCAACTCCAAGGCAAGCCTTGCTAGAGTGACCGATGTCGCCCTCGGCTCGTTCGGCGTTGCTATCCCTCCTTCGGAGACAGTTAACCATCTCGTCCGTTTCTTGAGCACTTGGAGCGGGAGCGAGTGAGTGGCCTGTCTGACCGACGTGTGATGGGGATGTGACGTTTGCAATTACAGCAAATTCTTTGGTGTAAATTCGTTGCCTACCGTGCCAGTGACCAGGCCAAGTACTGATGGGACGTGCAGGTTGTCCAGTATACCCTCAAGCTTCTGGTCCCCTTTCTCCATTTCCGCGCGCGTCTGCAACAGCGGGTTGGCCTCAGCAAGACAGGGGTCAGCCCATCTGCGTTGTCATTGGCCAAGCTAGCAGATCTAGTGGGAGATGCCAAGATGCTCATGCGGTTCTGGGGTAAGTTCTCACTAATCTATTGAATTTGGTGGACGTATTGAACACGAATGAACCGCTCAAGGTCTTCTCCCTATCGTTCAGTGGATGATGTCGCTCGAACGTAACCCGCCTCCCACCAAACGGCTGCAGAACATTGAACGTCTCCAGGGATGGTCGATGCTCGGCTACTATCCTTTCGAGCACCTCTACTACCTCAGAGCGCACGACATCATCCCCGCGACCCTTCCGCTCCTCGCCCTTGGTGTCCCCAAACCTGCAACTCTCAATCTACACGCGGGAAAACTCGCGATGTGGTCCACCCGCTTCTGGGCGGCCTACGTCGTCCTCCAGATCGCCCACCTGTGGGAAGACCGGGGCTTGCTTATTCAGAAGGAGCGCCAGCTCAAGGTGGGCAACAAGCGTCTCGATGTGGAGGAGAAACGCGATCTAGAGAACAAGTGGGATGCGCTGCTCAACGAGCTCGTCGTAAATATTGGCAACTTGCCACTCGCGATCCATTGGTGAGCATGTTGTTATATAAAGTACCCCGTATTTGTCCTAACATACATATACCTGCAGGTCCCTGCAGAAGGGCATTTTCACAAATGACGTCAGTAACCTCCCCCAGTTGTATATTCCCCGGACTGACTTGTTCCCACAGATCTGGACAACGGCCTTCGGGTTCCTTGCTGCCGTTGCTTCATTCAGGGGAGCTTGGAACGCAACCGCCCTTCCACCCGCGAAAGCTGCAAAGGAAGTGGCCGAGCCCGTGATTGCGCCCGAAACATCCGACTCGCTGGTGGTCGTAGATGTTGCAGACGGCTCGGCACCGTCCTTCTGATCTTGGGTAGAATACTCGTTGCTGCGTCGTCATTTCCTTGCCCATGCTTGCCTGCTTATCTCGCTATACTTAATTTATCAGGCCTCTCAGTTGCAATCGTTGTAGATCACTGTGAGACGCGATCCCACGCAGTGTCCTGCGCACCGCGCTTCCAGGGGTTAATGCCAGACATGCCTGAAGCATTCGTCATTTTGTGGGCTCCGAAGTACAGTAAGGGTACATCAATCTATAGGTTGGTATCAAACGTCCGTGTTGTCGCTTCCCCGCCATCCGGCTTACAAAAGGCTCAGCCGTTGCTCATCGCGATCACTGAAATGCGCCCTGGGCAGGCACGGTCAGGACGACCTTGCCGACGGTCTTGCCGCTCTCCATGACTGAGAAGTACATGTCAGAAAAACGCAACAGAGCAGAGATCTGGGTACTCACGCTCATGGGCCTGCTTGAGGCCGGCGACGGTGAGATCAAGACTCTGGCTCGTGATGGACTTGATCTTGCCCTCGTCGACGAGCTTGGCCATTTCGGTGAGAGCAGCGCCCTGCGATGCGAGGTTCCACTTGAACGCCATCCTATGATACTCGTCAGTACGCTGCCCGTAACGTTCACAGGATCACAGACAAAAACACTCACTTGGTGAAGACGAAGCCCCACGAGAAGTCAATGCCTTTGCGCTGGGCCTTGCCGAACGTGGAGTAGCTGCCCTCGGGGCCCTGCACGGCGAGGCCGATGCGGCCGCGGGGCGCGATGACCTCGAGCGCCTGGTCGATGGTCTGCTGCGTCGTGGTGGTGAGAACGGCGATGTACTTGATCTTGACGTTCTCGGGGAGCCCGAGCGCAGCGATCTGCGGCGCCCACGGCTCGTTGTGCGAGATGGTGTGTGTCGCGCCGAGCCCGAGCGTGTGCTTGATGCTCGCCTCGCGCGACGCGGTCGTGATGACCGTCTTGAGCCCGGCGACGCTGCGCGCGAGCTGCGACGCGATGCTGCCGACGCCGCCCGCGCCGTTGACGATGAGGATCGCGTCTTCGGCGCCGGACGCGTCCCACGCGGGCTTCGCCTCGTTGATGCGCATCTGCTCGAAGAGGAGCTCCCAGGCGGTGAGCCCGACGAGCGGGATCGCGGCGGCGTCGCCCCACTCGAGCGACTTGGGCTTCGCGGCGATGGAGCGGTAGTCGGCGACGAGGTATTCGGCGTTGGACTTGTTGGGCACGGACGAGCCGAGTAGCCAGACGGCGTCGCCGACCTTGTGCGCGAACGAGGCGGGCACCGAGGATCCGACCTGGACGATCGTGCCGGCGGCGTCGAAGCCGAGGATCGAGCCCGCCTGTAGATACAAAGTGTTAGTTAATTAATCCGAGATGACTCCGAGCAGATCGGGGAGCACGTACGGGCAGGTTGCCTCCAGCCCACTTGCCGGCGCTAGAGGGACACGATAAGGATACATTTCGAACGTATGTGTGTGGGAGCAACATACCGAATCTTGGCCTCAACTGGGTTGATGCTGACGGCCTTGACGTTGACAAGGACATCCTCGGGGCCCACAGTGGGAATGGGCACCTCAGCTGACACGAGGACCTCGAGGCCGCCGAGACCGTTGATGTTGATCGCCTTCATGGTTGACATATTGCGCGGGAGGAGAGTGGTAGATCGGACGGAGGAGCGACGAGAGACGATGGAGGAGGAAAGCTTGGAGATCTGGGACAGCCAGCCCATGGTGGGGTTTTATGCACCTAGGCCTTGTTCATTATGTACCTACCTCCTCGGGATGTGTTCGCGACTTCACATTAGCAATACGGGCTGAAGATATCCCAGTAGACGCCCGCCCGGTGTTCTATGTGCTGCTTACTTATAATTAAACAGATGCAACAGTGTCGCGATGTGGTGGTCGCGGCTCAAGGATGTACAGTCGAAGTACCCTGTCGAATCGCATACTTACCCGTGTAAAGCCTTGCTCTGCAGCAAGGCATATCTTTTTGTGTTTCCCGAGGTGGTTGGCGGTAATATCGGGGTACAAAGACATAAGTAGCTTATGGTGTCATACATACTTGATCCGTGCTGGTTCCTCGTGGATACGCACATCCAGGCCCATTAGCTTTGCCCAATCGCTATCGAGCTTCGTCACTTTCTTCCTTGATTGCCTCAAGGAAGTCCAACATCTATGGTCGTAGTCAGCTTCCTGGGTTTCCGTCCAGGCCGGGGCAATCGCGCGATGCCTACCAATTGGTGCCGCTTCGCTCCCATCTTCTTCCCCGGTTCAGTCTTGAGCCTGTCTTGGATGTGCAGCAGCTTATCGTAGAAATGCTCGACGGCTGTGTCGGTGCGTCCTGGAGGTGCATGTAACGGACTGCATATAATACGTGAGAGACGCAGCGACAATGACGGGGGCGCTCATTATTCCAGATCGAAACCCCTTCGTAGAACGGAGGTGGCTTACCGGTTCGTCACGGAGCTGAACGCTGCGCAGCGCATGATACCTCGAGAACGGACAACACATCAGACAAGAGCGTCCCGGCAGCGCGCGGCGCGCACCGTACAAACGCATCATTGACAAAGTCCAATTGTGTCAACTCACCGAAAGCACCAATCGCATCGAGCCTGTCCGCGTCCTGCACGCAATGGAGCTCGCGGCACGTCTCGTGCCACTCCGTCCACCGCCCCTCCGCGCGCAGCTTCTTCTCGGTCGTCCACGACACGTTCTCGATCACGTTCGCGATCAGGCGCGCGCGCCCGTCCGCAACGAGGTCCACGCCGGCGGGCTGCTCCGCAATAGAGCGGAAGAACGGGAGAAAGAACGCGTACGGGTCCGCAGCCTCGGCGGGCGTCACGTATTTCTTGTCGAGGACGTCGTGTAGGAGCGCGGCGATCTCGATGACGAGTAGGTCGGGTTGCGCGCCGTTGGGAAGGGAGTGAGCGAGGTTCAGGGCGGTTTTGCGGACGCGTTCGACTGGTAAGATGTGTCAGAGGGCGTGCTTTAGTGTAATGGAGGAATGTACGGACCGTGGTACGCGTCGTGAGATGGGTCGTAACGCGCCATGGTGTCGTTCATCAGCTTCTCGGCCGCCTGAATTGCAGCTTTCTCTTGAGTCGTGGGGTACATTGCGAAGTGCTGTAGTCTGTAGGTTTTTTGTCCTGGATGAGTGCGTTCGAGTTAGTTTACTGTTGTAGGGTGAAAAAACGCGTCTATCGATTGATCAAGGGGACTCGTGCGGTCCTCAGCACGCAGAAGGGCATGGACGCGCTTACTCATTTATTGCGGTCCGAGGTAAACGGAAGAGCCTTCCGAGTACACGTGACCGTGTCGATCGCCTTTCGGAGACGTCCGAAGGAAACACGTACGGCTGCCTGTGGGACGTTGCGCGCGTCCACAAGACGCTCAAATACACCTTCCACCGCTCACCAACTCATTTCACCATGGCCGGACGGAGCGGCCTTAAAGCAGTCCTTCTCACTCTTTTGACCTGTGCTATCTTTGGTACCGCATACGCAGCTCTCGCCTCGGAAAACCACACCCTGGTCGTCCATGTGCGTTGTTATCGTCCGTCTTCGAGCGGGGGTGACGACTTACACTTGGCTGCTTCGACCTAGGACACCGAGCTGGGCAAGTGCGATGCCGTCCAGCAACTCAGCGCTCTCAAGGTCGCGGTGGAAGAACAGGAGTCTCCTATCATGCGCCAAATCTTCGCGTGGCTCTTCCCGTTCGGTCCGGGCGCGAACGCAGGTAAGCCCACCTCGCTTCTGTTCTGTGTCCACAGTGCAGAGAATCTCACGTCGCGACGCGTTCCCCTTAGTCCTTGGCACGTTCTACATAAGCTCGTGCGTCGCCTCCCCCTGCGCCTGTGCGCCGTGATTGGCCCTGTGCCGCCAGCTGACGCGGGGACACCCTTCGAACCCAACAACGTTTCAGGGTGCCCAATTTTATTTTGGCGTTTATTCCCGCGGAAATAAATGGAAACACGCTCAACACGATGACGGCGTTCGCGGTGAGCCATGTCGCTTCCGCCGGGTCCTGAACCTCTTTTCAATGACGCGACTCGTTGGGCGTGTCTAGACTGGCGGTCTTCTCTCAGATGTGTTCCTGCACCTCGTGCCACACGCATTCATGGGCGAGCATCAGGAGCCTGGTGCTCATTTCGTCATGGTGGAGGAAAAGAGGAACATCTTGATCGGGTGCGTGGGTCTCCCGTTTGAACGCTCATACAAGGCGCAGGCTGACAAACCCTGGACCGTAGGCTGGGCATCTTCGTTGGGTTTGCGTCCTTTTTCGTGATGGAGAAGACCCTGCGAGTGCTGGGCGGCGATGAGGAGTCTGGGCACTCACATGGGCACTCGCACTCGCACAACCACTCCGACTCTACGCCTGTCGCAGATAGTTCTGCTGTGTCTAAGCCGTCAGCTGATGGTCTGAGGGCGCGGGGCGCTTCTGATAAGAAGGAAGACGACAAAACAGATACTCAGGGCGACGCACACCCTACCAACGCCCCGTCAAAGTTGTCCGCTTACCTAAATCTCTTTGGTGATTTCGTGCACAATATGTGAGATCCCTTTTTTCGTCTATCACACGCTGGGCCGTATCTCATGAACTAACTTGACTCCTGGACCTCACAGCACAGACGGCTTAGCGTGAGTAATTTTTTAAGATTTACCTGCGTCTCCACCGATGCACGGTTTGAGGGTTGTGGGGTTGGCTCACAAGTTTAACAGGATGGCCGCTTCTTTCTATTCGTCGCCACTGATCGGGGCAACAACCACGCTCGCCTGTTTCGCGCACGAGATTCCCCACGAGATTGCAGACTACTCTATTCTTGTGCGAAGCGGATTCACCAAGAAACAGGCGATGCAGTCTCAGTTCATCACTGCCATTGGCGCTTTTGTACGTGATCATACCATTTTGACACGGTGCTGCCGCCGCTCTGACGCTGTACTGACTCGTTTTTTGGGGCGTAGGTGGGGTAAGTACGGCGTCCGTGTCCGCGCTGGAAGGAATGTTCTGAAATTCAAAAAATTTCACTTGTTTGAAGGACCTTCATGGGCATTGCCATCCACAACCTCTCCGCTTCCGAGGCGGGAGCGGAAGCACTGGACCTCGCCGCGGGCATACGGCAGGACGCCTCCGGCTTGCTGGGGACAACTGTCCACTTATCCGATTTGGTTGGTAATCTTCTACAACTTTATTTCCCCGAGCTCAACGCCCGCAGGTAATCCCGTTCGTTGCCGGCGGATTCATGTACATCGGCGCCGTTGCCGTGTTGCCGACGTAAGGGCCCATACAATCGCGTTTTTGATCGATGACGCTCAGCGACGCTTTTTAGGCTACTGAACGAGAGCAAAAGCGGGAAGCAGGCACTTCGCGAGGTGGGTTCTATTATTGTGCTCCGGGTACGTGACTCTAGAACACTAGTTTGTTTATGGACATCCCTAGTTTGGAGCGATGGCCTTTGGCGTGCTCTGCATGTTTTTAGTCGCGTAAGTCCGATCAGACCTATGGGTTTGGTTGCTCTCACGGAAGCTGATACTTCTCCGTACGACCAGGTGGAACGAGTAGACCACGTTCATGGGTTTTGGACCGCGGAGTGTTCTCATGCTATTATGATGTTTAGCTGTAGTGACTCGTCCAACGCTGAATATTGCATTATTTTATTGACCCATATTAATGGGTGCCGTAGCGCTGTGATGAGATCCGACGTAAATGGCGGACGATGACTTCAGAATTTGATACAGAACGAGTCAGGGCGCGGCTAAGAATGGGAGAGTGCAGCGCCACCGTCGAGATGGATAGGCCGCGTTGAGCCGGCGAACGTGCGTGAAAGCTGTGGCAACCAAGTCCGACCTTGCGTTTATACATCCCTGATGATGGCTTGCCTTGTAGTAATCCAGACACACGACCAGTTTTCACTGGCCGCAAACTCCTCTTGCGAGTACTTCACGCTCAATCTTTCTCCTCTCGTCGGGCACTCCGCCCCTGAACGAGAACTGTCAAAGCTCCTACAAATCTACCACCGCGAGCTGACTTAGCTACTCCAGTCGTACTTGGCCTGTGCGTCATAGTAACCCGTTTGCTATAGCCTCCATCTTACCAAGCTGCGCTAGTCCCGTTAGAAGGCTGCTACAACCATCCAGAGCATTTCGACGACTTCTCTCAACTCTCCCTTGAAAAAGCATCGCCCCTCGCTTCTCCAGAGCCAATCCTCCCGCATTTGGCTCGGCACCGAAGCGCAACACCCGTGGTTACGTCCTACCTGGCTTCACGTTAAAACAGGTCCGCACGCTTGCCCTCGCTGCTCGATTTCTTATCACTGATCCTGTTTTTTCCCCTTCTCTTCAGTCACCACGTCGACCCTCACGCAAACGCCGTACCCAACCCCGTCCTTCACCATGGGCACAGGCACCAAGGATCGCGCTACGCCCCGCGTCGTGTGCTGCGCCATCCCCATCCAGAGAGCCGCAGGCAAGGTTCTCCTCATTACGAGTCGGAAACGCCAGGACTTGTGGGTCTGTGAGTGCCCGTTTCACATTCTTCATTGCATTCCGACTTTTCCCGCCTCCACTTGTCCTTGTATGCTACGCCCTCTGGTGGCCTACATGCCCCGCGGACACGTCAGCACGTTGGTTGCGCGGACCGAGGGCTGAGAACACTTGGCCTTCGCTTGCAGTCTGTCTATACCCCATTCGCATTGTATTCTCGCATTTTGCAATGATGACTCATGTCTTACTTTTTCCAGTGCCCAAGGGTGGATACGAGGCGTCGGACGTGCAGCTCGAGGCAGCCGCCTCGCGGGAAGCTCTGGAAGAAGGTCTCACCCTTTGTCCCTTTTCCGTGCCCTCATCTCCTGATGAACTTCCTTCCCCCCTCGCACACCTTGTTCCGTGCCCGCGATCGTCGTCGCGCTGCACGCAATTCAACGCACTGTGATGCCTCGCCTCGCATGACACTGCACCGCTGACGCAAAACGTCAAACCCGCAAACGCGAATCCGCATCCGCAGCCGGCGTGCGAGGCAAGATCGAGCGTTACGTCACGACGATCAACTCGCCCTCGACGATCTACCACTTCTACGAGATGAAGGTGGAGCGGATGGAGGCGGACTGGCAGGAGAGCAGGGAGCGGATACGAGAGTGGTTCACGTACGACGAGGCGCGCCGACGGGTCGGGTGGAAACCGGAGCTGCGCGAGGGCCTTGACAGGGCGCTCATGACGCTCTCGTCGTCGTAAAGGCGAGGGCCGGCACGGCACCCTTCCCTCCGCGACGGGGCAGGGACGGCGACGACGCGCGTACAGACTTCATAGACGCCGTCTCGTGCGCCGCCGTCGGGCCCCCGGCCCCTCGGTTGGTCGTTCGGTCGTTCGGTCGGTCGTTTGGTCACGCGCGGCACAAATTCGTCATTCTCGACTCTCGTGTGAGGGCGGGAAGGGACTCAATTTTTCGATTATCTTGTACAGTGGCTCGTCGTGTCGTGTCGCGAGCATAATCCACGGCTGTGAGCGCCGGGTCCCGCATATCACATCACTTACAACATCTTGCTTGCATTCGTCTTTCTTTTTTTCCTCTAACATAGATCCAACGAGCGCATTGATCAACTCGCTCTCAATCATCCATCCATCCATCCTCATTATACGTTTACAGTACCGCTCTCACTTGTCTAACGATACCATCCCCTCAATCCCAATCCATCCCACCCCATCCCAATTCGCATTGTTGCCCCGTCCTCCCCCGGCCCTCCGTGCGCAAGTTTGACTGCCGGGTTTGTGGCGTTGCATGGCTGAACGCATGTCCGCGTACTCACGCCCGTGCGTACGTGGTCACTCCGTTGCCAGCTCCCGGCCTTTGTTTTCGCAGAGGACGCGCGTCGCGGTCCCATTCTCCCCGTTTATTTATGTTATTGGCATTTAGACATATAATTAGTTGATATAACCCCCGAAATCTCTGCGCGTTGATGCGTCACGCCGACTCGCGAGTGAACGACAACAAGAACTGGTTTGTGATGGAGCTAGCGTGTGCCCGCCATTAATGTTCTCGCGGGATGCTTCCCGGCGCTGTGTTGGCAATGGTTGTTGCTCAATGTATGAATGTAGTTTCCCCGGTGTCCGTGTCGGTGGTTGTGTCGATGTCCGTGTTAGGTGAGTGTCATTTGGCTGACGTCTTGTGCTTGATACCGAGGTCTACCGAGGTGGGTTTCCTCTGATCCTTTGATGCAGAGTCGCCGTATGACTACTAGATCCGATTGGCTGGGCGGTGAGCACAACAACTTCCGCTCTTCCGTTTCAAGGCACGCATACATACGTATGGACGAATATCTACGGAGGATCCTCTTCTTGCAAGCGCTGTTCTTGTACACTGCGCGATGTCGCAAGCTGCGATCATCTAACGGCGCACCCCTCTTCGCCTCCTTAGGCCTTAAGGCTAATGCGGAAACCTGCTTACTGTATCAGGTTTATCGCTGCTCGAATGTTCATATGCATGCCGACATCAGGGGAACACCACCACATGGAAGGTCAAAAAATGTTGATGGGACACTACCGCCGAACGGCGCATCATGTAGATAAACTATCGCTGTTGACTGGGACCGTTTCGCCCCCTCCACTCTCTTACTCTTTGTCTCGCTCAGACCTGAGCTTCGCGGCGTCTTTCCTATCTCTGCTCGGGCCAGCTGCAACTTGTCGTCATCCGGTTCATCATGCTGTCCGCGGTTCTTCTCTCGCTGTGCTTCTCCCCAGCCATCCTTGCGGCCTCGGGCTCGCGCGCGGAGCGGAAGGACGTGTACAATAGGCTCGGGAACCTCTCGCCGTACCACAAGGCGCCTGCCGTGCCTGGCATCGAGAGCGCGCTTCCAAACGACTGCACCGTCGAGCAGGTCATGCTGGTGCGTTCCTCCTGAAATTATCACTTAGTCAAAAGCCCCAGCTGAAGTGCTATCTTTCCATCGCTCCGTATGATTTTACCCAAAATGACCTACGATACATGACATGCGCGCTTGGACATGGACCTGGCGCAGATGCAACGCCACGGCTCGCGCTGGCCGCTGGCCTCCGAGCTGGTCTACATCCAGAACCTGTCGTACAAGCTCGGGAACGCGTCCGACGCGGTGCAGAAGGCCGACCTGCCCCAGAGCCTGCAGTTCCTCAAGGCGGGATACACGACCCAGCTCGGACACGACAACCTCACCGCGCCGGGGCGGAAGCAGCTCTTTGACCACGGCGTTGAGTGCGTCCCGTTCCCGTTTCTCGCTTCCTGCGATGTCCCAGTTCCCCGAGGGTATACTGGGCTCTACTCGCCGTGCTGACCGCGCTTTCTGTATAGCTTCCTGCTGGACTACCCGCACCTGCACACGGACACGATCGTCGCAGGCGGGCAGGACCGCGTGATCGAGTCCGCCGAGTGGTTCGCGAAGGGCTACTTTGGGCGGTACTACCCCAACAGCCCGCCGGTGAACTTCACGACAGTGCCCGAGGACAGCAAGACGGTGTCGTGGATCACGCCGATGGACACGTGTAGCGAATGGGACTACGACTACGGTGGCAACGTACGTTTTACTTCACGATTGCGGATAAAGCTGGGGTCGGTGAAGAAGCATTTTTTGAATGAGACATTTTCAGGCCACGATTGAGTGGGGCACCGTCTATCTCCCGCCGATCACGAAGCGGCTGAGCGGGTATTTGCCGGGGGTTAACATCACGGACGATGATACGCACGGAGCGCTGTACGCGTGCGCGTACGATCTCGCTGCGTATGGCGTGTCTCCATGGTGCAACTTCTTTACGCACGATGAGATATACAACTTCGAGTGAGCATCATGGTCACTGTGAGGTTGTTCTAATTCTGACAGAATCCGCGTGCAGATACGAACTCGACCTTCTCATGGACGGAGCCTTCGGCTATGGCCTCCCCGGTCAGATGGGGCCCATACTTGGAACTCTCTACGTTAACAAGCTGATTGAACGGTACCTCATAACATTCATTCTCGGGACGAGATCCGCTCATATCTAATCTATCCAGTTTCTCAAACAAGACCGGTGACGCCGAGGAACTCTACTTGGAGTTTGGTCATGACACCACGATTGATCAGGCGCTCACGGCGCTTGGCCTCGCAAAGTGAGAGCTCGATCCTATTGGCTCCCGTCGATTGTCGGAATTTGACCACTGACTCTTGCTATTTGATGCTTATCTTCACGTCTCGCATTGCAGGGACACACCACCGCTATCTGCCAAGGGTCCTGTCAACCCCAATCGCGAATGGCGGACATCTGAGCAGGTTCCATTCGCTGCGAAGATGATCTGGGAGAAATTCACTTGCTCGAAATCGTTAGTCTTGTTTCCTTTCCGCGACCCCGACAGTCGTGTCTTTTTCCCCTTCTTCTTCTCCGTCGTGGCGCGCAAGTGAATTGACTTTGACTTTGTCTTTTCCTCGCTTTCCTTCTAGATTGAATGGCACAAGTCAAATTCGGCTGTTGCTGAACGGTGAGACGTTCCCCTTGACAATGTGCTCCAATACGGCGGAGGACAGGCGATTCGGCACGTGTGCGTTCGAGGAATTTGTCAGGGCGAACGCGTTCAGCACGAATACGTCGTACGGCGACGCGGCCTGGAATGCGACGTGTGGACCCGCGACGGTACCGGTTCAGGCTTAGGTGCGAGGGTATGACGGCGGCGCCGGGTGCCAGCTTGGTGCCAGGCCAGCAGTGAAATATTGCTGCGGATCATTCATTGGATGCCATGGTCGCATGTCCCAGGGCAAATAACTCTGAGTGAATGGAAGACGAGATGATCGGAGGGATCAGGTGTAGATTGCATACTGGATTTGATAATTTGCTCGCGTTGTTCCTCTCGTGCGGACGGATTTAGAGGTCGTCTGGGGAGACGTCATTTGAAATCACGGGGCGGGCCTGTTCAAGTGCTAGGACAAAATGCATATGTAGCTTCGTGGGGCTCCGCCCTCCGTACATGGGGGTCCTGCGGGGCAGCTGCATTCATTGCTCGGGGGATCTCGCTTTGTTGTTGGGGCCCATGATAAGACAAAGATCCTACTTTGCCCGAGAAAGTCAGGGATGGGTTGTTATGAGAGGGCTGGAGAGGCACTAGTTGTGCTGCTTGGAGGATCCATGTGGGCTGGAAAAGGACATCGAGGAAGGGAAGACTCGAGCACATGCAGGGCGCATGGTCCATCATGGAGCATCTCGATCCTGATTTGAGCGTTTCACTCTGTCTGCTGTGTTGGAAATTGGGAGGTCGTCCAATGGTAAGTCTACCCTCGAATATGGGCCGAATGAGGGGACACCTCCTAAATGACCCCGCACGAGTGCGGCTACGTACGGGGGAATCGGACGTGCACAGCCACATGTCCTCTCAACTGGGGATCAGTCAACCGCGAAACTGGCTTCATATTACACCACTTGCTTCAACCCACCCGTCCTGCTATCTTTCTTTCTCTCTCTTATTTCTGTCCGACTTTCGATCTGCCTGCTTTACCCGCCATGTCACTTCTCACACCAGGGGAGTCGCACCTGCTGCAGTCCTTCTTGACCTCGGTCGACGCACAAGACTTCGAGCTCGAGTGGAACATGCAGCTCGACGTCCCTCAGAACCACAACCCTCCGCCACCGCACACGAACAACAATCCTCTCGTCAAGGCTACAAAGGATCTTATGGCCCTCGATGGCGTCGACAAATTCAGATACCAGTCCGCTCATCGACTCACTTCGCCAATAAGGGAAGCCACAGCACCGGTAACCCGGCAATCTCAGCAACCACCGAACCCTCTCTCGTTCTTGTACTCGACACGTCGAACGCAATGTATGCCTGACCAGGGTGAGTGTCATTCACATCCGGCGGGCGGGTTGGATGGGCACATATACGTGGTTGCCGTTTCAAAATGGAACTCTGCTTGCCGCCCGCCCTACGTGTGCGGCGTGATGCCGATGACCACATGCTGATCATGGCCCGTTGTGCCGCAATCACAAAGGTCCACCATACAAGCGCTCTTCGTCCTCCTCATCCGCCTACTCCTCCTTCGACCCGCCCGTCTCGTCTTCCTCGTCCCCGCTCGACACGCCCTCTTTCACGCCTACGACCTCGACGAAGCGAGCGTCCCCGGTCGACTCACGGCCGTCGAACAAAAGAGCCCGGCAAGATGGTCCATCGTCGTCAGCCGCTAAAGGAGCCAGGACAGCTGGCGACTCGTCATCGTCGTCACATGCAGCATCATCGTCGTCATCATCAAAGCTAACGTCGACGTCGGCAGCGACGGCGAAAACGGCGACGCTCCTCTCGCCCTCGCAGAAGAAGGCGAACCACATCCAGTCGGAGCAGAAGCGCCGCGCCAACATCCGCAGGGGCTACGAGGCCCTCTGCGACACCGTGCCCGCGCTGCGTGAGGCCATCCAGGCGGAAGAGGAGGAGAGCGCCAAGGCGGCCAAGGGAAAACGGCGCTCGCGCGGCAAGTCTGCTGCCGCCGCCGCGGACGACACCGAGAAGATCGACGGGCGGGCGGGGCCCAGGAGCGAGAACGTTGTTCTCTCAAAAAGTATGCGCACTTGCTTTCCCTCATTTCTTCGTTGTGATGCTTACGCGTCTTGCCTGTCTATCTAGCGATCGAGTACATCACGGACCTGCTCGCGGAGCGGGAATCGCTGTTTCAGCGGTTGCAGAACGCGCGGTCCTCTCTCCCGCAAAATCATTTCCTGCTCCTCCCGCAGTCGGGGGGCGAGTTGCCGCTATGGGAACGCAAGTGGACTGGAGGAGAGAACAAGGACGAGGAAGACGAGGAGGATGAGGATGAAGAGTAGTCGCTGTGGACCGTTGATGCGGACTCTTACTTCCGCTCGCAAGCTCCTACTCTCTCTCCCTTCTGCCCTCTGGCATTTGTCACGCTGACGAGGAGGGAAACGTGTCGTGCCACGGAACGACTACGGATCACTGGACGCTTTTTCTCCGTATCCCTGCGTCCGCCACCGGTGTCGATGCACGGGCCAGCCTCGGCCCGACTGGTATTTATCGTCATTTAATGTGTTTTCCTTGCCCGCTTGCTCGTACGATTGTGTGGTGTGTCTACTGTATCAGTCTTGGATAGATAAACTCCCCAGGCTTTAAGCTTGTTGTACTATTTCATTTTTTCCGTTTTCCTTTTTTCCATTTGTACGCACGCGAGCAGATCTGAGAGGTTGAGCCGTTAGGACCGCCTCGAGGTCCGAGTATGTACTTGGTGATCGAGAACAGCATCGAAAGGTAAAGCTAAAACCTTGTTCGCATACCTATTATATGTTTCGGGACATCCGATCTGCCTGGCAGTGACAGTGTCTGTCACGATCAGCAGTTGGGCAGTGCGCGCGTGCCATAGGCTCTTCCTCGTCGTCCTCGGAGCCGACCTGGGCGAGTCTCAAATCTGGGAAAACTTCGGGCGGTCGTAATACGTCGCGCGGCGCGAGAGTCCTATGATTTCATCTCTGCGCTCAGTCACTCAGGCTTGCGCTCTAGATACTCGGACTCTACTTGCATTCATACGCAAATCGTTACGAAAGGATGTCAGGACGCGACAGGGGGCAGGCCGCCAAGAAGCGCAAATATCGCTCTGTGCGTCCACGGGTCACGGCTTGCTATCCTAGCCAAATGGTTAATCTGACACGACCCTTTCTTTTCCTTGCTTGCTTCCGATTCGGTTGTCGCTAGGACGGAACACCGATCTGGTCGCGCGCGTCCATCGACGGGCCGGGCGTCTGGGTGAGCTGCGTGCGGGGGAAAGAGAAGGCGGTGGTCGGCGAGCTGTATGATCTGTTTGAGTCGGTGCGTGTGCGCCGTGCGCGACTCAAGCTTTGTCGTTGACAGCCGCTGACCGCGAACGGTCAAAGATAGCCGGCGATCTGTGGCCTTTGCAGGGCACTCGGGGGTCTGGAGAGGACGATGGTGCGGACGATGGTGGAGGTGGGGATGCGGTCGGGGGCGATGATGCGGACGATCTGGAGGCGCAGATTAAGAAGGAGGTGGCTGCTATCAAGCGGCCGAGGACGGAGCAGCGGTTCGGTGCGTGTGTGATCTTAGATGGCACTGAGTGAAGTCGACTGTTCTTACGTTTCCGATGATGTGTAGCTAATTGTCAGACCAACACTCAATGCGGTGAGCATACACTCTGCCCTTCTGCGACAGAGGCTGGCGCTCCCCAAAGATGCTGATGCATTGGCCCAGTCGTATTCATCTCGTGCAAGCCCCCTGTCGACCCCATCAAACTCGTCACGACGCACGTCGAGAACGTCCGAAGAACCGGTGTGACACACACAAAGTACGCCCCACTCGATGTCCACTGTGCACCGGACCACGGCTCATTCAATCTTTTCAGATACGTTCTGAGGCTGGTGCCCGTAACGGGCTCCTGCGTCGCCAATCTGCCCGAGATCCGCTCTCTTTGCCAACGGACGCTCAGCAAATGGACCGAAGAAAATCCCATACCTAAGGACGAGCCAGACAAAAAGCACCGCGTACGCTCTCTGCGTTCTGACGATGCTGGGAACTGATTTATATTGCATGCATGCATGCATGCGTCATCCACAGTACAAGATCGAGCTACGGATACGGAACCACAACACGGTCCCGCGCATGGACCTCATACAGGCCGTGGCGGGATGCGTGCCCGACAGCTTCCAGGTGGACCTGCACAACCCGGACGTGTTCATACTGATCGAGGTATTCAAGGTGAGACCTGGCTCTTCCTTTTTGCATCGCGTCGTCGGCTGATGTGGTGTCAACGAGGCCGTGTGCGGGGTGAGCATCGTCCGGGATTATTATCGGATGCTGAAGTACAACGTCATGGAGCTGGCGCAGAGCAAGGCGTCCGAGAAGGACGCCGAGGCTGAGACTTCGCGGGTGCAGAGTTCGGGCGCTAAAGTCAAGCAAGCTGAGGTCGCGCAGGCTGAGGCTGGCGGAGAATCCGTTCCGCCATTCGAGGACCCACAAATCGGAGAAGGCACAGTAGAACCTTGAGAGCGTTCATAAGGCAGAGGGAGATGATGGCGAGAAGAGAAAGTGCATATAGCGGATAGGGGTAATAACTTGGTGTTTTAACTCCTACGAGCAACTTCGGTCCGAAACACCCCTTTCGACGTACTCCATCAGGAGACGATCAGCGTGTGGACATAAGGATTCCCCTCGTGTTTGATCCTGCTTCAGAAACGTGACTGTGTTTGCAGAAGGTCTTGTCTGAAAAAGCACCGTCGGTGACTGAAGCTAGTGCCTGGCTTAGACCGTGGTCATGCTGAAGCCGGAAGGTGCGGAGGCGTGTGTTTCAGCCGAGTGCTATTCGTGAAGGTGCAGTGCCTTGTTGGATCGTCAGAGACGTGCAAGCAGTCGTTGGAGGTGTGGTGTGAACAGAAGTCTGCAAGTAAGTAGGCGAAATGAAGCCATCTCCGGCTTGTTGCTGTCATGCAGCACGTGTATTACTGTAAGGCGCCTATTATGGTGCAGCTTCAGGCGGCAGGAGGCCGCGGAACCTGTGATCCTGTGTCTGACCTTCCCCCCCTCTCCAGTCCCTCCTTCCTCTCTTCCACGAACACACAAAACAAAAACTACGAAGAAACATGGACAGGATAGCGACGAGCGAGGATCAAAAGCACGGCTACTCTTGGCACCAGGTAAACAGCCTGGCCATTCACTTGTGCTTTTTCCCAAGTGTGCTGAATACGCGCGTACTTGCAGTCGCATGATCAGGTCTGTCTCTCTGCTGCATTGCGCCTATGCCCTGCTGACCGTTGGGATCCGACAGGCTACCGTGCTGCTGCTCGTTCCGTACGAAACATGGAGGGAGGATGTGCAGGTGAGCGCCTCACCAACAAGACACATGCTCGGACAATAGCAGACCAAGGGCCGCAGGTTGTGATAGAGCGGAACTACTTGCTAGCGGGCGTCAGGGGTCAATCACCGATTGTCAAAGTGCGTCCGCTCCTCCTGCTTGCTCATCCGAAGCGCTGACCACACAACTCGCCGTGCTCGTAGGGCCGTCTTTACGGAAACGTCGACGTCGCCAATTCCGCCTGGCAGCTCGAGCCCCGCAGCCCACGACTCTCCGCCCGCGAGCGCACGACCTCCACTATCTCCTCCACATCGACCACCTCGTCCTATGCCTTTGTCTCGGACCCGGATATATCGAGCAGCTTCGCCGCCTCGCTCGAGAGCGCACAGGCGTCGGACGCTGAGGAGCCTGCCACCGCCGCCTCTCCCGCGCTCTCATCCCCATCCTCAAACCCCGAGGAACGCGTCACCATCGTCTCGCATCTAAGACGACAGCTGGCTGGCGCCTCGGGTGCCGTGTCCCCCGCCGACCCCGCGCGCGCACTCTCGTCGTTCTCCTCGCTCGAGTCGCTGCACTCACAGACGGGCCGCCTGCTCACGCTGCACCTCGAAAAGGAGCAGTCGATCATCTGGCCATCGCTGATTGTCGGCCCGGTTCTCGAAGAGCTCTCTCCCGCTGTGACGATCCCGCAGATCCACGATGAGAATCCCGAAGTCGAGCAAAAGTATAATATGGATCCGACGAGCTTGGTCCTGTGCGCCATCGAGCTGCTCGATATACGGAAGGACAAGGATGAGGCGTTTGAGTGTTTTGCGTGAGTCCTTTTCGTGACGAGTCGTATTGCAAAAGGTGGCTGAAGGCATCGACAGGCGCGCATGGCACCAGGCTCATCTGCCCTCGGCGACGATGAAGCTTATAGCCCAATATCTCCCCCTGCATACATCCATCGACTTTGTCGACCCCGCCGAAGAAAACCAACGAGGAACGGTCTCCTATTGTATCCGCTGTATCGGCGGCTCGACAGGTCTCGGACAGCTCTTCTTCGAAGCCGGCCTGCTCTACCTCGAAGGCATCGCCTCCGTCCTCCTCTCGTCCTCCTACTCCTCCCTCGCATCAATACGCGTCCCACACCACCCTCCACAAGGCGAAGCCGGCTCAGCTACCGGCCGCCGAGACAGGGAGGCCGCGAAACGGTGCTTCGAGCGTGCCAAGGCGCTCAACCCGGCGCTCGAGATCCCGAGCGTCGTGTTCAGCAGCATCTCGGAGACGTCACCGCCCAAGCAGGAGCTCGAGATGCCGTCGATCGAGCTGCACCACTCCCGGTCGGCGAGCGTGTACTCTGGCGAGGCGGAGTCGCTGCCGTCGGAGCCGGAGGTGATTTTGCGGCGGCGGAAGGCGAAGAAGGATGAGCTGCTGTTCATGGACGATGTGCAGCGGCGGGAGGACGCGGACGGCGCGTGGTACGGCTATATGCCGGGCATCGTCGGCGCGGGCACTGCGCTGCTTGTCGTTGGTGTGATCGGCGCGCTCAGTTTCTCGTGGAGGCGGAATCAGGGGTCTTGATTGGATCTCTTTTGTCCTTCCGTCTGCATCACTGGTTGGTATAGTATACGTTTTGGCTATAAGAATCGCTTTCGACGCACGCACGCTTTCGTAGATCTTTTTCTTTGTTGGCTTTGCTTCTCATCATATTTGTATATTTTATACACGCATTGTCATGACTCTCACTGGTGGAACGAAGGACTTTGTAACTTATTGGCTGTTTTCTGAGTGTAGAGCACGAGCTCTCAGCCAGCCGGCTTTGTCGGAGCCGTCGCTTCGGGCAAGTCATACCTTTACCCCTATCATCGAAACAGCACCGCAGAACGCCTCTAATCGTCTTCCATCCACTCCTGCCACCAGCTTCATCTACCAGCCTTCAGCAAAAGCTTATTACACAAGATGCGAAAGACTGCTTGGTCGTCATCTAGCTCAGTCCCATCGGACTTCATCCGCCCCAGCCGGGCCACACCCTCGCCACAGCCGAAAGGCAAGGTGACGAAGGTGGCGAAGACACAGGCGCCTCCACGCAGCAAAGCCATCCGAAAGCTCGAGAGCTATCTGCAGCAGCTGCAGAGTTCCAGCGGAGAAGATAAAGATCCCAAGGGCGGGTGCTTCTGCCAGGGTGAGCACGTCGCCATCCTCCCCGCTCCACCCTCGCACTCGCCCACCGCATCCAACCTTGTGCCAGCATGTGCTGATCTCCCAGTGGGCCAGCCAGGGAACACCAGCTCGCGACGGTGAGCCCGATCTGCCTCGGCTGCGGGCTTGTGACGTGCGAGCTCAACCAGCCGTACTACGCGTGCCCGCACTGCGCACACGCGGCGCTCACACCGGCCCTGCGCGCCAAGCTCGTCGCGGACACGGAGGAGCGCATCGCGCGGACGCTCGCGGACGAGGAGCGCGCGCGCGAGAGAGAGGTCGAGCAGGCGCGCCTCGCCGCGGGCGCGTTCCCCACGCTCGGGGGCGGGGGCGCATCGACGCCGCCGCTGCAGCCGACTTCGACGCTGTACGGGAACGGAGGCGGGCTGCGCCCTCCACCCCAGCAGCAGACGCACAAGGTGCTCTCGCTCAACGCGAAGACGAAGAAGCACACGCTCGCGACGTACTCGGCCTCCCCGTCGCCGTCCCCCTCGCGCCCCGCGTCGCGCGCGGAGAGCGTCGAGGAGGAGCCGCACAGGGTCCCCCCGCCGCTTGCGTCCTGGGAGGCGGGAGGCGGGGGCCTGACGGACTCGGCGAGGCCGTTCAAGAATCCCGACTTTCCGAATCTGAGGTATGTCCCGCCGCCAGCTGCTGAGGGCGCGAAACCGAGCAGACGGAACAAAGGCAAGGGCGGTAACAAGAAGGGTGATTCTAGCGGGCAGGCTGGGCCTTCGACGAGCGGAGGTCAGGGGAGCTGAGGCTCGATGTCATGTACATGTGCTAACCTGCGTATAACTGAGATGCACCTTGTACCTTGCAATAGCTAGACCCGAGCATTAAACTACTTGTACACCTGTATTTCCCAAGAACCAAGGTAGCTGTATACCAGGAGTTTAAACGCTTGTGTCAGACAGAGAAAAGATAGATATATAGTACACATGGGCTATGGACCCAAACGATACATAAGCAAAGCACGAAAGCAGAATCGACAACTTCAGATAGCAGAATAAATGGGGTTATAAAAGATAGGGATCATCGTCATGAGCATCCGCGGGCTCAGCGCCCTCGGAAAGCTGACGGACGAGATCTTGCATCTCCTGGCGAACCTGCAAAATGGCGTGCTCGCGGTCCTCGAGCTCGTCCCGCGCATCCTCGAGCTCATCAGCGACGGCCACCATGTTTCGCTCGGCGCTGTTGTTGAATGGGGTCGGACTATTGGGATCCGCATAATGGGGGCCGAGCTCTGGAGGCGGGGACCGCGGGAGCGGAATCTCGGATGGATTTGATGGGATGATGTCGTTGTGAGGCTGAGGTAATTCCTGGGAATCGAAAAGGACTGTGGGCTGTAAGGGCGAGGCGAGGTCCATGTTTTCCTCCGCGTCCAGTTCTTCGTCCAGTTTGCCGGTCGTTGGATGGTCATACGCACGCTGAAAGTTGGCTCAATATTGTTTTGAGGAACGGTGAGGTGCCGTGACTCACAGGTGAAGCGTATTGAGTCAAGGTTCTAAAAGTCTCCACTTCCATCAAAAGCTCCTTTTCTCTCGTTATGTGTTGGGAACGAGCGTCTTCGAGTTCCCGACGAAGGGCAAAAATCTGCTCTTGAAGTCTGCAAATCCCATAAAATAAACGCAGGGCCGGATGACTGATAATAACATACCGATAGATTTCTTCAGAGGTTCGAGATCCAGCCGCCTCCAATTCGACTTGAAGGCCGTGATTTTGCTCTTGAAGCCTGGCGAAATTTATGAGCTACATGCGGGATTTAACCCGGAGCAGGCCTACCTGGCAAGTTCCTCCTCAACATCTCGAATGTGGTCTGCCGGATTTATTGGCTGTTGGGAGACCTCGGGCTGATGTACTATCCCCATGAGCGCATTGACCGCAGCATTGCGCTCTCTAAGGCTCTGAACGAGTGCCTCCTTCTCGTTCTGGAGGGTCGAAACAACTTCTTTCAGAGAGCGAATTTGTTGGTCCAGATCCCCAACTGTGTCAGCCATATATGGAGCAGGTTTTGCGGGGGTGTGCGTAGATTCCGTGCTATGATAACCCGGGGGATCACGGGAAACGGAGATTGGTGCTTTGGAGGGACCTGCCTCCGTCGCATGGTATGACGAAATGTATTCGGGCTGCGAAGGAGGCACGGAATGGTGTTGGTAATAATGTGGCAGTTGTTGCTCGTTATTGGAAAAATCGGGGTCGTGTCCTGCCTGAGATTCATGTATCCGTGCTTTCTCCAACTACGAGAGACATTAGACAGCAATAGGCCGCAGGAGGGAGAAAACTTACGGATCGGGCGAGCACATGGATATCATTCTCCAGTGTCTTGTTTCGCGCATTGTTCATCTGCAAGATGGCGAGACATTCTTCATCGGACATTCTCGGCAGCGCGCGAGGTTTTCGTTTCGATAACCCGGATCGCTTCGTGGCTTGTGAAACGTCGCAGCCGTGTAATGCACATTGCTCGAGTTCCGCCTCGCGAACAGCCACCTGAGCCTCCAGCTCGCTGACCCGTGTATGGGCGATTTGAGCCTCGTCTAGACGTGCTCTGCGCTCGTGTTCGAGTTCAGCACGGAGACGAGCTACAACGCCTGCTGCATATCCCATCAAATCCTTGTTGAGTTCAGCATTTTGTCTCAGCGGGGTCTCCAGGTCTAGAGGCTCTGAGGAACATGCACCGTCAGATAACGGAAAGGTATATGCTGAAACGATGTACCAGCAAAACTTGAGACCTGCAAGCGACTACATGGCCATGAGCTCAAATTGTTGGATATTTCAACTATGATAAAACAAGTTGAAGCGAAAGGCACCGGTGATTCGGATAATGAGCACACCTTTACGGACCAGCTGTTCCACAGCGTCCTTCAGGTCGTCCTTCTCAGCCTCCAAAACCCTCATAGAGTTCACAGCACGGGCAAAGCGCGTCTTTAGCTTCTCTTTTTCTCGTTGCTCCTCCGATAGTTCAGCCGCATGTTGAGATTGCAATGAGTCCAAGGCATCGAGGGTCGCTAAGAGTCGTGTTTGAGTGTTTGAAGCACGGGCACTGAATGCTTCGAGTTGGGATTCGAGGTAAAGTATCTGTGTAACGAAGAGGCGGGGTAAGAATGTGGGGAAGTACAGCTCTCGGAAACCACCCACTCGCTGGTCCTTCTCGGAGAGTAGAGCTTGTAGATCAAATTCCTGGCCCACTACATTGTGTCTTCGTTGGCCCTGACGTCCCATATGTATGACATACAGTCAGTTGTTTACAGAGGCGGTGAGTTTGTACACGAGGAGGTGTCGCGAGGGGATAGCATGTAGAGTCGGGAGCAAGAGTAAGCTTATCTCAAATTGGACTTCAACCCACTCCGTCGTCGCCGCGGCTGGCGTCGGCGGCCATTTCCTCTTCGGCAAAACCATCATTATCCACAGTGAGACAATCATTTGCTTGCACATTGCTCGCGCCATAAACGTCAAACACTCTAGGCTTGATCTGTCTAGTGACCTTGAGTGGATTTCAGCCTGTCGCCCACTGATATGGAGTGGAACACCTCCTTTCTGGATCCTCAGCATGCACAGACAAGCACCCCTCGTGCGCTGATAATCCTCAATCAGCCCTTTTCATTCTCTCTGTTGGATACGCTATGGAAGTCCTGCTCATGGCATGCCTGTGCCGACGGTGGCTCCAACCGGCTTTACGATGTCCTCAGTAGTCGAGGCGATGATGCGGCCAAGACGTGAGTGCGGCGAGTGAATCTTCGCACCCTCCCAGGCCGACATCATCAGTTACCTCCCCAACATCATCAAGGGCGACTTGGACTCAATACGAGACGATGTGAAGGGGTTCTATGCGGCACTGGTGGGTTTCAATTTCTTTGTTCTCAAAATGTTGAGCTCATTCCTTAGAGCACAGGGCGTGCCAATCGTATGCGATCCCGATCAATATGCGACCGACCTTATGAAATGCATCAAGGCTCTTGAAGAGGTAGAGTCCTCAGAGGGACAGGTAGGTTTCTGGAGTCACATTTCTTCGGCTCATGTTCATTCTAAATGACGCCCTAGCGTTACGATCTCATCCTTCTGGGTGGTCTGACTGGACGATTAGATCAGACCATCCACACTCTGTCTTATCTCCACAAACTGAGGAAGATCCGACCCAAAGTATACGTCGTGACCGACTTTAACGTCGGGTGGGTCCTAGATAAGGTAGGCGAGACCTGATATCCACTCCTCCGGGACGCTCATTTCTCCCAAAAGGGTGAACACCGTATCAGCATCGACCATAAATTCATTGGTCCCACATGCGGTCTCTTGCCAGTCGGTATCTCCTCCGCGGTCATCACGACCACTGGCCTGAAATGGAATCTCAGTGCGCAGGAATTTTGAGCATTCTTGTTATCTCCGTCGCTAATTCCCTAAGCAGCAGAAACGGAGGCCTCGTTCGACGGTCTGATATCTACCTCGAATCATCTACTACCTGAGGAAGATACAGTTGTGGTCAAAACATCTGATCCCATCTGGTGGTGTGCAGAGCTGAAGTCGTCTGAAACGTAAAATGTCTGTAAGATTGCTTATTGTAGTCACTAGATCGCATAGGCTTACATAGATTAGATCCTGTGCAATGACACGCCTTGTCAAACCATAGTCTTAAGCTGTTCCAAACAACCGGAGCCCTGCCATCTTCAATTTCGACCCAATGACTTGCCACAGATTACCGTTCGGTACGTCGCTGCAACAGCGGTAATTGCTGTCGAATGAATTATTCAGCTATAGTTGGTGCTCCACTCCCTTGATCTTCACTGGTCACTCGCCAGCCACCTGAACAGTCAGCACCCCAACACTGAGTTACCAGGAATCTTTCAAACGAGTCATTGGAGCGTAGGTACGCAATGCTTTTCAGCATCTTGACTATTGTCCACGTCATGAAATCGTTCAGTGCGGATCTTCTTTTCATAAATGTGCTTCCTTCCCAAAGAACCGACCTATCAATATGCAGCGTGGATGAACTATAACCGAAAATATATAACAAGAACACATACAAATAGCCTGCTGAACGGTTGTGCCAAAATGATCGATGCGATGCCTAAGAACGTCAGTGGGAAGATTAAGAAGTGAAGGCGGAGCGACCGAAACCGAAGATGAAGCAATAAATGCCTCCTAAACAGACCCTCGATGCAGCCAGTAACCCACGCACATGCGGAAATCGCTTGCCTACTTCATGCATCTGGCCATGCATCATAAAAGAGGCCGTTTTGCCACAACAATACTATCTCATACTTACTCCCAATTTACACCATGGCTTTATCGACATCCTCATTAGTATTGGGCCTCTCTCTCAGTCTACTAATATTCGCTCTCGTGAAGTATTCCCTGAAAAAAGCGTCGCTACCTTTGCCCCCTGGGCCAAGACAGCTTCCTTTCATCGGCGCTGCTCGCCAAATTGACACCTTGAAACCATGGGTTACATATGCGCAATGGGGCGCCAAGTATGGTGAGCACATTCATGCCTATCCGTCATAATCAATCTCCCTAAGCAATTCTCTAGGTGATATCATCAGCTGCAACCTCTTTGGCCAACGTACTGTGGTTTTGAACTCTGAAAAGGCCGCGGATGACCTTCTGGAGCGACGGTCGCGATTTTACTCCGATAGGCCTGCTCACTCCGCCCGCTCTATGTAAGTTGTTCCTCATTGCTGTCAAAACCCTATAGTCACACGCTTTCCAGGGCGGGCTGGGACTTCAATTTCACCTTTGACGGCTACGGAAATGACTGGCGCCTTACTCGGCGGATCTTTCAACAAGCTTTCCGTGAACAGAAAGTTCGTGACTATCAGCCGGCCCAGCTTAATGCCGCCCGTCGCTTAGTCGTGAATATAATGGATGCCCCTGCAGAAAGTGTCTGGGATCTCTTGAGCCTGTAATATATCTCATCTCATACATGTTTTGCACTTATTCTTGGGATGGTCTAGGTGCACCTCATCTGCGATCCTCGCTACAGTCTATGGCTATGAGGTTGACACCCTGGATGATCCGTTCTTCAACATTACTAACCAAGCGTTAACTACTGCAATGCCACTGCTAATTCCCGGAAAGGCACGGATCACAGATGCGTTTCCCTTTGGTACGCTATACTCTCGCTCCTTCTTACTCTCAGTCGGACCTTACACCATTGACCAGTCAAACATCTTCCCACCTTTCTTCCTGGAACATCAGTCGTCCGTGAATCCCTCTTAGCGAGAAAATGGGCAAAACTGTTTTCTGACGTCCCATTTAACTTCGCTATAGACAAAATGGTGATGCAATATGCATTTTCGTATGCTTGGTCTCATGCAGCTCAATGTAGCAATCCGAACAAGCATTCTCCTGCGTTCTTGCGGATGCCATCCGACACGGCAGGGAGAATGATCAGAACTACCCCGAAAGTAACCTCAAGAAAGCCGTCTCCACGGCTTTTGCCGGTGAATAATCCCAGCGTCATAAGCAGCATGTACCGGGTGCTAACTGTGGTGCTTTTCCAGGTGGTGCTGACACGGTGACTGTCTTTCCGCAAGCCATATGAGACCTTGCTGATATTCAATTCAGTCGACGAGCACGCTCCAGTCTCTCGTTATCGCAATGGCACTTAACCCAGCTGTGCAAGAAAAAGCGCACGCCGACCTTGTAGCTGTTGTCGGAATGGATAGACTACCGACATTTGAGGACCAGACATCACTCTCTTACATTGATGCAATAGTCCGAGAAACCATGAGGTGGGGCCCAGTTGTCCCCCTAGGTGTGTGATTCTTTGATACACGGTTAGTATACGCTCACCTCAGAGAAAAGGCGTCAGCCACGCTGTCATGGAAGACGACGTTTACGAGGGATACTTTATCCCTAAAGGCCAGTCTTATCCTGTTTAATATGCAGCATATCCTGACGTGGCATTCAGGTTCAACGATAGTAGCGAATGCATGGTACGCTACTTAACTTACTTTCACTCAAAACGCTGAAGTAACCACTTGCGTGGCCCTCTAGGGCAATGTCTCGCGACCCCCGTCGCTATCCTGACCCAGAGGCTTTTCGTCCAGAAAGATTCTTGACGAAAGAAGGTGCTCTCAGCGACGACGATGTCAGGTGGAGTTTCGGATGGGGCCGGCGCATTTGTCCTGGACGTTACTCGGCCCTCAATGCGATATGGGCGGCCGCAGCTACTATGATGTTCGCATATCGCTTTGAGAAAGCTACGGACGAAAATGGACTCCCCATTGACATAACGCCGGAATGGACTTGTGCACTCGTCAGGTAATGCTAACCATTTCTATTTGTATCGAGTTCCTGGCGCCAAACTTACCCTTTTTTTTATCAGCCGACCTAAGGCGATTCCTGTTCATATAGTTCGAAGGCTTGACAAGGTCAAGTTGGCGCAACTGATTGAGGAAAGTAAACACGAGTGATTAGCGATATACCATGATCTTATGTAAGAGCCAATGTCTTCTCTCGGTATGAAATACCATTGTGTACTAGTACTTTGCTTAACTCGTGCGATCTTTGCATTGCTCTTAGCGTCGAAGCGGTGTTTGCATAGTAAACCATCTTTTTACTAGTAGCTTCTGCGCTTCGTCGAGATACAAAGATCCTCTACTTGACTATGACTTCCACAGGAGTGGGTGTTACCAAAGACTTTATTCAGCTATACCGTCGGATGAAACACAAATGCAGCATCATTATGTTCTCGTCCCTTTATACTCACGCCTCCGAGTTCCGCCTGTTCATGTTTGCGCCGCTATGATTCCCGCCAAGATGTATTACAAGAACGGCGCAAAAGACGGCCTGCGTGCGAATCGCAAAAATCACACAAAATTTTCATTACACTTTCAGCGTCTGAATTTGAACTCTACAAGGGTATGATTAAATCAGGGTAACTTAAACTAAAGTGTACGTTCACCTTGCAATGTCGAAGAAGTTACCCCGTGAGAAATTCTCAGGGACCTCCAGTCACGCATGCCACACTGGTATAGCCTTTGCTTCTGTCGCTGGCCCTCTGTAGCGCATATCCAGTTTGTTCAGTCTTCCATCAAATATTGAATCCGTGACTTTCTCCTCAGCGAGGCTACTAAACGCAGCTGATACTCCCAATCTGGAGCTATGCAGGGTTTTGCCTTGTTCCCTCTTCTTCCTCCGCCAACCGAATCACCTGTGCAGTCTAATTGTAGTATTGCTGTGTCAAACATGATCCCACACACAAGTCAGTAGTGTGATGATGATATCAAGTCATGGCAGATATGGGGAGAACAAAGCTCAAGGAAAGAAGGGGCGGTCATCTGCTCTGCATCAAGACTTCAGATCTTCAGAGCCAAGAATAACACTACATGAGAATTGCGCCGAATACTGGGTGTGGAATTGTTCTCATATCTCGTTGAAGCTCCCGCTCACAACTCTATACTAGTTGGTGCAAGTGAATCCCACTCCGATTGCTCCTAGTATAGATACATCGGAGTGACCCAGTGGTTTGGTGGATGAACGCCGATCAGAGAGAAGATAGGTGCTTTTTGCCAAGCGAAGTAAGTGTCTGCACCAGAAGAACGTATGTCCTACCCGAGGTTATGGAGCTCTATCGAGTGCCACATATTCTCAGGCAGAACATTCAAGTCTTCATTCCCTGATGCTATGGATGAAGTAAGTAATCCACAGCAAACTACAATTTGTAGGCAAGCTCAATTACCACAGGGTACGCTGATTGCGGCATAGCAACTTGGAAGAGGTGTGTTGCATTTAATAGCAGGCATAAAGAGCTGCTTACGCTATTCCACGTTTTTGAACGTTGCTTCTAAGGCTTCTTCACGTTTACAAATATATATTAATAACGCAGACCCTTCTTTTGCCCAACGGGCTTCCACCTCCTCAGCAGCTATATCCGTCTTCACCAACTGACATGCATGTGAACTCACTATCGACTACATCGAGGGCTAAGTTTGCTGTTATCTTTTCACCTGGAGCGTACGCATGCGAGAAGGACCTACCCACTTCGTCCATCATATACACGATAAAAAGAGGCTGTTGCTATATCGCAGTGGTATCGCCCCAAGTAGACCCTGAGCTTACACCATGGCCGCGTTAACATCGCTGCTAGTCGTCCTTCCCCTCAGCCTATTGATATGTGCTCTTGTGAAGTACTCTTTAGTGAGTCTCAGGAGGAAGACATCGCTGCCTTTGCCTCCCGGTCCCAAACAGCTTCCTTTTATTGGTGCTGCTCTGCAAATTGATCCATTGAAGCCATGGGTCACATACGCACAGTGGGGCGCCAAGCATGGTGAGCCTCCCTTCTCTTGATGACATGCTATAGTCACTTAGACCAAACCACTGTCCAGGTGAAATCATCAGCTTCAACTTCTATGGCAATCGTGTCGTGGTATTGAACTCTGAAAGGACTGCAGACGACCTTCTGGAACGACGTTCTCGCATTTATTCTGACAGGCCGCGCCTTTCCACCCGTTTTATGTACGTCATTGGTCATCATCATAGTTTGACCCTATAGTAACATGGATGATATAGGACTGGATGGGACTTTCTTTTCTCGTTTGAACACTATGGAAACGAGTGGCGGCTCATTCGGAGATTATTTCAGCAGTCTTTTCGTGAACAAAAGGTGCCCGACTATCAGCCGGTCCAGCTTAAATCCGCCCGCCATTTGGTCATGAATATGATCGACGCCCCCGCGGAAAGTGTCTGGAACCTTTTGGGCTTGTAATATGGTTTATCCCATGCATGAACCGTGCTGACTCTTGGCGTCTAGGTGTACTTCCTCTGCGATCCTGACCACCGTTTACGGCTACAACGTCAACGGTTTAGGCGATCCATTCTTTCATATCACTGACAAAACGTTGTCTACTGCAATGCCATTGCTAATCCCCGAGAAATCAATGATCGTAGACACGTTACCGTTTGGTATGCCGTGCTTCAACTGCTTCTTGCCCTCTAAGAACTGATATAGCTGGCCTCTGGCAGTAAAATACCTACCAACTTTTCTCCCTGGCACATCAATTGTCCGCGAAGCCTCCGAAGCTAGACAATGGGCAAAGCAGTTTACTGATATTCCATTCAATTTCACTTTGGACAACATAGTCAGATAGCTTGCTTGATTTCCTTGCGCTTTTGTCTCATGCGGCTCAATGTAGCAATCCGACCAGGCATTTACCTGCGTTCTTGCGGATACTATCCGGCACAGTACAGAGAGTGGTCAGAGTTTCCCGGCCAATAGAATCAAGAAATTCGTCTCGACAGCTTTTGTTGGTGAGCGAACTTAACCTTATGAGCCGTATGCACCGGTCGCTAATCACGATTATTCCTTAGGTGGTGCTGATACGGTAAGCGCTCCTTGCTGAATACACAGGACTATGTTGATCCACTGTTGAGTCGTCGAGCGTGCTTCAATCGCTTGTTCTAGCCATGGTGTTTGATCCCACCGTGCAAGAGCGAGCCCAAGCCGACCTTGAGGCTGTCGTCGGAATGGCGAGACTACCAGCGTTTGAGGACCGGAAGTCACTCCCCTATATCGATGCAATCATTCGAGAAGCGATGAGGTGGGGTCCAGTTTTGCCATTAGGTCGGTGGTCCTCAAATGGGGCAATTTGTATGAGATATTAATATTGATGGATCAAAGGGGTCGCCCACGCTGTTACAGAAGACGACGTTTATGAGGGATATTTTATCCCCAAAGGCAAGTATGATCTCTTTGCACATGCAGTCCGTCCTCAAATACTATGCAGGTTCAACAATTGTGGCCAATGCATGGCAAGCTTAGGCAAAGCAACTTTTCCAATAACACCTCAACTCATTTATTTTGGTTTTTTAGGGCAATGTCCCGCGACCCGCATCGCTATCCTGACCCAGAGGCCTTCCGTCCAGAACGGTTCTTGACGAAAGAAGGAACACTCAATGGTGACGACGTTAGGTGGAGCTTTGGATGGGGCAGGCGCATTTGTCCCGGACGTTACTCAGCCTTCAATGCGATATGGGCGGCTGCAGCTACCATGCTGTTCGCGTATCGTTTCGAGAAAGCCAAGGATGAGAATGGTGTCCCCATCGACATTACGCCAGAATGGACGTGTGCCCTCGTGAGGTAAATACGCACAATTCCTATTCATATCTTCATGGATTTCAGTGCACCGGACTCACTTGTCTCTCTCTCCCAGCCGGCCGAAGGCGGTTCCTGTCCACATAGTTCCAAGGTTCGACAAAGTCATATTGGCGCAACTGTTTGAGGAAAGTAAACACGATTGAATGGCCATATCCTATGATATTATGTCTACGTCTTCCCTCTATGTGAAATACCGATGTGTGCTAGTAATTAGTATAAGATAAGTACTCGCGCGATCTTTGCACGAGTCTTTGCGTCAGAGTAATGCTTGCACGGACAAACATACCTTCACAAACGTACTCGAATATTCGTCAAGACACATTTTGCATGTTCGGATACTCTATTATGCTCTCCACAACAGGGGCAAACACAAAGATATTGCTCAGCTTCCGTGGGATGAAGCACAAGTCACGCAGCACGTGCAGTACGAGAGCTCTCGTATCTTTACTCACGCCTCCAAGTCCCGCTTGTACATGTTTGCGCTGCTCCGATTCATGCAGCTCCTTCCAAAATGGGGTTTCCTCCTCGGTTTGTCAGTCCGGCTGATACGTACTGCACCTACTGCACTTGTTTCATCCTCAAGCAGATTACTGAAAACACAAACCGTACGCTGTGGATAATGGATAATGCGCCCATGTTTGGTTCTTGCTGCCGCTCCCCGCGAGGAACCTCCGTGGCGGCTGACAAAGTGACGTAAATTGAAGATGAACGTTTCAGAGATATTTGCGTAGTCCTTGCGTAGTCCTTGCGACGCGGAATTGCTCTGTCATGTTCAAGTCATCTTCAGTGAGTACCTAGTACGACTCTTCGGCCCTTCAGTCTGTAGTATGCTTCCGCTCATCGCGCATATCGTCGTCATGTTGACAGTACAGGCCCCTATCTTCAGATTTGCCGACGTCAAGGGTTCCTCGTAGGAAATCTATGCTTCTTATAGTAACATGCGTGGGCTGCATCATGTAAATCACGTCAAGTCCACCCAATGTTACCGTTCGTCACCGTCGGCCGATTGCCACCTGACTGATGTATGCGGCTTTGGAATTAGGTAGGAGCATCTTTGCAATGGCCCCAATGACCAGTCAGCGCAACCGCCGTATAGGTGATTGTTCTCACCAGCTTGTGGGGATCTTGCAGTATATAAACCCTTTGCTCACCCTTGGACTATTCAGAGCAAAGCTCAAAGCCTCGATTTCCTAACAGCTAGCAAACCGTTCAACCACCATGACGTCTTCGAAAGATTTGCGCATAGCTATTGTCGGCGGAGGCATAGTTGGAGTTGCTTGCGCAGTGAGGCTGCAGCGTGCTGGCCTAAAGGTTGACCTGTTTGAATCCGCGGTGCGTAATTCATGTCATGCAGAACCCAATCGGTCAGTTGCTCATCCGTCTGCAGTCAAAGTTTGGGGAAGTCGGCGCTGGCGTGGGCTTCGGTAAGAGCCCCGTGTCTTGCCTCGTTTGCCATTGCTGAACGGTGGACTAGGTCCAAATGCTATACGCGCCCTCAAGGGTTTGGGCGTGTACGATGCTATGATGGCGAGAACTGGGGAGGAGCTCAACATGGAACCTTTCCAGTATATTTCTGAACAAGAAGGCCATGAGTTGGTATATGACGTAGGTTCTCTTTTGATGAACACGGCTTTGATAATACCTAATAACGGGAATGCTAGCAACCGATCGGTTCGGGCGATGTTGACGTTGGAATGACGATTCATCGGTAAGTTGGCTGACACCCTATATCCTGTCCTGTGTCGAACGTTGATTGTTATAGAGCCGTCTTTCTTGACGCAGTCGTTGGACTTCTTGATGCGGAGCGAACGCACTTCAGCAAGCGACTGGACCGTATCACCCAGTCAGAGGAGCTGGGACACACAGTATCGACACTCCACTTCCAGGACGGGACGACCTTTGAAGCGGACGTCGTGATTGGAGCCGATGGAATCCGGAGTGCTACAAGGGTTGCAGTTGCTGAGCACTCCACTCGAGCTACGTGGTCGAACACGGTAGCTTATCGCGGGCTCATTCCGAGCGAACATATAAGGGAGGTAAATCTCAAGACCGACTTGTTTCGCGGAAAACCGACAAACATACTGGGCGATAATAGGGTAAGATCACTATGTTTCGCACATGCTATTTCCACGACCGGCTCAAGACTGACTTTGTAACGACAGCACCTGATAATTTTCCCAGTCAGCAACAACGAAATTGTAAGTAAATCAGATTATTCTCCGTCATACGGGCATATAACTCTCGCAGGTCAACGTCGTCATCTTCTGTACCGATCGGTCGAAGCCGGCTGGATCAGTCGATGTCCCAGTCCAGGACTGGACTATCCCTGTTGAGAAACAAGAGATCTTTGATGCCTTCAAAGGCTGCGGATCTGACGTTCATAAGATCATCTCGCTGCTCAAAGACCCCAGGAGATGGGCCATTCATCTCCTGGATCCTACCCTATCGAGCTTCGTCCGTGACAATATTGCTTTGGTCGGAGACGCCGCGCATGGCATGTGCCCGCACTTGGGGTCTGGTGCAGGACAAGGCTTCGAAGACGCCCTTGTGATTTGTGAACTTTTGCTTGACCCTCGCACGAACGTTTCCAATGTTCAGGTTGGCACCCCTTCTGATCTCAACATCATAACCATGCTCACTCGTCGAACTTTCTTACCTAGGATGTCTTCAAAGCGTACGACGAGATCAGGCGTCCTCGGGCCAACAAGGTCCTGAAAGCTAGTACCGCGGCCGGCGACTTATACGAGACCTGGAGAGACGTCCCTATAGACGAGTTGAAGACACGTCTCCACGACATGTGGGGTTGGATTTGGTACCACGACCTTCAGGGAGATATCTTGTCTACGGAGAGAAGTCTCGAAGAGAGGGGGGTTTGGCGTGCGTCTGAAAGCGTATGATGGCTCATCAGTATCTGCATCGTAATACTTAGCCATCTAATCAGTCGCAAGTTGCGACAATGAAATGGACATTATTTATTTCGTGTCTTCATCACACTTCGAGCATGAGCAAGGGCTGAAGGTGCCTTTCAGAAACGTGTAATAGTTCCGTGAGAGAGTGCTTATAATAACGACTAATCGCACGCGCTAGCTACGCTAGCCTACTAGATTAGATCTCACAACAACTTGCATGTGCACACGTTTCGTCCGGCCTCCTCTGACCAACCAAAGGTCTGCCTTGGGTTTTGTCAGAACGGCATGCCGCAGATCACTGTTCTATACTTCGCCGCAGCTTCCACAGCGGTGGGTGCCACCGAAGAAATCGTCCAGCTACCGTCCAACGATACACCGTTCCCTTTATCTTCCCTCGCTGGTCATCTTAGTAGCCTGCACCCCAACACTGGCTTAGACAAGATCCTGAAAACGAGTCAGTGGAGCGTCGACGCGGAAATGGTCGAAGACGTGGAGAAGGCGGCTCTCAAGGGAGGAGAGGAAGTAGCGGTCATATGTCCCGTATCAGGAGGTTGAGCCCCAGAAATAGCGCTACACGAGGGCGACGCTAAATACTTAGGTGGGAGCTCACTATCCTCGCATATACACAATATCTTGGAAACTCCCTTACTCACGCTCCTCACGCTCTACCAGCACGATAAATGTCTACTGTCATACCGCTAGCTTTTGCCGTACCTGGTGTCGCTTTGGCACTCATCTATTGCTATCACAACATCCGCCCGCGCCATGCTCATCGCGCAGACCCAGAAATGCTACTCGAATCAAAAGTGCCGGTGCCAGCGTTCAAAGCTCGCAGACTCAATGGCAGCACCTTCCTTATCACCGAGTGGGATGACATATGGAACGAACACCCATACATCTACGCCAAGGTTGTCCCGTCCGCGAACACCATACTCATCCTCGACACTGGGTGCGGAGGCACGACCATGAATTCTTCCATCGGTATCAGGAGTCTCAGAAAGTACCTAGAGACTGTCCCGATCAAGGAAAATCGCAGCCGGGCGCTAAATGAGGGAGCCACCATGAAGTACGTGGTAACGCAAACCCATTGTCATTACGACCACATCTGTACGTCCTTCGGCATTCTAATCGACAATCCGGATATTCATGGCGTGTTGATGTAGTGGGTGCGGAGGCATTTGCAGTCGACAGCCCGATCCTTGCCTCTTCCAACTGTCCAGAATTTGTTTCTCCTGAGAACCTGCCAGCCCATTCGCAGTGCGAAGCACTGAGCATCCGAACGCCGCGATACCCTCTGACCCTCGTTCCCCATCTACACGACATTGTCAGCGGCGACCAGAGGAATCCACTGGGTTCGCCTCTGGGGGTGAAAGTCCTTCATACGCCGGGCCATACGCCAGATGAACTTGTGCTTTGGGACGAGGATGAGGGTATGCTATTTGTCGGGGATACGCTGTATGAGCACGACCCGATTATCTTCCCCAACGAGGGCTCCATCGTTGAATGGTTTTCTACCATGAGCGACCTTACCGCGTTTGCGGAGCTTCATTCGACAAAACGGCCTGCTCAAATTAGCTGCGGGCATGCAACTGCGGGAGGAAATGCAGTGGAGGTTCTTCGAGCGACGAGGAATTTCATGAGGGATATCATCGAGGAAAAGGAGGAGATGAAAAGGCGATTCCTGAAGCGGGGGTTCTGGCACGTGGAATACAGGCAGCGGGGTGGTCGGTTCTCTCTAATCTGTCCTGAGCGACTAGTGTTGGAAGCAAGGAAAGCGCTAATGGAGGGTAAATTGGTAAACTAACCGTCACACCGTGATATTAACACTTACAAAAGAAACATGAGTCTTCTACCTGCTTTTAAGCATATCCTGTTCGAGCTGAGCGAGGAAGTCGTCGGCTGGATTGGCGCCAGAGGGACCGGCAGGCCTGTGTTGTCCACTTTGCTTGTCCTTTGCTTTGGGCTTCGTTTGCTGTTGCTCTAGTGCAGCGAAAGGGTCGAACGGCGCCGTATCAACAGCGGCAGGCTGAGAAGGCTCCGCCGGTTCTGTTGGTGACGCTGATTTGACGTCTCCTCCCTTGACCTTACGCCGCTTCGCCTCCAAAAGTTTCCTCCTCTCCTCGATCTCCCGCTTCCGCTTCTCCATCGCTCGACTCCTCGTCGGTCCAGCCTGCGAGGCCTCTTCTGGCTGCATGCCCTCCACCTCCCCAGGTCGGACGTCGGCGGCCCCCATTTCTTGACGCACTTTCGAGGTTTCCTCGTGTGCAGCTCGGAGCTCTTCTTGCTGCTGTCTGCGCGCCTCTTCGTCCGCTGAGAAGCGATAAAATGCTGCGCCCTTGTCGCGAATCTCTTGAGTGGGATCGTAGCGGGCGGCCAGGGGATTGTCAGCCTCTGCGAACGCGTCTTCGACTTGTTTCACCCGTTCGGCGGTGGGCTCGTACACGGGGAAGAAATTGACGGGGTTGTCTGTAAAATTGACGAGGATGAGCAAGGAAATTATAGGGAGCAAATATTGTCGGCGCTCACGTATTACATCCCTGTACAACATTCATTGTTAGAACATACAGCGTAAAATTAACTAGTGGAGTCACGTACTCGTCATCTGCAACTTCAAACTCAGGATCCTTGGGTAATAGATGTCTTGGAACTTCAGAGCGAGGTGCAGTGCGAATGCGACCAAATTCATCTTCGTATTCGATGGTGGGGTCGTCTTCCTGGTATCGAACGCATTAACGTCATAGTTCGTGTACGGGGGAAAGAGCGCATACCTCTTCATTCGGAGCCTTTGGCACAGTCAAGGACTCATCCACCTCATCGCTGTCAGATTCGTACGCGTCTTCGTCGTATTTTGAGTCGAACTTTGCGGCAGGAGACAGCGTAAGGAGTGTGGTTGTCGGAGAGTATACAGTCACTCACATCAACCAGAAGCGCATCGTACTGCCGCTCGTTCAGCCCCCCAGACTTCCCCTTCCGCAGCTTATCATATATCTTGGCCTTCCGCTCGAGAGCGGCCTGAATGGACTCCTGCGTGACCTTGCTAGCTTCCTCGACTTCGAGATCTCGTGCCGCACGATTCTTGACACCTTTGTTGGCTCGAGTCCAGACGGTCGGTTTCTGTTGTTCATGTGAGTGTGCGATAGAGAAAGAAAATAAGGCTACTGACCTTGTCTGGTCTCTTCACCCCGCCGACAATGGATGTGCTCTCCCCGGCCGCTTTCCGTGCCTTGAGCGTCTCGGTCTGTCGCGCGACTTCAGCCCTCAGATCGAGTAGGCCGCCACCGCTAACACCGTACCCACTCGTCTTCTTCGTAGGAGCCATTCCGGACAGTGTGACGGCTCAGGCAGAGTATGGCGCGAAAGGAGCTTCCAGGGGGAATCCCGGTTGGGCCTTAGGCAAGGTTAAGGCTTGCAGCATCGCCACCACAGACGCGACGCTTTGTCATTTGCAAATTTCGTGATTTGTCAAACACATCCACTCAACATCCACTCAGAGGGCGAAGGCAAACTTTACTCAAAACTTCTAGTCTGCACGAATGAAGATAGAAAGTGGTGGGTTTGAATTGATCGATTTTACAAAACAGTAATTCGAATGACCATTCCCATCCGCCAAAAGCCTTACCACTATGGTATTTCCTACACTATCAGAGTGCCTTGGCAAAACTGTAGTGTGCATGTAAGAGCATGGCGGAGGAATAAAGTCGGGAGGACCTACGTTGCGTCAATTTGTGTTACTTGGGGGAGAGCAATGATGATTTTCCGTCGATAGGCTGCCCTCTCTGTTTGTTGACATGGATTACCCTCAAGATAGATCGTCTCCAGCGTTTCAGTTTTCTTTAGCTGAGGTTCTAAAGCCTGCAGGGAGTCGATCTTGTTGTTATTGAGCTACCGAAGGAGCGTGAGTGAGAGTCTCATCGAGGATCTGCGAGCATACCCATAGTTCTTCAAGCGAGGTGAGGTGTGAGACATTCTCGATCTCAGGGATAAAGTTGTTGCCAACGTCCAAAGTTCGAAGTTGCGGCTGAGGTTGAAGTTCAGAGACGTCTATGCAGAGGATGCATGTGTCTCACGTTATTATCCAGCCCTTCAAGCCTCTCGACGCCGTTGTGGCTCAGATACAACTCTTGAAGGTTAGATAACCCGTCTAAACCTTCGATCTTCTTTATCCGATTCGACTGTATCGACAAAATCTTCAGACTTTTCAAACTGCTGAGGTTCTATGCGAATGCGTGAGTTAATACGCGCTTGCCGTGTCTCGAAGTTTCTAAGGAAGTGGTGGCTAACCTGCAGCTTAGTGATCTTGTTTTTTCCGAGCCATAGCTCTTCCAAATTGACAAGACTGTCCAAGTTTTCTATAAACTGCGACGAGCATGAGACCTCAATACAGACGCAAAGGCCAGCACTGCACTCACCCTGATCCTATTGCCGCCGAGCTCTAAGCTCCTAAGTGTGCGCCCTACGGAATCTAGGCCCGAAATCTTCGAGATTTTATTCTGGACGAAGAACACGGTGTGCAACGAAGAAAGGGACGACAAGCCATCGGGGACTTGTCGAATTAAGTTGAACGATAGATCAAGAACCCTACCGGCGTCAGCTTAGAAGGATGAAGTCTAGGCACCTTTCACGCTTACGAAAGTTTGGACAACTTGTCAATTGCCTGTCCAACATGCTTAACTTTGTTGTCATAAAGATCAAGTTCTTCAAGCTCCGTCAAGAGGGAGAATGTCGCGGGGTCCAGCTCAGATATCTGGTTCTGCCGAAGGCAGAGCTTCTTCAGATGTTTCGCGAAGCGCTCGAGTCGGAGATGGTTCAATGAGCTGATACGCGAGTGGACCAGCTCTAACTCCTACTGCTATGACAAGGGATAGACTCATCGCGACAAGAGAGGGCACGTACCTCTGTGTCATCCGGAAAGTCCGCTAGGGGATCGACATCGCTCTCGAGCTCTTCGCCATCTATGACTTCCTCCTCAGAATCGGTATCGTCTCCGACATCGGTGGGCAGCACTACGCGGGCCGTTGGGCTATCTGAACGTATTCAGCCGTGTCAAGGCGTGAGCGTGGATGAGCCCGACGTACCGCTCAACTACAACGAACTCTTTGTCCTCTGAACCGTTGGTGGAAGCTGCGTCGTTGACATTCTGCTCAGACATTCCGCGGCGTGGTCACTCAAGGAGGTAAGGGAACAGAGCTTATGGTGCACCGGACAGTCCCGAGTATATGACTGGGCAAAGTGAACAATGACTCGAGTCACTGAATACGCGGTAGATGTCAAGGGCAACGTTATCACTTGGTCATGTGTGCGTAATCGTCCGGTGGCGGTGCCTTTCTGGAGCAGGCGCGCGTGGCGCGTGAGAATACACCGACTCCGAACTCCATAACCCACTTGAGAACCCATATGCATAACGTCAAAAACGTTGACCACACCCAATCTCGTTTGTGCCATTCGACCACGCTGAACATTGTCATATTATAGAACAGAAAATACCACATATTCTCTCGGCCCTACCACGAAAGTATAGTTGCGAGGAATGATTCACTTTGTTGAGTACTGATAGTAGAGAATTGACGTGGGGCTCAGGCTCGGTTTGGAGTTATATGGCCGGACAACCTGGCGGAAAATCGCCGGGTCTCTCGTCGCAGGACGGAGACTATCAGTAAGCCCGATCAATGACGACACTCGAAATGACTCATAAACGCCTGCAGGTACGCGAAATGCTCACCAAGGTGCGCTCACATATAATCTTTCGAGGATCGATGGTGGACTTAACGTACATATATGTGGACCCACCTTGCACATACCTCTTCTTCATGACTCTTAAGGTAGCACGATGACCGAGACACCTTTTCAAATATTAATTCCAGACCAGGACCTCGTGCGGCTGCGCGCCAAGCTCGAGCTCACCACTCTTCTCAATGAGGTCGAAGGCGCGGGATGTGACTACGGTGCGCCCATATCTGACATACGCCGCCTCGTTGACAAGTGGAAGAACGGATACGATTGGCGCAAGCATGAGGCCGCACTCAACGCCGAGTTGCCCCAGTACACACGCGACATTTCCCGGGTCGACGGATTTGGCTCACTCAACATTCACTATGTACACAAGAAGAGCGATTGCTCGGGTGCAATCCCGCTGCTCTTTGTTCATGGCTGTAGGTTTCTTCTTTTAGCTACGCTCAAATGTCAGTTTTTTTTCTTTACCTTGTTGATTGTTTGCACAGAGCCTGGTTCCTTCATCGAAGTCCGCAAGATTCTACCTCTCTTGACAGAGACTTCAATTGAGCACCCTAGCTTCCGCGTTGCAACCTTTAATGTCCCTGGTTTTGGTTTCTCTGAGCCTGTCCTAAAGCCAGGATTTCGCAAACCTCAGTATGCCGAGGTTCGTCCTTGTTTGCCTTCGATTATTATGGCATCCCAACGTCATGTTTTTCTTAGCTGGGGAACAAATTAATGGTCTCCTTGGGATATAACGAATATGGCGAGTCTCTATCCAATATCCGTGTTTCCAACCACGTCTAAAGGATGCATCCGTAGTCACTCAAGGTGGAAACTGGGGTCAAGCCATTAGTCTGCCTGCACTCAATTTTCCGTCTGTATCGCATTTCTAAACATTTAGTAGATAACCCGCCAAATTGGGGAAATGTACGGTCCCAAGCACGCCAAGGCATGGCACACAAACTTTCCTATGTTCGTTTCTTATTATCAATCATCTCAGATGTTTATGTCTGACACTGTTTAACAGCATGGCCTCTCAGCCTTCGCCCATCTGAAATCCCTTCTCTTTTTTGAGTCTCCTCACCGCCATGTTTCTGTCGTGGCCTAGCTGAGAGAAATCGGAACTCGAACGCATACACTGGTTTACTGAGAAAGGCTCTGGCTATTCCGCTGAGCAGCGCATGCCCTCAAACTTTGGGATATTCTCTCACGGACAGTCCAGTCGGCCTTCGTGGATTTATGGGAAACTGCACGTCTGGACAGACTCTTGCCCTTGGACTGATGATGAAGGTGTGTGGGATATCGTTGTCTTTGAGCGATAATGCCGGTACTCATGCTAGCTTGACCCCAGCTCTAATGTAGGTCTCCATAGACTACTTCTCTCGCAGTGGATCTGTAGCGTCACTTTGCATCTACTATGAAGTAGCGGATGTAGGAATGGCCCCCGCATTTTGTAAAAGATTCTGCACCATTCCGAAGGGTGCATCATACATTCCGAAGGAGTTGGCACCAGTTCTTCCATCGTATGTCTTTCACATACCTACTGAAATCTTATAACTAACTAGTACTGTAATATCTTCCAGCTGGGTGCGTCGTGAGAACAATGTCGTTTTCGAGAGCATGCGTGAAAGCGGTGGGCATTTTGCCGCGCACGAGAAACCCGCGGAGCTGGTCGGAGACCTTCGCAGGATGTTTGGAAAAACAGGCCTGCATTCGGTGTCGTTCCAGGAAGGACGGGGTACGCCTAGGCTGCTTGTAGAAGACACGTCGTGGGAATGGACATGCTGTGACTGACGACCCTGACCTATCGCACCATAGTTTACACGTTTTGTTTCCATGATAATACTTCCACAGTGAATGAGCGGACCAACAATCAATGTATAAATGAGCTAGAAAATATCCCTGAGATGGGCACGTCGAGCCGTTATTTACGTCAGGTATAAGCTTTTCTGCTCCCAAAAATCATGCACAGTGGGTAGACGGATACCTCGAAAAAAAAATTGGATCGCGTTAGGTCGTGTTCTCACGCGCAGTACGCGTGCCTACTCGTTTGTTTCACCGTCCTTAGGCCAACTATAGTATGACACTTGCCACAAATTACTCAAGTCCGACTCAGCCGGAACGTTACCGTTCCAAAGGTGGGCGGGTTTTTTTTGCAAAGCAAACGCGCAGGAGATATTACCGATTCTAGGCGACAAGTATCTCAGCAGTACCATTTCACGGCTTTTACAGTTGGCCTTGTATATTTCTCAGGATGAAACTACATGTTACGTTCCACTTCACTGACTCGAGCCGTTTGCAAATACGATAGGCATATCCCGTCCTTCCAGGGACAATACCGAAGACAGGTCCTTGTTTCCCGAACATCTTGTGCAGGTCTCCAACCAGCTCTACCATCACTAAATGGGCGGACCAAATATAAGTACATGAGCAGTAGTAGAATCAGTTATAACTGACACCGTACCTTAATGATATTTCGAATCTCCAGCACGAGTGGAGCGTAAAGTCCGTTTTTAACATATGGGAAATCAGACCAAAATCAGACGGTGAAATGGTCAGATCAGGGATGATATTATAACATTGATAGCTATCTTACCGCTGACGGAGCCTGCATGATAATTACATGATAAGAACGGCTGGTGATTTATGCCGCATGATAAAAACTCACACCATATGATGAGGACTTGCAATCTCGCCCATGATTCCAATGACAAGACATTCATTGTGAACATTATATAGTACAGCATGTAGCATTAATCGAGGTTATAACAATGAACGAGGTAAATACACGATAGCAGCAACGATTCACGAGAGCAGGGACACAAGAGCAGCAGCATGAGAGCAGCAGCAGCAGACGAGAGCAGGAAGTCTGAGCAGAGACGCAGAGCTTATAGACCGTGAAGCCGACAGTCGGAAGGGAGCAGGAAATAAAAACATACGTTTGGGGGAACACAGGCCCAGGACAAACGATCTCGGGGAAGAGAGGAGACATGAGCGAAATGACGCAGTGATACACTGATATAACATACCTAGTTGCCAGTCCTCTCCACCGGTGGTTTTCCCTCTGTACTGATCCTGATACTCTTTGCCCTGGTTCGAGTGGCAGGCTTTGGCACCGGCGCCGGATCTTCTTCAATTGAGGAGAGTTCGGACTTGACAGCGCTCGCTGGTGCCTTGCTACCGGAGGACGTGATCACGTTCTTGGTGCGCTGAGTCGGCTAGGGGTTGGCGACGTTGACCGCACTGTGCAGGTTGGATGACAAGGGTGTTTGAGCCAGAGGTGGATGGCGGTTTTGGAGGAGAGCGAGTGGAGGGGCAAGAGGACGAGAAAACGAACGAATTGAGGCGTCGAGACGACGACTAGTAGGTATATCGTACGGGAATAAACTACGTGTATCGAATACGAACAGAGGCTGATGTACTGTATAGTTAGACGGAATCTTGCGACGTAATCACGTGATGGCGCCTCTCGCGCGTCACTTACAACACGCCCACTCGGTGCAAAGATGACGGAGAAAGAAATATAGAATAAATACAGACAACGTAAAAATAAACTCGCCCACTGAAACGGCGAACAGAGAGAAAATAACACGAGATAAGAAACGCACCAAAAATACGATAACACAGATCCACTACAATCCAGCAAACCAACCCAGGCTTCAAGCATGCACAGGTACCCGGTCCCTCTATTCCGCGACACATAGGTCGCATTCACTTTGGGCCCAAAAACTCCGACGGCGTCAATGAGTGGACGTTTTATTATGTGAACATGTATGTCTTCGAAGTCTCTTCTATTCTAGAAACTAACCTAACATTACTTTAGTTTCGTCGATAGAGATATGTTCATGCGTGTCCGAGGCGGTGCGATCGGTCACGATTTGCCCCCATACTAAACCGGAACATTCTGGATGCCGCCTCCATGATTCCCGAGGCCGAGGAATACGAGCTACCAACCGATTCGGATCAAGACAGCGACAATGAGGAGGGAGACAGTGATGAGGAAACAGACGGGCACGAGAGCGGTGATACCAGCGATGAAGAAGGAGACACAGCAGAGCTTGCTGAGGCAGAGACTGCAGCACGTACGGATGATGGGCTTTTTTTGGGTGAAGACGAGGCTCTCACCAACGCAACCGGGTTCGCATCATTGTAAAGGTCAGCGGGTATTCAAATATCTACCGTTTGTATTGTTTGTTAGTGTTCGTGTCTACCTAAAGCGGTGGCTGCCATATGCAGTTGAAGTTATCGCTCAATGATAATTTTGTTTCTGAGATGGTCTACGTATTTTATATTCGACTAACAAATGTACGAGCAAGATCATCAATTTTGATCAATGGTAAAGTGTCCGTGACATGGTGTTCGGCCGAAATTCACTGCCACACCGTAACGATATGTTAACCCAATGGGAATGCGTCACCATTCGTGATCATGCAAAACTGTCTCGACGACGATATTATAACGGTGATCACTCGGTATAACGGTCAAACTTTTCCCACCCATTTAGTGATGACAGGCTTCTCCCACGCCGCAAAATGCCCACCGCTTTCACAGTGTATGCTCTCGAAGATGACACTGTTCTCACGGCGCACCCAACTTTGTGTATGGTCGCTGTATGTGCAAATGAACACTGAGTCCACTGGATCATGCGAGGAGTGTGCATCACCGGAAAGAACTTGAATGGTTGTATGGATACAGCGCTGTAGAATCCCTCGAAGGAGTCTAAGTATCCGATTTCTTGGACTTTATTCCGATGACCTAAGGTTATGGTTTGAAAAACATTAATTTGACGATTACTTCTGCCAGAGTTATTGAACAGGAAGATCGGCCCGATGTGACGTCGGGAATTCTCTCGCCCTCCGAACAAAGTCGTTCGTTCATCTCCGTGAATCGGACTTTCAAAGTCAGCCCACGCTAATAGCCCTATGTAAAACCACGTTGCGTCAACCACGCTTTTTCCACTGCCAAGGTATCGATCGCAGCGATCGGCGGTTTGATTTTCCCAAACGTCAGCGCTTGACATGACATTTCGATCGATCCGATCGTCTGTCGTTTGTTGCATTGCGTACGATGAGTGCTTCATTAGGAGTGTCCATTATTATACGACTACAGTGTGGATTATTCGTTGTGGTGCAACGGCGAGCAGAAAGTACGAAAGAAAGAAAGAACGGCAGAAAAAAGCAAGTCCGTGAGGATGAGACGATGAGATGAGGTGATGATGAGAGTGGAACCGAAACGAGAGCAGTATAATTTATGTAACAGGCGCAAAAAGAGAGGAGAATGCTAACCCAAGGAATGCGTCGAGAGCAAAGAAAGAAATATATGCGGTAGAATGGTCCGATCGCTCAGCGCGCTGCAGCTGCTGGCCGGCCAAATTTGGACGAAGATCGCGAAGCGTCGGCAGTCCTGTCGCGCTCGAACGAAGCGGGCGTGACCACGTTCGTTAAAGGCGAGTGGTTCATCGGAGAATGCGACGGCATGTAGGGGTGGTACAAGTTGGGCCGCGAGCCGCTCATCGGGAACTCCTCGTAGGATGATCGGTGCGCATTTGATAAGGGCGATCCAGGGTAGAATGAGTTTGGGTCCGGCGGGGCATGCTGCAGACGATGATCACCCCGCCCATGCGATCGTTGGTAACCGCCAGGCCCCTGCGGATACTGGACCGCGTCGACACCAGGCCCTCCAAGAGAAGACGCTTGCCGCACGTCGCTTTCCATGCCTGCAGAACCGTTGCGCACGTGCATGTCGCTTCCTGAGAACGAGCCTACGGAAGAAACGGAGGGAAATGAAGACGGGGTGTCGTACCCATTATGTCGCATTCCGTGACTGGGGCTTGGCACCGGGATAGGATCTGAGGCAGGTGGGAGTGAACCTGCCCTTCCGACGTTGCTACTGCTCATAGCGCTCAATGCCCTCTCCTTCTTCTTCCGCTGCCCCGTCGGGGCGGTGCCCTCCTTTTTCGCTCGAGAACGGGCAAACCGCAACCCACATCTAAAAATGTACATACTTAATGAACGATCGTGATGGATGGCAGCTGCGGAATGTACGTACGCATTGCACAACTCCTTCTTGCCGCTGGGCCCTTTTCTCCATTCCGGGCTCTGCGTCGCTTTGCAGCTGGTACACTGCAAGACACCAACGGGCCGGTTATTCATACGAACCGAGGGTTCCCGCCCAGATCCAGGGCTTACGCGGCGTCTTGTAGGAGGCACAGGGGTATCGTCAGGCCCGGCCGTTTGCGAAATGTCATCTACACTTTGATGTGGGCGAGCATATTCCGGGCTGGTGGGGCGGTGTCCCATGGGAGAGTCCCTGGAGCTGCCATCAAAGGGAGGATACGCAGGAGCATCGAGAGCTGGAAAGTAATTTGGCTCTTTTGGAGCAGACGCGGCCAAAGCTCCTAAAGATGTCGACTGAGAAGGGCTGCCAGGAGTGTACCGACTGTACTGTGCGAGAGAGCTGGAGGGAGTTTCGTTCTGTGTATACCAGGAATCCGTAGAATACTGAGATGGGGCAGAGTTAGGCACGTAGGTAACATAGCGAGATGTGGAAGGCGGAGCTGGAGAGGCGATATGGGTAATACCATATTGGTTGGCGGCGATTTCATGTTGATATTGATTTGACGGACGTAAAGTCTCGGGATGTCTGTAGAGCGCTGAGTTATACGAAGTAGAAGCGCGGCCTGGCATCTCTATGGCGTGACAAGCAAACATAATCGAGCCTGTTGGGTAAGAAGACTTAGCGTGACCCGTGATGACGTCAAGACGAAGTTCATACCATGCAGCGTGAACACGCTGTCCACCATACCCGGAATTCCGGGCATGGGTTCGCAGAGCCGCCAGCGCCTCGTACAGCTAGTCTTGGCGTTGTTATGTATGCTCGGCTGCACCATGTCGACTCGTCGCGAGAAGTCCCTCTCAGACTCCCTTGACACAGCATCCGAAAAGGGCTCTGGGGGCCAAGTGAGCATGAGATTGTTCCCGGGCTGACTGGACAATATTTGGAACACCCTGCTCGGGTTTGTCCTAGGACGCGGTAGATGCTGCTGTAACCGGTGGTACAAGAGATTGATCTGCTCAAGGGCCATGTACGGTGTCCCACACCAGTTGGTCCACGGAGTCTTGCGGCGTTCGTTGTTGTCATCGTCGCCCAGATCTATAGCCGCATGTATAAAACATAAAACCAACCCTTCTGCCGCCCAACTCGTGACAATGTCAACGGCCATATAGTCGGCGTCGAGAACGATCTTCACTGCTTGGGACCAGGCGGGCGGAGGACCGCGATAGCCAAGTTCCCTTCGTACCCGCGATAGTCGACAGAATCTCACCCTGTCAAGCGTGTCAATTTGGAATTCTTGTAGAGGGTAAATGAGACGCCACCTAGTGATGCTGCCGTTGTCTTCCAGTGCACGTCTCAAGTCTGCACGCGCGGAGGCGCGCTCCTCGTGGTGAACGTATTCCAGGACCTCCCTACCGATCAAGGCGTCCGCCTGCTCTGCGAGATGGCTGGCCAGCACGGGGTCTGCGTAGATGATCCTTAAGTCCGTCGTGAGCAGCGTCCAATCTATCAAGGATAGGGCATCAGTCACTATCGCGCCATTGAGTGCAAGCAGTTGGGTTGGGAGGGAGGGACGTGGCATGGTCAAGGTAGCCGCCCATAGATGCGGGGAACGAAAGGGGCACTTACAGCAACGAGTCTCGCCAACTTTGGGCAGTGGGGGAGGTGTCTGGCCGGCGGCGTACATTGGCGCGGGTGCTGGAGGACCGGGCATGGATAGGGAATGCTGTTGTTGGTGTTCGCCGCCAAAGGACGAAAGGGGTACATTGGACCTGTCGGGCTGGTTGTGTAGGGTGGAGAAGCCGGCCATATCCTCCTGTGCGGCATGATCCATGCCTCGTTGCGACGGCACGAGGAAGCTCATGGCTAGAAGAGGATGATGGAACGGGACCCGAGTGAACGACCAATTATAGGATACAGTATATTGTACACAGGCGCTGCGTGTCGCGGCTGGCTTTACAATATGGAGGAAATTAAGAGGGCAGCAAGGTAGATCGACGCTGTCGACTGGAGCACAAGTGATTGATGGGGAAAGGGAACGGCGGGGGCAGAGGAAGGGAGGACTCTGGAGAGCTGGAGGGCGGGGGGTGGTTCAAGGCAACCAACGATATGGCAGAAATCAGAGCGCCAGGTTCACCTTTCGCGTTTAGTCCAAAATCGGTCTAAATATTTGCGCCATTAAATCAGAACTCAGACACCCGACCAATATTCGCCCTAGCATCCGTATAATCCGAATTTATAGCTATTGCTACGTATCCTTCATTTGTTGCCTCACGTTGCCCTGAGGGCGTGTCATGAGCGCGTCTCCACTGTCGGAAGGGCGATTACACTATCGAGGCTTGTTATGGCGGTGCCGACACGGAGGTGCGGACGGCGGGAAGCCTACTCCGATCACTTGAGATCCGGCTGCAGATCAGTGTGGAAGCATCCTCCAATTTTCCCCGCGCACACTCTTAGTCTACGTAGCTTATGTCGCCCGCTCACTTTCAGGCGATTCCTAGTAGTCATCAGCCATGACTTGGCCGATGAGAAACATTGTACTACTGTACGATCTCTCGGCTAACAACACGGATTCTGACTAAAACGACCCCCACCGGAATGAGGACAAATGCAGATCTCGCACTGCCAGCGAGCCTCGGTTAGTTACGGCACTTGTTTGTCGCAGTTTACCCCGGGCCCTTCTCTTGGTCCCTGAGCTCGATCTTCCCTGGAGGAATCTCAGTACTGTTATGCCTGTCCCCACCCGAGTGCAAGCCGAGAAGAACATCTGGATAGCCGCAGGCGACGGTGACCTCGCTCGAGTCCAAGTGCGTGCGCGCGCCACACTCCCATCTCTCTCAACGTGTTGACCAGGACGGTCCCACTGCCAGGCACTCGTGGAAAATCAATGTCAGTCTTTCTGTTATGAGCGCTTGATCGCATTACCTACAGTTTTTGGTATCTGCCTCCCTCTGCAGCGGTCTCACCAAACGCCCCTGATGCATTCACGTACACGCCCATGCACGCTGCTGCATCATATGGCCAACTTGAGGTCCTCGAGTACTTGGTCTCCCATGGTACGTGCTGACGCACATCTCGCTTAGCATCCTTCACGACATATTCGCAGGGGGCGATGTGAACGTTGTCGATGGCGATGGTGATACGCCACTGTACACCGTGGAAAATATCGAGACCGCCCAGTGGCTGGTAGACCACGGTGCGGTGGTGGATCGTCGCAACCACGAAAACATATCAGTAAGCTCGTGTCAACACCGGAGACAGCGTGTGTGCTCAAAGAGCTCTCCCAAGCCAACAGAGCATCTGGAAGAGGACTTCCCCGATGTGGCGGCCCACCTGCGCGCGATCGTTAACCCGTCCGGCGCGACCGGAGTCGCATCTACTGCGCAGCCCTCTCAACACCAGCAAAACTCGGCATCAGAGCAGCTCACGTCGTCGCTGATGCAGTCCGTGCAGGAGATCATGGAGCGCGCAGAGTCCGATGGCCACGATCCCGACGAGGAGCTGAGGCAGGCCGTGACCAGGACCGTCTTTCAAGGTGTACAGACTGGCTTCGATATGTCTGTCGACGCTAATGCTTCCGACGATCACAACGGAGACGGAGATAGCGCAGCCAAGAGGCCAAGGACCGACGGGAGTTAGGTTGGGCTGGGCTGGACATACTGAGAGTTTTACGTGTCTCTTGAAATCTGATGGATTGTCAGTGTAACTTGGCGCCCCAGTCAACGGTGGTGGTCGCCTTTAACGTTGCTCAAGAGCTTGAGGGAGTGAGCGCGTATAGCTCGCGGTAGTTTTCGGGCGCAAACGATGTCGTTGATTCGTTCACCGTCGGTCTCTCAACGTCATTTGATCACGATCTCTTATGATCATGATCGTAGTCGATCAGTTAAACGCTGTCATTCCTTGTCATTCCGTCCAGGTACCGATCTTTGTCTTAAACTTAGAACTATTACTACCACGACTCTACTGAAGGGAATTAACACCTGTTAAGTCTGTCCAGATATTTCAAGTTCTTGGTTTCTACATGGATGATAGCATGTTTTCGTATGCGTATAACCTGAGAAGATTGGTGGTTTTACGCATTATCACCTTGGCTTGAGTTTGCATCAGGCGTTGTTGTGAAGAGGGGAATGCACGCTTTGTAGTCATGGTGAAATTGCAACTGCAAGTTGTAATTTGGTTGTAATATTGCTGACATTGACGCAATCTAACCGAAAGTGTTGTAAACGTCAATCAGATTTTCGAGGAAAAATGAAAGCAATCAAGTCGAACACGAAGGATCTGTTCACCATAGCTGCGGAACGAAGGCCATTGTCGGATATAAGCGCACAGAATAAGACTGCAGTGTGGTGGCTGTGCTCCGCTCGATCCATCGCGACTCGGAACTCTTGATTGAAACCTTGGCCCTACACCTACTGTACATACTAGCCCCGCACCGCTGCAGGCGCCCCCTCCCTCCCTCGTTCAAACAATGGGCGACTATGCGACCTTTGCCGCCTTCGTCACACACGACGATATCGCCCGCGTCTCATCGCAAACCGCCGCGCCACGCTCGAATTCACTGGCAGGCGAGAGCGCGGCGATGCGCGCGTTCCAGGAGACGCGCGAGCACGGGTACGACTACGTCTGTGTGCCGCTGACGCGGCCGGCGTGGCACGAGCGGTGGAAGCGGATGTGTGTGGAGAATGCGGGCGATGTGGATGGGGGCGGGGAGGGCGATCGGGGTGGTTTCAAGGAGGAGGAGTGGGAAGGCGAGGGGGAGAGGGAGGCGGAGGGGGAGAAGGAGAAGGCGAGGCGGGACCAGCATGCTGCTGTTGAGGCGGAGGCGGAGATGTGGAGGAAGCAGCCACATTTTTTGCACGACGAGGTGACGATGACGCGGCTGGGTGAGTGCGGTGCGGTTCTGTGTGCTATCGGTGTTTGCTCATCCGTAGAGACGTCGTGCAGATGAGGCCGAAGGTGTGATCGGTGTGGTGTCGGACTGGCTCACGCTTGATTCGTCGGACGATTGGGTGCGGCACGATTCCGAGATCGTGCGTCTGTCTCCTCCCGGCCCTGTCCTGCGATCGCGAATCGAGGGCGCGTCGTTCGCGAACACGCATACTCACGCATGAGATACGCACACAGGCTCTACACCAGGAGATCGCGTACGCGTCCTACCTGAACATCCAGACCGTCGTGCTGCCCCCTCCGCGCAACCGCGAGCACGTCGCGTCCTACGCGCGCGCCGTGAACGAGTGCCTCAAGCGCGTGTCCTACATGAAGTTCTCCGTCCAGCTCCCCATCTACGATCCCGCCGCGTTCCAGCAAAAGGAGACACCTCGTCTGCGGTCGGGGAGCACCGTGACGCTCGCCTCGACGCTGTCCGAGACACCGCCGTCGACGCCGCGGCTGCTCATCCCCGGAAACGATTTCCCGCTCAGGCCCAAAAAGACGAGGGCGTCGGAGAGAGAGCTGAACGCGACGTGGGAGATGTGGGACGTGATTCGCTCGGTGTGCGATTACAGCCCTCGTCTGACGCTCAGTATGTCGTCTTCTTATCTTGAGCAGCTGCGAGGGCCACATTGACGATGATTTGGTGTCAAGCACTCGACCTTGCGCCTCCGTTACCGCTCAACCCGACCCTGCTGGGCAGGTGGTCGGCAGAGCCCGTGCAGAACGTTCTTCTTCCTACTTCGACTTTTATCGCGAACGCGAAGGGATACCCGGTGTTGCCGAAAGGCACGCAAACGTTTCTCAAGGATAATATGAAAGTGAGTCAACCCTTAGTCGAAGCGCCGTGATCCGTCACTCATGGTTATCTAGCATCGTCCAACTGTCCTTCTCTCCGGCACTAAACTTGGATTGCACGGGAAGGGGGGTGAGGCAGCGTATGCGCAGTACGTACGCCATCTGGAGAAGACGAGTCCGATCGCGCAGGCGTCCCGGAAAGCTGGGAGTGTGGAGAACTTTGCTCAGGGATACCAGGATTTCCTCCAAGCTCCGCTGCAGGTAATATGTGGAGTTTCATCGAGCATCTGCACCCTCACTGATACGTGCTTACGTAGCCATTGATGGACAACCTGCAGAGTGCAACGTACGAAACCTTTGAACAATGCCCTGTCAAGTACATCAACTACGAAGAAGTAAGTTTGGAACTTCAATACGTTCGCCGCGTTGACCTCGCCCACAGGCTATATGCAGAGCGCTGCTGGACTGGCCCGAGTCTGATCGCATGTAGGTAACCATCGGATTATCGGCATCGCTCTAAGACGCGCCCTCAGTGTGATATGTGTAGCAGGTGCGGGCCGCGGGCCACTCGTAGCGCGCAGTCTGAAGGCCATCGAGCGCTCGCGGAGAACGGCGCACATCATCGCGGTCGAGAAGAACCCAAACGCATACGTGACGTCCGTCAAGTTTCCATTTTTGCTGCCTACGTTAAAAGCTGAATTGTACCTCTAGGCTGCAAGACCGACAGCGGAGAGAATGGGGCGCCTCTGTGCAGCTCGTGTATGGGGATATGCGCCAAATAACGGTTCCGGAGCAGGCGGACATTTTGGTCAGCGAGCTGCTGGGGTCCTTTGGCGATAACGAGCTGAGCCCAGAGTGCCTGGACGGCGCCATGCGATTTCTGAAACGTGGGTGTTCTTCTTCTTAGGCAACGAGGGGAGAGCCGCCAGGAAAGCTTACGTTTATTTCGCAGCTGATGGAATATCGATACCCTCGTCGTATACGGCGCATCTGGCACCGTTGTCGTCGACGAAACTATACAATGAGGCAAGGCAGGGCGGCGAGCTCAAGTCGCTGGAGACACCCTATGTAGTCATGTTCCAGAACGTGAATGTGCTCAGCGGGAATGGCGGCGGACTCCGAGGGAAATGCGGGCCGGCGATACAGGAATGCTGGACGTTTGAGCATCCCCGGAAAGACGCGACGCTGGATGAGCGAGGTGAGCATGTTGACATTTCGTTGGAATTGATTCTGATTTCTTTGGCGCGTTGTGGAAAGGACTTCCTCCGACCAACAGCCATAACATTAGGGCGGCTAACTTGTCTTTTTATATCCCGCATGCAGGGATTCTTCATGGCCTCGCTGGCTATTTTGAGGCCGTGTTATATGGCAACATTGGGCTGAGCATACATCCCCAGCGTAAAGATCAAATATCTAAAGATATGCTCAGCTGGTTCCCCTTGTTCTTTCCATTCAAAGTAAGCCGCCGCATGCCCTGGTTTCCCTCCGACGCTAATTGCGTAACAATCACCAGGAGCCGCTGTACCTTCCCAGCAACTCGGAGCTGCAGGTGTCGATCTGGCGGCTGACGAACGAGCGGCAGGTGTGGTACGAGTGGTACGCGGAGTCGTTTCTGCCGGTGCTGAACGTCGCGCCGCGCGCGGGCGACCCTGTGCTGGAGACGGTGTCGGCGTCCGCGTCGACGGCGTCTTTCTTCGCTTCGCCGACGACGCATGTGGCTGTGCCGAGTCCGCTTATTGACGCGATCGATCCTGCGTCGCCGCCGTTTTTTGTGCGGGAGGATGAGGAGGCGGCTAAGTATGGGGCGGTGAAGGTTGGGCAGAGTGCGTTGCATAATGCCGGGGGGAGGAGTAGTTGGATTGGGTTGTAGGGGCACTGTGCAGGGATTTTGTGGTCTTGTGCAGTGAAGCATATGCGTTAGGGACAGGGACCGGACGGAGCGGATTTAAATTGGCGGTGGCGGGTAGAGATTGGCATCGCTGGAAATAGGTTTCCTTTGGTGATAAAAATAGGTGGCTGAGCTGCTGGAGAGTCTAGGCATTCCATCGTGTGTGGTAGAGCTGTAGCATGCAAATGTGAAGAGGAATGCCTTAAGTTCACAACGCATTGCTTGGCCGTGTCTCGAGAAGTCATTCAGAAGCAGCGCGTATCAAGATCGCTCCACGAAATTGTGGTATTTCGGCAGGGTGATATTGGCATCGGAAGCTTGGCTTGTCTGGCAGCCAATAGACTTGCAATCACCTCGCTGGTCTATCTTTGTCTCGCCATACAGCTTCAAACTCCGACACTCCTTTATACCATCACGCGTTGTCAACCCCTTCGTTTCTTCCATCGACTCTCCTCTTCTCCGCAGTACCCCTGCTATAAAGCCCATAACACAAATTCAACGTCTCTCGTTACACCGCCGCTCTTTATACATAATGAAGTTCTTCGTCACCGCAGCTGCCTTGGTTTCCCTCGTCCCCGCCATTCTCGCCGCGACTATCAACACCCCGTAAGTTTTTGGAGCTATGTGCTGGCTCTATCTCCGAAACTTATCGCCTTTCAATTTTAGGACTAATGTCGTCGAGTGCGGTAAGGAGCCCTTCTCATTCCAATAGCTCCTAAACTCACGGTCTCTTGCAGAGCCCATCCAGTTCACCTGGACTGGCGGCCAGGCTCCCTACTACCTCTCGCTCATCCCCGCCGGTCAGCCCAGCGCCAACCCTGTACGTGGCACGCTAGGATCATATCCGGTACATCTGCTGACCTCCTTTGCAGCTCAAGACCTTCCCCTCGCAGACGGGCACCTCGTACTCCTGGACTGTTGATCTCCAGTCTGGTACTGCCTTGTACGACCAGTTTACTCGATACCGGCTTTTGGGATTGGATTGCTAACTAAAAGTTTAGGAGCGCCGCGCTCAAGGATTCCACTGGTGCCATTGCCTACTCTGACAAGTTCTCTGTCATGGCCGGCACTTCGACTAGGTGAGTTTTCCGTCGCTGCGCCACATGTTGACTTTTGTGCTGATAAAGGAAATTAGCTGCGCCAACACCACTGTCAGCGAGGGTGGCGGATCTGGCTCGTCCTCTGGTGGTTCGTCCGGCGGCTCTTCTGGCAGCTCGGGTGGTTCCTCTACCTCGGGCTCTGGCTCCAGCCCCTCTGGCAGCTCGTGAGTGGCTTTTATATTTTCAAGATTTAGTTGTTATTAACGTTCTTTCAGTACCGCTTCTAGCTCCTCCCCCAGCAGCACCTCCGGCTCGAACGGTGCTGGCCGCGTCACTATCTCGGCCATGGGCATTGCTGGTGTTATGGGCCTCGTCGGCGCTGCTCTCTTCTAGAGGAGTAGTGTGATTTTTCACGATGGACATTCAACCTTTCTATGGGGCTGCCCTCGCTCGTACTTCTATCCCCTTCCCAAGCTACTGTTACATCCTTTTGACTAGTGAAATTTCCTGTCTAGAGTAGGCTTGTATTATCATGACATGCCGACGATACTTTCTTTTCTTGCATCATGGAATAGGATTCAGGATTTGTTCATCTGTCAAAGGCCATTGATCTGAGCAAGTGCCGTTTTAATATCGTGTTTGAGTGAGGGCATGAAGTGTCAGTAAGGTTGATGGACCTGGAATTTCATCAACATCTGCCTCCGCTTGCCCAAATATCAGATCCTGTTGCGTCATGGAGAAGTCGCGCCCACAATATGAGTCTTCGTCAAATCCAGGCAATTGCAAGGTAGAATATATTTTCCGCGGCCACTTTGAGGATTGCTTACTCCGTTTGGTGGATTCAGATTAACCAACATAGCAACGGATCCGTATACCCGATCACGTGCCCTGTCGCGTCGTTAGACAGTAATCGAGTTCGGCTGAGCTTTTTTGCTTCAAGACTGCGAGGTCGATCTCAAGAATTGACCTTGCGTTTTCGTCCCTCCCCCCTTCATCGAATCTCGCGCCGCTACTGCTATTTATCCACAGTCCCGCACGCTCCCTACTAGATTATCATAACGAAACGAAAGAGTCATGGCCACTACTGTTGCTGAAGAACTTGAAGGGCTAGGGCCTGGGGTGGACCATGCCGGTGCTAGTCCGGTCCTGCAGTCTGTCGACATGAATGGCGCGGATGCTGTTGACCATTTGAACGGCAAGGACGACGAGGAGGATGGGCTTGTGAAGCCGCAGCAGCAGCAGTATTTTGAGCACCCGCCGGAGGTTGTGCTTGTCAAGTCGTCAGATATGGTGTGTGAGGTGGACGGGGATGGGGCGGTACCCGAGCCGGGGAGCGAGGATGCCGTGAATGGGGGCGAGGTGGTGGAGGAGGTAAGTGTGTTGTATACTACGGGGTTTGTACATTCGATATGCTAATTTGTTTCGTTGATTCGAGCAGAACTCGGAGACCGAGGAAGAGGGTGCTGTTGTGCCGCCGTCTGGATCGGATAAGGAGGATGTTTCGTCTTCTGCAGACGGTATCGCTGAAGCCGGAACTGAAGTTGAAGAGGCGCACCCCGAGATTGCGCCATCTGAAAGCGAGGCGCCTCATGTTATCAGCAGCAAGGACTTGGCAGACGAGCAGCCTGCGGACACGGACACGGACATTGCTCCCGCCCCGGTCGCTGTGGACAGCGAAGACGCGCCCGGCGACGAGGGAGCCGAAGAGCACGAGCCGTCCAGCACGGATGCCGCCGAGGTCAGTAAGACAGGCTTTATTTACGCGTTTTGACGCGCTTATCACTACGGACTTCATGCTCATCCACCTCTCCCCCAGGTCACACCGGAGGAACTCGGCCCCGCAGCCGTGGACGCGGAATCAAGCGGCGCTGATGCGCCTTCATTATCGCCTGCAGAAGAAGAAGAAGCTGCTGCTACTGAAGCGGACACGCCGGAAGAGGGTCAGTTGACCCGGGAGGGTGTCACAGGTCCGGAGGCCGGACACGTCGAAGAGCCCGTGGCGGAGTCGGATGCTGTTGTGCCTTCCTTATCGGTGGATGAGAGTGCTGCTAGTGGGTCCGCCCTGTCTGGGGTGGAAGCTGAGCCGCAGCCTACGCCGGAAGAGGGGGAAGAGGCGGAGGCGGAGGCAGAGCTGCATACGTCTGAACAGGACCAGGTTGAGGAAGCCCCCACGGACATGGAGGAGAGCATTGTCGAATCCGTTGTTGAGTCGCAGGCTGAACAGGCCGAGGAGAGTGAGGTGTGTTTTCTGTGTTATGCGCAGCGTTGATTTCTGTTTCTGACTAGCTTATCTAGGCTGCGCGCGAGTTGTCCGATCTGAAGGATGATCTCTCCCATGAGCCTGTTGAGGCGACTGAAGACGTTCCAGCAGTCGAGGAAACGCAGGAGGCTGAGGTGCCCGCCGCTGAAGCTCCTGCGTCCGAGACTCTCGAGGCTGACGAGCCTGCGGAGGAACCCGTACAAGAGGATGCAGCCGCAGAGGTCGTAGAAGCCCAAGAACCTGCCCCTGCCCAGCTAGAGCCCGCGTCTGCAGAAGAAGTTGAGGCCGCGGAGGAAGCCCCCGTCGCTGAGTCCGAGCCCGCTGCTCCCGCTGTAGCAGAGGAAATCGTCGTAGAGGTACCAGCTTTATCAGAGCCGGAGCCAGAGCCAGAGTCCATCCCCGCCGCAGATGAGGCCGCCGAAGAAGCTCCCGCCCCTGAAGCAGAGCCCACTGCCGCACCAGATGAAGACGTAGTGGAGGATGTACCGCCTGCGCAGGAGGAGGAGCTCACAGCCGAGGCCAGCGCGGCGGAGCTGGCTGTCTCTGAACCAGAGCCCGTCGCTGAAACAGCCGAGGAACTTGAACTTGACGCGGATGGGGAACCTGATGCCTCTCAGCCAGAGCCCGCCGAGGAAGAGGTAGCGGTTGAGGAGCCTCCTGTTTCTCAAGAAGAGCTTGCTGTGGAAGAAGTTCAGGCAGAGGAGGCGGCCGTGCCCGAGCCTGAAGCCGAAGTTGAAGTCGAAGCCGAGGCTGATTCTGCCCCAGCTGTAGAAGAGGTTGAGGTTGAGGCTGAGGCCGGGGTCGAGGAAGCGCCTGTCGAGCAGCCCGAGCCTATTCTTGCAGCGGAGGAGGTTCTCGAAGAGGATGTGCCCGTTTCCCAGACGGAGGAGCCGGCTGTCGAGGAACCTGAGGCCGCTCCTGCGGTCGAAGAAGCAGAGGCGGCAGTAGATGCGGAGGTGGAGGCAGAGGAGCCCGCTGTGTCGCAGCCCGAAGACGTTCCTGCGGCGGAGGAGACTCAGCCCGAGGAGCTTGCTGTTGAGGAGCCTGAGGCTGCTCCTGTGGCCGAAGAGGTGGAGGAGCTCGCCGTGTCGCAGCCTGAAGACGTTCCTGCGGTGGAGGAAGCTCAGCCAGAGGAGCCTGCTGTTGCGAACGCCGAAACGGTTGTCGCGGAGGACGTCGAGTTAGCAGAGCCTATTCCTGCGGAGCCCGAGGCTGCTCTTGCCGTCGAAGAAGCTGAGGCCGAGGAGCCCGCCGTCGCGGACGAGGAACCCGTCGCGGAGCCCGAGGCAGTTGCCGCAGAGGACGAACCCGTACCAGAGGAGGCTGTCGCTTCGGAGCCCGAGGCTGTTCCCGCACCGGAGGAGGCTCAACTCGAAGAGCCTGCCGTCGTGGAGCCCGAGCCCGTCGTTGCAGAGGACGGGCCTACGCCAGAGGAGTCCCCTGCTTCTCAAGAGGAGACTGTTGCTGTTGCAGATGAGGAACCGGTCGCGGAAGAATTGGTAGAGGTGGCGGAAGAAGCTGCTCCTGAGGCGCAAGTCGAGGAAGCTGCTGCCGCCTCCGAAGCCACGCCTGAGGCAGATGAGGAGCTCACCTTTGACGAGACTCCTGCAGCAGAAGACACCATCCCAACCATCGAGGTCGCCGCTGAGGAGGCAGAAGACGGTACCACGGGCGATTCAGGCGAAGCTGGATACACTATTGCGGTCGAGGCGCCCACTCCTAATGCGCAGGAGCCTTTGGAACTCGGAGAGGCTTACGACGATGTTCCCTCTGCCGAGACGTCCGTCGCTGAGGCCGCCGAAGAAATTAGCACTCCTACTGCGGATGTGGAGGTCGCAGAGGTCGCGACTCCCGTTGCTGAGGCTGCTCCTGAGGCTGCTGAGCCAGAGATCGCTGCAGAGGTTGCTGAGCTTGAGGCGGCTGTCGAGGTAGCTGAGCCTGAGGCTGCTCTGGAGGCTGCTGAGTCCGAGGCCGCTCCCGAGGTTGTTGAGCCAGAGGTCGCTGCGGAGGCTGCCGAACCAGAGGCGGAGGTCGCCGTTCTGGAGGCTGCTGCAGAGGTTGCTGAGCCAGAGCCTGCTCCCGAGGCTAGTGAGCTGGAGGTGGAGGAGCCCACGGCAGAAGAGCCCGTCGTCGAGGTCGCCGAATCTGAGCCTGTCCCAGTGGAGGTGGAGGTGGAGGTAGAGGAACCCAAGGCAGAAGAGTCTCTGGAAGAAGCGGTTGAGGAAGCCGAAGCCATTGCAGAAGCCGAACCTGAGGTGCTTGCGGACGTTGCTACTGCTGAAGAGCAACAAACGGAGCCCGTCACAGCTGATGAGCCGGCTGTGGTTGAGGAGCAATCTATCGAGGAGTCCGAGGCACCCGTGGAAAGCGAGCTCGATATTGCCGCTGCTGAGAGTGTCGTAGAGGAAGAAGCTATCGTCCCTGAACCTGAGCAAGCCGTCGATGAATCTGCACCCGCTCCAGTTGAGGAGGCGACGCTCGACGAACCTCAAGCTGCTGAGGAGGCACCAGAGACCGTCGACGCAGAGCCTACAGTCCAAGATGTCGACGAGACGCCGGCGGAGGCGGAAGCGAAGGAAGAGCAGCCCGCAGAATTCGAACCCGAAGCCGCTGCGCAAGAGGAGGACTCGGACGCACTCGCAGAGGCGGTAACCGCTGCAGCCATCGCTGCGCCAATTATCGCTGCGGCTGTGATTGCTGAAGCTACCCCAGAGGCGGCTGAGGAACCTGAACAGGCCGAAGAAGCACCAGCTGTCGAGCCTGTTGTAGAAGCTGCCGTCGACGAAGTAACCCCTGAGGTGGCTGTTGACGTTGCCGCGGAGGAGACCAAGGAGGAGGCGCCTGCACCGTCATTACAAGTCGTCGCAGAAGTCGAACGCCCGAGTTCACCCTGGACGCCTTCGTACAGCGTTACGACTCTTAATGGAGCGTCGGCTGCCGATGAGGAGACCGAAGATGCTGAAGCAGAGGAAGCCGCTGCTGAAGCCCCTACTCCCGCAATTGCCGTGCACGAAACCGAGGCTTCGTCGTCCTCGTCCGATGCTCCAGGCTCGGAGGCCACTGAGGTAGCTTCATTAGAATTCTGATTTTATTTCACTCTGACGCTTATGACCATCAGGCTCTCACTGCTGACACCGCGACCACCCCCGACGATGCCCCGCCAAAGTCGCCCTGGACTCCTTCGTATTCTGTCACCACTATGGGCAACGTCCCTCAGGCTGAACCGGAGGAGATCGAAGCTCTTCCTCCTAGCGTTGTGTCCGAAGACAAGCCTGCGGTCGAAGAGCCCGTTGCTGAGACCACTCCCGCTCCCGTTTCTGAGGAGGCTGAGCCCGAAGTTGCGCAAGAGCCCGAGCTAGCTGGTGAGGACGAGGCGCCAGAGGCGGAGGTGGTGGAAGTTGAGCAGCCATCTGAGGCTACCGCAGTTGAGGAGGAGGTACAGCAAGAGGTCGATGTGCGTATTTTGAAACCCTCTGTAATTTTTGATTTTTACTCATATTTTCCAAATAGGTTTCCGCGGAGGCACCAAGCATCCTTGTGGATGAAGCCGAGGCGGAAGTTGTCGAAGAACAGGAAGACAAGCCGAAGGCACCTTGGACTCCGTCCTACTCGGTTTCCAGACAGGGCTCTAAGGATAACCTGACGGCGGCAGCAGCAGCGACCGTTGCTGCTGCGACTGCCGTGGTATTCGAGTCTCAAGACGTTTCTACCCCTCCCTCGCAGCAGTCCGAGGATGCTACGCCTGAACCTGCGCAAGACGGTGCTAAGCCTGAGGTTAGCAATTGTGTCGATTCTGCAATATAACTATTATCTGACTAATTTTCAATTGATAGTCTGATGCCGCGGCGCCGAGCATTCATGTCGACGACTCGCTCGTTGTTAACGAGGTCCAAGCACCGGAGCGGCCGAAATCGCCATGGACGCCGTCGTACTCGGTGTCCAGACAAGGATCTTCGGATGACCTCCCAGCGGCCTCTGTCGAGGCAGAGGCGGAGCCGGTGGCGGCGGAAGAGCAAGCAGCTGAACCTCAAGCCGAGCCAGCCCCCGCCCCGGTCGCGATTGACACTGGCGCAGAAGCGCTCGCGACTCCCCAGAAAGAAGCGGAGGAGAGGCCAAAATCTCCCTGGACGCCGTCTTACTCGGTCACGAGGCAGGGATCCAACCTCGTCGCGGACGAAGACATCAAGGAGATAGAGCAGCTGCCCGAGTCTGTTGCCCCCATCGCGGACGCGCCGAAGACGGAGGAGCCAGCTCCTGTCGAGGCTTCTCCTGCCCCGCCAGCGCTGATTATCACCTCGGAGCCTGCCAACGGCACCGAGAACGACCTTGACGACGGAGATTACCCGTTCCCTATCAAGAACCTCGACTCATTCCAGCCCCTCGCCGACAAGTCCAACGCAGGCGGCCTCGCCCCCGTCGACGAGAACAGGATCATCGGCAGCGCGGACCCTTCGTCCTCGCTGCGGATTGATATCCCCACGACGCCGTCGCGCAAGCGGCACGAGAGCACGACGTCGTCGCGATTCTTCCCCGGCGGGTGGTTCTCGTCGTCGCCCAAGGTGCCCGAGGAGGGCCGCGCGTCGCTCGACGTCGCGAGCGGCGAGTTCACCAAGTCGCCCGAGGTCACACCCGCGACGGCGCTGCCCACTGCCGTGGAACAGGACGAGGAGAAGAAGTCGCGGTTCTGCACGATCATGTAGAGGGAGAACGCGCGTTTCAACGTCAAGGCTGGGCTTTTTCGACCTCTCTCCACAAATCAAATTTCAAATTTTATTCATGTTCAATATTCAACGTTCAGTTGCGATGTTCAAAGTCCCAATGTCCGCAAAACGACCCTGCGACGACCCCTTTTACGATTCCATCATGTCCATATTATCACCCATTTTTTCTTCTTTTCTCTTGACTCTTGCATCCTTTCATCATTTACATTCCCCGGATTTGGATCCCAAAAATCAGTCGGCTCCACGCATACAAGGAAACACCAACGCTAAACGAAGATCGTGGTACACGGGCTTTGCTATATCACCTAACATATGCATATGGAAAGGCACTTGCATACCCCAGTACTCCGCTTTTAAGATTGTCCAGTACTTGCTAATTCGAATCCGTCATTAGTTTCTTTATACGTCGCGCTTGGAGCTAATTGGTTATGATTACAATCACAATATCAATTAGTACGATTACCGTTACCATTACCATTACCATTACTAGCTACTTAGCTGCAAGAGGATTCGGTTGCTACTTGTACCTTACTATGCATAACTTTTGTTTTTTCTTCTTGAGAGAAATGAATTGTGGACGAAAGGTAGCAAGCCTCGGGCAGGCGATGTTATTGGCGCGAAACGTAAAGTAACTTGAAGATGCCTGCACTGTACCACGCAATCTTGAGATGAACTTCGCTGACGAAGTTCGGCCCATACTTAAGGCACGTTGAGTGATCGGAGCAATTAATTGTACATGCTTAAGCCTGCCATATGTCCTACATAATAGTTATACCATATGTAATGTAGGCATAAAATACACCAGATGCAGGCAGGTATCACGACTGCAAAAAAAAAATGCGGCGCGCGTGCACCTCACCCTCAGCTACCCACAGTACTGTACATAACAGCGCATGCGTATGACCACGGGTATCCTCAAATATACACCCCACCGTGGCCGCGACCGCGAGCACCGAGCCAAGAAAGAAAGAAACGATCCCAAGATGTCTGTCACCCGGCGTTGCGCGATCTCCTTCAATCCTCCAATCCTTCGACCCTTCTTCAAGGTCCGTATCGATCGAGCGCTCCAAGTCGAGCCGGATTCGACGGTGTCGGCACGGCCAGGCTGGTCCGGGTATCAATATTTCAATAGTCAATAGCGGTCCAGGACGTCCACGACGCTCTCGAGCACGACGCGCGGCTTGAGCAGGAGTCTGCGCTCGATGGACGCTGCCGCTGCCGTTGATGACGATGATGATGATGACGTTGATGTTGCTGGCCCATCTGCTGACGATGGGGCGGTGTTGGCGCTGGTGCTGTCGGGCATTGAGAGGGGCCGCCGCCGCACGACGCTCGAGCACCGGAGGCCGAGTTCTGTTGAGCATAGCACCTTCCCTCCTCTGCTGGTGCCGTTGCCGTTGGGGTGGCCGTTGGGACGGCCACTCAAACTCGCACACGGCGTACTCAGCTCCGAATCCCCATCCTCCCCCTCCCCCTCGTCCTCCTCGTCATCCGACCCATACACCGAAAACCCCACCGAAGAAGCGCAGGCGGCATCCCCCTGCACACCCATCGCATCCCCCATCTCGCGCCCCACAAACGCCCGCCCGGCCTCGACAGCGACCACCTCAAAGTCCGCGCTGAGCACCTCCTCCCTTGTCACGCGCGCGAGACGCGTCGCCGCGCGCGCGATGCGCGTGAGCGCGGGGAGGTGGCGTGTGCGGAAGAGGGTGTGTGTTTGGGTGGGGTTTGGGGGTGGGTAGGGTGTTTGCGAGTTCGAGGTGGATTGGGCGGAAGAAGAATTCGAGGAAGGATGCGTGGAGGAAGAAGGGAGCGGAGGAGGGACGGGGACGAGAGACGCGCCGGCGATGAGAAAGACGTCGGCCGCCCAGCGCACGAGCGTGTCCGCGAGCTCGCGCGTGGCGTACTCTGCGAGCTCGGGGTGCACAGCGTGGATGTGGACATGCGCGAGCGCGCGCCAGCGCGCGGCTGTCGCCTGGGGCTCTGCACGGTGACAAAGTCGACATTGGCGCATCATCATCAACAACAACAACAGTGACAACAACCATTCTCAGTCAACACACTGGCAGGCATACAAAATCCAGTCGACTCACCGGCCGCCCGCATCCTTGCATACACCTGCGCCAGCACCCCGTTCACACCCGCCTGATACCCCACACAGAACGGCGCGAGCGCGCGCGCGAGACACGTGACGACCGCCGCCTGCAGCGCGAGCTGCACGACCATCGGCCCGTCCTCGCCCGTGTGCGCGCGCGTCCCCAGCATCCGCGTCAGCGTGGCCCCGACGCGGCTCGCGACGTCGCTCGCCGTCTGCGCGAGCGTCGGCGTTTTCTGGCCTTTGGGGATCGGCGCTGCGGGGCGCATTGGTGCTTTGGTGTTTCGCGGTTGAGGAATGCCGAGGCCCCGTGCGTAGGGCGGGAGGAAGCCGCCGCCGCCGCCGCCTGCGCTTGCACCTGATCCTGAGGAGGAGGAAGACACAAGCTCGACGGCGCCCGCGGCGAACTGCACGATCTCGGCGTTGAGATCCTGCACGGCCTGGATGATCTGTGCGCCGGACCAGAGGTCGGATTTGGTGAGGAAGGTGTCGAGCGCGCGGAGGTGCGCGTGTTCTTCGGCGGCTGTGCTGGTGCTCGCGAGGGAGGCGGAGGAGGGGGTGCGGGGGATGGAGGAGGAGTTCGAGCGCGCGGGGCGGGTTTGCGATTGGGAGCGGGATTGGGATTGAGGTTGGGATTGAGGTTGAGAGGAGCGGGTGGATCGGGTGGACATGGATGTGGAGGGGCGGGGCGGTGGGCGGTGGTTCGAGTACGAATTGGCGTTGGCATTGGCATTAGAAGGCCCGGCGGGTGTGCGCGGGCGGACGTGGGGGTTCGAGGGGCGGCGGACGAGTGCTCCGTAGTTTGGCGCGCCATTCGAATCGGCGGAAGAGGTGGACGCGAGCGAGGCGAGCGACGTCCCCGAGCTGCTCGTCATGTGGCTCTGCGCAGAGCTATTGCGCCTGTGCACATTGTGTCCCGGCGCAGAAGACACGCTCGCGCGCCTCTCCTTCTCCTTCTCCCGCTCCCTGCCCTCGCGCTCCCTATACTCCCTCTCCCAATACTCCCTCTCCCTCTCCCTCTCACGCCGCTCTCTCTCCCGCTCCGCAACCGCCCTGTCCCTGTCTCGCCTGAGCACGTCAATCTCGCCATCGCGCAACCGCACGGCCTCGCGCGCCTCGCGCAGGGCGCGCTCGAGTGCGTGGGCGCGGTCTTCCCAGCGCTGGGCGTCCTTGGCTGCGCGCGAGGCCTCTGCGCGGGCGGCGTCGTGGTCGCGGCGCATCGCGTAGAGGCGGGCGGCGGCGCTGATCGGGCCGGTGAGGGTGAAGGGGGCGGAATGGGAGGAGGAGGAGGGGGTGGGGGAGACGGCGCGGCGTGCAGCATCCAGTTTTGCGGGTGGGGTTAAGGGTGTGGGGCTGGGGCTGGGGGTGGGGAGGAGGGCGAGGGCGAGGGACGGGGATAAGGATGGGCAGGCGGTGGTAGGGTCGAGGAGGTCTGTGTCTGGGTCAGAGGCGGAGTCTGTAGATGAGGAAGAGTCGGAGGTGGGCTCGTCGTCGTCGTCGTCGTTGTGTGGGGTTCGGGAGGAGAAGGAGAGGAAGGTGAGGGTGTTTGTGAGAAAGTCTTTGAAGGGATGGGCGTCAGCCGTTGGGAGGAGGAGCGGCATCGTGGCAGAGAACGGACAGGATATCAACAGTTGGTTGTAGAGCACTGGCCTCGTTTTCACTGCAGCGTGCAAGGAAGCAACGGGGGTAGATAGCAGGCAGCAAGGTTATAAGAAAACACTCAATCCTGTTATTCTGTGGGGAGGAGCAGGAGAAGACAGCCAATCCAAAATGGAGGTGCATGCCTCGTTGCATCGGCACTTTTACACGGAACCATATGACCCCCTATTTTTGTTCGTGTTCATACCCTGGGTTAACTTCATGATCGCCCATTAACACCAGTATCAAAGATACCACCATATACCCTCGGCCCTCTGGCCATGAAGGACTACAATACCCGCAAGCCCTACCAGGGCACAACCCGCACCCTCGTCATCGCCATCGACGTCGGCACAACATTCAGCGGCGTCTCCTACGCCATCCTCGAGCCCAACGAGATTCCAAAGATATACGGCGTCACCAGGTCGCTTTCACTGTAATATCGCTATGCCGAGTCTGACCCCATCGCAGGTTCCCCGGCCAGGAGCATGTCGCGGGCAACTCCAAGATACCCTCCATCATGTACTACGACCGCACCGGCAAGCTCATGGCTGCTGGTGCAGAGGCTGACTCGACCCAGATAGCCGCTCTGGCGGAGGAGGAAGGATGGACCAAGATCGAGCTGTCCGTATCTCCCCCACCCCCACACTAGTTTACTAACCCACACCAGCTTCAAACTACGCCTCCGCCCGCGCACCATGCACCTCAACATGAACGGCATGCGCCTCCCTCCCTTACCGCGGCACAAGTCCCCCGTCGACGTCTTCGGCGACTTTCTCGCCTACCTCTTCCATTGCACCCGCGCCTTCATCACCGACACCCACGCCGCCGGCGCAGCCTTGTGGAAGGCCCTCGAGCGCCCCGGCCTCCAGTTCGTGTTGTCCCACCCGAACGGCTGGGAGGGCGCGCAGCAGAGCAAGATGCGGCGGGCGGCGGTGTACGGCGGGCTCATCCCCGACACGGACGAGGGGCGGGCGCGGGTGCGGTTCGTGACGGAGGGCGAGGCGAGCTTGCATGCGTGTGTGCTGAGCGGGCTCGCGGCCGAGGTGCTCTCGGTGAGTTCTACGCGCGAGACGAACGGGTGAGCTTCTAACGTGGTGCAGAACCCGTCGAAACACGGCTTTCTGGTGCTCGATGCGGGCGGGGGCACGCTCGATATCAGCTCGTACGCTATCCGCGCGACGAACCCGCTCGTGATCGAGGAGATCGCGCCCCCAGATTGTGCGTGCGCTCCTGCCCTATTCCTTAGACTGACCGGGCTAACATTCTCCCGCAGGTCTCTTCGCAGGCTCGGTGTTCGTAAGCAGACGCGCGCGCATGCATCTCGAAGGTAAGCATGTATAGAATCTACCATAAAACCGGGAGCTGACTTTCCCCTTTCCCTTCCTTCTCGAACGGATCCTCACTGAACCTTGGCATGCCCCGACCTCCCCATCGCACCCTCCCCGAAACGCTAATCCGACGATCCTTGTACGGGGCCCCATCGGAACCTCTATTCTCTGCTTACTTTGTTCTGTTGATCGCCGCGCTGGCCACATGACTGTCCTGTCTATCTTCGTATCTCTCTCTGTCCATCTTTGGCTTTCTCTGCTCATATACCCTCGGACTAAATCTGGCGCCCACTCGCCTCTATCTCGCCTTGCTTGTGTCGACGGACGCCACCACCCCCGCCCTGAACCGGACCTCGGGCTACTGCAACTGTAACTGTGCTGGTTCTTAATTAACTCCTCCGCGCCACCATCATACCGTAATCAACCCGTCGGTGCAATCCAACTTTATCATACATCTTGGGTGGCTGGAATCGCCTATCGCGTCCTGCTCTTCCCTATCGCGCCCACACGTCCTCGTTATCTCTGCTTTGTGGTAATCTACGCTGCTCCCTTTGTGGACAATGTGCACGCGCCATCCTGCGTTGTTATGCCTATGCTCCTCGTATCTGACTCTGTCCTACTGACCGGCGACCGACACTGACAAACCTTCCCGTAATCCATCCCTCTCACCGCTCCCGTCCCGCCGCCCGTGCCCACGGCCCTATCAAACCCACCTCAGAAAAACTCCGCCCCTCGCGCTACGGCACGCCCGACAGCATCGAACACATCACCCGGCGCTTCGACGAGACCACGAAGCGCCTCTTCCGCGACCGCCGCGAGCTGCAGTTCGTGCCCTTTGGCTCGCCGCTCGACAAGGACGCTGCGGTCGGCATCCGCGCGGGCCAGCTCAAGCTCGCCGGGGACGAGGTCGCCGCCTTTTTTGAGCCGTCGATTGCGGCGGCGGTGGGGAGCATTGGCGGGCAGGTGGAGGCGTCGGGGGGGAGGATTAAGGTGTGTGTTTTGTCTGTGTGGATGGTGATTCTTTAAAATGGTTTTGTTGATGGTGTGGGTGTGGGTGGCGGCGATAGTCCGTGTGGCTCGTCGGCGGGTTCGCAGCGAGCCCGTGGCTCTTCACGCAGCTCCAGGAGCGTCTCGCGCCGTACAAGGTCACAGTCAACCGGCCCGACAGCCAGACGTAAGTCTCCCTCCCTCTCCCCCCTCTCTGGAATCGCCCTCATCACAACACCGCAGCTCAAAAGCAGTCGCAGACGGCGCGCTCGGCTTCTACTGCGACCACCACGTGTCCGCGCGCGTCGCCAAGTTCATGTACGGCGTCGAGTACCTGCGCGAGTACGACCCCGACGACCCGGACCACCAGGCGCGCCGCGAGCGCCTCTGCGAGCTCCCAAGCGGCCCGCGGCTCCTGCCCGACGCGTTCGACTGCATTCTCGCCAGGGTGTGTACCGTCCCTCCCTCCCTTCATCACACGGACTCATAACCAATTCATAATCCGACGTCGATGCATCGCAGGGCGTCAAAGTCAAAGAATCAACAGTCTTCACCCGCAAATACTGCACCGAGCTCACGAACCTCTCCACCCTCTCCGTGTTCGAGGTCGAGATCTGGTGCTTCCGCGGCGGCAACCACATCCCCAAGTGGATCATGCGCCACGCGGAACACTTCTCCACGCTCTGCGTCGTCCGCGCGGATCTGTCCCCGCTCAGCGGCAGCGCGGAGCCCAAGCAGGGCAGAGGCGGGCGGGCGTACTGGACGATTGTGTTCAGCGTCGAGATTCACTTTGGGCTGACGGAGTTTCGGGCGCGGATCAAGTGGAATGATAATGTGCGTGGTGCATATAGCTTTATAATTGAAGAAGACTAACGGATCGTGCTAGGGCCGTACGAGATAGTGAGTTTCCGCGTTTTCCGCCTCCTCACAATACAACACCGACGACGACGACAATGACATCTGACTGTGCCCCCACAGCGGCCCAGCCTCGATCGTGTACAGCGAAATGGGCCACCGCGCAGACGACGACGAGTCCGACACATACTCGGAAGACGACACGACCGCGCACGCAGCAGGCCCTCCCTCGCGAGCGCCCTCGGCACCGCCGTCCCGCGCGCCCTCTGTGGCCCCGCCTCCTCCCCAAGCAACAGCAACAGCAACAGCACCAGCACCGCCAATAGCGTCCCGCGCCCCGTCCTCGTCCGCCCGCGACAGGGGCGCAGGCGGACGCGGCTCCTCCCTCGAGTCGCTGTACCAGGACCCGCCGGACGCACCTCAGCGCTCCGCGCGGCGCACGTCGTCTGTGCAGGTCCAGACGCAGACGCAAACACAGACACAGGCACAGACGCAAACACAGACACAGGCACAGAGCTCAAGCGAAAGACAGGTAGTCCCGCGCGAGGTCGTCGCGCGCGCCACGGGGCCCATTACACCGACGCACTCGTCGCGCAGTGCGGCTTCTGCTGCTCAGGGAGGCGGTCATGTAGCCCAGGGAGGCGGTCACGTCGGCCCGGGCAAGGGGCAGGGGCAGGGGCAGGGCTCGGCGAGCCAGTTCTATGCGGCGCCCGGGGCGGGTGTGCCGCCGCCGCCGGCCGACTACGCGGCGGATAGGCGCGGAAGGCAGCATTCTGAGCGCGATCGTGATCGGGAACGGGACCGTGATAAGGAACGAGACCGTGATCGTGAGCGTGATCGGGAGCGTGAACGGGAACGCGACCGAGCGCGTGGAACGGGCGACCGCGACCGCGGCATGCCCCCGCCCAGCAGCAGCGGCCAAGCGTACGAGCGCCCACGCACCAGCTCCTCGCGAGCGCACGCGCAGCCTCAGCCACAGCCGCCTCCGCCCGCACCAAGGAGATCCTCTGGCGGTGCGCCGGCGGCGGCGGCGGCGGCGCCGATGCCAGTACCAACGCCAACGCCAATGCCAGAGCCGACGCCGCCGATCGAGCCCCGACCGTCGACGGAGGATCGACGGCGCGAGAAAGAGAGGGATCGTGAGCGCCGGCAGGAGCGGGAGCGGGAAGCGCGGGAGCGGGAGCGGATGGAGGTGCGGGAGCGTCAGCGGGCTGCTGCAGAGGCGGAGGCAGAGGCTATCGCAGAGGCAGAGGCTATCGCAGAGGCGGAGGAACAGGTGTCGGCGCGGGCGCGGGTTCAGGCGGAGATGGACGCGGTGGCTGCAGCGGAGGCAGAAACTCAGGCAGAAGCAGAAGCGGCTGCTCGTGCAGAAGCCGAGGCGGACGAGGCTGCTGCAGCGGCGGCGGAGGCGGAACAAGAGGCTGAGGCGGAACAAGAGGCCCGAGAGCTGGCAGAGGCCAAGCAGCGCGAGAAAGAGGCAAAGGAGAACGAGAAAGAAGCCAAGAAGAAAGAGAAGGAGGACAAGAAAAAGGGAAAGAAGGACAAGAAAGGGAGCAAAGCGGCGAAGGAGAAGGAGGCCAAGGAGGCCGAAGAGCGCGAGGCCCGCGAAAGAGAGGAAGCCGAGAGAGCCGCCGCCAAGGAGAGAGAAGAGCAGGAAGCGCGCGAGGCGCAGGAGGCGCTCGAGACGCCCATCGATCTCGCGGACACGGCCATCGGCAGGAGCTCCAGCACGCTCGCGAACGACCTCGGCTCCGTCTGGGGAGCGCGGGGCACGCCCTCGCCCGTACCCGCACCGGCGATGTCGCGCAGGAACTCGAACGGCTCGAGGGAAAGCTCGAGGGGGCCCGCGGAGGTCAGGTTTGCGGACCCGATATCGGCGCATGCGCCCACGCCGCCGCAGGAGAACCGCGAGCTCGAGACGGTGCACGAGAGCCACGAGGAGCACCACGACGAGGAGCAGCTCGACGAAGAGCGTGCGCCGCTCTCGGACCCCGATGCGTGGCTGGAGGGCGGCGAGCAGGATGCCTGGGGCGGGGAGGACGCACACGCCACTGAAGAAGACGCGCTGGCGGACCTCGGTGGTGCGACTGAGGAGCAAGAACACACAGACGAGCCGAGGGATATTCCGGGCGGCTTCGACTTCAACACGACGGCCAACCTCCCGCCCGATCCAACGTTCGCAGACGCAGACGCCCCTGGTGCAGGTGCCGACACGAACAAGGCGGGCTGGGGCATCGACGCGGACACCGTGCCCGCGTCGACCTTTGGCGGGTTCTCGCCCTTCGGCTCGGGCTTCAGCTTTGGCAGCGCGAAGGCCAAGGAGAAAGAGGCGGCCCAAGCCCAGACGCAGGCCGCGGAGGCGGAGAAGAAGAAGAACAGCCGTTGGGGCTCGATCTCGAACGCGTTTGGGAGCGCGAGCAATCTGTTCAATGGCGGTAACGGCGAGGAGAAGCCGCCGTCGACTTCGCCCGGAGACGCGAACAACAATGGGTTCGATTTCTCGGGCGGCGGCGATGCTGGCGAGGCGCAGGAGGAGAACGAGGGCGCCCAGACGCAGGAGAACGATGACTGGAAGACGCAGGAGGGGGGCGGCTGGGAGATGGGAAACATGGGTGGAGGCGAGGGGGCGGCCGCTCCTCTTGAGGGTGAGCCCGAAGCAGCAGAGGGCGCTGGCGAGAACGATATCTGGGAAACGCAGGAGAGGGATGGCTGGGAGATGGAAAACATGGGTGGAGGCGAAGGGGCAGTACTTCCTGAGGGTGGGCCCGAAGCAGCAGAAGGTGCTGGCGAGGGTGCTGGCAAGTATGCTGGCGAGGGTGCTGGCGAGGGTACTGGCGAAGGCACTGGTGAGGGTGCTGGCGAGGTCGCTGGAGAGGGCGCCGGCGAGGGCGAGACCGCTGAGCCTCCTGCAGCTGAGGCAGAAGCTGCGCCAGAAGAGCCAGCCCTGGAGCCTGAACAGCCTGCCGAGGAGGCCAAGCCAGAGAAGAGAGACGAGGACGACGAGGACGAGGGGCCCAAGAAGGGAGGAGGCAAGAAGAAGCGTAACAAGAAAAAGAAGTAAATCCTCAACATTCAACGCTGCAACTGCTGCAACTCCAGTGTCGGGCACCTTTGCTTGGGCATCACCGATCTCTAATGAAGTGTAAACGTTCTATGATGAGGCTGAGGCACGATGTAATAGACCAGCTAGGATCAATCTCTGTATCCACCTACTTATGCTTTCGCTGTCTTCGTAACTTGTTGTATTTTTCTTGTATTTTCTTGTTTTTGATATAGAACTGTTCAGGATTACATTCGGGTATTGTGTACTAGGAATAGGTCGTAAAAGGCGTCGCGGGTAGGAACATCGTAAGCACGTCGTATCAAGGCGTAAGATGTAGGTCAAATCGTCGATCCGGTAACCATAGAAAATAGCATGGGCGAGGTATACCTGCAGAAGCAAACGACAAACCGAAGGGGGTAAAGAGACTACACTAAGAGAAACAACAGACAACATTATAGATAGCCAAGAACAAGCGCCCGATTAACAGGCGCTGGCGAAAGCACGAACACTTTCGCACCGCGTCAGAAAGAGATGAGTGTCCATGTCGTTAACCATCATCACGCGTCGTCGCCACCACCGCACGCACACACGCACGGAATCACCGCCCCGAATTAATCTGCCCAACCGTGCGATTACTGATCCCCTGATCAAAGCTCCGCTTGCGCAGCCGCCCGTTCTCCATCGGCAGCAAACTCGACACGCTCACGTTCTTCTTCGAGTCCATCGACAGCGCGCCCGCCACGCTCGGCATGCTCAGCCGCCGTATCCACCCCTTCGGCTTCTCGGGCCGGAGCTGGATCGGCGGCTCCGGCGGGCGCAGGTCGTGCGGCGACGGCGCCGGGTTCGCAGCCTGGTACTTGGACGCGCTGCACAGGTCGCATCCGCAGAACGGCGCGTGGTCTTTCACGGGGCCGCCGAGTGGTGAGAGGGATGGTGTGGGGGGCTGCGAGGAGCGCGTGGGGGAGTGCGATTGCATCGATGCCTGGTCGCTTGGTGGAGGCGCGAGCTGGGAGGACGATGCGGAGTGCGAGCCGGAACCCATGACGGGGAACTTGTTGCTGTTGTTCCCGCTGTTGACCAGCACGGACGTGCTCTGCGAGTTGCGCCTGTGTCTATAGGGACCCACGGAACGTGGGTTGTTCGATTGGTTGGCCCTTGGTGTGTCCGCGCCTATGCCCTCATCCCGCCCGTCGAGAAAAAATTGCTGTCGGTCTTGCTCGAGCGCACGCGTTCGTTGTTCGAGCTCGCGCTCGCGCTGGCGGAGCTCGAACTCTTTCTCCTGCAGCTCGAGCTGCGCGAGCTGCTGCTTGCGTCGTTGTAGCTCCTCCTCTACGGCGTCTCGGTCGCGTGTCCATGAGCGCACCGAAGTCTCGCCCGTACTCGTTGGAGTCTGTTGCTCGGCCATGGGGAAGGGACGACCCTTCCGAGGCGACGTCGGTTCGTCCGCCGGCTGGTATCGAGTGGCCATATTTGCCACGCTCTGGTTGAGTCGCGGGATATCCTTGGGAGCTGCAGACGCCGGCTCCATCTGTTGCTTGTCAGCAACGCGAGTACGTGGGGCATACTGACGATACATACCGAACGACTATAACGGTTCTTCATCGCGGCGACAAGGCTGCCATTACTCGTCGTAGACTCCGTCCTCTCTAGGTTCTTCCTACCAGCGTCGGCAGCAACGGTGAAAGCCTTCGCCGTGCTCTTTCGCTGCACACCAAACTCGCGTTCTTCCGCCGTGACCTCGTCTCTCGCCTTCATGTCAGATTCCGCTCGTGCCGACGACGACGGCCGAGACGTTTCTTGACGCTCGTCACCGTTCTGCGCAACCATCTGTTTGCGCTTGAACGGGGATACCGGCGAACCCAGCTTCCGTGGAGGCTCTTCCTGGGCTGGAGCAGGCTGATCGGAGGTAGGAGCTTCAGCGTTATTAGGACCGTCCATTCCTGCCTTCTCGTGAGAGAACGACCCGTTCTGGGAGCGAGTAGTTGGTGTTGTGGGGAGCTCCCGCGCAGAAGACGCTGTGGAGCCATTGTTCAACGTCGTGGATTCAGATATCGACTCGATGGGCTTTGGGGATTCGGATAGGATATACGCGGCTTGCCCTGGTTTCTTCGGTTGCGGGATCTGCAGATTCTTAAGTTGAGTTTGCCGACGTTGCAGCTCTGCTTGATTGTTTGCTAGAGGGACAGGGAAGTGGGTTGGAGGGAAGGGAAAGGCCGAAAGAGATGCGATGGAATTGACGGAGCCATGACCATCATCGGACGCGAATGGTGGGCGAGGCGGCTCCATACCGTGTCCCACAGAGCTTTCTGCAGGCGTCGAGGCACCGCTCTTATTCGAAGTCACTGATGGAACTGGTAGCCTGTTCTGCTCGCCTTGACCCCATTCTCTGATGCCGAGACCCTGGTTCCTATCTGTAGATATTTGACCAGGTGGTGAATCAACATCAGGTAAATCGTTGGGCAAAGGGCCAGCCCATGACGCTTCGCAGTAAGAACGCCAATGACCGAGGGATCCGACACATGGAGCGCAACGTCGAAGACCTTCGCAGTTACGGAGCCATTGGGCGTCCGCGATCCTACCCAAAGATGAGGCGACACCATAGGTAGCAGAGGCGTGTTGTCTCGTAACGTGGATGGCATGATTACTGGCAAACGATCAGATAGACGAACAGTTATTCAGAGGATTTATACGCACTACTTCTCCTGTGACATCTCTGGACCCAGCGTGCTGATGAGGTTGATATACCGAGCGTGTTCCTCTGCAGCATCACGTGCGTTCTTCTTGGACTTCTTCTCGTACGATTGACCTTTCCCATGTCTGAGACACCCTCTGAAGTCGAATGTGAAGACGCCAGCGACGCGTACCTGCTGATTTTATTCGTGCATTGGAGTTGGCCATGCGTTCATCATGAGTCTTCTCCTCTTTCTACATCACGACCCATAAGCCATCACAAAGGGATCAGACATAACCGACAGCGTACCGAGAGCTTCTTGAAGTACTTCTTAACCTCATCGCTCAGAGAATCACACTCCTTGTCCGCGAACTTGGAGAACTTGGTATCTATCTCCGCGACAGCCTCGAAGATGCTCGCACACGCTCCGAGAGCGTTAGCTAGATTAGATGACGCATACAATCAGTCATTAGCCGCCTAGAGTATGACGCTGAGACAACTCACAAGCAGGTTCATTAATCGTCTTCATCCCTGCCGCCTCCTTGAGTGCCTTGGCCAGCTTCTTCTGAAGGGTTACCATTGCACCCGAGACCTCGCAGTAGTCGTTGAGAGCATTGACAAGCGTTTCAAGGGTCTTGCATGACTTGTGGATGTCCTGGCGCTCGTGGACCTGCACCTGCGGGTGTGCAGGTGCTGCCGACATGGCAGTCGGGGTCGTCGATGGGGAAAGAGGGGGGAAGGGGAGGAAGGGGAAGTCGGGGTGCAAGTGAGAACGGCAGGGAGGTGAGGGGACGTGCTCACATTCGGATGGATTAGCGTATGACCTTAGAATGGCGTCGGAGTTCAAAGCCACAGATAAGATAATTATACGACATCGCGCGACAACTTCACCATGTTATTACATCCGACTCTCTTACTTGTACCTTTCTCTTCTTACCTACTTTGACGCCTTCTCTTCTCCATGACAAACGTCAAACTCTACCCGCTCGTGTGTGCAATCCTATCGTGGAGATGGCAGGAGAAGTAGCAATGTGCTTCCACTCCACTAGGCCTCATTGGACTTCTATAACAGCCTCACCGTGAAAGGTAACATATGGATTCAGCTCTGCTGACTGCGGAACTGCGGTTGGACGATTTAACAGTCTTACTGTAAGTCCAATACTTTTGATACCGGTACTCTCCCCGGTGCCCAAGGCGTTCCGATGATAAGGGAAAGTTGTGAGCCATCTCGGCATTTAGCGTCTGGCTCCAACTTCCCAATGTCACCCATTTTTGTCGCAGTCCACTCCACGAGCAACAAGCAGGTCTTGGTCATACTTCATCTCTATTGTATCCTCTCTGCTCGGTAACCCCACTCATCAATTTGTGGCTATAAACTTTGCTATTCGCACATTCACAACGTTGGCCTCCGTGACTCCATACCTTCAAGCTTCAACTATCGTGTAAATATTACATCAAAGCTGCGCAACACGATGTCGAAACCTGTCGTAGCCACCTGTTGACAGCACAGAATGCTCCCACCCGCGTTATCTTCAGACGTCATGATTTGCACACCTGTTCTTGGCTTTTGGTTGCCCCAAGGATGCCCCACTCTCTCCAACAGCATGCCCTTCACAAAGGATAAAAGCGTGCCTCGTTCCTCGCCCATGGATCCCCTCACCTGATCTCCCACTAAGCATAACGCTCAGTCTCTCACAATGTCATCCAAACTCGCATTCTCTTCCATAGCTTCATGCGCCGCCAGAGTTCGTAACGCATCGCCGCTGCGTGCTGCTCATCCCGCCCTCCTCGGCGTCTCAGCGCCTCAGTGCCGCGGGGAGCACATGTCTCACATCCGTCATCTGGCGGCCTCGGGCGATCTTCAGACCGCTGTCAAGCAAGAGGCCAGTACCGCAGACGACGAACCAGACAAAGTCGACGCTGCCTCTCAGCCTACGCGACCGGTGGAAGAGGTGTGTCTCCAACATCGCGCCAATCACCCTCTCTTCTAACGGCTTTTGTAGGAAAAGGAAAGATACACCATGGATCCGGAGGGTACAGTGTGAGTCCCTTGCCATGCTGTTTTTATGGTCTGTGCTTACCTTTGCCAGGCCTGACGGGGATCCCTCTTCCTCCAATACCGACACGTCGAAACGCGGCCGCCCACGCAAACCGCACAGCGGTCAATTCGTACGCGGGCCCGTCTCTGTTTTACCGTCCGTAGACGACGTCCCTGCCGGTCACCCTCCCAATACAGCGTTCTCTTAATTCTCCACCATTGTAGACTGTAATACGATGCATAAAGTCGAGCATCCTTTCGCCGGACATCTTATCGCACATCTCATACCCATCTTGACACCGTGTATTGCTCCCCTGTATTGCTGTTTAATTCATGACTTGTTGTTTTGTAGCGCTTGTGATTGTTATATCCTATATCATACGGTAGTCACATAAATGAGTGCAGGTTGTACCACCATGCAGAGTGCTTAGGTGCTTATGTCAATGTAATGACCTCACGACGTTGAACGTTGTCCGAGTTAGTCGGCACTTCGAAGCTTCACGCGCCTCGCGCGCCTTCCGTTTTCGCACCCTTTCCTCGCCTCTATCTTATTTCTGGCAACTGGCAATGTTTTTACCAACTTTGTTTTCACCAGCTTACAGCTAAAGTAACCGGCAACCACAAGCTCCTCAGGCCTCATGCTGTCACGGCATAGTTCTACAACGTGCGTTTATAATGCCGGACTGCTTATTCCCTCACTTGACCCCAGTACACCTAATCTAGATCTTGACGGCGACTAAACAGATGCCCAATGATAGAGTTCAATATTCCTCTCATTGTTGTGTGTTTCGACGCATTATGTCACTTCGGACCGACTCGGGTGCTGCTAGTCCGGCTGGCTGGCCGCCTGCAAAAAATATGGTGCCGTCTCTGAGCATGTTTCTCCTGCTTTGCTCCTGCTCAACAACAACAGGCGCACTTAGAGATGTACCTATCTCGACGACCTCTCAACTCCGCTTCGTACGGGCTCATGAAGGCAGACGTTCACCGTTGTCCCAGTGCTTCTTGAAAGATCTCTTCCTAACTCGCATCCGCTACTGCGCACTGATTTAGGAATCACTGCGACAGGCACAATGTTCCAGGACCTCGTTGCCCGAGTGTTGCCGCAACATGCCCGCCATGGCGCCGCCATCTTACGTGGTTCATGCGCAATGAACCTTGTCACAGTTCTTTCACCGGCATCCAGGCCCGAGTCAATTCGCCGTCCAGGCCGACTCCTGATCTTTTCATTCTAACAACACTGGCAACCTAGGCTATGCGTGCCGCTAACCCATGAATATCCTGGTATCCTGAACAGGGAGACTCAATGGATGTTGAAACGCCGGAGTCCGATGTCAACGTCGGCGCTGCAGCAATGCGATGCTTCTAAGATGCTCCCTCAGAATGGCTCGATGGCGGGCAACCGCGACATGCGGAGGTTGCGCAGGTCCGCCCAATCATCGCCCGGAACTTCGCATTCCTCAAGGCTGAAGCAATGCTCTGATGCATACAAGTCGTCCCTCGGATTACCTCACCGTTCACCGCCATTTCTACAGTATAAAATCGTGTGTTTCCTCCCCAACCTCTCCTTTCTTTCCACAGTATTCCTAATCTAAACTCAACTCAAACATGCCCACCGATATTATCCTCCCCACCCTCACCGTCTGGGCGCAAGGTGCGCTCACGGGCCTCCTCGAGTCGAAGACGCAGGAGGACTTCGATGGGCGCTTCGAGTCCATGTTCGCGCGCGTGGTGAACGTGACCGTGAACGGGAAGCACCTCTCGCGGGAGCAGTACAAACAGGAGCTCCTCGACCAGTCTGCGGCGGGCCCGACACAGCAAAGCGCGACGCTCTCTGTCTCAGGCCAGCTTGAGGTCGAGCAGGGAGACCAGGGGCAGCTGGTAAGGAGATTTCCGCTCTCGTCCTAGTCTTGAGTTAGTGCTCACGATGATGTATTCTACAGGAGGGCCTCGTGGGACTGTTCTACACCTCGAATGTCTTCTCGAAGTTCCTTGTCCTCGGCTTCCCAGCTGAGATCAAGGTCACTTCGTCCTTGAACCTCGTGTAAGCATCCTCGTTCCCGAACCCAAGGAATCTCGTTACTAACTGAGGTCTTTTCTATCAGCGTCGCTCCTAAGGGCCACGAAGTGATCCCTCCCCACACCGTCGGCGGCGACTACGACTCCCGGCGCATTACCACCGTCAATCAGATTATCACAGAGCAGACATACCACGTCACCCTCCCCAACCTCCCGACAGGGACCGTCTCTGGCGTTACCACGAAGCCTGAGCTGGGCCCCGGACCGGTCAAGCTTCCTCCTCACTTTGGCCCTGGGCCCGTCAAGCTCCCTCCTCAGTGAGAGCCTATTGACCAGACACTGTCACGATGAGATATCTATTCTCAACTGCCTCTTGAATCTTGATATTTGGACGTTTGTAAACCTATAGTAATTCTTGCATTTCTTGACGATTGTGTGCTACCCATAGTTCTCGTTGTAATCATGATGTTGCTAATGTATAATCGTGGAATCGATACGTTCTCGTCTGTCCATCGGCCTTGCTTATGGGCGCAAACAAGATAAAATTGTCTTGCTACTGCGTACCAGTCTATGAAACAGGCGTTTAAGGTGCTGAGAAAAGCGTTCCCACGGTTTGACATCAACGTTCGAACTTCGGTGCACACGAGTTTGCCGTCGGGTTCATCGATGTTCATCGCCGACCACCACCATCCGCTCTACAGTCGAATTTGCTTGTACGTCGACTGTGGAAGTCACGACCTCTCATCCTGGCAACAGCGTTCTGGAGATAACGTTCTGGCGACAACGTGCCGGCGACGATCACTCTCGATGACTACGTTTCGCGAAGCGCGGCAATTCGGAGCTATAGACTCTGCTTGAGCTACTTTTATCGTTCATGCTCACCGTCGTGCTCTTTGGATGATGGTGTCAACGTTATGCTGCTTTCAATCTATCACGGACTTCAAGACAGTCCGACACTCTCCTGTATGACTACTGATCGCCGGGACGAGACGGCGGCTCTGACACTCGCTCGGCTACTAGCCTCTTTGCCGTGTTCAGGTTGGAGTGGAATGATACCTTTCTCCTGCTCGGGAGTCCCTTTCCATGTCTTGTAATGCTGGTCCTGCTGCTGAGCGCTGATGCACCTACCACCGGCATTCGGACCGCACTTACTTGGGCTGTTACGCAAGAACTCTGGTTTGCCTCTGCGCAGCAACCGGCCTCCGATACAATCCTCGGACCGCCGACCACAACTGACATGGAGCATATCATCATTTTGGACCTTTGAAGGCCAGCGCTGACATCAGATCGTTCCACTAATGGTACATTGCAATGTACTTCGGACACTTGCGTTAACATCGGGACTTCCCACCCGGCACATATCGCAATGAAGTCTCTTACATCCGGTCAGTGCGCTACTGAATTGATGTGGCGGATAATGGCGCCAGCGTTTGGTTGTACGCAGCTGCGACAATTGTTCTCCTGGCCTTATAAAGTCTGTTGCTGACGCACCAGGCGCCTCAACAATCAACATACACCCTCCTCACAAATCATACATTGCAGCCATGGTTCTCCCCGTTCTTCCTCCTCTCGCTAGCTGGGTCAAGTCTCAGCTCAGCACTGTCATCCAAGCCAGGAGCAAGCAGGACGCTCTCGCCGCGTTCGACAAGGCATTTGCTTCGCCCGTGAACGCCACGGTGAACGGCAAGCATCTGTCGCGCGAGCAGTACCTGCAGCAGGTCTTCCCTCTGTGGACGTACTTGGCTCCCGCTGCTGCGACTGTTACGTTCAAGGACGATACCGCGGGCGAAGATGCACAGCAAACTGTAAGATGATAATCCACACTTAGCTTGATACCGAGCCTCACCCATGTGTATTAGGACGGTACCGTGGGGCTCTTCTACACGGCGACATTCAGCTCTGGTCCCCTGGTCTTCGACACTCCGTCTATCGTCCACAATGTCTCCTCCTCAATCAACGTCCTGTAAGTCATAGCTACTACTTGGAAAAAGGCGTTGTTTCTCATTCCTATGTTCGCAGAGTTGAGCCTACCCAGCACCGCGATAACAACAACCCCAACGAGTTCTTTGACCCTCGCCGCATCGTCTCAGTAAACCAGGTATTCAACATCACCACGATGCCTGTCAAGGAAACGCCCCCAACTGCTCAGTGATGGCTGGGTATGGGTACGCTATAAGATAATCACGAGATGTGTGGAAAGACTCCCATTGTATAATACTTGCTATAACGATTTATCATGCTCACCATATTCGACGGCTTGATAATTCTTCATGATCCTGAGTAGCTAAAGTCTGTTGTTATTGATCCCCGATTATAATATGAGGTTAAACAAGCTGAGACCTCCTTGTGCTCTAGTGGATTGACGACATGGCGTCCAGTTGCTGCCGTTGGTCGTGACGCCGATCCTCAGTATGGCCTTGAGAGGCTTCGAACAACTTTGATAGTTTGTATGCTGTACCCAAGCACGCCAGCCAAAGCGCGGGGACAATGTAAAGATATTCTAGATTCTAAATCAAATGATTATGTATCTTGTTGGCTACACACATGCTGTGAACCCACCGAGGTTCCGTGAGCTTCGTGGCGCCAGCCGAAATAGCTAAAACAGCACGGATTCTACAAACTTCAGCAAGTATGGAGTGGGAAGCTTCAGATGTACAGCAAGTGTTTACAGGCGCTTATAATTGGTGGGAGCAAGCCGACAAACACAGCTCTTCCCGTGGGCCCTTCTTCGGGCTCGACGGATAAACAAACCTAGCAAGCAGCAACCCAAACAGGGCCGTCACGGTAGCAAGGTGGCGTCCCCGCCGCTGCCGACGCACCGACGCCGGTGGGCGGTGACCACAAGCACCGTAAGCCTGAGTGCACTGGCGTCTGACTCCTGCATTACTGTGATACAGCTATAAATGGGAGAGAGGTTGGGTCGGTTCTCCTGCCATCCAACCCACATCCCACATAGTCCCCCTCCTCTCCCGACCAGCCGCATCTCTCGACATGTGTCATCTCGTGTATCCCGTCTGCGTGTGCACCGAGTGCCATCTCGAGAAGCCCGTCTTCACGCCCGAAGATATCCGCGATAGCATGCTCAGATCGCGCATGGAATGCGACACTGACGACGTGAGCAAGCGCTCTGATTTGCAAGTTATGCGAAAGAGAGCACTGACGGCGTTTCTTCGCGTACCGCAGGATCCCAGATGCTCGGATGTGAAACAAGACTGCTGGTCCCGCCACTGCGCCCATAGCAAGTCGCACGCGAAGCACTCCGACGTCCACTGTTTATTTACCTGCAAGCAACGGTGAGTCCACAGCGCATCGTCGTTGCGCTACGTCCACGAGAGGAAGAATGCTTACCAAACGAATCATTCACCTTGATCTGTAGACTCGGAGAGGCGCTCCAGATACCAGGCGGCAACGCCCACTTCGTGTGTCATGACTGCAAATATCCAAAGGACGATCGTCGGTCTTACCAAAGCAGCCGTACCGGTGGGTACTTCTTGGGGAGTGGCGGGCCCACGTTCTCGTTTGCGCAGTCTATCGCCATGGTGCAGTGATTCGACAGCATTTTGGATAGTTCTTCTGATATCGGACGCTTATCGTACAATACATACCCATACCCCTATAGCCCTTTATAATAGGTAGCGTCCCACGACGGTGTAGGCGTTTGCGTTCGTGTAATTTCCAGCCAGCCAGCCACTGTGTAAGATTAGAACGTAGGATGATGATTCGCAGAGCCTTATGAATTCCAGAACATCTTCTAGTACAGATGCCAGCAGTTTAGTAAATCAAGTCAAGTGAGATAGTGTGCGAGTGCGGTGTACAGATGATGGTCCGTCCGTATGGAATGGGGGGTCGTGGAGTTATGCAGCGTAAGAGTGGCGTTTCAGGCCCATGGTAGCCTTGGAGTATGCAATAGTGTGCAGGAAGGCGCACGAGACGGCGTCGTGGATGCTGAACCCCTGGAATTGGCTGGCTTTGCGTTTAGGGAATGGGGGTTCGGGCTCGGGTGTCTGGATGTCGGCTTCTGGTGGGTCTGTGCACACAGAGCAGACGTAGGATGAGGACCCGCCGTGCAGCTCTCTGATCTTTCCTCTCCTGCCGCGTGGTGAGTCAACGACTGGCCTTAGGGGTGGGAAGTGGGGGTACGCCACTCACCACTGCTTGCATGTCAAGGAGCAGCACATGCAGTAGTCGGGGTGGTCTGAGCTGTAGACGCACCACCGGGAGTAGCAGTCCTGTTCAAGTTCCAACGATAACGTGTCCTGAGCACACCACAGCACGCTTGTGTTAGGGTGCTGAGGGCGCGCAATGAAGGAGCGTGTGGCACTCACATTATCAACCTCTCGAGATGCTCTCCACCCCCACTCCTTATCCTTCTCCCGGAAGAGGCGTTCAGAGAATATCGCGTCTTTGCGGCTGCACTTGATGCAGACTCGCACAGGAAGGATGAGATTGCACATGGTGTCTGTTTGACAGCAATAAACCTCAAACAGATATGCCGAATGCGAGCGTGGACAGGTGACGGAAAGAACAACAAGCAGGACCAGCCGCCAGTTGCGTTTTGGTTGCGCTGATCTTCGCGAACGAAGGACGGAAGACGCGAAGGGCGAAGGACGAAGGAGAGCGGAGGCGAATCGATATCGATGCAAGACAGGCAACCAGTGGCTATGAGGGCTGCGGCGTCGGGCAGAAACGAGGCAGAGAAGTCCATCCAATTTGTTTATAGGCGCATATGGGCGCCTACATAGACACATTTAGAATGCATCGCACAACGCGCAACGGCTGCAGACGACGGCTCACTGATGACGGTGGTAACGTTGCAACTTGCTCAACAATAACAGCTGCAAGAAGAACAAGTAAAGCACAGCCACCCATTCTAATACCCTCTCGCTTAGCCGACCTGCATCAGAGCCCTCTTGCCGGGTCTTAATATTAAAACTAAACCAAAAGAGACGAAGGGAACCTCGGAACGAGGGTCTCTTGCAACCTTGAAGCATGCAAAGAGGAGCAAAAATCCGACTTGCCTGGCTCGAACAGGCGACCTCAAGATGATCAGTTAACCATTACAGTCTCGCGCTCTTCCAACTGAGCTAAAGTCGGTATACCACGATGCCCGTGGTAGACAATATGACGCTTGAAGGATTCACGCCATCATGTGATCCTCCGATAATGGGCGAGGTGGGTTGATGTCAGGAAGCTAGGTTTTTCTGTTACCATTATCTCTTGGCTTTGGACTAGAAGTTCTAGTAGAAGGCTCGCCTCTTTTAGACGCGAGTCCCGTTGGTATGAGCAGCGATTGACCATTGTGCCGGTATCACGCTCGACTGCGGGTCGTTTTGTTTTAGCTTTTTCAGGAGCTGTTGTACACATTATCGCGTTACAAGATATCCGCCTCGTTCTGCGCACTGTGTCTTGTGCCTTATTATTGAGTTGCTGGAATGGCCATATCAATCAAGCTTGAGCAAGTCATCTCAATAATGTTTACCAAATTTAGCCCCTATTTACAGTACTTATGTCCCACATTCAATAAGTTCCCGGGCTCTACAGAAGCGGGACAAAACGGCCAAAAATTCGCGCTGCCGGCCTGAATGGGACACGGGACGAACTTCTGGTCGAAAAAGTACAGTACTTCGAAGTAGACTGTAACCGGGATATTCGGTGATTTGTAAGTTTTCTCACTAGACATTGAGACTAAATACTAACTAAACCCCGAAACGCCGGGGTTCGCAGGTATAAAGTACCCTTCTAGTCAAAGACAAATCAGGCCACCCCTCAGCTAGCACTTGCAAACGATGTCAGGTAAGAAACAAGTGTTCGTTATCGGCGGTACAGGTGAGCAGTTAACGCCAATTTTATGAGAACAACTGATAGTTAATGACTATTGTCGTGCGTATGACTGGTGTTAGGCTACATCGGCGCCTCTGTTCTCCAAAGGCTGGTCAAGCATCGCACGGCAGCTGAGTCGGAGTACACGGTGCTCGTGCGCTCCGAGGACAAGGAAAGGAAGCTGGCAGAGCTCGTCAAGTCCGGTGGGTTGGGCGACGTCGGCATCAAGCTCGTTCGGGGATCCAACGCGGACTTCGATGTGCTCGAGGCGCAAGCAGCCAGAGCTGATGTTGTATTTTCTATGGTGGGTGCTTTTACACCGTATACGCAAGAGTTGTGGATCTCAATGAGAGGCATAGGCGGATTCGGACGACGTTCCGGCGATTAAGGCTGTGATCGCTGGCTTGAAGAAGCGGTATGAGCAGACTGGGGTGGCTCCGATTCTGATACATACGGTAAGCCTATGGAGACATTATCTAATGCCAGTAGTATATTGAGTTTCCGATAACTACCTTAGTCCGGTACTGGTGAATTTGCTCATTTACTCATTACTCCGAGTTAATTTGCGGTGGCGTTGGGGCGTGAGGAACTCACCATGATGTTTCTAGGTGTTTTAATGGATAAGGCAGAGGGAAACTTCGAAGGGACAAACTACTATGATGACACTATTCCCGAGCACTTAGAGGCGCTCGCGGACACGCAAATTCATAGGCCTGTCGATCTGTTGGTGGTCGAAGCTGACAGCCAAGGTATAGTGCCCATTCTTTCATAGCTGTGCGAACGCTAACCTCAGCGGTGGGTTTTGCACACAGGATATCTCAGGAGTTATATCATTCTTCCAGGCGTGATATTCGGAATCGCGACTGGCCCCTTGTACGACGCGGGAGTTGGCAATCGCCACTCAATGGCAGTTCCCCTCCTCATCAAAAAGGGCGTGAGCCGCGGAGAAGTCGGCGTGGTCGGCGAAGGACTGTCCAAGTGGCCGGCCGTGCACATTGACGACAGTAAGTTTTATAATCAAAATACGCGTTGCAATTATGAACTACACTAAACTGTTCTACTAGCCGCCGATTTGTACATCACTTTGTACGATGGTGTACTCTCAGGACGAGCCGGCCGCGGTCGCGAAGGGTATTATTTTGCGGAGAACGGGCATTACACCTGGTATAGCCTTTCCAAGGCGGTCGCGGAAGCACTGGTGGCGCTGGGTAAAAGCAACAACATAGAGCCTACGCCGTTCACTAAAGCGGAGTACGAGGAGTCATTTATGGTAAGTGAATATATATACCTGTCATTGTTAATCAATGTGCCAATGTTCACTAACTAAACTTTAACGCGGCATACTAGCTCCGTGTTCTTGGGACAAACGCGCTGTGTCATGCTAACCGAGGGCGTGCGTTGGGCTGGAAACCCAAGTACACCATCGATGATTTGTACAGGAGCATAAAGCCTGAGGCCGAAGTACTTCTTAGCGTCAGCAGTTAAATCGTACCGTGTCATCATCAATGTAACACACACGCAATTGATGCATTATCTCTTAATGTGGAATTTTATGCTTATGTCTTGTGCCCTGGTCAGTCAATCCAGAGCTAAGGAAAGCGGCTTGGAGTAGCCCCTATGTCAAACACGTCGAAAGGCAGGTCCACAAAGTTTGAGTTTATTGACGACTGATGAAACTAAATTTCCATCATCATGCTTTCTTGCCCGTGGGCTAAAAACTGGCGAGTTCGTCTCCTTTTTTCTACAAGCGTATGTCCTGTTGGCATGTGTGGAAAACGGACGTTGTAATGACCATCGGTTGCTCATTAGAGTTTGCTGGACGCGTAACAGATGTTGCCTCACGCTACGACATCAAAGCTATTATACACCAGCACTTCAGGCGCTAAGTGCTGTGAACATTTATTGCGACTTGAAAGCACGTCTGTCGAAAAGCTATAGCCTATCCGTTTGCTACCGAGTCTTCAGGGTAAATTAAGAGGCGTCCTATGAACGCCGAGCCCTATAATCTATGCCAAACAAATCTCCGGCTGAACTTCCGTGCTCCTCGAGCCCCTGAGTCGGTTTTCTGTGTCCACACGACGCAAATGAGTGTCACTCCGGTACCAAGGACCGATAACAAGTACAGATGACCGACCGAGTCATGTACTCCATGGGAAAAGACAAGGAGGCCTTTGTCATGGGCCTGCGGTCAAGGAACGTGGTCATGGTGGAATTCAGCGCGATGCAGTGCGTCGCCGGCAAACGCCGTTGGCCGAGGTGCCTTATGTGGACGGATGGGCCGCAAGGATAAATTTCGTCCAGACCGCCCGCCGCCCTGTTAGCCATCGCCTTCTCTCAAACCGCCATCATCTCGTCTCAGCTCAGTCAAGTTCACAACACCATTTTCTTGTGGTTTAGCGTAAAGCTCAAGCCCACCATTCTCGTCTCAAACCCCACCTCTTCCCCCACCTTCTGTATACAGCCCCATCGAGGAGAGAACAGAAGACCGAATTTCATGCTTCGTCCTCCAACCAACAGCCCGTCAAATACGTGTTTCTTCAAATCGATATCTATAAGTACTGTACGTATCATTTTCCATCGTTGCTCGCCGACCCCCACTTGATCCGACGTACTGCGCCTGGTGCTGACTAAATGCCTCATCTCCCTCTCACAGCGCTAAGCTCAATCGCCCAGCATGGCAGGAGTCGTTAACATCCGTCGCGACGTCGATGACAAGTTCTACCGCTACCGCATGCCCGTTCTCCTTACCAAGATCGAGGGCAAAGGCAATGGCATCAAGACCGTTGTTCCCAACATGTCTGACGTCGCTCGCGCGCTCTCACGTCCCCCCACCTATCCTACCAAGTTCTTCGGCTGCGAGCTCGGTGCGCAGACGTCCTTCGACGAGAAGAACGATCGTTACATCGTCAACGGCGCCCACGACGCTGAGAGGCTGAGGGAGCTACTCGACGGGTTCATCGACAAGTTCGTGCTGTGCAAGTCCTGCAAGAATCCTGAGACGGACCTCATCATCCTCAAGAGCGGACGCAACGAGGACATCGTGCGGGACTGTAAGGCGTGCGGCGAGCGTACCGACATCGACATGCGTCACCGTCTCACGACTTTCATCCTCAAGAACCCGCCCAAGAACCCCAAGAAGAGCAAGAAGGGTTCCAAGGGCGAGAGCAACGGCAATGGCGGTGGACAGCACGCCGCTGCACCGCCCGTGCCCGGCGAGGATGATGGAGATGCGCCTGGCGCGGAGAGCGATGACGAGCTCACGAGGAAGATCAAGGCCGAGGCGGCCCAGCTTACCACTGACGCGGCCATAGCCAAAGAGGACTGGTCCGCCGACACGTCCGCCCAGGCTGTGAAGGCGCGGATGAAGACGCTCGAGGGTGCAGTCAGTGGCATGGCCATCAGCGCCGGCGACGATGACGACGATGACGAGGGTTTCGACAGCCCCTATGCACAGTTTGGCCGGTGGGTCGAGGAGAACAGGGACAGTGCCGACATTGGCGCCGTGCAGATCTACAAGAAGGCGGAGGAGCTCGGCGTGGAGAAGAAGCACAAGGCTGTGCTCGTGCTCGTCCAAGCTCTGTTCACGACGGAGATCGCGAAGGAGATCGATCAGTACAAGGCTCTCTTGTCCAAGGTGAGCTTTTTCTTGCTTTCCCCTTCCAACTCGTTCCTAATCGTGGACACAGATGGTCACATCCGAGAAACACCAAAAGTCGCTTCTTGGTGGCATCGAGCGCTTCGTCGGCAAAACCCACCCTGAACTTGTGCCCTCCGTGCCCAAGATCCTTATGGCACTGTACCAGAATGACATTATCGAAGAGGAGGTCGTCACTCAGTGGGGCACACACGTCAGCAAGAAATACGTCGACAAGGACACGAGCAAGAAGGTCCGCAAGGCGTCCGAGCCGTTCTTGAAGTGGCTTGCGGAGGCGGATGACGATGACGACGATGAGGATGATGAGTAGATGGCCAACGCATTGAATGGCTTGATACGATTCGTTCTGTCTATCAAAGTTATAACATAACTCATGTGTCAAGGTTTCCCATGAATGTTATCAATATGTTGTCATGTTTACTGGTTTGACATGAGTGCTTCTTTCTCGCCCAGGAGGGCAGCAGCTCTGCGATGAACAGCTTTTGACCCTGCATGATCGTGTAATGAATCCCAGGATATCTCCGTCCATCTCGGGTGCGTTGTCCCTCGATGATACATCAAGCTCATGAAGGCGTAGTGTGCACCAGCGACAACATACTTGTGCATTTACTCTAATGGCATGCTTAAGCCTAATGGCAAGGGTCGTGGGGGTACAATGGGGGTAACACCACCAAATCCCACCCCGCCAATTTCCTTCTTTGTCAACCATCCCAGCGGTATAGGGGACGGGTAATAACTTTAGTTGATTGATGATGATGAGTACATTGATTTATGAACGAGCAGTCCTTGTGATACTATGGGTACAATACTTCAAGATGCTACCGGAATATGATGCCTGTCGACGCTTCCGACATTTTATATCAATTTCTTGCACTTTGGTAGAACTCAATTCTCCTTTCTGTCGGCCTTAACCTACAGCAATCGACATCAGGTACATACGCGAGCAAGCAAAGGGGGATCCACTTACGGCCTCTTCGCTAGGGGTGGGACCATTGTGCACGGTCTCCTCTTCATGGATGGTCCGCTGCCTCATAGCCCCACTGGGATCCACCTCCACGTCCGTCTGTTCATATTCCAAATCGACATCAGCCGCGCCCACCACACCTTCAAACTCTCCGACCCTGGCATCGCCTAGCGGCCCACTAACCTCGTCATGTGTGTACAGAGCCTCGCGGCTGCTTGGGCGCTCCTCGGGGTTGTGGCGCGCCTGCAAGTAATCCACCGTCGTCCTCTGAAGATCTTGTGGACCAAGGGTAGAGCGGTCGGCCTGCAGTATTATATAAGCGACTTGATCGCGATACGTGAACAGGGAGGGTAAAAATCACTCACTTTGACATGTGCCTCGGACTCACTAGCAAGGTGTTCGTTCCAGCCCGGCGCCTCACGAATAGGGGTTGAAGTTTTATGCTGGCTTCCAGTCAAGTTGCGCGCCTTCTCGGCGTCGAGCGTCTGGTGACGGACAGGCTCAGGTTCTGAAGGAATAAACATTGCAAAAATGTAGACGCACCTCTGCGTCGTTGTCATGCATGGTGCTAAAGCTATGAAATCCATATTTCTGCGTTTAAGCCATTAAAACGTTTGCATACCTGGAATAAAGTCTGCGGACGCAGTCAGAACACCATCCATGCTGAAAAGAATGGCGGTAACGCACCTTGCAGAAGCATACCGGGGAGTGGTGACTGCTGCTCGAGCAGCGCGGCCGGTGATGTTGCGAATGGCTAAGGAGTACATGTTGGTTAAGGGAGGAGGATGCGCACGGCCAGACGGTATATATTATGTCTTGGCCTTGACGTCATGGGTGAGCACCGGTGAGCGTCCGCCAGTGGCCGCGAAGTTGTAAGCGGGTGTCCGCTTATGGGGCTTTCTGATGTCATAGGAAGGTGCTCCCTGGTCTTGTGTGCCCGTGATATACTCGTGATCGCGTCGTAGTGTACGCGTCGCGCTTCCGGCGAGATGGTTGAAGTACGTTCGAAACGCCTCCAAAGCCACTGATCGCGTCCAACATTGACGTCGACGGACATCGCGAAGTGACAGCTTTCATTAACGGCAGCTTCGTACCTTTTGGCAATCCCATTGACTATGCCCACGTTCTCGCGCCTAAAATAAGTCCGTTCCGGACCAAATTGTCCTAGGCGCACGGCCAAAGCGGCAAGTAGCGTAAACACGTCGCGAACGATAACATAGGAAGATAGTACAGTCCAAATGACGGCATTACTGATGCACACAAGTTCTTTCAGGATGTCACGTCCCAGTCTCTCCGCTTCACCACGACGTCAAACCTTCGCACGTACTCTACTGGCGGTCGTTCTTCATCCCATGAGTGACTGACGCGGATGATGAGCTTAGGCATGTGCGAAGCAATGAACGACCTCACAACTCAGAAATGTGTTTATTCCATTCACATTCTCGCATGATGTTCCCAGAATCACGCTGACACAAGCATCGAATGCCATGCTCTGCGTCTTGAAGCTGCTTCGCCAATTTTGGCTGATCTATCACTGGCCGTTGTACCCACCTGGCTCCACCTTTGAAATGGGACCGGCTTGCGTGTCGAATCTTGAAACGCAGTCTTCAGATAAGCCAACGTTGGTGGAGAACTGGCGCTCTTACCGCTTCTATCCACGTCATGGATGTCGTCTGCATTCTATAGTCACAGCAAGAAGCGCAAGCGAGTCGGACGTTACTGCAGCTCATTTCGTAGGGCGTAGCGCGTTCAGGATCCATACCGCACGCTCGTATGACGTCTGCAGCGGGCTTGAAGAGCCTAACGATTGGGTGGCCTCCCTGACCGTTAATAGACCACGGTCGGCCTTTGATCCCTACATTCTGGAAGTGGGTGAGAATGCCGTTCAGACGGTGTATGGGCCAAGGGTCTTCTCTCCACTTTGAGAAAGACTCGTGGCGGAGAACGTCGGGGTAAGTCATCAAGTGCGCGTGGATGTGTCCAACCGGGCTGCGGGATCGTTCGCGATCGACAATGAAGATAGAGCTAGCAAGTTTGAGGCGTCTCGTCACTTCAAAGTAGTGAATGTCTGGTTTGACTCCATCAGACAGACAACAGGTGGCCAGCTCGAGGTCAACTTTGTGCCGCCATTCACACACAAACTCTTGGAATGCTGCTAGACATTGTTGCAAGTCATATTCTGCGACAGGCTCGCAGGGATCGGTGGTCTCAATTACCTTCTTGAATGGATGAGATGCACATAGGTCGCCCAGAGGAGGCACAATGACATCGAAAGTCATGCAGGAGCTCCGTTGAACAAGATAACGACGCCATACGTTCTCGAAGAAGCGACGGCGAGGGGTGTAGGTTTCCTGTTCCATCTTGACATTATCAAGTTCTTTCATGTACTCTATGAGCACATTGCGAGTGCGAGTTTGGTCTGTGTCGGAGGACCATGAGCAATGCCAGCAGCAGGTGGCATTGCGGGCTCACTATCATACGCCAATGGCTGCGTTTTGCGGATCAGTTCATGCTTGGCGATATTTTCCCAGCCGAAATGGTTGATGACGTCCTGCCATCCCCACTCCATAAGGCATGCACGTATACTATGAAGTTCAGCAGTCAGCGGAGAGTTTAAGTGAGGCCCATACCACCTACTCTTGCGATCGCTTTAACCGTATTCTCTTTGCTTCGTCCCTACGACGTTCCGCTGCTCGTCTCTCCCAATCCCGGCATTGACGAACATGCTAAAAACCCGGTCAATATCTTAGTCGCCACTCGCGATCCGATTGACAGTCATGATTACCTGTTCAATCCCGGGCGTGGGTTTCATGATATCCGATAGCTGAGGCACGCATCTGTAACATAGTCTCCGACAATACCTCCATGGGTTCACCCGAAGAGCCTTCTCGCCACAGTTCTAGATTCCCGGATCACGACCCACGCACACCCGAAATAGCGATAATTCTTACCGCGCATCGAGATCCAAACGCCAAGTTTGCATACTGGCGCTCAGTCAGATGAGATGGGCGCTCGGGCATGTCCCCCTCGTGCAAGAGGCGTGCTTCCCTCCACACAAAGGTGTTTTGGATGAGCAGGCGGCGGAAGGCCCTCGAGGTGCGCGCGAGGCTAAGGAGGTCACGAGGGTGGAGGAAGGTGCAGATCTTCCGGACGAAGGGCGTTGGGCACACACAAAGCTGAGAAAGTAGCGCACGACTCACCTCGAGCAGGACGTCGAGGTTGATAAACTGCATCCTCTCCAGTGCTCCTTTCCGTCTGGTCGGTCTTCCTTGTTTCACGACAGATGGCGACAGGACCGCCAATGTTAGATCGTAGACCATCTCTTCAAGAGTTGGAAGGGGAACGGGAGAGGCGGACTCTCAGAGGAGGGATCTAAAGAGGTTAGACGAGATGGGGGTGAGGAGGGTCAGGCCCGAGGGGGCACCATCTTATACGTTCCATCTCCCCTCGCACAATTAATCCACGTTATTGGAGTTATTTGCAGTACCAAAGGAAGCAGCGCTTCTCCCTCCTGCTAAGTTGCCGGTTGGACGGGTCACAGGATTGCCAGAAAGCTGCTGAAGCGTCAAAGCGTGTTTGGATAGTGCCATGGTGACATGTAGGATTCGCATAGACCACGTCCAGCGGCGCTCAATGTTTTATGTGCTCCAAGCTAGAAACAGAGGGCGGCAAGTTTGCCAGTTGTGAAAACGTGCCGGAATGAAGACATGGATGGTGCATCATGGGCGCATGAGCATTCAGGAAGGTGAAGCGAACGACTCGGAAGAGAAAATATTGGATAATATAATTATAGCGTGGGCGGATCAAAAACCTAGTAATAATTTATATTCCCATGCAAGTACTGTCCACAACCTCCATCATGCTTTTAGGTCTTGCTCATCGATTCACCACATCAATAACGCACAGGAACACAGGAATCAGTGAATCAATGCAGATTTTCCGTCATTGATACATATGTACATGTTTATGAATACATCGACATCAAGTCCACTCCTTCATTGCGCAATCAACACAGCACGGTACCGCACCTCACCCTTATCCAGTCTGTCCAGAGCCTCCTCAATGCCAGCCTCATTGAGAGGGAACTCCTGCATCACAGGCTTGATGTTGTGGACAGCGGCGAAGCGCAACGTCTTGTTCTGGATTCCGCGGGAAGGGCACACCACAGCCTGGAACTTGATGCTGTTGGCGAGGAAGGGCATGTACGGCACCTTAAGGTCCTCGAACGAGACAGACATGGGGTAAATGGTACCCAGGGGCTCGATCAAGGGGAGGAAGCTGTGACTCAGATGTGAGGGATGGTAATGGACTTCAAGCCTACTTCACGTACAGGTTCCAGTCAGGCTGCGCGCTCGTTGTCACGATCAGGTGCTGCAGGGGAAGCCCGATGCTGAGAGACTGAGCGCCCTTCGTGGAGTAGAACTCGGTGGCACCCAGCTTCTTCGCCTCTTCCCTCTTGTTTTCCGACCCGGAAAAGACGATGACTTCGCAGCCCATCTTCGCGGCGTACTGGATAGCGAGATGGCCTAGACCTCCGATGCCAACAACACCGACGCGGTCAGTACATTTGACACGGTTAAGGAGCGCGTTAAAGACTGTGCCGCCGGCGCACATGAGGGGAGCGGCGGCAGCGGAATCGAGGGAATCGGGGATGTGGAAGAGGAAGTTGGCCTTCCATACACCGTGCGTGGCGAACGCACCCTGGTCGAGGTTGTGCGAGGCGTACAGTTCACGATCTGGGCAGTGGATCTCGTTGCCAGAGTAGCAGAGGTCGCAATGCAAGCATGCGTCGTGCTGGTAGCCCCAGCCTGCGCGCTCACCGCTGTGAAGAGGTTAGTGGACATACCCATGATTGATCGACCAAAACACTTACACCTTGAAGGTAGTGACGTTGGAACCGATCTGCTCAACGACACCGACGCCTTCATGACCGAGGGCCATGTCCATCGTCCTGTAGTGGGCATCCGTACCGCAAAGGCCAGCGTGCGTCACCTTCACCAGAACATCGTCGGGCCCAATCTCCTTGTGGGTGGTGGCCCTGACGATCTTGCCGCTGCTGGAGCCTTTGAAGACGGTGAAGTCGATTCCGGTCATGTCTAATGGCGGATTGGCGGATTGGAATTAAAGACAAAGAAACGGTACCCCAGGTTCGCACTGCGTCTTTATACACCTTCAACGCGCATAAATGCCGCCTACATAGATCATGAGGCGCAGATTAGAATGTGCTTCCGTCCGCGCGTTCGCAAGACTAAGTACTTTTGACATGTCTCCCGTTCTAAAGGGTGCTGACTTCGGAGATGGGCTCACAGTCCTGCTGAAGATCTTGATGCGCGTCGTAAATACCTTGTTTCCTCGAGGCTCCCAACCAATAATATGCAACCAGAGCTCTTCATTCTCCACGCGTTTGATGCTTTGTCCGACTGTGTCCGGCCTGGCTCGGTAAACACTTGAGCCTGAAGTAGCCAGAGTTTCCCATGCACACCTTCTTTCGAAGAGTATTGGAGCTGAAACGCAGTCACATGAAGCCCAGAGAATGGCCCTCTATTGATCCAACCGACCTTATCAGCCCACCTTTGGTCTCGGTTCCCGTTGGTAGCAACATCTGAGATCAAAACGCATTCGAGAACCGGAGAATCTTGTCAGCCACACGGCTGTATGACGTCCTGATTACAGCTTTCAACTTCAACACTAGTACTTACTGAATGGGCCTTGACGAACCGACTAAGTAGATGGAGCAGACGGCTGATGTCCTCGTCCCGCGTTCTCGGAGAATCCTAGCTCGGGAGGTTCAGTCAGCGCTATTAGTTACTTCCGTGCCCTGTGCAGGATGTCGAGTATCAATCGAGTGTCGACGTGGGGAAGGTATGCAAGGGTGACTCTCACACCCCTGAGAGGATCTGAGTGCGGACAGACAAGAGAACGTGGGAATCCTGCTCAGAGCTAGTTTCAACTCTTTTCACTTTTCATTGTCTTTCAAATTTCAACTCTCAGACTACGCCAAATTGGTTTCAACACACCAAAACGCGAGCTTTGAACTGTACGCCAACTAGACACCCACAGGCTCTCCTGATGCTCTTCGTCAAGAGTTCAAGTGAAAGATCTGGTCATCCTCTGGGAAATCTCTTTGCTCGCCGAAGTCTTTCTCGCGTGACGTCTGAAGGGTCCGGCCCGGGAGTCATCACATGAAATTGCTCAGATTCAGCGCTCAGCTCAGTCGGTGACTAGATGCCTTATGTCTGCGGACTCCTCAGTTTTATTACCCAAACAGCGATGCTGAGGTTAATCGACGTGCTCGCCATGTGCCCCGTGCTTCTTGACAGGCACAAAAAGGATTCTGTACTCGACTTCCACCTTGGCTAGTCATGATGCATGATGGAAGTCGAATGTGATTTTCTCTTTGCGCCCTCGAAACCTTCCTCTGTCGGCGGAAACTCTTGGCTCATATTTCGGACGCCACCTGAAACCGCAAAGTCTAGCATATGATGGTTTTGCAATGTCGCGAGATGGTCGGCCTTTCTTTGCCAAGTCTATCAGTTCCTGCACTGAAGTTCCGAGGATATCGCCAGACCTCCGGGCCAAGAGCAAAATTGTGCCGTCTTGGTTCATGACAGACTATCGCGGATAGTTATCACGGCTGGAAGTCAATCCGAGCGCTCTAACGGGCCTGGAGATGAGCACCAAACACCTCTTTAGCTCTAGCTCCTTTCTCTCCGGCACGACGAGGTAGTCGAACGAATTGCTATTTTGAACCTTCAAAACTTCACGCTGATTGGACTACCTGACTATCCACCTAACTCAAGAAAGCTGAGTTGCACGGCGCCATTATAATTACCGAAGCGTAACAATGGTAAGTTCGAATGTCATTACGCTTAATTATTGTGATATTAAACTACAATACATATACAGATCAATTACTCGTCTCGTCATAAGGTTCACGCTTTATCGGCCACGAGGACGGCTCTGTACTTGATGTCGCCCTTGTCTAACCTATCCATCGCCTCCTCGATACCCTTCTTTGTGAGTGGGAACTCCTGGGTGACGGGCTTGATCTTGTGAAACGCAGCGAAGCGCAAGAACTTCATGTGGATAGCGCGCGACGGGCAGATACATCCCTGTACGCGAATGGCGTTGACCAATATCGGCTCGTATGGCAGCTTGAGCTCTCCCTCTGATACGGTCAAGGGGAAGATGGTGCTACCGGGAGCCATAATCGACAGGTACCTGTATCGAGTTTCAATGCTCAGAACGTCACAGAAGCAACGATTAGGGAAGTCCGCACATGTCCCAGTCCGGCTGCTGGCTCGTCGTGACAAGGAGCTGGTTCAGCAGCTTCCCGATCTTGAGCTCCTTCGCACCCTTGATCGGGTAGAACTCGGTCGCGCCCAGTCGTATCGCCTCCTCCTTCTTGCTCTCCATGCTGGAGAACACAACGACCTCACAGCCCATCTTCGCCGCGATCTGGATCGCGAAGTGCCCGAGCCCGCCGACGCCAACGACGCCGACCCGGTCGGTATCGCGCACACCGTATTTCTCCAAAGCGTTGAAAACGGTTGCGCCGCCGCACATCATGGGCGCCGCGTCGGACGAGGAGATTTCGTCGGGGATGTGGAATAGATAACTCTCATTCCACACGGCGTGCGACGCGAACGCGCCACGGTCGTGCTCGTGCGTGCCGTACATATGTCGCTCGGGGCAGAGAATCTCATCGCCGGTCAGACAGTTCTCGCAGTTCATGCAGGACTCGTGGAGGTAGCCCCAACCCGCGCGATCGCCGCTGGTATGTACCAAGGCTTCGGTGAGCACAGCTAGGTCTAGTAGATCATCTATGACGACTCACACTTTGAAGTGTGTCACTTGTGTTCCAATCTGCTGCACGACACCGACGCCTTCGTGGCCAAGGACCATGTCCTGACCCCTGTAGTGCAGATCGGTGCCGCACAGGCCGGCGTGGGTGATTTTGATAAGGACCTCGTTGGGAGCAAGGGCGTTGGCGACAGACGTTCCTTCGATGATCTTGCCGCCCTCTGAGCCCTTGTAAACAGTGAATTCGAGTGTAGGCATGGTTGTATCTAAGGTTTTAGGAGGATGTAATGTCGAGACAGGAGAACAAATGTCGTGCAGAACTTGGTAAGTCTGTTGCGAAACGAGTGAAACTCTTTATACCTGAGCGACGAGCCTATGATGTAATGTTGGTTTTAAAGGTGTCAGGAGAGTGCAAGGGGCCGTATGTTTAACGAATTCAAGTTAGTCATCGGTCCCTGAATAAGCCATCGACCGTATAACACTGCGTGTCAGTTCAACGATAAGCACCCCGAAATATACGCTGGATCGGCTCCCCGGTCAAGCAGTACCCATATAGCAACCCTTGAAACACGGCATCCAAGACGAAACACGGTATAATAGTTCTTTCTCCTCCAGCACCGATGTCTGTGCTACATTTTCACTGGCTAGCATGTGTGCAAGCTCACAAACCATCGCGTTAAGAAACGATCGTAGAGTTCGCCACATTTTTCATGGGGCGTGCCATGTTTCAACTTTCAACCAGGGTGCGCTGACGACATGCAGACAGTTTAAGTTGAACAGCATGCCTGATTCATGATTGAAAAAAGGACCGGAGGAAAGCAATTCGCTCGCATCGTGCCATGCTCGTATGTCAATGCTGCACTCGCTTAGGATTTGACGTTGTCGCGCTCCGCTGTCAGACTTGAGCGAAGCGCCAGGAGATACCTGATCGGTGCAGTATGTAACTGCATCATCGAGGCATTTCTCTCTCTGCTTGAACTAAGTGTTAAATCTTTGGAAGCATGTAGAGGAGGTTCGGGCTGGTTCAGAAACCCTGAATGCTCCGCGAGTGGTTCCCGAGTTTTATCAGCTCAGAGATTATTTATAGTTCGATCGCTCTCTACAGCAATAGTTAAAGTAGCAACAAAGATCTGGGTTAAATGTTCTACAGATTCGCCAAACTTACACTTCCGGTGCTGATGGGGTGGGGGTATGATGTTTTCAATACTCTACAGATTTTTCCTGCGTGGGACTCACGGATGCTGGCTGACCAAAACTCCTCGGTACTTCATCTGCCCTTGATCCAACTTGTCCATCGCCTCCACGAGACCGTCAAGAGTCAATGGATACTCTTGGACAATAGGCTTGATTTTGTGGTGGGCAGCAAAGCGGAGCATCTGCTCGTGAATACCACGCGAAGCGGTCAGACTTCCCTGAACACGAAGGCCGTGCAGGACGAGGGGCATGTATGGCATGTTAAAGTTCTCCCTAGAGACACTCAGCGGCACAATGGATCCCTGAGGCACCATCAGCGGCAAGTATCTACCAGACTGCGTCAGCCAACCCCATTCGCGCCCAGCATCGATGCAGAGTTACTCACAGTGACCAATCCGGCTGCTGGCTTGTCGTGACGATGAGGTAGTCGAGCTTGCTGCCGATCTGGAGCTTCTCCACGCCTCTTGTTGCGTAAAACTCGTCCGCACCCAGTTCGACAGCCTCCTCCCGTTTGCTTTCCGTTCCCGAGAAGACGACAACTTCGCAGCCCATCTTGGACGCGAACTGGATCGCGAGATGTCCAAGCCCACCGATTCCGATGACGCCAACGCGGTCCGTGCTCCGCACCCCTAGCTTCTGCAGCGCGGTGAACACCGTCGCGCCAGCGCACATCAGCGGGGCAGCGTCAGTAGAAGAGAGAGAGTCGGGGATGTGGAAGAGGAAGGCGGCTTTCCAGACAGCATGGGAGGCGAACGCGCCCTGGTCGAACTCATGAGTGCCGTACAGGTGGCGCTTGTCGCAGAAAATCTCATCGCCCTTGAGACACTGCTCGCACTCAAGGCAGGCGTCATGGAGGTAGCCCCATCCTGCGCGATCGCCCCTGTAAGGAGGGAGTCGTTATAAGTAGATGTGCACGCGCTTGCGACATTCGGTAGAATACGTACACTTTGAACTTGGTTACTTGGCTGCCCACTTGCTGGACTACGCCGACACCTTCGTGGCCAAGAACCATGTCCTGCGAGGTGTAGTGAAGGTCCGTGCCGCAAAGACCTGAATGGGTGACCTTGAGGATGACTTCATCGGGGCCTAGCGTCTCGATGAGCGCTTTCGCCTCGACGACCTTGCCCTCTTTTGAGCCCCTGTATGTGACGTACTCGAAGCCAGTCATATCGATGTGTGTGGACGGTCTTGGGACTTGAGAGAATGGAGAATCTGATGAGGAACGATGCTGAGCGATAAGACGCCTTTTATACGCGTCGCCTGAGATGCTGGGCACGGATTGAAAGGTGAGAGGAAGCGACCATGGCGGATGCGAACAAAGCCGGTATCCGCTCACCGAAGCGAAGAGAGACAAGCCTTAATAAGCTAGCTTATCGAGCCGGTTACCAGCGGAAGGCCGGTGTGCTTTGTCAGAAATCTTGGGTCTCTTTCTATTATGCCATTGGTTGTGTCCATCCATCGAGCCTACGCGACCGAGCACAACCCGATGTTAATGCCCTCAAGATAAAGAAAGACGCTGACGCAAGCTAGACAAAACCATGCAGAGACTATGGATGACAAAAGAAATGGCATTACTATAGCGACCACGACGTTCGGCATGTCTCGACAAAGCTTCAACTCTGTAGACACATACTTGCAGTAGGACCTCGAAACAGCGCGGGCCGAGCGTCAGATTTTTACCGTCTTCTCACCAACACCGTCAAAGCCCACACCCCTCAAGTTCCACTTGCAGTCCACCTCTTGCGCCCGACCGCGCTCATCATGCGCGCGGCTCCAGACAGTCGCGAGTCGCGTTTTGCCATCTTCTGAACGCCGCAAGCTCGTCTCGTCTACCTCGAGGATTCCTTCCCATAGCGTCCAGCTCCATTGACCCTCCTGATACGTGATCTTCGCGTCCGTCCATGTTTGACCAAAATCAGTGCTAAGCTCGACGCGGCTCACGCGACAGCAAGAGAACGCGTATCCCTTGGCTCTGACCAAGATCTTGTCATATGAGCCCGTATTTGACTGGACGACTGCGACCACGGAGTTGACATCGAGTTCCTGCATCGGGGGTATTTTGTCCCACCAGTCTTCTTCGTCTGCTTTCTCTAGCGAGTCGACCTGGAACCAATGAGATGGCGGCAAAGTCGGCCATGAGTATCTGACCCGGGTGCTTCTTGCGAAAGATGACAAAGAAAGCGCTTTTCAAGCTGCTTACATTCTCTGGGAGAACCTTGTAGTCCTTCTTCTGGTACTTTCCAGGCGACTCCTCGCGCGAAATCGTCAGGGTTTTCAGCCACTTCACCCATCGCGTTCCGGTGTACCCAGGGATGACCATGCGCATCGGAAAGCCGTGCGGAGCCCGCAATGTATCCTCGTTCATCTGAACATTAGCATGTTTCGTCTCAATATCCAGCTACAACAAAGCCCATACCCCATATGCGATAATGACACTCCCCTCCATGGCCTTCGCCAGCGGTATCGAGACGCTGAAGTTGTTTTCCTCGGTCTCCTCGTTGGCATCATGCGATGCGAACCAGACGTGCCAGCCGACCCACTCGTCTGGCTTGTCGGACACGCCAGCGTTTAGCAGGACACGGCTCACTGGTGTGCCGAACCACTTGACGTTGGCGATCGTGCCCTCGCCCCACTTGAGCCCTTCGACGTCGCGGCCAGTCTTCTCGGCCATTTTGCCGCGTCGGTTACCCGCGCACTGTAAACATGGAATGGTTAGTCCATTGAAGCACTGGTGGAGAAAGGGGGAAAACAAAGCTCACGTGTAATACGGCAACAATGTGCACTGTAGGCATATACTTCAACAGATCCGCGACCGTGAACCCGGCGCTGTCTTTCACGCCTGGATATTCGCCTCCAATCTCGACGCGGAACTTTTCCCAGACAACTGCAGAGCCGGGCTCGTGTTCGTAGTTCTGGATCTTGCCTGTATAGTGGAATTCAGCTGTCATCCGGGGCGTTAACGTGAGTGCTTTCCCAAGGACTAACCGTGGTTTCTGGCGTAGACCAGCTTTGTGGGCGTTACTTCATACTTGATGAGCTCTTCTGGGCTCTGAGGCTCAGCGTTGAGCGGGTCGTCGGAAAGGTGGTGTAGTTCCTCGGCGGCTGACATTGGGGAAAATGGGGAGACTCGTTGAAGGACAGGGTGGCTGCTGTGGTAGAAAGAATGTAGAAATCACGGGTATGAATGTGCAGCTACTTGTAACGCTTGGGTTCCTCTTGGAAATGTGGAGTAAGTGAACATGGAGCCCATGTCATCCACTCCTAGCCACTCCTTCGAAGGAATGTGTTCAAAGGAAGCAAGCGTTGTTAAAGCTCGATGATGTCATTAAGGCCTAATGCAAATGGGTCAGGTCAGTGCAGATCTTATCTTATCTTCATCCTGTCATTTACCACAAAATGGTGTTGGCACCTGCTGGCACCCACTGTATGGACTGACGAACAGGCAAGGACCTTGCGGACAGCAAGTACTAGAAGCAAAGGGATTAATACAATCGTGCGTCGTGCCTGCGAGGATGATCGGACCAACCACAGCCGCCCGGGCCATTAATATGTAATGCTTTAGCGTTCACAGAAGCATATGCTACCGATCTCATAGCGCGCCCACACCATGCCATCGAGGGAAGAACATTTAGTTCTTCTGCTGTACATCGAATCCTGTCGTGGAACGTTCTCCCCGGATTCACTGCTACTGAAGAACGTTTTGCAGGGTCATCGCATCGGGTTGGCAATAAGACAGACCGCCGGTACCATGTACTGCTATGCTAGGTCTGAATACACCTCCTCCAATTTGGTGTTCACGCATTCACGCTTCAGGACCACTCAGGCTGGCGAAGCCGGCGGCATCCACTGGATGACCCGCCTCTTCCCATGGGCCAGCCATTCGTCGTCATTGCTAGGCGAAGCACCAGTGGACGCGTGGTACACCACCGGCGTGGTTGGTCATTCAAATTCCTCGTACGTCTTTATACGATATGATGTCTTCGCGTTCCAATATTGAGTTCACTCCGCGCTTTGATCTAGAGTGGTGGAAGCAGTATTGCGTGAAGCAGTAAAATGTCCAGGAAAGACATGAAAGGAGTGTTGTCATGCCTCACCCGTTTAGCGTGATATATGTATGATGCTTTGACACGATAACTTGCGACGTAACACTTTTGAGGTGAAGCTTGACAATGTATTATTAATCCGCGACTATGAGAGTTCAGCTCATGTGTGTCAGTGAGAGTGAGTGATGATGTAGCGACTGGATTTCTTTCTAGTGAGCACATGCCTCGCGGTCAAAATGAAATTTGACTCATCAAGCATATGCATATTGACAAGAGGTGCCGTGGTGAGGACAATGTTAAAGACGAATTATCATTAACTTGTCGCAAATATGGGTTACTATACCGATCAAATTCCGATGCTTTATAGGTATTAGCCCAGCGGCAGTAGCCGCTACTTATGATGACATCAGGCGTCAACTTGATTGTCAAGGCAGGACGACATCTGATGACATTACCAGTCCTCTAGAGTCAATGTCGGATGAAAAAATGCGACAATAATCCCACTGGTCACCGCCTAAGGAAAACTTGACGCTATGCCGCTTGCAGTACGCGTAAGCTTCTCGTGATGTCCTTGTAAAACAATCTCAAATGCACACAACATTATGGATGTCTTTGGATGGGATGATGATGCAAATTACGCCTGCGATACCAAGCATGTAATTGTAATTCGTAATGCTCCTACTACTTTTACGCCTACTCGTCCGCCTCGCCTGCGACGATGACATCGTCTAGAATCGCGTGTCAGCACAAAGAAACTCGTTCAAACTTCCAAATAAACTCACCGATCTTCAGCACCGCACGGACGAGCTGGGTCGCCAGAAGGTACTGTTGCCGCTTCGAGATCAGAGGGTCGTACACGAACTGCTTCTTCATGTCTTTTGGGAAATATATCAGCAACCTGAACGCAGTCATGGATAGAGGCCGCGTACCGTTCTCGCCCTTGCCGGAGCAGTCGATACCAAGGCGGGTGTTGCTCTCGGTAATCTGCCGGCTCTTGACCTCTGCCAGCGTCTCTATTGGCGAGAGACCACTGTTTTCGGCCAGGGCCAGCGGGATGGCATCGAGGGCAGAGGCGAACGCGCGCATGGCGTACTGCTCGATAGTGGGGATCTGTCGAGCGGCTATGAGTTGGGTGTATGCGATGCTTTGAATAGATATTAACCTCATCAGCAGCCTTCGCGACGGCTACAGCGCAGCTGATGTCGGCGGCACCACCACCGTACACAACTCGGTTGTCGGTGACGAGGTTGCGAACGGCGCAGATGGCGTCGTGGAGCGCACGCTTTGCCTCGTCGACGATCTACGGTGGCAGAACCAATGTTAACACGATAGTCATGTTGAACGGATTACTGTGACCCACCATCTTGTTGCTCCCGCGAACAAAGATTGTCACCGCCCGAGAGTTGGCGCACTCCTCAATCACGAGCATCTTGTCCCGCGTCGTTCCAAAAGTGACTTCGCGGACTACGCCCGCCTTTCCGAGCTTCGCGGCCGTAAGATCCTCGAATCGGGGGACGATGCGTCCTTGCGTGGCGATTGCAATTAACTTGTGTTTAAAGTCTCAGCCTTCGACACTTTTTATAAAATCACCGACACCTCAAACGCACCTCGATCTCGGGGCCACCAACCCACCGCACAGCAGGAAGCTCGTTCTGCATTAACAAATGGTTCGCCTCGTCATCAAAGCCCCACTGGCAAATGACCAAGTTCGCGCCCGTGTCCTTGACCATCTTGATCATGTCCGCAAACTTGGCCTTTTCATACTCGCGCAGCTTCTTGAATTCGTCCACGCTCGTGATGTCCAGGTGGTGCTTCGTCTTGGGCCGCGGCGGCTCGAACGGGCACGTGAGGATCGCGAGGCGGGCGTCGGTGATGGCGTGCGGCATCTGCGGGTGCGACATGTCTTTGTCAATGAGGACGCCCTTGATGAGCGTCGTGTCGGCGAGTGAGCCGCCGACTTTGCCCTCGACTTTGATCAGGTCGAAGGGCACGTCGCGCCGCTCGACGTCGGCGACGGTCAGGACGGCGTCGACGGCGATTTGAGCGAATTGTTGGTGCTCTTTTGATACACTGTAGAGTAAGGGGTGAGTTAACCGAAGCTGTATTCTTTCGTATGAATGGGGCGCACATTTTGCTGCCGAGGGATGTATGGGCGGTTTTGAGGAGATTTTCCTTGTTATCGAGGGAGAACTCAACACGGTCGGATATTTGATCTAGTTGCTCGCATGCTACGGCGCAGGCCTTGTCGAAACCGTCTGCGATTCGGATGGGGTGGATTCCCCGGTCTAGGAGAGCCTCACTCTGTTCCAATAGGGCACCAGCAAGGACTGGATAAAGTGCATTACTGAGCTGAACATGATAAAATGCAAGGCCAGAGACTCACCAACGACACCAGTTGTACCATCTCCGATCTCGTCATCCTGACTCTTCGACAGCTGCACTAGGAGCCTCGCTATTTGATGCTCGACCTCCATCTGACCCAATATCGTAGCTCCGTCATTGGTGACGGTGATCTCGCCGTCAGGAGAGATGAGGATTTTGTCAAGACCTGAACCATGCAAAGATTACACAGAGAGATCAGGGATAGAGAACGATAGCCACACCTCTTGGGCCTAACGATGTCCGGATGATATTTGCGACTGTGCGTGCGGCGAGGATATGCGACTGATCTCGAGTTAGAGAATTGCATTATTGTGCTGATCTATAATTGAGGTACGCACCTTGATCGCCTCGACGCCATGAGTCCGGGTTTTCTTGCCTTGCTCGCGCAGGATAATGAATGGGCGACCATACTACTCCCGTCAGACAACTTCCACTCCAGAAGGCGACAGCACTCACCTCGTCGGTAGTGTAAATAGCATCTTGACTCGCCATGATTTTGTGCAGCACGCGTCGCGTTTCTGGCAGCAAGAGGGTGATCACGCGTGTGACACTGATCTGTCCGTGACGTGACGTGTATGGTTTATGGGCAAGCCCGGACATCTCGTCAACGGCCGACGACACTAAACACTGCTCTTTGTTCCCGCTTACACCCTCCCGTTTCCCCTCCCCCAGCACACCCGCACACATCAGAACATGGAAGGCGAGATCGATGGTTGGATTGAGCAGCTCAGCCAATGCAAGCAGCTCTCGGAGGCGGACGTCAAAAAGCTCTGCGACAAGGTGCGTTTGCACGCATGCAGGCGTCGTTTGCGATAAAGCGCCACATCTCACCCTGCTTCGCGTTCGCGCACAGACCCGGGAGATATTGATGGAGGAGTCCAATGTGCAGCCGGTCAGGTGCCCCGTGACGGTCTGCGGCGACATCCACGGCCAATTCGTGCGTTCATTCTCTTGCGTGTCGCGCGATCGACCCACTGATGCACGTCCTCGCCCTCGACTCTGCCCCGCATGCCGCCGTTTTCATTTGGATTACGACATCAGCACGATCTATCCGAGCTCTTCCGGATCGGCGGCAACTCGCCAGACACGAACTACCTCTTCATGGGCGACTACGTCGACCGCGGGTACTATTCGGTAGAGACAGTCACCCTGCTCGTCGCCATGAAGCTGCGGTACCGCGACCGCGTCACGATCCTCCGCGGCAACCACGAGTCGCGGCAGATCACGCAGGTTTACGGATTTTACGACGAGTGCCTGCGGAAATATGGCAACGCCAACGTCTGGCGGTTCTTCACCGATCTGTTCGACTTCCTCCCCCTCACTGCCCTCATTGATAACCAAGTGAGCGGCTCGAATTTGGCCCGAGCTCCGCTTATTGCGGAGTTTTGAGGTGCAAATTGCTGATACACCTTGTGCTGCGTTAATAGATATTCTGTCTCCACGGAGGCCTCTCACCATCCATCGACACACTCGACCACGTCCGCTCCATCGACCGCATACAAGAGGTGCCCCACGAAGGCCCCATGTGTGATCTCCTCTGGTCCGATCCAGACGATCGGTGCGGCTGGGGCATTTCACCCCGAGGTGCTGGATACACCTTTGGACAAGACATTTCAGAAGCTTTCAACCACAACAACGGGCTTACCCTCGTCGCGCGAGCCCATCAGCTGGTTATGGAAGGTACGCTGGAAGGTACGCAACGCGGAACGTGATTTCTGATGACTTGGTTCGGGATGCAGGCTACAGCTGGGGACAAGACCGGAATGTGGTGACGATCTTCAGTGCTCCCAACTACTGCTATAGATGCGGCAATCAGGCTGCTATCATGGAGATAGACGAAAAATTATCGTATAGTTTGTGAGTCTCCGCTTTGGTGGTTTCACGACGTCGCATTGACTGTGGGGTCAGCCTACAGTTTGACCCGGCTCCTCGGGCAGGAGAACCGATGGTATCACGACGCGTCCCTGACTACTTCCTGGTGAGCGTTGTGCCATTGCTCGCTTTGACCTCTCAGCTGATGGTGGCATGTAGTAGTGAGATGCATCACGATGCTGATAATGTACATACTGCCCTTTATTGGCCATGGTCCTTTCTAACACTATACCACGCCATGAGACGTAATTTTAGCAGTAGCTTTTTTTTCCTGCCCCGCGTCCGTTTTTCACCTCATCGTCTCCACTTCTGTATCGGTGCACGCGCGCTCAGTTTCTGTCGTAAAACCACGTGTAAAAAGGCCTTGTCCATGGACTCGTTTGCAGCGACACCTCATGAAGATATGTGCAATTTCAATTTGCATGTGCTAAGGACTACTATATACAAGCAATGCTCATTTTTTTTCTGGAACCAAGCGGGAGGGTGACGACGGCTTTTGTTTTCCCTGGTGACAAAGGGCATTTGTTGATAACAAGTGGCAGGCAAACAAAAGCAAACACAGTCGATCGCGCTTTGCTTTGGCTCGCGTTTTTGGTTTATGTTGAGTTTATGCCACGCCGGTTACGTTCAACAGACGACCTCCCTCTTCTCCCTCTCCCGCGCCCCATCCACCTGCCTCACCCACCCAACGTGCTCCCCCTCCATCTGATAACCGCACAGCTTCGAGCCAACCACAACCTGCATATTAACCCGCTTCATTTTACACGGCTCGCCCTAGAAACGTGACCTGCCACGAGGACATATACATACGCTCGCCTGCTCAATCAACAAGTCTTCTTACCACTAGTACATGTCATTCGCGGGCACGCCACTAGGTCAAGGTCGTCGTCTTGATCATAACGCTTTTCTCAACAAGAACACACAACCACATAACAACCGCCACAATACAAGGACATTTCAAAAACCGCATAGTCCAACACGCTCGATTCCGACCTCTTACGCCTACGGGTCAGCCCATTTTCTTTAATAGACGTCATCTCCTCGGCATGCTCACGTTTTTTATTCCAGCGCGCCCCCCACAGGTACTCGATCCTTTCCCAAGCCTGCTCCGGGTCGCTCCTTACACTCCTCCCTCCCAGATCGCGACGCCGACGAGCCCGCCCTCGTGCGCTACGCCAGAGCAAAGCAAGAACAAGTCAACGCACGCAAACTGAATCCCGAACATTGGAGTGTCCGAGACACCTCGGTCAACGTCGCAGCCGCGTTCCAACAAGCCGCATCGACGTCACACAATATGCAGGGCCCACCGCCGCCGACGACCAACACGAACAGCCACGCCAACTCCGTCTGGGCCTCGGGCTCGCAGCCGGGCCGTAACCTGCCGCGGAGCACGTCCGTCGAGTACGAAAAGGAGTCGCACCAGATGCTCAACCGCCGGCTCGCCGCCCCACCGCCCAAGCGCAGCACCGTGCGCAGGCCGCTGTCTAAGCAGGGATCGGGACACTCGCATATCTCTGAGTCGGAGGATGAGCACGGGCGCTCCAGCGCGCCCAATGGGCGAGGCAAGAGCCCGCTCTCCACAGTCTTAGACGTGTCTAAGCGCGCCCTTGATGCCGCCTCGTTTTACCTCCGTCAACGCTCAACTGAGCCCGAAAATACTTCCGGGCGCTCGAATGGGCGCGTGGTCGGGGACGACTCCAACTCGAGTTATGATTACGCCTCGGAAGAGCGCACGTTCCAGGACCTGCTTTCGAAGCAGGGCGGCGACATGTCGCAAGAGAGCGCGAAGAGGCAGGCTGCTGCCGCCCAGAGGCGGAGCAAGATGTCGATCGACAATATGGCGTATCGGCCTGAGTCCGAGGAGGAGTATTCGGACGACGATAACAATTCAGATGGCGAAGGCCGAAAGCGCAGGCGAATGACTAAGAAGAAAGATATTGGAACAGGATTCCTTACCACCCTGCCAGTGGCAGGATATGGCAAACGGAGGAAGAGAAAGTCAAAGGGAGGGAACGAAAATGTTGAAGAAGGTGAAGAAGAGGAAGAACGTGGGAGTGAGGAGGTCGTTGAGCAGGTGAGTTTCTAGATGTTTTTTTGCGGCAACAATTTGACCGGGCTTAAACTTGCAGCAAAGAGCTGGTTCGCGACCTCCAAATTCTCGCGGGTCGACCCAGCCAATTGCGAAGCCACCATCTCTCCGCGGGTCAGCCCCACCACAACAGCCATCTTACATATATGATGCATCTGGAGAGGGGTCGATGTTGGATGTTGAGATGGCCCTTCACTCGATACCAGAGGTTGACGAGCCCCCGCTGGCTGACGGAATGTCACCGCCTCCATCCAAACCTGCGCGAGCACCTAGTTCATTCTCAATAGGCGCTCTTCTTGGAAGAGGTGTCAACTTCGTCATCCGCTTCTTCCTCGGAATTATTGGAAGAATCCTACGGGTGATCAGTGCCGTTTTCATGCTCCTGGGCCGTATATTGGGTACCTCCATGGATGTTATTGTACGCCGCCCCCTTGTGTGGCTGTCGGGCGTGAACGCAGGACCCTGGATTGATGCTGCTCGTTATGTGGTGATTTCCCTCGTCTTTTACCTTGCATGGACAACACTTCGTGCTCCCCTTACCAACCTGGTTTCTTCCGGGCGCCCTCCCGCCCCCTTCATCGCCCCCGATGTTCCTATCTCCAACCTCGACGAGCTTTCAGCACGCCTCCAGTCTTTGGAAAGCATGCTCGCAGGTCTCTCGGTTGATTATCAACGCTCGCGCGCACAACAAGAACTTGACACCCACGGCCGGGGGGAGCTTATCAACCGCATCTATGCTCTCGAAGGCCGGTTGCGTGAGGAAGCTACCCGCATGGCCAAGGCTGAACAGAGCGCAAAGGCGTCAGCTTCTTCCACTATGGTAGAGCTGCGCAGGGAGATGGAGAGCCTGCGTGCTCAGCTCCACGCCGTCGAATCTGCCCCGCGCGAGACCATCGTCGCTGGTCCTTCGAGCGATAAGGAGGCGCGCAACTGGCTGCGTGCTCTGGAGGACCGCGTTGGCGACGTCGAAGGCGGTATCAAAGAGGCCATCGAGCTCGGCAAGAACGCCGTTGCCAAGGCAAGCGAGTCGCCCTCCCCGCAACCTGGTTCCGCCGCTGCGTGGTGGACGAAGCTCGCCTCCGGGACCGGCTCCAAGGCTGGTGGCCTGACGATCAAGTCCTCGGATGGGCAGGACGTGAGCTCGCTCATGAGCCAGCTCGTCGATAACGCGATCGCGCGGTACGGCACGCAGGACATCCTCGCGCGGCCGGACTTTGCCCTGCACTCAGCGGGCGCGCGGGTCATCCCATCGCTGACGAGCTCGACGCTCGAGCTGCGCCCGCAGACGTGGCGCGGACAGGTGCTGGGTCTGCTCACGGGCAACGGGTACGAAGTCGGGCGCTCGCCGATCACGGCGCTACACCAGGACACGCACTCGGGCAACTGCTGGCCGATGATGGGCACGGAGGGCACGCTCGGCGTCGCGCTCGCGTTCCCGGCGCACCTCGATGCGTTCACGGTCGACCACGTCGCGCGGGAGGTCGCGTTCGACCTCCGCAGTGCGCCGCGCGATATGGAGGTCTGGGGGCTCGTCGAGGGGCGCGACAATCTCGCGCGGTACGCGGCATGGGTCGCGGAGAAGGAGGCGCGCATCGCGGAGGCGCGGCAGCGCGCTGAGGACGCCGGGGAGGCGTTCAGCGAGGAGGAGGATGTGGCTCCCGAGGACAGGCTCGAGGAGACGCCGGGCGTGCTGCGCAGGGACGTGCCGTACGTGCGCCTCGCGTCGTTCACGTACGACGTCCACGCGCCGCAGAGTATCCAGACGTTCGCCGTGCGCGACGAAGTGCGCGCGCTGGGCATCGACTTTGGCGTCGTGAGCCTCGTGGTGAAGAATAACTGGGGCCGGGACGAGTTTACGTGCATCTACCGGTTCCGCGCGCACGGCGAGCGGCTCGGTGGGATCCCGGCTACGTTTGAGTACGAGGAGGAGGGCGAGGGCAGCGAGGCTTCGTCGTGATGGGATGTGATGGAATGGATGTGATAAGAAAGGAAGGAAAGTAATGAAGTAATGTATAGACGGTTGGAATTTTCCTGGAAAACTGCAACGCTACCTTTTTGTTCTCTGTTTTTTTTTTGTCTTTTTCTTGTCTTTCCCCCCTAGTTAGTTACAGTTAGTAGTTAGTCACGTAGGTCAACGATGTATATAGCTCACCTTGTATTACTCCTGGTCATCGTGCTTCTTCCATTTTCTTCCCTGTTATTGAGGTTTCCTCTGCTCTTTTCTTTATTTTAAGTTTAATCATATCTTTCTCCTCTTTCTTTTAACTAACTGGTCTGATGTGGACGGAGGCTCAGAAATGCGCTCGCAGTGAAGCAATAATTGTTCTGGGAGTCAATTCCTACTCGTACACGAAGGAAAGCGGTATTGTATACATGGAGTTCAATTCAGGAAGCATAAGCCATCACTCGTCAGCACCCTTGGTGTCCGCATTGACCATCTTGTCAGCCGCCTCGACGAGCAGCTTCTCGATCCCGGGTTCCCGTGAGGAGTGGCCTGCGTCTGCGACGATGTGGAGGGTGATCTCAGGCCAGACTTTCTTGAGTTGCCATGCTGTCGTTGCCTGCGATATTGCGAGTTGATTATTATGAAATGGTTGGGAGTGCGTGAGGAGGGACGTACCGGGCACACGACATCATAGCGGCCCTGCACGACGATGCAGGGGATATGCCGGCTGGAAAACAGGGTTTTAGGGGTCGGGAAGAGGTGAACGCGGGGGCGAAACTTACATCTTATCGATCTCCTGCTTTTCAAGCAGCTGGCCGTCACGCATGAACCCCTCGTTCACGAAATAGTGGTTTTCTATCCGAGCGAATGCACTGTTCTCTACCACATCAGCATCAGCAAGATGCAAGATACACAGCGACGCACTTGGCATAGTCGTCCTTCTCCGCCTCCGCGATCTGTTCCTGGCTGACGTACAGCTTGGACGTAGCCATCTCCCACTTGGTCCACGCTTTGGCCGCCTGGATGCGCACGGCGTCGTCGACAGCGTTGAGCTGCGCGTGGTACGCGAGCATGATGTCGTGCCGCTCAGCCTCGGGAATGGGCGCGATGTATTCGTCCCTGTTGTTTGATTGAGTGTCAAAGTAAAGAAAGGGACTGATTGATACGGTGGGAGGAAAGCGAAACGTACCATGCCTCGGGGAAGAGATGCGAGGTGCCATCTTGGTAGAAGAACCGGAGTTCACTGGATAGCGCTGGCAGATGAGGGTGTGTGGAATTAGGTACTGGGGTAGAAGCCTACCTCCTCCGGAGAGTGAAAATACCGCTGGAGTAACTAATCAGCGAGGGGATAACAGCTGGATTGTATGGATTTACGAACCGAAGCACGAGACTTCTGACTCTGTCAGGGTGCGACTACATAAGTTTCTCCGATAAACTTTCATTTGGCGTGCAAATATACGCGCCATACCTGAGCGTACGAAAGGGCAAGAGTTGAACCCTGACTCGGGTGTCAGACATTGTTCATTGACATGATTATAGAAGTGACATACCCATGATCCACCAAAGACGTGCCATGTCTTGATACCAAGCGTCTCGCGGAGCTTCTCAATGTCTTTGACGAGATCCCACGTAGTGTTTTCTTCCAAGCACGCGCTCCTTTGAGACGATTAACTGGATGCATACCGACATAACGTGATTCGTTAGCTTACGGTTTCGACTTGCCCGCGCCACGCTGATCAAAGAGGATTACTTTGTACTTGTCGGGATTGAAGAACCCCCTGTCCTTTTCGGTGACGTTGGATCCAGGGCCGCCTGCATATACACACAATGGTCGAACTTATAAGGCCAATTGTGATTGTTTATGACAGCGACCTGTGCGCACCGTGCAAAAAGACGACTGGATGACGAGTATTAGAGAATATAAAACACGGAGACACAAGCAGACGACACACCTGGCTTGCCATTCGGGTTTCCGACTATCTCATAGCTACACAGCATTGCGTCAGTAACCTGTGCGATCACCCAACCCGAAGACTTGTACTGACTGGAGAGTATGCTTGACGGACTGCCCAACTTCGAGCTTTCCGACTTCGAGTAGCTTATTGAGGGGGTACATGCTGGTACTGGTGTCTGGTGATGGTGTCTGAGAGCGTGTACTGAGTGCAGCAACAACTCTGGGCCTATGACTGTATGTATGAGGACACAGATACGGATTGGTATAGCTTGATTGCGTAGGCAGCCCCTTCTGGATCCGCCACCGCGTCTGCAGGCGTACCCCAGATAACAAGGTGATCATCGGAGATTCCCTTTCAGCTCCGCGAACGCGCCGCACGAATATGGGGAATTGCCCGAAGACTCTCCGGACACTGTGAAGTTAACGTTTCAAAAAGTTCAAGAGACTGGACAAAGTTGACAGGTTGAAGGGAAACCTTTCAGAGAAGGACGCGACGCGACTTAGGAGCGAAATTAATGGCACGATACGCGTAAATTTATGTGAGGCGACACGTGTCGCTGAAATAAAAGGGCTGACCGACGGTGCAAACGCGTCCTTTGATTCGCGCTTTCGCATCTCGCTACTCGTGTTTGTCTCGTGTCATTATGTCCAGCTCGCCCGTCTCCTATCCTCTCCCGGTCCCCAACGCGACAAAGGCTGCCCCACCTGCCGAGCTGAGTGAAAAGGAGCAGGGCCTGTACAACAAGGTGTACGAGCACTTCACGCAGGAGTCGTACCTTCTTCCGGACTCCGAGGATGGGACGTTGAAGGAGCAGGAGAAGATGTGGCTTGTATGTATGCTTTGCTCTCTTCTCTCTCTTTAGATCATCAAAAACTCACCTCGTCGTCATGAAAGTCGTACGAATGTCTGCTTAGGTGCGTGCTTCGAGCCTGTGCATCGACTCGGATTCGCGCAACTCACGTACTTCCCCGTTTTATGTAGGTACCTTCGCGCCGTGAAATGGAATAGCGCCGAAGAGGCTATTCAGAGACTCGAGACAACTCTCAAATGGAGACGAGACTACGGACTGTACGACACCATCACTCCTGACTCAGTCCAACCCGAGGTATGCGTCCATATGCTCTCCCAATGATTTGTACTCAACCCCGCCAGGCCCTAACGGGCAAAGAATTCCTCTTCGGCTTCGACACACACGGCCGCCCCGCGCAATACATGCTCCCCAGCCGCCAAAACACCGAAGAGTCGCCCCGCCAAATGCAGTTCACCGTCTGGTACATCGAACGCACGATCGACCTCATGGGCCCCGGCGTCGAGACGCTCGCGCTCATGATCGACTACGCGGACAAGGCCAAGAACCCGTCGCTCGCGACCGCGCGCACGTTCCTCGCCATCTTCCAGACGCACTACCCCGAGCGCCTCGGCCTCGCGCTCATCCTGAACGTGCCGTGGCTCCTGAACGCGTTCTACAAGCTCGTCACGCCGTTCATCGACCCCGTCACGCGCACCAAGATGCGCTTCAACCCTGTCGCGACCGCCGACGGGCTGTATTCGACGGCGGCTGCGGCCAAGGCGGGGAATAAGGAGGAGGAGAGGATATTTGAGCTCGACCAGCTGGCGAAGTCGTGGGGCGGGGAACACGAGTTCGAGTACAAGCACGAGGAATATTGGCCGAAGCTTGTGGAGATGTGCGAGGCGCGGCGAGCGGCGCTGTTTGAGATCTGGAAGGGTATGGGCGGAACGATCGGGCTGAGGGAGTATGATATGAAGATGAAGTTAGCAAGCCAGAAGGACGAGCCTGCCGATGCCGCCCTTGCTCAGGCTTCCGAGGCAGTGGAGGCTTAGGATGTGATGCCATTGCCGTCAGGCTTCATGGTCATGGTGCGCCTGCTAGATATACCATATATTGTTTGGATTACTCGGACGGTTACATATAGAATGTCCCCGTAATATTGCTCATACGTTATTTAATGCTGGTTTGGGGAACATGGACCCATCATGAACGTGCGCGACAGCGGACGCCGGGAACGATCGAGCGCATTCTCCGCCACACGGCATGGCCCAAGCCATTTCTAGCAAGCGGTAACCGTCTTCGGAACGCTAACTCCTTGGTTAGCCAGATTTCAATTGGCTTACCTGCCGCCTTTCTCACCATGTCAACTCCATGTTCCCACTGAATCCCCTCCTAGTCTTGGGAAGGCCGATGGCCTCCCCTCACCTACGCGCATCGTGGTAGATGACTTTGACAGGCATCAGCGAACTGTTGATCGTTATGTCAAGAGCCATAGAACAGCCTCGTTCATTCCGCGAAGATGCTAGGCATCTCCTTCGTATTTGCCCAGAATACAACGCCGCCTGGTCCATCAATGCGGCGTGCAGAAGAATGCACCTGTCATGTCAAGCTAACCGCCAGCCAGCTGGTCCCTTGTGTATGCCACTGGCGCGCGCTTAATCGCGCTTTTTATCAAGCTGCTTCGGCTTCCCCTTGTCCCCGCCTTACCTTGGGTGCCATCTTCGTCTCTAGAGTTCTTCACGTTTCAACACCTGAGTGATGACCATGCACGAGCCGCTGCCTGTCCCGGAGCGTCCGGACGCGACACCACCGCCGGAGCTTGGCGAGAAGGAAGCCGAGTTGTATAAAGCGGTGTACGAGCACTTCGCGAAGGAGGGATACGTGCTGCCGAACGAGGAGAAGGGGGAGCTGTCGGAAGAGGAGAAGGAGTGGCTGGTGAGTCTCTTATCTCTGCCTTGCGGTCCGAGTTGCAAGAGTCTCCGTGACTTGTTTTCGGCTGTCCCTCCCAGACGTACGAATGCATGCTCCGGTATGTGTGGCTTCGCCCTCGCGCCACTTGCGCTCGCTCCTGATGGGGCCTTGCGATTGTTTATCAGCTATCTCCGGTGTGCCAAGTGGAACGAGAAAGAGGCCATCAAGAGGCTCGAAAGCACGCTCAAATGGCGGCGTGAGTTCGGCGTGTACGACGTCGTGACCGCTGAACAGGTAGAGCCTGAGGTGAGTGTATCCCATTTGCACGTGTCCTCGCCATGACATGCAAATTGCAGGCCGTCTCCGGAAAGCATGTACTGTTCGGATTCGATGTGGTTGGGCGTCCTAACGCGTACGTCTACCCGCACGAGGACGGCACGCGCGCTGTCCAGCTGACCGTGTGGATCCTGGAACGCGCGATCGACCTCATGCCGCCTGGTGTCGAGTAAGTGCCTACCTTATTAACCCCGGGAGCGCCTGTGAGCATCGTTGATTGTTCGTAACGACAGGACGCTGAATGTGCTCGTGAAGCAAGTAGACGGAAAGATCCCCGCGCTCTCGACCTGCCTCTCGTTCCTCAACATCGTGCAGACGCACTACCCCGAGCGCCTCGGGCTCGCGATCGCGACCAACATGTCGTGGATGCTGCAGCTCCTGGTGAAGCTCATCCGCCCGTTCATCGACCCCGTCACGAACGAGAAGATCCGGCTGAATGCCGTGTCGCGCGACGACGGCGCTATCTGCACGGCGGGCAAGGACGGGGAGAAGCTCGTGGACGGGGACCAGGTCGCGCGCGCGGGGTGGGGAGGGAATGTGGGCTTTGAATATGTGCACGAGGAGTATTGGCCGAGGCTGGTGGAGATGTGTCGGAGGCGGAGGGAGGGGATGCATGAGGCGTGGAAAGAGCTTGGAGGGACTGTTGGGATCAGGGAGTGGGACGTCAAGATGACGCAGGAGAATATTGAAACTTCGACAAATGTGGATCTATGATAGTTGTAGGTCTAGGCCTGTAATGCTGAGCTAGTCCTCTATAGGCAGTTGCGTCAGTGAGATATGCAAGAAACATTGGAGTTTGAGTTCAGGGGTGGAAAGCCACGCGCGGAGTTCCGGGGACGGCGGAAGGGGACCGAGGAGCATGCATATTGCTGACTAAGCTGGGCTCTGGTTGCCGCAAGAGCTCCTTGTCCTTGTCATCAACAGCGACCACGCCACTGCCCGACACCCAGAGACGACGCTCTACGGACCCTCCTCTCTCCACGGAAAGAACATAGCACACGCCCACGACCCGCCCGCCCGACTGCTATGGAGAATGGCGACAGCTCTCATCAGAACGCGAACGCCATTGCGGGGCCATCCACGATCACCCAAGACACTCCCATGTTCTTTTTCCCTCCACAGCCAGGTCAGTATCGCCCCGTATCACTGCTTCACCACCCAGAATGAATGAACGACTGCATTTCTACTCCTTGCGCATACCCTCCAGGCGCTCCTCCCCCGCCAACCCACCTCCGAAGTACCCATGATCTCATCACGCGCTTCAACCTCCTTGCCGCCTACGACAAGTACGTCCGCCAGCCCCCAGCATCAGGCACCGGCGCCTCCGACGAAGCCACCGCCGACAAGGGCAAGGGCCGCGCTCCGTCGCCGACACCCGGTCCCGGTGCGGCCGCGGAGGACGAGCGCGACGGTGAGAAGAAGAAAAAGAACACCTACCGGCACCTCATCAAGGGCGTCCCGGGCAAGCACTCGATGAAGAAGGATGACTACCTCACGACGATCATGCAGGTTCCGCCGAAGCAGCGCATACCCATCGTCGAGTTCGACGCTCACCAGCGCGAGGCGTTCACTGTCAGCCCCGAGGGCCTGAAAGGGGTGCGTCATCTTTGTGTCCATCGCCTCTTGCCCGTCATCTTACATTATATGCACCAGTGGAATGCGAGTGCTTTGATATTGGAATCTGCGCAGGCGCGGGAAGATAGGAAAAGACGCGTACGTCGACGATGGTCTCATTGTATCATCGTGATCGGTGCTTATGATTGCCCCACCATCATCAAAAAATCAACCATATTTTGCCCACACTGTACAATTATTAAATCACACAGAAAGAGCTCAAAAAGCTGGCCAAAGCACAAGCACAAGGCCTCGCCCCGGGTGCTCCAATGCAGGTAGATACGCCCGGTGGCCCTCTGCAGGCACCTGGGACCAATCTTCCACAGCCGCCACCAGAACCACAAAGTACCCGCCCTCGAATGCCGTCCGTCCAGATACCCCCAACACGTGTGAACGGGACGCCGACGCCGACGGGCGCACGACCACCACAGAGCGCTGTGCTTCCTCGGACGAGCACACCTCTATCGGCAGCACCAGGGCAGCGGGGGACGAAGCGGGCAATGGACGACGGTGGAGGGGGCACGCCGCTGTCGCAGGTCGTGTCGAACGGGCCCATTATGGCTGCGTCCGCGAACGGCGTGGACATGGGTGTGGGCATGGGTGGGGGAGTGGGAGGCAGCGGAAAAGCGATCGTTGGGCCGGGGGGAGTGCGTGCGCGGCCGATGAAGAAACAACGGATGGTGAGCGATCGTCATCAGCTATAATTGGCTTTCACATAAGCTCCGGATCCACCCCACCCCACCTTTTCTCCCCTCCCGCTTTGGTGTTGCTGGTGATGCGTTGTTACGCTGGTTTTTGTCGTTATGAATTCAAGGGATTTGGGTCTGAATGTTGATTGGTTCTGTAGGACTCGCAAGGTCATGCCATCCCGGTGCAGCAGCCTACACCTCAAGGTGCATGAAGACGCATTTTCTAACGGGATTCTGGTTTCGCCTCCCTTTTATTCCTCTCGTGGGTGGGCATATCCGACACTTCGTCGCTTTTGTTCGAACATCGCCGCCGAAAAGCAGCCACATGTTGCTCGAAAGAGTTTACGGCGCGCATTTTTGCTTTTTGCCAAATAAGACGGCGTGTACGACGAGAAGCACACCATACAGGCTAGACTCAAGCGCCCCTTCGTCCTCGAGCACCGCCGTCTTGTGCCGCTTTTTAACATCTTATTTTTCGCCTTAATATATTGAGATACCATTCACATTGCATCATCGTCCAACACACACATCTTGCCCCCTATACACTATCCATTCATCCCCACCCCCATCCCAATCCCACCTACACTTCGCCCCCCTTCGCTGCATGTTCTCGTCTCCTCCCTGCTGTCATTGTGTTCGCTCCATCGTTGTGAAATATACGCCCATTGTGCCAGATTTTCGCAGCTGTGGGGATTAAGGAAATAGTTTGGAGCTCTGTGGTTTCATTTCGGTATCTTGATTGTTAGGCATTGCACGCGCTGACGTTTTCAGGTTCATTGAATGTGATGCCCCAAGCGTATAGGGTGGAGACGTGTTGGGGCCCACTGCCATTCGATCTCGCCATAAGGTGCTTATCACACTCTCGCTGTTATACTTTGTTTAATCTTCTACAAAGCAGCGTGACCGGAATAGACGCCCATTTGCGTCCCCTTGGTCGCGTGCCGCCGGGGTGTTATCCAAGTCGAGAACGCTCGAAGTCTCCGAAAGGACACTTGATTCAAAGAAGCTTCTGTGGGTCTCGCCGGTTCCTGAAACTTAAACGACCCTGCAGCCGTGTGTGCGTGTTATTATAAAGTGGTTGTGGTAGGCCCCGTTGGGATGCTGTATCTTCTCACCTCCTTGCTCAGTCGCCCATGGACAACGCGACCCTCAGGGTGGCGCTTATGGGGGTCGGCTCGGCTGCTACAGTGCTAGTTGGTCTCGCGCTGGTTAAACAGCTTCTGGCGAGAAGGTATACTTCTGCGGGCCCCTCGTTGCCTCCGGGACCTCCACCGCTCCCTATCGTAGGCAACGCGCTAGAGGTTCCTTCGGATGAAGCCTGGTTGACGTACACGAAGTGGCAGAAGCAGTACGGTATGTCTTCCGAATCCGAGCTTCCCTTTCCCTTCCCGCCCCGGGCTGCCTGTGACTAAGCAAGAGTTACTTATCTATCGGTCGTGCAGGAGACATTGTATACTGTCGTCTCTTGGGCACCGACGTCGTCGTCCTCAACTCGGAAAAAGTGGCAGAGGTCCTTTTGGAGAGACGGTCGCGGATATATTCGAGCCGGCCGCACCTCGCCACCAGGGTCCCGTAAGCGGTCTGGCGTTCACTCGTCGTCAATTATTTACTTTTGTTGCTCGTAGCTTCGGATGGGGCTTCCACTTCGTCTTCGAGGAGTACGGCGACAAGTGGCGGACGAATCGCCGGCTGTTCCACCAGTCGTTCAGGGAGGAAATGACGATGCACTATCATCCATTCTTGCAGCGTTCGTCGCACCAGTTGCTGCTCAACCTTCGAAGGGACCCGGCGAGGTTGTTTGAGTATCTGAGTTTGTCTGTATCAATTCGTTATGACTCGGACAATTGGCACTGGATGTTCAAGCGGCTGACGTTTTATTCTTGTTTTTATTTTTATTTCTCAGGTTCGCAAACTCAGCGATGCTATCGAGCATCTACGGTTACGAGACCAACGACGTCCATGATCCTTTCGTGCGCAATGGGGAGAAAGCGTTCGCCACGCTGGATGTGATCACCCCCGAAAAATCGGTGTTGCTCGAGCTGTTTCCGTTTAGTAGGTCGCTGAGCTCTTTCACCTATCCGTGTCCATAAGCTGATAATAAAATAATGGCAGTTCTCGACCTTCCAGATTGGTTTCCGGGCATTGCTCTTCAGCGGCACGCCCGTGCAGCCCGGAGGGTTATCCACGACTATATTGAGAAGCCTTTCCAATTTACTATGAAAAATCTGGTACGTACCAACAACAGGAGCGTTCTTTTCGATGGGTCTGAGGCCCGTGTCAGCAAGCAGAAGCCTCTTTTCCGTCGATGCTGTCTGATTCAATTAGACGGTTCGCCCATCGTCAGGACGAGTTTTCGGAGAATATGATGAAAGAGGTGTCGGCTGCTGCATTCACAGGTGCGCGTGTATATCACTGCTTATATAGTTAACTACTGACGCGGCGTATCAGGTGGAGCAGAAACGGTGCTGCACCCGACAACTCTAACACCACTATTTTGAGAACTTATGGGCTGTTTAGACCTCCTCTACCCTCCTAGTACTTGTTCTTGCCATGGTGTTGCACCCGGATGTGCAAAGGCGAGCACAGGAAGAAATAGCGGCTACGATTGGGAGTGTCCGGCTTCCTGCACTCGAAGATCGACCCGCTCTTCCCTACATCGACGCCGTTATCCGCGAGGTTATGCGGTGGCAGCCCGTCGTCCCCCTAGGTGTGTCTGTTGCTCGAGAACTTCGAGGGCACCGTCGTTCATACTTTTTTCTCAGCTGTTCCGCACGCTACTGTCGAGAACGACGTATACGATAATTATTTCATTCCCAAAGGGTCGACCGTTATCCTCAACACATGGTACGTGTTACTGCGTGTGGGACTAAGTACCATGTTCGAGCACCAAAAATTATGCAGGGCTATCTCTCGAAACCCGGAAAAATACCCCAACCCCGAGACATTCGACCCCGGGCGTTTCCTAGACGCAGATGGGCAGCTCACCGAAGACGGCGTAAAATGGAACTTTGGCTACGGCCGTCGCATCTGTCCTGGGCGTCATCTCGCAGAGGCAGGAGTATGGATTTCGGCAGCGTGTCTCCTTGCGACATTCAGCTTCTTGAAGGCAAAGGATGAAAGCGGTCGGGACGTTGAGTTCGAGCCAAAGTGGACGACGGGGCTTAATCAGTCTGTTTCTTTTCTTCCAAGTAATGTCTAATTGCAAGGCTGACATCCATACGAATAACAGCCGCCCCGTGGTACCGTTCCCTTGCCGCGTTGTACCAAGGGAAGGCACGCTCATGTACTGAACCCTAACTGTATGGACGTCTTCATACCGGTTTTATTTGATCACCGTTATACTGCATAACCCCACGCAGTGCGAGTGGTCAAGTCGCGAAGTCCAATAGATTCAACAAGCACCGAGGACTCCTGACGCGAGCGTTTATCTTGAGCCAAACGGATGGCCATCTCGAGGGCGCCGTGTGCGTACCGTTTCGGCAACGTTCTCCCATCCAAACCGCGAGCTTGTTATAGCAAATAGACTGGAGCACTCCCACATTCAGTGAAGCGCCGCATGTATGAATAATATGACGTGGTGAGGTGCCATGGTACGGCGGTATACCAACATGGTATCAGCTGGAGTCTGTCATGTTTGGACGCTAATATAAGATCGATGCATTTACCGTCTACTCCCCCCACCCGTCTTTCAGTCACTTGTCGATGGACACCTCTACAAAAAACTCGATACTCGCTGGGATAGTCCCCGCTCTTCTTGCAGTCTTCTTTTTAACACTATATTTCCGACGCATCCAAAGTCAACTTAACGTCGGCGGCCTCCCTTTACCTCCAGGACCTCCGCAACTACCCCTCATAGGCAACGCACTCGATGTTAAAGCAGACGAACCCTGGCTGACATATACAAAATGGCGGGACCAGTACGGTGCGCATTCTAGTTTTCCAGTGCTCGCTCAAACTCTGAACGTCGCGTCCCCAAAACACAGGAGATATCGTCCGTTGTCGCCTTCCCGGCTCTAAAATCATCTTAATTGGATCCGAAAAAGTGGCCGACGATCTCTTGGAGAAGCGCTCGCGTAAATATTCGAGTCGCCCTCACTTCGCCACCAGAGCTGCGTGAGTCATCTATTTATGATGAGGTATGGAGTACTTACGCTAAGGCTGGTAGGTTCGGATGGGATTTCCACTTTGCCTGGGAAGGGTATGGCGATAAGTGGCGAGTCGATCGCAGACTGTTTCAGCAGTCATTTCGGGAAGAGATGACGATGCATTATCACCCTTTCCTACTCCGTGCTTCGCAGAGGCTCTTGCTTAATATTTCCAAGGATACCAACAACCTATTTGATTATCTAGCCCTGTGAGCTTTTACAAATGTTTCAGCGCGCTTTTACATTATTAGCTCACTATGTGTAGATTTGCGGGTTCAGCCATGCTCTCAAGTATATATGGCTACGAAACCAACGACATCAATGATTCTTTCTTCCGGACAGGAGAAGATGCACTAGTTTTGCTTGAAGTGCTTACGCCTGAGAAATCCGTGCCACTCGAGCTCTTCCCTTTCGGTAGGCTCTGTCGTTGATATGCATTTTGCACACATTGATATTTTGTGAGCCATCAGTTCCCAACCTCCCCGACTGGTTTCCTGGTGTTTCTCTTCAAAGACACGCCCGTTCTGCTCGGAAGATATTACATGAATATGTCGAGAGACCTTACCAGTTTACACTGAAGAGCTTGGTGCGTCCTTTTGACCCAAAACCTCATGTTCAATGACCTAGTCTTTCTACTAGGAGGCGAATCCTTCTTTTCCCTCTATGCTGTCCGATTCGATCAGACGCTTTTCCAATCGCGAAGATAGTTTCTCGATGGATATGATGAAGCATGTTTCTGCAGCCGCGTTCACGGGCATGTTGATTTTTCTTATAACAAAACATATAAGCCGCTCACGCATACACAAATATAGCCGGTGCCGAAACGGTGGGTGAAGTCCCGTAGTGGAAAATGGAAACTCATTGATATCTTAGACCTCTTCCACGTTGCTGGTCTTTGTGTTGGCGATGGTGTTGCATCCAGACGTGCAAAGGCGAGCACAGGAGGAGTTGGAAGCTATTGTTGGAAACAACAGACTTCCTACGCTCGAAGATCGACCTTCGCTTCCTTATCTTGGAGCCGTCATCCGTGAGGTGATGCGGTGGCACCCGGTTGTTCCCTTAGGTATGGCCAAAATCTGCTCAAAGCTCAGTTACCGTTCTTAAACATGCTTTCGTTAGCTATCGGGCATGCAACCGTTGAAGACGACGTATACGAAAACTATTTCATCCCTAAAGGCTATACCATCATTCCAAACACTTGGTGAGGTTTTATCTATAGTATACATCTCAGAGCCCTAACCGCGGAAACTACAGGGCGATCTCTCGAGACTCGACGAAATATCCGGATCCTGAAACCTTCAATCCCGATCGTTTCCTCAACGCTGACGGGAAACTTAATGGAGACAGCGTGAAGTGGAACTTCGGCTGGGGCCGCCGCATCTGTCCTGGGCGACATATTGCAGAGGCTGGAGTGTGGCTCGCGGCTGCTCGTCTGCTCGCAACATTTAGTTTCTTGAAGCCCAAGGACCGAGATGGCCGAGACGTCGACTTCGAGCCGAAGTGGACCAGTGGAGTCACAAGGTATGCACATTTTCTTCCAAAGCATTACACGGCTGAAGCGCTGATGTTGGTGTAGCCATCCTGTGATCCCATTTCCGTGTCATGTGGTCCCAAGAGATCCATCGCTAATCATGTCTGTTTTGGAAGCCATGGTGCTCGAATAATTCCGGAGTACGTTCAGGCTGCATTGAGCCTCTTCGGTGCTAGAGAGATAAAGGAAGAGCACGTAGGTAAATTAAGACTGATAACAATGAACTTAACCCAACGGAGTACCTACCCGGGCAGAATGAACGTTTCACCAACGTTTCACAAGTATCAACTCCATACCAGATACGGCAGCCGTCGCGTCTATCCCTGACATAGACTTGCCCTGCACCCGTTTTGTGACCGCAAGTTGACTGGATAAGTCAAAGGTGTCATGCGCACCAACATCAAAGGACAAAGTTGATCTTTCTTCCGACGGAAATTTGAATATGGATCGAAAACTTGTATTGGGCGTTCAGCCTGATGTAACCCGTGCTATCAGGAATGGCTTATCGCAGCCTGACGGCGACATACCAGGTTACGAATGTTTGTTGGGTCATGCCTGCATGCCTGTATAAAACCTTGCGTCAATCATCCACTCTATTCGTGCATCTTTCACCCGCTCGTCCGCTTCTTCCCTATAATGAACACGACAAACTTCGTAGGAGTATTTATCGCTCTCATTTTAGCACTTATTCTAGCTTCATATATTCGAAGCACCAAAAACTATGTCGACAATACCCACCTCTTATTGCCTCCAGGACCTCCGCTGCTACCCATCATAGGCAACGCGCTCGATGTCACTCCAGAGGAAAGCTGGCTGATTTATAAAAAATGGCGAGATCAGTATGGTACGTCACGGAGGTCTGCTCTGTTGGCATTACTCTAATGACCTTGAGACTTAATTCATCAATAATGCAGGAGACATCGTTTATTGTCGACTGCTGGGCACCAACCTTATTTTGATCAACTCTGAAAAAGTGGCCGATGATCTCTTGGAAAAACGCTCACGTATATACTCGAGTCGCCCTCGTCTCGCCACCCGGGTTCCGTAAGTTACCGTTTCTAGCGTAACGGAGTACAGACTGATGCGTCCGCTAATATTGATAGTTTTGGATGGGGCTTCCACTTCGTCTGGGAGGAATACGGAGACAAGTGGCGAGCTGACCGTAGACTGTTTCATCAATCATTTCGGGAGGAAATGACAATGCATTACCGCCCTTTCTTTCAGCGCGCTTGTAATAGGCTCTTGATCAATGTCCTGAAGGATCCGAGCAAGCTGTTTGATTACTTGAATCTGTTGGTACCAGATCATCATCACGTCGATATTCCTGGGTGGTGGACTAACTCTGCGTAGCTTTGCAGGATCAACCATGTTATCGAGTATCTATGGCTACGAAACCAACGATATCCATGACCCTTTGGTGCGCAATGGAGAACGTGCGCTCACTACGCTTGAAGCGATCACACCGGAGAAGTCTGTGTTGATTGAACTCTTCCCTTTCAGTAGGTAATAAGTAAAGAATTGCACTGACATTTTAAAACTGAGGATTGTATCGCAGTTCTCAGTCTTCCGAATTGGTTTCCCGGGGTCTCTCTTCAGAAAAATGCCCGTGCAGCTAGGAGAACACTTCACGAATACGTGGAGAAGCCTTATCAGTTCACTACCGACCGCCTAGTATGCCCCTCTGACAAATACGTATTCCCATTGGCCTGAACTCTACTTACTAGCAGCAGGATCCTTCTTTCCCCGGCATGCTGTCCGATTCAATCAGGCGTTTTTCTAATCGTAACAATAGCTTCTCAAAGGAAGCCATGAAACAAGTTTCCGCGGCCGCATTTACGGGTATGTTTATCGCGCCGAGCTAGGATTTCTAACTGTTCAATAACGACTACATGATCAAAGGCGGCACCGAAACGGTAAGTAAAGTTCCATTGAAATATTATATAGGGCGGAGACTCACTCAAACTCCAGACAGCGTCCACATTGCTGGTATTCGTGCTGGCAATGGTAATGCACCCGGATGTACAAAGGCGAGCACAAGAGGAAATGCGAACTGTTACTGGGAACGATCGGCTTCCTGTGCTCGAAGACCGATCTTCTCTTCCTTACTTTGGTGCCATTATTCGTGAGGTGATGAGGTGGCACCCAGTTGTTCCCCTAGGTGGGATAATTTGTGTCACAGACGATTCCCATCGCCCTTTCTGACGTACTTTTCGTAGCCGTCCCACACGCAGCCATTGACGACGATGTATATGATAATTATTTTATTTTTAAAGGATGTACCGTCATACCGAACACATGGTCAGGTTCTATCTGTAATACAATTCTGGTCCTAACCGTAGAGAATATAGGGCAATCTCTCGAGACTCAACGAGATACCCGGATCCTGAAAACTTCAATCCCGATCGCTTCCTCGACGCTGACGGGAAACTTAACGGAGACAGCGTGAAGTGGAACTTTGGTTGGGGCCGCCGCATTTGTCCTGGGCGACATATTGCAGATGCTGGAGTGTGGCTCGCGGCTGCTTGTCTGGTCGCTACATTTAGCTTCTTGGAGCCCAAAGACCGAGATGGCCAAGACGTTGACTTCGAGCCGAAGTGGACCAGTGGCGTCACTAGGTATGCACTGTTTTTTCACAAGCTTTAAATACACGGCTGATCATGGTGTTGGTGTAGCCATGCTGTAATCCCATTTCCGTGCCATGTAGTCCCAAGGGATCCATCGCTGACCACGTCTGTTTTGGAAGCCATGATGGTTGAATAATCTCGACTTTTGACTTTAGGGAGATGAATGGATTGCACGTAGGTAATATAACTAGTACCGCAATGTTTCACAAGGCTACACCGATATTAGAACGGATACATATTATCGAACAGTTCGGGTACGCATAAACAAATCAATCACTAACTATGATCTGTAGCCCCTTGGCTCTCTTATGTGAGTTGCTAGCATGCTTGGTAGGAGTATCCGGATCTTCTGTGCGAGTGCGTTTTGTCGGTTTATCCTATCTGTTGCTGATATGGTGCATGGGGAAAATGTCTTTGCGCCGCTTCATCTCTTCCTCTATTTTGCTGAACCCTGTGAGGAAGGCGTTGTATAGGACCTCAGTGAATTGAGAAGCATTCCAAATTGCAGTGCCGTTAGGAAGCTTGTCGTCTAATTGAAGAGACTGAAGGTGTTTATACGCGTGAGCAAGAGGGCGGACCACATCTAAACCTGATAGAAGGAATCGACATCCGGATCCCCTAAAGTAGATATCAAGCAAGGGTTGGGTGATAAAGAAGTTAGTATCCAAGGCATCCTTCACAGTTGACACTCGAGCTTCGTTGCTTTCGATCCCACAATTGAAATAGCGACTCCCTTCAACCCTGAGAGTTTTCGCGAGCGGTTCGACGCTTTCAGGGGACAAGCAGCGAGGGGGGCGGAAGCAGGCGGCCCAGGGATAGAGCCAAATGAGCGATTCTAGATCATGGTAGAAGTGATAAGTGAACGCTAAACGTTGGGCAAGTATTTCTTCTGAATCATTGTCGTCGTTCTCGCCTTCGTCCCAAAGGACGGGAAGAGGCACATCCCCAATTCGAGTTGTGTAAAGGTACTCTCGCCGTTGATATTCCACAGCCATGAAAGCAGGCGTCCCCTAAATAGTCAAGTGAGTCAGTGTTCAGCACAAGTCAAACGATCTTCGAGAAAGTTGCTCACCGTCCTTGGATCGTAGGGAAGCTTGCAGCTGTGTTTGTAAGGACGCGCGTATTCCAGATCAGTGAGTTTCCCCTGTTCAGCTTCCGGATGCCAGAGACAATTCCCTCCGCTAATGTCGCGATGCACCCACCCTGCCAGGCGCATGTAATTCAGCTCTAGTAAAGAAACATTAGAGAAAATACGCTCATAGCTTCCCGTGCTTACCTTTCGTGAGGTCTTTCATGCAGCGAACGAGAGTTGCGTAGAGACTATAGGGCAATCTCTCGAGACTCAACGAGATACCCGGATCCCGAAAATTCCAATCCCGATCGCTTCCTCGGTCGCGCTGACGGGAAACTTAACGGAGACAGCGTGAAGTGGAACTTTGGCTGGGGCCGCCGCATCTGTCCCGGGCGACATATTGCAGAGGCTGGAGTGTGGCTCGCGGCTGCTCGTCTGCTCGCAACATTCAGTTTCTTGAAGCCTAAAGGCCGAGATGGCCGAGACGTCGACTTCGAGCCGAAGTGGACCAGCGGCGTCACTAGGTGTGCACTTTTTTACAAGCTTTACACGGCTGATCATGATGTTGGTGTAGCCATCCTGTAATCCCGTTTCCGTGCCATGTGATTCCAAGGGATTCATCGCTGACCATGTCTGTTTTGGAAGCCACCATGGTTGAATAATTCCGGCTTTTGACTTTAGGGAGATGAATGGAATGCACGTAGGTAGTATAACTAGTACTTCAATGTTTCACTATAGGGGTACTTCAATATTAGAGCGGATACATATTATCGAACAGTTCGGGCACGCATAAATCAATCAATCACTAATTACGATCTATGGTTCTCTTGGCTCTCTTATGTGAGTTGCTAGCTTGCTTGGTAGGAGTATCCGGATCTTCTGCGCGAGTGCGTTTTGTCGTTTTATCCAATCTGCTGCTGATATGATGCATAGGGAAAATGTCTTTGGACTTCTTTATCTCTGCCTCTATAGCGTTAAACTCTTCGAGGAAGGCGTTGTATAGGGCTTCAGTGAAATTAGAGGCATTCCAAATGGCAATCCCGTTAAGAAGCTTGTCGTCTAATTGAAGAGACTGAAGGCGTTCGTACTCCTTCGCAAGACAGCGGACCACCTCTGACCCTGATAGAAGGAATCGAGATCCCTTGGTGTAGACGTTAAGCAAGGACTGGGTGATGAAGCTGTTGGTATTCACGCGCACGGCTTCCCTCACAGCCTTTGTTCGAGCTTGGTTGCCTTCGACTCCGCAGTTGAAATAACGACTCCCTTCAGCCCTAAGAACTTTTGCGATCGATTCGACGCTTTCAGGGGCCAAGCGACGAGGGGGGCGGAAGCAGACCGCCCAGGCATAGAGCCAAATGAGCGACTCCAGATCATGGTAAAAGTGATACGTGAATGCTAAACGTTGGGCAGATAGTTCGTCTGAATCATTGTCGTCATTGTTCCAAAGGGCTTTACGAGGCACATCCCCAATCCAGGACGTGAAGAGGTACTCCCGCTGTTGGTATTCCACAGCCATGAAAGCGGGCGTCCCCTAAAGGGTCAAACGATTCAGTGTTCAGCATAAGTCAAACTGTCTTCAAGAAAGATACTCGCCGTCCTTGGATCGTGGGGAAGCTTAGAACTGTGTTTGTAAGGACGCGCGTATTCCAGATCAGCAAGTTTCCCTTGGGCACCTTCCGGATACCAGAGACAATTCCCTCCGCTGATATCGCGATGCACCCACCCTGCCAGGCGCATATAGTTCAACCCTAGTAGATATACATCAGAAAGAGAGAGAAAAATGGCAACTGTCCGGGATTACCTTCCGTGAGGTTTTTCATGCAACGGATGAAGGTTGCCCAATTGTCAAGCTCGTATATGCTCTGACAGACTTGCGAGAAGACGGTTCGTACGTGCTTCCGACGATGATACTGAAGATTATCCCAACATGTCTCTGCTGGCTTCGTCTGTCCACCAGATGCACCCGCTTGCGAATCGGTAGGAGTGGGTCGGCTCGAATCTCGTTGGGAGGTAGATGCACGTTGGGACTCAGGGAGGGCATTGGGTCCGTGTCCGATAGAGTCAGGAGTATAGAAGGCGCGTACGTTGGCGTCCGTGCAGCTAGTCAGGTCATCCTCAACCCACTTCTCGTCCTCGCTGGGCAACCTGACGACTTCATCAAGCTCATAATCCATGAAGTACCGCGCAGCATTCTCGATGTTGACTTCGGCAACGCCTTTCAGTGACTCCATAATTTGATCTCTGATATCTCTCTCCAAAACCGCGTCGTCAAAGAGGTAGGTATCCTTAAGTGCCTTGAGGTCTCCGAGCGTATAGACAGTTTCATCGCCGGGATTTGGGAAAAACATCTCCCTAACGCGCCATACTCGCGTAGCTCGAGAAGCGACCCAGTATGCAGCCTCTTCTGAGATGGGAGGCCCTTCCGTGAGGAAAAACTTCTCACCGACCTGATAGCGGTACGCAATTTCGTATCGGTAGCTACTTGCTCCAGAAGACGGGGGATCCACGCCTTTGGGAACACGCTTGATGTAGCGGCGAACAGTGGGATCAAAGCCAAGTTCTTGGGGTGACGAGAATAGGATATATAGGAGAAATTTCAGGAATGGCTTTGGGTTCTGCATCCGAGTCCTCATTTAAACCCGGGACTGGAAACGACGATTAACGTACCTCGTGAAAATCGAATTTCTTGGAAACGCAGACATGGCTACGCTCAAACCGCCACATACGCATCCATCTACCCTCGATTGTAAATCCGTTGACAAAACGGCGACAAGGATCATTATACAGAAGCTCTGTGGCACCTCCACATACTCTAGACTCGTTCTAAAGCGACATGAGTAGTATAAATAAAACAGTCTAATCAATTGTGAGTCGGCTTACGTCTCGTATGTCAGAAGCGAACTCGCCACGTTTAATTTCCCCAATGGCGACGATGTCTGAGAGATTCATCTTCGTTTTTGGTTTCTGCTCTCGCTTCAGATTGCTGTCGACCCAAGCACGGGACCGGGACTCACTGAGTTCCACATGCTGTGGGGCTTGGAAATAATCATGGGTTTCCGGTTGCATGTTGCCATAAGCTTCAAGCCATCCTTGTGCGTCGGCAGAGTCGGATCGAAGGGTACGGGAATCAATGGTATGAGACTCCACGAGGCCGACACGAATATCGGGAAACCACGCATGAGACGAAACTTCCGGGATGCTAAGGTCGTTGTGGGTGTTCTCGATATTTGTGGTTGTATTCAATCCCTTCGCCTTATGGACGTGCTGGGCGATGGTGGCAGCGATCCCAGAGATACAGGAGAAGGTCTCGCTCTCCGATTTCCCAAGTTCGGCGGCTTCCAAGATATCCGGCCACCCTTTGTCCTCCAAAATCTTCTCCTTCTCCAGGGCATCAAGAATCGTGTCCAACTCTGAGTCGCTCCACTGAGCGCAGGCTGCGTACTGTGCGAACCAAGCATCGACAGAACAAGACGTCAGACTCCTCGCCATGACCTGTTTGACCTTGAGATATCTTGAGCATGTGTCATCTCCAGACTGACAATCGTTGGTGTTACGAAGAGTCTTGCTATCAACGCTTGTCAAGTGAGACGAGCTAGGAGAGATATTACTCTTGTCAGTCGTTGGGGATGGCGGAGGCATTTTGGTCGGGTGTTCGGCGCAAAGCGCTCGGCATTCGGCATTCGGCACTGCCCAAAGCTAGAGGGGCTTTCCCTGCATAGCACCCGAGTCGATTGGCTGATGCACAATCCTTATCCAATGAAGTACTTCAAGTTTACTCACCACCACTGGGACGTCGCTTGTCCAACCTACGTTTCAAAGTCCTCAAGGACTCTACCAGGACTGAGCTACTGATTGCGGCCTGAAAATGGTGCTTAAAATCGGATACGGTGCGTCATAGCTTGAAGTTGGACGTCTAATGTCGTACAAACGTAGCTGAAACGCCCACAGTCAGAGAACATTTCGCCACTCCCTTGCTGCAGTATTATGCTGAGCAGCCGAAAGACAATGCAGGAAAGCCAACAATCTTCGAGTTGGACGAGACCGGTGGTAGGTCTTGCACACCATCTTCCGGCCCGGCTCGCCTAGATTAACTCGGGATCACTCCAGACGGGACCGGGAAGCTCATTAAGAACCTTAAAGCTGGCGAGATAGACATAGCAGTGTGCGTTCTGACCAACGTTTCACTGCCGAAGCCAAGCTCATGTCGTAGACAGTGGGCTGACAGAGTCCCTCATCAAGGGCATCGTCGATGGTTCCAAGGAGGGTTCCGAAGCCTACAAGATCGTAGGCCTCTACGTCACCTCCCCGCTCCGCTGGTGTGCAGCGTGTTTCCCGTCCTCATTACCTGACCAGACGAAATTTTCAGGGCAGTTATCACCGGTAACGCTGGAGGCAAGCCCAAGTACAAGGATATCTCTGAGCTAGATGCTATAGCCAAAAGCTCTGAAGGCAAAATTCGAGTCGGTATCTCTCGTCCCGGCAGGTACTTCCCTCCCGCTCGCAATACTTACTTAATGCTAACGCATGACCACAGCGGAAGCCAGAACATGGCATACGTTTTGGCTCACAACCGAGGCTGGCATGCGGACAAACTTGAATGGATAGGTTTGCTCTCTTGCCTATATTCCATACCGGCTGTGTTCTGATGCATTGGCTTCCAGAGAACGGCAAGGTTGACCCGCTGATGGCTTCCGTTAACGCTCCCAAGGGAGATGCCAACGCGACCGACATTTTCATGTGGGAGTGGATCACGACTAGGGCTGCTGCTCGCCCCGAAGGTGCGACTCGCCACGATAATTTGAAGGTTCACTTTGTGCGTGTAGATAGTCATCGTTTCGTAAACGCCCTACTGACTGACGTCTGTGGCTGATCCATATCAGGTTGACGAGGTCCTGACACCGTGGCCATCCTGGCTCATTGTTGCATCTACGAAGACGATCGCGGGCACTGCATCTGCTGACGCTGTAAAGGCCTTCCTCGAGGGGCTCAACAAGCACATTCGCGCGTTCTCCTTGGACAAGACGCTCGATGGGCCGAACTTCGAGTTCCTGAAGAAGAACTTCAGTACTCATACCGATGAGGATCTCCAGGCAAGTCCAGGGTCAGCCACAGATGTCCGAGTGTGTAGGCTGATGTGTATTGCCTTCTGTAGGAATGGCTGGGGAAAGTATCCTACCCCGAGAGCTGCCTCGATGTCCCGTCTGACTTAATACAGAAGACCCTCAAGTGAGTAGAAAGGTCGCTGACCTCGTGTGTGTTCAACCTCTGACTTGATTCCGCGTAGGGGGCTCGAGGACGCTAAGGCACTTCAACTCCCTTCTGGAGGATATCCAGATTCGATGTTCCTTGGCAGCTTTGAAGAATTCGTCACACGGACGTAAAGTCCCTGTGGATGCACCTGAAAGGATGGGAGGAAACGACAGGTGGAATACCAGTTGTAAATCGGCTAGATTCAGCCTGTACGAACATCCAATATTCTCAATGCCAATTAGAAGACCCGTATTATCTTCGTCTGGACATCACCATCACTCACTCAAAGCGTGTAAGGCTTATACACATGGCCACCGGAAAGGTTCCGCCACCAATATGGCTTTTACTTACCGTACCTTGCTGCGAACCACCGGGAACCACCCTGGACATGGTTCATCCACAGGTTCGCCCCTGGTCCCAACTTGAATTGGGCGCCAATCACTTTTTGTGTTCGGAACTTCACAACGAGGTGCTCACCTCATAGGATCTACCGCTCCCAAACCGAGGATCTGCTAGGCACAAAACGCTGAGCATCCTAGGCGCGCATGCAAGACGAGAGCAAACAAATTCGCGCTGGCCGCTGATAGAAGAAAATGTGGCACTCATACAGGCGCGACGGTAAAACCTGCACAGCTACTTTCACGCCATCCGAGTTCAGGCCCAGGGTCAACGGTTGCTTTAAGCTTTAGCAACTACTGTGGGTCACCCGATCAACTACAGTGCCTCTTGGTCTGGTGATGAGTGCCAAGCGGAAGCTTATCAGTTAAGCGCTAGACACTGTTGATCAGCAACTTGAAAAGCCTTTAGTGAGTGACTCTACGAGCCGGTACCACCGAGGTTGACTGTTGCGGTACAGTAAAGTGCCTCAATGGACGATGGCTTTGCTTCACTGCGGGAACACATCGACGCACATGTCTTTGAAGCATGAAGATCGCTGGCACGTAAGTGATATCGACCAAGGTGTCCATGTCATTCATCATCCAGCCAGCGTCCTGCTGTAGAATGCTGTAGACGCACGTTGCGCAATGCGCTTGTTCGTGAGCGCAAGTTATCATCTCAGCATCGTGCAGGATTAGTGCCATGCGCTTACTATGCGTGCTACCTGATCGCAAAGGTCGCAAAGCACATCCAATTAGGTCCACTGCCATGAGCTGTAAGTAGGTCAGCAAGGTACCCCACCCTTCAAGTGTCAAGCAGACACCTCAACATTTCAACCCGGCTATCCACTAGACACCCGGTCCAATGAACAATGACCGGAATGTGCAAAGGAGCGACAGTGGTGGCGGCTCATTCACCTTTATTGCATGTGGTGCGGCGTACCTCTGGTGGTTTATCCTGCCCTGGGCCCTTAAGTTTCAGTTGCGAGTCAACGTCGGGTACTTACTTGCCTATGAAGCTGTATGAAGGTAGGCACGAGTGCGAGCATTGCGGAACAGACAAGGCTATGCGACTTCAAGCTCAAGCGCCAGAGCATGGAACCACTAGTACCTGGCGCGGCAAATCTAATCTGCAGACCGACTCGGACCAACTGTAGGGTGGAAGAACGCTCACTTGTCCGAACTTCACCGATGCAAACTCGGACACCGGCTTTATCTTTCGCCACCGAAAGGGTACTAAACCTTTCAGGTAAATTAAGACATGGGCGCCTAACTTGTGGGTATTACAAGGGTATTAGCAAGCAGCCGACGGAACAGTTTACGGAGGCAAACCTGGTGCGGAATGTACACTGACGTACTCCACCATCGGCTCCACGACACATTAAGTGGATGAAGGCCCCGCAGTTGCCTGTCCTCGGACATGCACCACTTTTGCCTCTCCGGACCGACGGGTCGCAAAGCCGCAGTACTGCAGCGATCGTCAAAGTGCTGAATCCTTGCACCGATCCTAACCTTCGCATTGTGAAAGGGCTGTGTGGCACAACGGATAGGGGATACATAAAAGATAGGAAAGGCCTCGTGTCTGCTGATCGCTGGAGCTTTTTGGCCTTGCGTCGACGTCGGATCGCCCGTACAACAGGCTAGGTTAGGATAGGCAAATACTCAAGCACGCCGGATGATATGCCCGGTGCTGGATGGGGGATAAATGAGAAGCACACCCTTTCGACCTATTCATTCACTCTTCACCTTTGGCTCCATATCGTAGCACGCAGGCTGAAACATCCGTGTATGATTGGCTGCAGCAAGCCAACACTAACACATGTGCTTGGACACGAGCGTGCCCATTGCATCTCATTCATCGGGAGAAGGCAGCGCGGACAGTCAAGTGAAGGGTAATTTGTCGTCGCTAGCAACTGCTTAGTGGAGCATCGCGGTTTCTCCTTTTCTCATCTGGTCTCCTATAAACATGGTCAACAATTCAGTTCAGCTGAGGTTGCCGTTAACGTCTGATTGGTCTGAGACTTTCAACTCGCGTCCGTGTCCCGGTTCGTGGCTCACGATTCACGATGTACTACCAATCCGAGCTGCGGAACTACAGCGCATTTGCAGTGAAAAAGTGAAATTAACGAGTGTAAAATACATGTCTGAATTGGCAGAACAACAGCCATCGACAAAACAAATGAGAGGCCCAAAAGCGCACAAGGAGCTCACCCCTTCATCGAGCCCACCTTGCGCGACAGACTGCGCAGCCTCTCCGCGTTCTTCCGCCTGCGCTCCGTGTCCGCCTGCACGACCGAGCTGCGCGCGTCATTCCTGTTCATAATCCCGGCATCCGCGCGCGGCGCGACCGTGTAGCTCCCCATCCGCTGCTCGGGGATTGCTACCGCGTTCTTGCGCACCCTGTTCTTCTCGACCTCCTTCGCGCGCGCGAGGATCGCGTTCAGCTTCTCATTCGCGCCCGCGCCACCGGCTCCCCCTGCGGCGGCCTCGAGCGCGGTGACGGGCACGGTGCGGTCGCGGTAGGACGCGCTGCGCTTGATGATCGGCCGGCTCCATAGGGTCACGAGCTCGTTGGCGATGCGCTGCACGTCCGGGGTGACGCGCTTGCATTTTGTGTAGAAGAGCACGACCTTGCCGAGCTGGGACTCGCGCAGGACGGCGGAGTCGATGAACTCCATCTTGCGCAGGAGCGGGAAGAAGTCGCGCTGGATGTTGAGAGCGGGCAGCGAGCGGTCCGGGAGGGGCTCGAGCCATCGTTTCACACCCTCGAGGAGATTGTTGTCCATTATGGACTGGGAGAGCGATTGCCTGACGGGTATGGGTAATCGGGGGTGTCATTAGGATTGTGTGGGCGGGCCGAGGGGTTTGTGTGGAAAGAAAGAGCGGTGACGCATGATCAATATCGGCGTTTTGGTCGTGCGTGGAGCAGTTAGGCGGTTTCCGTGCGAGAGTAGGCAAGGAGAGACCGGAGCACAGTAAGATAGAAATAGAATTGGTTCAAGTTGAGCTCCAGTGGGCTGGTATCAGGTGGGAACCACTTACTTTCGCAATACCTCCATAACTTGTGGTAATAGCCTGAGCTTATTCGTAGCTGGCAGCTTATCCCGGTTAGCTTGCTCGTCGTCGACAGCCGCACTAAGCATGGCCTCGCGCAGCCGCGATACTTCCTCGTCTGCAAATCTGTCGAGGACATCCTCGTCGTCCTTTTTGCGTTTCTTCTGGCGGTTAGACTTCTTTGGCTTTATGATTGCATCAAGTTGCATTTCACGACGCTTTTTGGCAGCTAACACCCAAGGTTAAGTTTTCTCTTCCGAAGAAAGACATAAATCAAGGGTTTCACGCACCTATCTCGGGGGGTAAATCTGCGAGGTCCTCCTCGGTGAGCTGCGTCTGCTTGCGTTTGCGCTTCTGGGGACGCTCATCATCGTCTCTCCGGGTGCGGCGTCTGGGTTTAGGCGGTTTTGCACGGGGTGCGTCGTCGTTGACAAATGCGTCACTCGACTCTCCAGCGGACGAGTACTCGTCGCGTTCAATTTGAGCGCGAGCCTGGCGCTGGCGGGGCGGGACCTCTGTGTAATCAGGAGACAGGGGAGTCAGAACTCTATGAGTCGGGATAAGAGTACTGCTTTCGTACCCTCTTCCTCTGACAGTTCGGAGTCATCACCGAAAATGTCGCGCTCGAGGTCTTCTTTTGTCTGTCAAGGAGAGTTAGTAGCTGTGAGTCATGGAATGTGTAATCTCTGACCGCTTGAGGCATGATGGAGTGGAGGAAGATAGTGGTGGAGAGAGGCGCAAGTCAGATGTTGCTCTCTCGGCTGAGTTGCCGTTTGTGCGAGGCGAGGCGTGGTGTGTGGCTGTGGCTGTGCTGTCCAAGTGGAGGTGCAGGGGAGAAAGACAAACAGGGACAAACAGAAGCCATGTCTTGATGTCAGTCAATGACGCCTTCATTGTGACCGAGCCCTATGCAAAAAATAGGTTGACTGGACAGGTTCGCCTATTTATAACGGTGATGCCAGCCGTAATCTTAGCTATAGGCGAGCGAACCGCCCAACTTGACTCGTCCATCGAATCTCCTCTGTGACCTGTGGCTACTGCACGGGGTACGTAACTAAAATATCACAGCGCACTCATCGGCCCTGGGACTCACCGTACCGCTGGTATACACGTCTGTTATTTAGCACTCTCCCTATCCATTCTAAAGGATGCACTCCCTCTTTCCCCCCCGCCGTCTACCCCGTGTCGGCATGGCATCTCCTCCCCCTTCCCCTTCGGATCAGGCTCGCACTCCAGAGCTTACTGATGAGGACGTCTCCTCATCATCTTCAGGCGATGATCACACCGCCGCCCTGAGTCGCCGTCAACGCCGGCCCCTCCCACCGTTACCTCACCAGGTTGCGACCCCTCGTCCGCTAAAATCTCCTACTGCCGACTCTCCCTCCTTCCCCTTCCCTGCATTCGACTCGGCCGAAACCTCCCCCTCTTCTTTTCTCCCCGCCACCGACGACTCCACTCCTTCTCACTTTGCTAGGGCTCCTAAGCAGTCCTCTCATAACAGCAGGGCTGTATCCTGGATGAGAATGCAAGTCGATGCTATCCAGGCCCTCAAGCATCCCCGTATCCTCTCCCTCTTGCTCTCTTACCTCTCATGGCCCGAGTTCTACGCTCTCATATGCACAACCACAAAACTCAGGGGTCTCTGGGACTATCCTGAACTCAGAGACGTAATTATGTGCGCCTTTGTCCCAGGATTTCAGTTTGCTCTCCACCAACGGGATCTGTCTCGCTTCCGAGACGTCGATATCACTCTGCAGGACCTGGACTTACTACGTGCGTTTTTTACCACTTCATCTGCTACACGCTCGTGACGTCTGTCATTTATGTCGTCATACTCTCTAGTGATTTCGCAACGTGTTCCTCTTCATCGATACCCTATGCACGCTCTTCACGCCCTCTCTTCATCCCCCGAGTCAAGTGCGGACACTACTGTGACTCGGCGCATCTCAGACAAGCTTGCTGTACTCGCCAATACCCATTCCCGATTTGTCCTTCTGCTCCAATCGCTGGTCCATAGCTCATCGCTCCCGACCCCTGCTGAACCACCGGCCTTCACACCGCGATCGCAATCTGTTTCGCAAAGCACCGGTACCGGGAGCTCACTGCCTCATGGACTGCGTGAACTCACCTTTCCAGCGCCTCTGTCGGAATCCGTCCCTGACGGCGACAGTACGGCTGTCAATGGCAGCACGAACGTTTTACCCCTGGCGTCTTTGTCTCTGACACATACGCGCGCAACATCGTTATCGCCTGCCAAGAAGACGCTCAATCGGAACGGCAAGACGTCTGCTGCCTCGCCATCACCCGCTGGCGGAACCTTTGCTCAGGGGTCGATGTACTCGCTGGCCAATGGCAACAGCTTATCGGGATCGCCAAGACCCGCGATGGCTTCTCCGAGATCGGACAACTCGGGCGCTTCTACTCAGGTACCATCCCCCACGAAAGGCAGGCGCATGTCCATGTTTGGTTCCAACGCCAGGTCGCCGCCTCCCGCCCCTGCCGAACCCCGATTGCTGCGGTACTACGGCGAGAGCTGGAGGCGGTCAGCCAAACCATCCTTAGCACTGAGCCCACCGCCGACAAAACTCCGGATGTCCACTCGAAGCCCACTTTCACGAGCCGGTGGTTTCTCCTCGCAGGACGATTTTTCGTTTACAAAGCCCTTCGCCCAGGACGACCGGCGCGCCGCGTCTGTGGATTCAGACAGTGACGCTGGAAGCGGCACCTCCTCGCCATCCTTCTCCCGGCAGTCGACCGTCGGTGACGTCACCCATGCGCCCAGCAATGACACCAGCTCCCACTCCAGCCCGCCAGCCTCGGGTTTGGGCTTCAACCCGAACGAGCCAACGAGCAACCCGCACGACCTCACGCTTGCGATCTCCCGTGCGCGCGCACCCGTCCTGCGCGTGTTCGTTCCCGCGGGCGTGCTCAGCCCCGCCGTGCTAAACGCGTGCGAGGCGCAGCTCGTCCAGGGAGGCCTGTGGTCACACCTCTCGACTGGTGATGTTGTTTGCAACCTCGGATATGTGCCTGGTGTCGGAGCGAACTCGCGGCCCTCCACGCGCAGTGGCGAGTCACCGTCGCCGCCTGGAGGACCCGCGAGCGCGGACGCGACGTCGAACCAGACGTGGCTCGTGTTCGACGGCACGCAGCTCGTGCCGTACATTCCGCCCGCGCCTCCACCTGTCGCGGACCCGCTCAGCTTGCCGTCGCCGTTTTATTACACCCACTTGCTGCCTTCGGGCACGAATCCGCAGTGGGAGTTTGGGGCGATTGGCGGTGCCGGTCCTGACGCTAATGGTCCTGCGGAGGGTCCGGACCTGCGGCTCAGTGTCGCAGGCGTTCCGCTGGCAGCCGCTGGATCTGGGTCTGGATCTGGGGAGCCCGAGCTGACGCTCACGCAGACGACGATGCGCGTGCGCAGCCCGCACTCGCTCGGCGGGTACGCGATGGTGAAGAAGTGGGTGTGGATTGCGCGCTCGTGGATTGGCGTCGGCGTTGGCGTTCGGAGTGTTGCTGCGACGGAGGCGATGGGTTCCGGGTGGCGCGGTGAGTGGGTGCTCGAGGGCGAGGGCACGAAAGAGGGGAGGGGTGTGTTGCTTAAATGTCTGAAAGGCGAGGAGGCAGGCGAGCAGCGGTATGTGTGGGAGATGGTTAAGGAGAGGAGTGGAGGTGGGAAGTTGAGGATGAGGTATGTGTATCGTTGCTGCGAGTGCTGGCTTAGGGTCGCTAATCAGTCTTGGATAGATTGATGAAGGTTATCACGCCTACAATTAGCGGCACTGCTAGCTCCGCGGTTGTTTAAGTGCCCCGTAAGCTGCATCGTCCCGCAATGACTCATTGAAGGACACAACTAGCCCATGCTGTTGTATTTATTCTTCATTGCACCGCTGAACGCTGGACTAGACTTCTTCTGAACATTCACATAGTTACATTCTTTACTTACCTGGCTTTCAACTTTTCTGCTTGACGCATCGTCCGTACATATATTCTCTTACTAGGATGCTCCACCTCAGCGCAGTCTGCGGACCTCCTTCACCTCTTATCCTTCTTTAGTTCCACGACTCCCCCCTCCCCGCCATCCCGTACCACCCGCCCCTTGGATAATCACATCATCGCCGCTGCATCATTCCCTTTATCTAACCCGTCACACTCCTCACCTACAGGCTTATGCACCCGCACCCACCAAGATCCCGCCACGCACAATAAATTGCACGCACCCCTCCCTCGGTATCCTTACTCCCGTGTATCTGTATCTCAGAACTCAGTCTCAGACCCGGCTCACCAACAAGGACTCTACCTACCTATACGGACGGACGTACATGCCTGATCAATCCACGTACTTATACTTACAACTCTGTCTAGAAACTTATGATATATTCTACTGACTCTTATCATTAGTGTAATCAAATGTGTGCGTCTTGGTCAATGTATATGAGTTTATACAACACGTTACGTTGCGTTAGTAGTGCCGCATGCATGTGCGTCGCATGTGCGAACAGCATTCTGATCTGACACCCGTCATTTCCAGTATTAAGATTGGTGGGGCTCCCTTGATCCCGCTAGCTGGATTACAAGCTTGCGTACTTTAAATTTATGAGATTGCCGGCAGCAAGGATCAGGGTAGGAGGTACAGGAGATGGCAGTGCTGTTTCTCTAACGCTTGGTTTATGTATCACTGAATCAAGATCATCCAAGCGAGAACGAAATAGAACAGCCTGCGGGCAGCGACAAACACGCGTCAGCAACTGGACCGATTTCAGCGGAGGGGAATGTCAGCGCACAGTAGCGGGTATACGGCCAGGAGAATGCGCTGCCGCTCGATTTTTGTGCCGTCGAGGAAGTTGACGGACGCTGGACGTGTCGTGAGCGTGAGTGAACACAAAACATGGCCTGTCTCACCCCAGATGCACCAGGCCCACGCTCCGAGCGCGATGGGGGCGCGGACCCAGATGATGCGGACGAAGCAGGATATGAGGGCAGCGATATCGAGCGGGGCGATGCAGTAGCCTAGCGTGCAGAGGCCTTGGAAGAACGAGCTGAAGTGGGGCACCAGAACGTGAGGTTCATTGATTCGAGTGTTGGAGTTAGTCAAGGCTGCTTACACTCGGCCGCCTAGAAGCTGGTATACACTTCAGAGCGGTTCGCATAGGTCTGAGAAACGATACGCGTACCTTGGCTTGGACTGTCACGACTAACGAACCGACGGAGACGATGACCACGACACTGGTGAAGACTCCGAGGGACTGGCTTGGTGGTGCCTGGATGAGGGGAAAGATGTGGGATACGTGCACGGAAATACCAGGCTTCAACTCACGTTCACGCTGAGCATGATACCGAGGGCCAGGCATAGCAGAAGGGGTCCCCAAAGGTCCCAGTCCCTGAGTGTACTGTGAATAACATATCTCAATTGATGTGAAAGAGCGTGCTATTACCTGAGAACCTCACGGCCTGATGCCCGGCGAGGGTAGAGCACTTGCACGAGTTTCGAGTAGATGGAGAGAAGGTCGCGAGCCTGGGATCGAGAAATAGGTTAACAATATCCCAAGACCGGCGTACGTGACCGAAGTGCTAACAATGGTGGTCATCACGGGCTCATCGAGCGTGTCCACGCCGTTATACCTAGGCGTTTACGCGTCAGCATCACCATTCGCGCCTCATGCGGCTGCGCATCTTGAGATGTGGCACATTACAGCGCACCTGGTTTCGACGCGGATCCCGCCAACTGTCTGTCTATTCGACTGGGGCTGCGAGTTCGAGCCGATGTTGCCAGAGAGCTGAGGTGCAGCACCGTTTCCGCTGCTGGGCTGGCCTAGCTGTTCCGGGGCGCGAGCCTTGCCCTTGTCTATGGCGGGGCTCGTACCGCCGAGCGAGGGCTGCGTGAATCCCGGGATGTCGTTATCATCGAGGTCGTCGTCGTCTGGATCCGAGTGTGAGCCAAGAGTCACTTGTAGGCGGCCTGAGACGCACCTGCTTCGATGAACCTGGACTGGGAGGTGAGCGGCGTCTCCGCTGTTGGATCCATGGCCTTGGTCGTGTCGGAAAGATATCCCGCTTGCGCTACAGGCGCTTGGTGGCGATGCACCTGCCACGTGATTTGAGATTTCGCGGAGATTGAAATGCCACCGAGACTCGAGAGTGACGCGTCCCGCCAATACCAAGTCTGGTTACGTCCATATCTTGAGCACTCGCTTTCACCATGGTTTGTATTCATGACTATGTCTTCACCGCCCATACTGAATATTACAACAGGGTAATGCACCATCCGGCATGCCTCCGGGCGCGGGAGGACAGGGACAGGGCGACAAGGACAAGAAAGACAAGGGACCACAGAAGAAGAAATGGGAGCCACCGCTGCCCACCAGTGTCGGCAAGCGCAAGAAGAAAAAGGGCCCCGCCACAGCTTCCAAGCTACCCCCGATCACGCCCACCACGCGCTGCCGCCTGCGTCTCCTCAAGATGGACCGTATCAAGGACTACCTCCTTCTCGAGGAAGAGTTCATTCAGAACCAGGAGCGGCTCAAGCCCGAGTCGTCGCGCGAGGAGAAGAACGAGGAGGATCGCACGCGTGTGGACGGCCTGCGGGGCTCGCCGATGGTGGTGGGCACGCTTGAGGAGATCGTGGACGACGACCATGCAATTATCAGTACGGCTACCGGTCCTGAGTCGTATGTCGCCATCATGAGCTTCGTCGACAAGGATCGCTTGGAACCTGGGTGCTCTGTGCTGCTACATCACAAGAGCTATGCTGTTATTGGAGTGTTGGAGGATGACGCGGACCCGTTAGTCAGCGTTATGAAGCTCGACAAGGCGCCGTCGGAGAGTTATGCGGACGTTGGTGGTCTGGAAAACCAAATCCAGGAAATCAAGGTATTGAACATTTCTTTTGATTAGTGATTTGCTACGCCTGATACTGATGTCACATATTCTATAAGGAATCCGTCGAACTTCCTCTCACCCATCCCGAGCTGTACGAGGAAATGGGTATCAAGCCGCCAAAAGGTGTTATCCTGTATGGTGTGCCTGGTACCGGCAAGACCCTGCTCGCCAAGGCTGTTGCAAACCAAACATCTGCTACTTTCCTCCGTGTCGTCGGCTCGGAGCTGATTCAGAAATACCTTGGAGACGGACCTAAGCTAGTCCGAGAGATGTTCCGCGTTGCCGAAGAACATGCTCCTAGTATAGTGTTCATCGATGAGATTGACGCCATCGGTACCAAGCGGTAAGTACAACGCAACTCTTCGCTTAGGTCGTCTATTGATAATAACCCTAGGTATGACTCCACGTCTGGCGGTGAACGTGAAATCCAGCGAACGATGTTGGAGCTTCTCAACCAGCTGGATGGTTTCGACACCCGTGGAGACGTCAAGGTCATCATGGCCACGAACAAGATCGAGTCACTAGATCCCGCTCTCATTCGGCCAGGTCGTATCGACCGGAAGATCGAGTTCCCGCTACCGGACGTGAAGACGAAGCGGCATATTTTCCGGTGAGTTTCCAAGTACCATTCGTTTGACAGGCACTAAATGAATTTTGCCCAGCCTTCATACCTCGCGCATGAGCCTGAGCGAAGATGTCGACCTCGAAGAGTTCGTCATGGCAAAGGATGATCTCTCGGGTGCGGACATCAAAGCGGTGTGCACGGAGGCGGGTCTACTAGCGCTTCGCGAGCGGCGGATGCGGGTAACAAAGACAGACTTCACGGCCGCAAGAGAGAAGGTTCTGTACCGGAAGAACGAGGGTACGCCGGAGGGCTTGTACCTGTAGATTTGTTCCATTGTTTCGTTTTATTGTATCCCTATACTATGCATAATGCTTCAGAGCAGTCAAATGCTGTGGTCGAATGAGGTTGGATAAACGTCGCGCTGAGTGCATTATGCTTGCCTTGATTCATTCAAACATCAAACATATTTAACCATCATCCAGCAAACCTCAATGTCGACGTATCAAAGTCGATCCTTCCATGTGACCATAACCGACACTCAGTATTCACAATAATATCCACACTAGCTTGCAGCAGATAGATACTGTACAATGATTCAAGTGGATCCTCATGGCACTTTTGCTGCCATCGAAGCGACTACATGAAACAACAATAAAGTACAGGTCAGATACTTACAGTCGAGGCTACAGAACAGAGCATTGGTCTTTAATGTACGTCACTACTTCCTTCACCCTGTCGAACCCTTCTTGTGAGAGGATGTCCAACTCCCACTCTCCCGTCAAATACTCCGCGGATAAAGCCTTGGCTGGATCGCGAGGAACTCGACGGGGCAGAATCACGCGGTCCTTGGATTGAGCAGTGTAGAAACGTGCTTTTGTGCCAATGATGCTGACGCCATGCAAGACCGGGATCGGGCAGCACGTTAACAGGTCATCGTAGCGCTCTCGCACTTGACCATCCGCGCGGGACCGTGCTGCTGGCGAGCCGAGCCAAACGTCATCCCTAACATCCGCAAAGAAAACGGGCCGATTATTCTGGTCGTAGACAGCGAAGTACAGCCTGATGAACGCATCGGATTCGCGAGGGCTGTTTAACGATGGATGACGTGGAACTACCACGAAGTGGAACCTAGGATTGTCAAAGCAGTAGTTGAGAAGCGAGTTGGATGGGCCGTGATACCGTGTTTCGCCGCAAATACCGATAGGCGTATGGTGACGGAAGGTCTCAAAAAGGACCTTGAGTTCACTAGGCCACGTCTGGTCACTGATGAAGGACATGTCCTTGACGGTATGCATGAGATGCGAGTTGCTTCATGATCAAGTGTGAAATAGTTGCAATATACAGGACATCCGGGATAGGGGTGGTAATGAAGGAATTCGATACGTCATACCTCTAGGATAGGGGAATTTTCATTTATGTATTTGACTGGAGGGGTCACTTGCTTGGTCTCTATTTCGTTCAACGTTCATAACGTTCATCATCGTTATATCAGAAACTTTGAATCTATCCTCGACGTTCAACATGTCCTTCATCAGTGACCAGACGTGGCCCAGCGAATTAAAGGCTCTATTCAAGACTTTCCGCAACAAGGGGCCTGACGGTGCCTGCTGGGAGACACGCTATCACGGCTTATACAACTCGCTCCTCAACTACTGCTTTGATTGTCTCAAGTTCCACTTCGCAGTGGTGTTGTGTCATCCAACGGCAGAAACTCCTCACGAAGACATTGAGCTCCCTAGGTTTTATCTCGCCGTCTACGATCAAAATAACCGGCCCGTTTTCTTTGCGGATGTTAGGGATGATTGCTGGCTTGGCTCGTCCGATACGCAGTCCATCGCAGACGGTCAAGTGCGAGAGCGCTACGATGACCTGTTGGCGGGCTGCCCGGTCCCGGTCTTGCATGGCGTCAGCCTTATTGGCACGAGAGCGCGTTTCTACACTGCTGAATCCAAGGATGGCGTGGTTCTGCCACGTCAAGTTCCTCGCGATCCGACCAAGCTTTTACCCGCAGATTACTTGATGGGAGAGTGGGAGTTGGATATCTTCTCCCAAGAAGGATTCGATAGGATGAAGGAAGTAGTGACGTACATCAAAGATCAATGCTCCGTTTTGTAACCCTGCAGTGGTTGTGAGTATCTGTCTGGTACTTTGTCATCATTTCATGTAGCCGCTTCGATGGTAACAGGAATTGACAAGTCGCGAGATGGCCTGTATAGCTACATAATCTCCCTGAATATTGTATAAATCTACTAGCTAGCTCACTTTGAATGAATTTTATGCCGTAGTTGTACACAACATATTGTGTGCCAGTCTTCGGTATTTTTAGACTGTCCATCACCAGCCGCGACGCGTCGTGGACGCGTCTTGGACGCGTCTCTCACTAGCCCTCACTAACCCTCACCCAGCATTCACAGTGCACGTGGATAAGTCTTGTCCAGCATCATCGCAAAGCTAGACGATCATAAACTCCTCACATACCTAAAGTCTGATTGTATCCCCTGAAGGCTGTTCAGCAGCTTAAACATGACACACAATGATCGTCGCCGGCTCATTAGCCTTGACATGCTAGAGGTCTACTTCCCGGTGGTAGCTCCCATCCTGGAATACTTGGAGAAAACTCTGGATACTGAGACAGAGGCCATTGTGAAAGATTCGGATGCTGATGTGTTTCGCAACTTCATGAACTCGACAATTGTAGGGTCTGGTTTACGGGCCGGCACACAACCTCGTCTTATTGGCGCTGAGCCACTCGAGACTATGAAGGAGGTAATGTCGGACGTGCATCATTGTATGTCTCTAACGTTCTACTAGATTGTGTCAACAGCACAGAAGATGCTGTTCTCAGCCGCGAAAGGATCTAAGCCAAACAACATCCTTACCATAGGGTACCAACGGGCAAGCCATAAATCACTCTTCTTTCTCTCCATATGGCATTAATACCGCAACCTTCTTCAGGCTGGAGGCTCGGGTACAAACGTATCTAACTTCAGAATCGAGAATCGCTTTGCGAATACAAACGTGTATGCTCTTCAATCGCCTGAATGGGAGTTGTTGCTTCAGAGGTGAGAGCTTGCACGAAGTAAACTAATACCTAAGTACTAATCGTCGTAGAATAGGCACGGACGCTATGCTTCACTTACTGACCAAGACGTCGCTATTCGTATCTTTGCCCAACGATTGTCTCTGTCAACTTTCGGGTGAACCACTTATCCACATTCGACTCACTGGAACAAGTGGGTTCCTGCATAAAGATGGGATGAGCTATGGAAGAAAGAGGAGATCTCCAGAGGAATGTGAAAGCGAGCGCCCAGCAAAGCGTGCGCGGTTGAACATTCGACCATCGGCGGTGGCAGGAACAGCGAGTAGCAGCTTGGATTCTGGTGGGACAAATCCTCCTTCAAGGTACTGGTGTCTGTGCTGTCGGACAGAATCTCATATTGAAGTTTATAGAAACTCCGCAGCCGACATCTCATTTGTTCGTGCAAGGCTCTTCTATGCTCGTCCTTGCAAGGATCCCGACTCAAGCCGTATCATCGTTGGTTTTCCCCATAATCGTGAATCTCACTCAGATAAATAGATCTTACAATAACTGATCACTAACGTTACGATGTGTAGACGTGCTCAACCGTCTCCACCCTTCTTACTTTCGGAAGCCAGCCGTAGACCCCAAAAATTACGTGGATCCAGACCCTCGAGAGCAAGCTCGACAAGCCCGCCACCTGTCCAAGTATATATTCCCTTTACAGTACGACCTGAAGAACATTTTCACCAACGTTCCCAATCCAAAGGACGTACACAACTTGCACAACTTTTTCGACCGCGAGCTAGAAATCAAGGCTCGTAAACTTTTACATGATATCGGAGGAATGTGCTAACAAGGTGCTTTGGGCTCACAGCGACTTGGGAAATGCAAAACTCCCAGACGTTTGCGAGAAATTCTTCCTCTGCTGGAAAAGATGATATGGAGGCATGGCAAGTGCGCCTACAAGCCATTGCGAGATAAAACGTGTCCCTCAAAGGTGTGCATACTGCTTTACTTTGGACAGGACGCTCGTGTTGACATAAGCGTGTAGATCCAGTCAACGGGCACGAAGACCATGGACAGTAGTTTCATTCTAGCAAGTTTCTTCGCACTTATTCTGGTATATTGTTCTTAAACCATCAGTAGGAAATGGTCTCAGAAACGTCTATGCAAGTTGGAACACAGCAAAAACGAAGTGGAGATATTTCAGTTAGTTCGGTAGGACTTCCGATCACACCGTTGGGGCTTTCTCAGGCAAGAAAGAAGACGGAACACAAACCGCGTTTTGCTGATTTTGAATGTACGCATGCCGAGGTGCTGAACCTTGCTTGAAGGGAAAATTCGTTATGCTCAATTTTCGTCGATCTGCAGGTATTCCGCTACGGTGTTCTCATCACCAAGAAGGTTGTTCCCAAAGCTTTCTGGGGGTGTGAAGCAAATTTCAAAGTTGTCAAGAGACGTGAGCATCCGTTATTCACAAGATTTGCATGAGGTTGACCCTACCTTCACAGTGATACTAGAGTATATCTCATGCCGTCGTTTTGAGAGCTTTACCCTCCATCATGCAATCCAAGGATTCAGCACCTCCGAATGCGAGTGGCTTATGCCACCCGGTCCTAAATCGCATAAACAGGTCAGGGTATCAGTTACCGACGCCCTTAAGCGACGAGAGTTGCTTGAGGAATTCATATTTTGGTACTTTGACTCGTTCCTCCTCCCCCTTTTGAGAGTAGGTTTCATCCCAGCTTTGACCTAAAAGTTAACTGACAGCTGCTAGACATCGTTCTACGTCACCGAATCTTCGGCTTTCCGAAACAGAATTCTCTATTTCCGTCATGATGATTGGGAAGCGTTGTGTGCACCGCTAATTGATCGCTTGAGCGAGAGTACGTTTCAAGAAATTGAACAGGTCGTGGCTTTATTTTTGATTCTTTGACCGGACATATGCTGACACACGTACAAAAAGCGTGAAGCAGACGAGATCCTTCGTCAACGACGGCTAGGTTTTTCCTTTGTACGGCTTCTCCCCAAAGACACTGGTGTCCGTCCTATTGTCAACCTGCGTCGCCGAAGAGAAAAGGCTCGTCCCCCACATATCAGTTGGAACCAAAACTGATCTATGTGATTTCCTTAGGGATATGGAAATAATCTGTCTATCAATCAAATTTTACAAGCGACTTTCCGAATACTAACGTATGAAAAGGTGACATATACAACCAGATTTCAATTGCCAGTGGCTTATTGCTGATCTGCATATCAGCAAAACCAACCCGAGCGCCTCGGTGCTTCCGTCTTTGGACCAAATGAGATATATAGAAGTCTCAAGGAATTCAAGTTGCGCCTGACTCAAGGAGATACTAGCAAAATACTGTAAAACCTTACACGCTCTAACTGTAGGAAAATACTTATCCGTCTTTTCAGGCCCAAGCTGTATTTCGTCAAGGTTGATGTCCAGGCATGCTTCGATACTATCGATCAGTCCAAGCTCATTTCAATCCTGCGGGACCTAATTTCCGAGGTAAGTTTCGCACCGACATAACGCAACAACCTCCTTACACCCAGCAGGATAATTACCTTATCCAAAGATACGGCAAGATCAGACCGATGGCTGGACGTATATCTCGGGAGTACGTTAAAAACGCCTTGCCTGAAGGTCCGTTGCGATATGTCCAATGGGCTTCGTGTTTTCGGCTCATGAGCTTGCAGATGACCATCCCCATTTTCTGTCGTATGCACAACACTTGGCCGCGGCTTTGCGCCAGACCATCTTTGTAGATCAGGTTCAATACAACTTTGAATCTAAGTCGGCTGCTTTACGTCTACTGGAAGAGCACATCACGGATAACATAGTCAAGGTGCGAATTGTGCTTGACATCCGTCCTCCATACTCACGCCCTCCACAGATCGGTCAAAAGTACTACCGCCAAATGGTCGGTATTCCTCAGGGCTCGGTTCTCTCCTCTATTTTGTGCTCTTTCTGTTACGGAGACCTAGAGCGACGGAAGTTCAATTTCCAGGATGATCCTGAAAGTGTAAGCCTCCCCTGACCTTGACATATGCTCTTATTAATCTGCCATAGATGTTACTGCGACTTATAGATGACTACGTGCTCGTTACGACGAGCTTGGAGAAAGCTAAGAGATTCCTGGATATGATGAACGAAGGTTCGTATGATGGTCCCTTCGGCCGGTAACACTAGTCTTACCGTCATCAGGGCATCCGGAATATGGCTGCATCATATCCCAAGAAAAGACGATGACTAATTTCGACTATGGTGCCGATATCCTCAACTACGTGGATCCAGCAAGAAGATGTAAGTAGCCTGATTCTTCAATGCTCATCACCTGCATGACGATATCTATAGGGTTCCCATGGTGCGGCCTTTTGATCAATATGCAAGATCTTTCTGTGCTCGTGGACTATTCTCGTTATCACGGACACCGTAAGATTACCACTGCAATGATCCCTCGTCTTTCGGTGCTCATTTATTGCTCTAGGCATACAAGACACACTCACAGTCGACAGAGGTCGGCATCTGGGCACCACGTTTGTCCACAAGATGCTTAGGTTCGTTGTTTCAATTTCTCGTGTGTTCACGGTATCCTATGAACTTCACTGCAGGGTGGCACGGGCAAGGAGCCATGTCATATACACCGATGCCACGCTCAACAGCGCGCACGCCGTCTACCTCAACATATACCAGAACTTCCTCATGGTCGCGATGAAAATGTACCATTACATCTCGTGCTGGGGCATCCGCCGCGCGAAGAACGCGTCCTTCCTCTACTGTCAGCCCGCTCCTGCCCTCTTTGCAATATCGTCTAGTTGCTGAGTCATGTTACAGCAACCATTCAGCAGATCATCAACTTTACATATGCGACGCTGCGACTGAAAACTGCGGAGGGAACGCAGAAAGACCGGCAGACTCAGAAGAACAGCGTCGCCTGGTAAATTCTCTTGCTGCGCGTTTGCTCGCGCACGGATTACTGATGTCAATATCAGGCTCGGCTTACACGCGTTCCACACCATTCTATCCAAGAAACCCAGCCCCATCATGAAGACGGTGGTGAAGAAGCTGGCCTTTGACATGTCCTTACCTCGACATCGGCGCATGAAGCGCGATATGCTTAAAGTGGTCGTTGACGGACGGGCGGACTTGGCCAACATTATCTTCTAACATGATTTTTTCTTTCAATACGACGGTCGTTCTTGTGATACACAAGCTTCATTGATTTGACACTCTGCGATCTACTCTACTCATACACGTTTGAATTAGTCGGGGTATAAGCTACGCTACAGAATTCTATCTACTATTGATCAGAACGACAACCAGGCGAGAAGTATCTACGCTGGAAAGAAGAAGAAGAAAGGGGAAAGCGAAGAAGAGAAGAAGAGAAGAGCGCCGGCGGAATCGTTGGTATCGTGGTATCGTTGGGCGTGAGTGTGTTGCCAGCATAGAGCGTATTTTGTACAATCGCGAAAAGTCTACAATTGAAGAAGAAGACGGGACATCGCATAGTAAAGGATTTTGCTTGAGATGTTTGCATAAAGGTGGCTTAAAACGCATAAAGATCGAGGTTCATAGAGTCGGGGTCCGCGTCGTCGTCGTCTTCGTTGTACTACAGCAGGTATCAGCACGCAATTCTCATCCAGCATGCGCACAAACGTGGTACTCACCCGCAGCCCAATGAGCTTGTCATCGTCGAGCATGACCGCCTTGTAAGAGAACAGCTCGGGCCTCGACACGCTCTTGAACGGCAAAGTAGTGACGACGTCTTTCTTGAAGTGCTCGCCGGCGGGGACCCTTGTCGGCTTCGTGTGCATCTTCCACTTATCTTTCGGCGTGAGGCTGCTCGTGTGCACGCTCGCGCGCCGCTGCAGGCCCCCTTGACTCTGGCCCTGGCCCTGGCCCTGGATTTGTCCGTGCTTCTGCCCGTTCCCGGCAGGATAATGCACATGATGGTCCGCGGAGACAGACGACGGCGGCGGGAGCGGCGGAAAGCTCGGCGGCGCCGACACATTAAAGTCCAATATCCTTACATCCTCGCACCCGGCGCTGATCGCGCGGAGCACCACGCGCTGCCCGTGCACGGCCGCAGACGAGTCCGCCCACGGCACGTAGCTGTCGAGGTAGCGCGCCTCGCGCGGGCCCCAGCCCTCCCAGGGCACGACCGTCGTCGCGGCCGTTGCGGCCTCGAACGACGACGCCTCGCGCGCGCGGTGCAGGTACTCGGCGACGCGCGATGCGATGCTGCGCTCGTGCAGGAAGAGGTGGAAGTACGCGAACGAGAGAGCGCAGTTGGCGCCCGTGCGGACGAGATTGAACACGAGCGTGTGCACGCGCGCGCCGGGCGCGGCTGTGAACGGCTTGTGCGGCGGCGTGCGGGGCAGCGGTGCACCTGCGAGGATCTCGGCGCTCCCGATCGAGACTTTGTGTTGCAATGCCGGGAGGGTGAGCGAGGCGACATGCAGAGGCAGGGAGGTGGAGGCGGGGCCAGGGCCGGTGACGGCATCCTCGATGTTGTTGTTGTTGTTGAAGGTGAAGATATCAAGGGCGCCGCCGCGGTCGCCCGAGACGATGATATAGGTGTTATTAGAAATAAATGAGATGGCGTGGGTGTTGTGTGGGAGCGGGATGGACTGGCCGCCCTGGAGTAATATCAGTCATCGTATTCTATAATTTATTGCGAGACTTTGCTTACGATGACAGACTTCCCAGTCTTCCAGTCCCATATGGCTTCAATGATGTATGATCGCGAATTTTCGTGCACGACAAGAGCAATAATGTTGTCCACAATTTGTAGCTGCGAACGGGACCCCCACGACTCCACAGGGCCCAAGTACGCGCGGTGGGCAGTTGGATATGGTGCGTTTGCCGAAAGTGTGCGGAGATGTACCTGGAAGACATACTGTCTGAACAAAAAATAACGGAGGATTGCCCGTCAGTAAACGCCTCGAGGATTATAAAAGGAAAAACTCGTCCCGGGATGACGAGCCTCACAAACATACTCACCCTTTGCGATTCTGAAACACCCTTAGCAGCGCAAGCAAATCCTGGCTCGGATCCACCGCGAAATTCTCCACGCACGTAATCCCCGCGCTGGGCAGCGCAAGCGACCTCGCGGGGCTCGTGCTCGACGGAAGCCACGCGACCGTCATCGGGCGGAACGCGCCGACAGCCCCAGCCGACTTCTGGCTCTGGCCCAACCCCGCCGTCGACGTCGTTCTGCTTGGGCTGGTGGGCCCCACAAAACTAGTCGCCGTGTTCCTCCGCTCGAGCGTCGTTTTGGCGCGGCCGAGCGCGACGAGGACGCCCGCGGCGTACGCGTATAGCTCGCGTGGGACGCTCATCTCGAAGCGCGCCTGGCGGACGAGGTCGCGTGTCGCCCACGCGTCGGCGTCCGCGCGCAGGAGGCGCAGGCGCTCTGGGAGCCCGAGCGGGGCGCCGTGCATCGAGGAGGCGGAGGTGGGGTTGTCGAGCAGCCCGAGGCGGGCGAGCTCGAGACGGTGTTGCACCGCGAGGGAGGTGTCGGCGGCGTGCTTGAACCTGCGGCAGGTCTATCACCAAAAGATAACGGAAATGTGACGAGGAACATCAGGGTGACGAAGTGCAAGAGGTGGGGCGGTTGGCGAATCAATCAGATGCATGAATGAAAACGGCGATCGCACGAGGACGAGCTTACCGCTGCACATCTGAGGATCTCCCTCTCGTCGAGGAAATCGAAGATCTTGTGCAGCACCTCGACGGGGAAGTGCTGCACATCGCAGGAGGGCGTGTACTCGGCGTATACCGAGACCACAGTGGACAGTTTTCTGCTCGGGCCCGTCGACATAGAGCCGCGGCGCACCGAGCGGGGGCGGGGGATGGATCTAAGGCCGGCGGCGAGCGCACTGGTGCTCACATGCAGCATTCTGGGGAGGGAGAACAACATCCGAGCAGAAGGAGGGGGGAGCGGGGATCAGAGGTCCTTTTAAAGAATCGCGGACCTTCCCTGCAAGAGAAAGCGGATGGAAGGACCTTATCGGCCAGGCCAACTAAGGGGATGATGAAATGGGATGGGACGAGAAACTCTGAGAGAACATTCGGCCGTACATGGAGGGGGTTGCCGTTATGTATTCAGTCGGGGGGAGGTACGATGGCCCTTCGCGAGGGAAGAAGTACAGCTTTCCTTGCCTTGATGCTCGGTTTTTCCAGAGGACCTGCCTGCTTCTGATGGATGAATGAGATTGGATTAGCCTTGGTCCGTGGCTCGTCTCCGGCCCAGCTCATCCGGACATTGTCACCATGGTGGTAAAGATGAGAATGAGATTGTATCATCGCCTCCGCCACGCTACGCCACCACGGAAACACCAGCACAAAGCAGTGCAACCATCTGCGGGTGCGGGCAAGTCAAACATAGCTGCGAGGGTTTAGCGGGACGGAGTGTCGCGTGGAGAGCGATATATAGGACATATTAAAAAGAACGGAAAGGATATGCATGTGCACGAGTATGCCCAAACGCAGCGGCTGTGGTGCTACGCGAAACAGCCTTGGTGTACCACGTACACGTTGCGAGAGCGTGCATGGGATCTGAGGTAATGGCCCTGCAGATATGAAACGATCAGGGAGATATCCGCGGCAGACGAGTTTCCAAGAGAAGAGGCTGGCCAGACTCGATGTGCCTAGAGAGGAAGAAACAGCTGCTTGCAAGGAGCGGCGGCTAGATAATCGCTCAGTAACACTGCCCATGGCGGCTGAGAAGGTTAAGGTTAGGGAGGTTTACAAGCCTCGCTGAAAGTGATGTCAGAACCCTGTTGAACGCTGGATGTAGTGGAGACTGGACGCATCTTGTCAAAGCCTAACTCAAAAAAAAGAGGTGGCCACTGGTACCTGAGCTGTGTCGGAGCAGCATGGTTTGACGTTAGCCTGGTTGATGGCCTCCACTTCCTTTCATATCCGCGACCACTAGCTTATGGGCCACGCTCAGGCTAGGTGGCGGTATGAAGTCAAGTGGGCCGGTCATGACGCGGTGGCTCTGCTTCTAACATGAACACATAATAGCGCATAATAGAGAGCAGGCAGCCTCGCGTCTTCGTTTGCCATCTGGTCTTTCTCCCATCTCCCCTCCCCATCCTCAGCGGTTAGCAGCTGTCTCCCAGGACTGTTCGCTAACATTGAAATAAGCAGACGCGCGAGCACTCGGGGCTGAGGTAACTTGCAGAGATATCGGAAAGGAGTCCTCGGTTAGTCCTCGGAGTCGGAACGACGATCCAGCAGCCAATCAGGCGCGTTTCTCATTATTGCCAGCGCTACCGCAAACGTTGCTCAACGTCAACTCAAGTACTGTGATATTGAACGAACACTGGACTCGGTGTACTACTGCCACCGCTTGCACGCCTTCTACTAGAGCCCCTGGGTTGTCCTCGCTCTGAGATCCTTCCTGGCTCTCCGGCCCGCAAGCCAGACAACCGCTCCCATCTGCACATTACGATCCCTTCACGAACACCGCCGGCATCTCGATCGCCCTCGCACAGTGATACTCTTTCACTCGCCGGAGCACGCCCTATAGCACAATCCTCTCGAATTCACGAAGCATACGACAATTCGCAATTACAAGCTCCATTCTCTGTACGCTAGCACAGTCGCAGTCTCCCAACTCCGCCAAGCTAAGTAGAGCGCACCAGAGCCACAACTCAAATCCAGCGCCGACACGATGCGCTCCTCGACCCTCGCCTTCCTCCTCCTCCCGCTCCTCGCCCTCTCCCTCGCCTACTATGTCCAATCCCACAACTCCCCACTCGGCCCCGCCCCGCATCTCGGCGTGTCCCTCGGCGTGCCGCTGACACTTTCCGGGCTCGCGTCCCTCGCGCAGGCGGCGGCGGCCCGCGTGCGCTCGGCGGCAACGCTGGCAGCCGTACATCCTGATGTTATTTACAACAACGCCCACCACTACCTCGTAAACGTGCCCGTGCCGAAGATACAGTGGCCTGCCGTCGTACAACAGTGGATACCCGACCTCGGACTCGGTTCCAGCGTTGTCATACAGCAGAAGCCAACGACGAGCAGCGGCCTGCCAGCGCTCACACTCGGACCCTTCGAGCCGCTCGAGGTCGACCCGAACCGGGAGGAGTTCCGCCGGCGCATTGTCGCGGTGGGCGACATCCATGGGGACGTGCTGAACGCGTACAAGATCCTGCAGACAGCGGGCGTCGTTAACGAGGAGGGGAACTGGACGGGCGAGGTGGACATGTTTGTGCAGACGGGCGATATCATTGACCGGTGCGTTTCGTCTGGCTAAACTCTGTTCAAGGTTTGCTTACGACTAGGCTGGCTGGGTCTGGGCATGCACGTATGAAGGGGCGACGACACGATCATTCTGTTCAAGTGGTTCGAGGACCTGCGCGTAGAGGCCGAGGCTGTAGGGGGCAGGGTGATCTCGCACATGGGCAACCACGAGTGGATGAATGTTATCGGTGCGGTTTCTACTCAGACTTTTCACCCCGTCGACCTTTGCTAATTATAACGCAAACTCTACTCTATGCAGGCGACTGGCGGTGAGCACCTTCCTAACGGCCCTGCACTCATCACACTCACACACGCATCTACAGATACGTCCTCCCGACCGAAATCCAGACCTTCGAGACCGTCCAAAAGCGCTTCGAAGCGCTCACCACCGGCTGGCTCGGCGAAGCCTGGGCGGCAAACTACACTGTCACGTCCCGCATCCCACTACACCCCTCCCTTGGCCCGCCCAACACGGACTACCCCGCCCCGCCCGCCTCGCCCCACGCACACGCAAACAACGCCGGACCGCTCTCACACGCCGCCTTCAGCTTCGTACACGGCGGCCTCGCACCGCAGTACCCCGCGCTCGCACCCTTCCCGTCCGCGATAAACGAGCTCGGCGCATCGCTCCTTCGCAAGCTGCGGTTCCGCCGGCCGCTGCCGCGCCCGCACCCGCCGTACGGCTATCCGGGCTTGCCGGCGGGCACGACACCCGAGGAGGCGCGGCTGTATGGCGGGGACGGTCCGTTGTGGTACCGCGGGTGGGCGGAGCTGCCGGACGCGGTGGTGTGTAAGCAGGTGGACGGTGTGCTGGAGAAGACGGGGACGCGGAGGATGGTGATGGGGCATACGCCTAATTTTGAGGGGATCCGGTCGCGGTGCGATGGGAAGATTATTATTATTGATACTGGTGAGTTGTGCGTTTCTCTTGTCGTGGATGCGTGGACTTGGGCCTTCGCTCTCGTTGTGCCCGACGCGGACTGCGGGTTGCTCCACGCGACGTGCGTGAAAAACTAGGAGATTGTCTTGTGGTGGGCTTATCAAAGGGGTTTCGGACGCTAACCATTTTGTTTGTAACAGGTATCTCACATGCCTACGGCGGAGCCATCTCGGCGCTGTCTGTCGAGTACAAGTTGGTTCCGTTGCAAAAAGGAGGATGGAAAGAACAAGAGGTCGTCAAAGCGATCTACGCTGAAAAGGAGGAGGAGGTACTCGTCATGGCCTCGCGCGACGTCGATGGTGACGATTTCTGGTAAACTTGAGCTCGAGACAGTGTTTCGTCATTAGGGATTGATAGGTCGTAGGCTTAGGAGCCCTGCATGACACTGGCGGGCATTATTGTTATTGATTTTAAGGTTATGTCTCGCGAGAAATGGAGGATTTGCAGTCGAGGCTCGATCGGCGGCAGAGTCCGCGGGAGAAATGTGCTATGACGTATGCCTCGTGTTTCTTCACGGGTATTTATGACATAGGCGTCCTTGCTCGGTTGACCCGCAGATCAAAAACCCCAAGGTAAATTAGTTGATGGAGTATCGCAGTCCACCCACCGCGTCCAGCGACAAGAGCCAGTACTTCGACGCCCCCATCATGCACTTCTTCTCCAAGTCCTCCAAGTCCTCCAAGTCAGACAAAGATGACAAAGATGACAACGAAGACACGCCTGTCGCCCCTTCCACTCAGCCTGATGGCAACAACGACCACACACAACATCCTATCGACGGGCTCCCCACTGTAAATGGCGCCAATGGTACTACCCCTCCCATGTCCCCGCAGTTGGAGTCGCCCCGCCCTGTAGGCGTCCAGCTCCACGACGACCCCGTTCATATGCGGCCTGCCTCGGACGTTGGCAGCGCCGAAGGCGGCAGCGCGGTCAGCCCTACGACTTCTACCGGCAAACGCGGTTCTCGCCTCTCGCGCTCCTACGCCGCCTCCCAGCGCGAATCAAACGCCACAAAGACCAACGGGACCGCATCCCCACCCTCGTCCCCCAAACCCCAGCCGAACGGCACCGACCACGACCTCGCACGCGCGCCCTCTCTGCGCTCGCTCCCCGCCGAAGACGACAACGCGGGCAACACCGCGCTTGGGAGCGGCGGCACCGCGCCCTCTGGCTTCGGGTTCGGGAACCCGCGCGCGAACAACGGCACGGGTGGGCACACGAGCAAGCTCAGCAAGCGCGGGTCCGTGCGCAGCCGTCGCAGCATGCGCTCGACGGGCACGACGGGCAGTGTCGCGACCGCCGCGTTCAGCAACGGCGCGGCGCTCAGCGGGCCGAACGCGGAGCCGGACATTGACGAGGATGTGCGCTTCAGGGGGGCGAACGCGGAGCGGTCGCTCAGTCAGAAGGTGAAGCGGAAGATTAGCAAGGACGAGCGTGAGTTCTCCCTTTTCCCTCGCTTCAATTTCACAGTTATCGACGCGGTATGGCTGACACGGCCTACGCGATCAGGCAAAGAAGCAAAACGCTTCTCCAAGCTTCTCGCCAAAGAGTCGACGTCCGAAAAAGCCGCGCTCGCCACCGCGCTTTCAACCCTCGCCTCCCTCCAAGCGCTGCACAAGGCCGCGCAGAAGCGCGAATCCAAGGCCTCGGCTGACTACGCTAAAGCGCTCGCGGTCTCTCAGGCTGCGGAGAGCAAGTACCACGAGGAGCGCGCGCGCCAGGCGGACATCAAGGCCCGTGCAGACGCGCGCGTCGCTGAGGAGAGGGCGCGGTGGGAGGGACGCCTGGCGCAGGTGCAGGCGCAAGAGGAGCGTGCGCAGGCGGAGATGGAGACTATGCGAGAGATGGAGGACAGGTTGGCGGAGTGCGCACGGGAGGTTGAGAGGTTGAGGATTATCAAGGGGACCGATGAGGTGCGCTTTTCTCTTCTTCCTTGTCCTTGGTTTGCTGCATGCTCACTGACGCTTCTTGTTCTAGCGCGAGAGGCAAGCTCGGATGATCGAGCTCAAAGGCAAGAAATAGCTAGCCATGTTTATGAACTTATCTTTCTTTATGTTTTCATCATATCACACACTTCAAAGGTTTTACTGGAAGAGAACGATGTTTCATAGCTTTGTTGCATCTTTGTTTTCGTTGGCTACTAATGTACTTGACATAATTCAATACCTCCTTTCCTACCTTGTGTTCCTCCTTCCCATTTATCTGGCCGCTACCGTTTTCTCTCGATGCATTCATTCTGGGGTTTCTTCTGTCGAGTACATGTCATTATTATGCCTGTAATTGGGGTTCAGTTAGCAATGGGATTCACCGAATATTGGATCAGACGCGAAGCGAGGAAAATATCAGATGGCTGTTCTTAGTATTTGTGTAAAGGTTTTCACCATCGCCCAGAGGGCTAGCGGATTTGGTGATTTACATATCATCGTAGGAGAAAAGAGCGAAAAGCCAAGAACGCGTTGCTCACCTTTACGAACTATCAGAGGTGTGCACGAGGACACATCGATCAACAACATCAACGACGACAGTGGACGATGCGAAAAGCTGGATAGCTGGTACCAAGCGGAGTTTCAAGTCGCCGCTCGTCCCCGCGCCGACGGACGCCAGTGTTCCAAGTTCCACGTGATATTACGATCTACGGCGATGAGTGTGTTCTCGACCAGATCCACATGCTCAAGAGGCTTCCGTCGGACGACGGGTGCTCTAACAGTGCTCCTGGGACCGGGAACGCGAGCGTGCCATAGCCGTAATAGCCAGTTGAGGCTGAGTGTCGCGATCGTACCACCCCAACAAGCATCGGCATCGCCAGCGCGGTCACACTGGTCGCCACCAGATCATCGTAATTTAAGCTCACGCTCGACGGGCTCTCGTGTTCTTTCTTATACTCGGCAGCTGCGACTCTCTGGGCAACGCGCATCTTTTTCCTCTTCCTCCTCCGTACCCGATAATTCGAGCATGTCCGACAAGACCTCTTTCTACGATCTCAAGGCTGAGCAGCCCGGTGGCAAGACGTTCGAGTTCGAGCAGCTCAAGGGCAAGGTCGTGTTGGTCGTCAACACCGCCAGCCAGTGGTGCGTGGCTATCTCTCGCCGATAACGCTCTGCAGTTGCTCATTCTCGTCGTGTATATGCAGTGGCTTCACCCCGCAGTACAAAGGTACGAGTCGTCCACACAGTCTCCTTTCCGCCGTCGCCGAGCACCACCATCTACCTCCACCCCACACTAAACCGAACCAAACCAAACTAACAATAAAATAAACACAGGCCTCCAAGAGCTGCACGACAAATACAAAGACCAGGGCCTCGTCCTGCTCGGCTTCCCGTGCAACCAGTTCGGCGGGCAGGAGCCGCACGCGGACGACAAGATCGCCGAGTTCTGCACGCTCAACCACGGCGTCAGCTTCCCGCTCATGAAGAAGAGCGACGTGAACGGGGACGGCACCAACGAGGTGTTCAAGTGGCTCAAGAACGAGAAGGCGGGCATCATGGGCATCCAGCGGATCAAGGTGCGTTATTGCGCGGGTTATTCAATGCAAGCTGCACCCTCTCTTTGCTTTGGTTCTCGTCGACGCTCTCTCCGCCTGTCTTCATTTTCTCCTTCTTTTGTATGTTAGAAATAATGTAACTAACAAGACGATACCTTGCAGTGGAACTTCGAGAAATTCTTAGTGGGCAAGAACGGCGAGGTCATTCAACGCTGGGCGTCGACAACGACACCCCAGGGTTTGGAGCCCACCATCCAGCAGGCACTCGCTGCTTAGCTGTAGTGGAAATTGATAGACGGTCATGTCATTATTTGTACAGTCTCATACATGCAGACATTTGCTCCCCTCTAATCTGGCCAATACGGAGTTCCAGTAAACGTCCCCAGACACTGATTGAGCTGGTATATGCGACGCTAATCGGATACGTGGATGCTCCGGGCTCGTACAGTTCGCGATGAAGTGCTTATTCATGTAATGATGCCCTCTTATCCTAGAACCAAGTGCTGGCAATTCAACACGATTAACAAACAAGAATCCATTGAAGCGGCTCCACTAGGGTATATACGTTGTGACCAGGATGATTAACGTCTATTATTTACTGTAAGAAGGCTGGCAAGATAAGAAATGTAATTATCGTAGGGGAGGAGAAAAAAAGGAAAACACTCAGTCCGTCGCTCGGAATGAATAAGCTCCGGCCTCGCTGCTCATGAGTTTTGCTCTGCCCGGAGCAACTCAATCACTTTCTTGTCAACACCCCCTCTAAGCTGAATGGTACACTCAAACGGCTTCGCTTGCCTGAAAAGCACGCCAATCAGACCTATTTCTCAATGACATAGCAAGAAGCAGACGACTCACGAAGCAACGCCGAACGTATTCCCCTGCTCGACCGGTTTCTCGTTTCCGTGCTCGTCGCAGGGCGGTCCAAAGCGCAACACAGCGAGCATGGTCGCCACGGCGATCCAGAGCGTCGCGTTGACAAAGTGCCGCCCGGGGCAGATGCGCCGCCCAAAGCCGAACAGGAAGTTTGTTTCGTCCGGGAGGAGCGAGCCGTCAGCGGCGAGGTGCCGCGATGGGTCAAAGACCGAGGGGTTGGGGTAGCGAGAGGGGTTGCGGGACATTGCCCTGTGGGTGTCATGTCAGCGGATATCTAGCGGGAGGGTTGAAAGAACATACCATGAATTAGCGAGGATCGTCGTTCCTAGGTGAAAGCATGGAATCAGTTTTATGGCTTTCGTGTTAAAATCGACTAGGCTGACCCTTCGGAATGAAGTACCCATTGTACACATCATCGCTAGAAGTGTAATGAGGGAAACCTGCACGCCCCAAGTTCTTGTTAGCAATACCTCAATTAGCCGGGGGAAGGTGCAGGGGACATACCCAACGGAACAAGAGGTCGCCACCTGTGTACTTCGCGAACAATGGCGTCTATATAAGGGAGTGCAGACCGGTCACTAAGATCGGGGAGTCGGTCGCTGCCTACAACAGCCTCGATGTCGCGCATAACGCGCTCCTGGACTTGCGGGTTTAAGACGAGTGCGAGTGTGAGATTCGTCAGCGTCATAGCAGTCTGGAACAGCATGTTAACACATCATGCATGAGTGTCCACGAATGGGCAGCAATGTGACATACGGTATCCGTGCCTCCTGCAGTTCAGCTTCAGTCAGGCAACAATATCCATATAACTTCTAGAAACACTCACCAAAGAATGCGGTAGCACAGACTCCTCTAAAGATCTCTGCAGTCTTTTCGTTGTCTCCGTAGGTGGTTGTCGACGGAATTGGCATGGTCGCCATGCATGTCGGAGTCTCGCCTGCATCCTGTTTCTAAATGAGCCCACGGTGCCATCATCAAGCGAAGTTTCCGTGCCAATTTTCTCTGCAAATTCACAAACGGTGCATCCTGGGCGCGCTTGATGCACTTGTGAAAGTCCTTGACATTCAGAGATCCACCTGGCAGCCACGTTGGAATGTATTTGACTGCATGGTACGTTAGTCACATTCAGAGTTTCAACATACAAGCACAAACCAAAGGGAAATAACCCAAGGAGAAGTGAAGTTTGGGGTGAACACACGAGGGTTACACGGTCGCCTGCTTCCTTGATATGCTTCACGAAAGGATCCTCCAAGTTCTTGACGTCGTAGCTGTAGACAGCATCTAGAACGACACCAGCCGAGAATCTGAGCAAATAATAAACAGGATGAGATTTACGGCATCTATGACAGTAGCTCTTGCGTACGTGTGCAAATGACGGATGAATTCGCGAGGTGCTGACAAGAGGTGCTGGACGAGCTGCATAGCCTTGCGTTTCTGGATGTCCTCAAATGCAAAGATCGCGTCCGGGCGGAAGACTTGGTGCAAGATTCTGCGGTGGAACCTCCACTCGTCTCCGTACGGTAAGAAAAGCGTGTCGAACAGCAGTCCATATCTACAGCAACGGCGCTTGTTATATGTTGCGGCAGGTTGAAGATAAGCGGAGAACTCACGCGCTATAGCTCTGATACTGCGCCCGGTCAGAATAGATGTTCGAGCGCCGGTCTATCATGTCCTTTGCAACCTCTAGAGAGTTGATGACCACGACGTCCTGTCCCAGGATCTTCGTGTATACAATGTCGCCTGAATATTGTTTACCATGATAGTCAGACCCAGCATTATACGGACGAAGTCAAACACAAACCATACTGCTTGGACCACTCCTCATACGTGACCCAGGGCTCCTTCAGGCTGATGCCGAACGTGTTGCCCACAAGCGGCAGGGGCGGCGGTCCGGGTGGATGTGCCAACTCAGAGTCCTTTTGCGGTTTGCTGAGGTATCTGCGCAGTGCTTCCAGAGCGAGTGTACCAGCCACCACGGCGAGAGCGATCCCGGTGTTGGTGTCCCGCAGCGCCATGGTCGCGATAATGAATGAGTGCTGTGGAGAAGATAAAGAGCGACGATCAAGGCGACGATGGGTCAGGAAAGGAAAGAGAACAAAAGGCAAGAGTCCGCTGTGTTTCGGGCTCAAAGAAGGAAGATGTTTTTATACTTGTTTTGCGAATCCGTGTAGCTCGGCAGCGGCCCGGAGGCAGATTTGGGATTCCATTTGTCAATGTCCGTGTAGCGGGCACAAGCTGGGCACAAGGCAGCCAGCTTTGAGGCAGCCAACTGGTTGAGGATTGGTGCCGGTGAAGCTTGAAGCGCACGGAAGAGGGTTATACGTTGTTTCACGGCATTGCTCATTGACGATGCATATCTGACTGAGCCAGGATTGAATTTGAGCTCATGCGGTGGAGATGGGCAGATGCAAGCAGCAGCGTCGTGGCTGTGCCAGCCCACAATCGGACAGTTGGTCCGCATAGGCTTGCGACATCAACAATTTTTGCTTCCGTTGGTTTAAGAAGGTTTGCGAGCCGCAAGTGTCGGTCAGTTACTTGACAAAAGTCTCGCGTTCTCGTTTCTCTGAACTGCCGCATCATGACTGCGTCTTTATCTTTTTAGCTTTCAAAAGACAGCTGACGAAGGATAGTGTGATAAAGTATAACGGATACTATCTGTATCATAATGCCTACATACGTCGCTAAATACTGAGATTTTGATAATAATTAGTCTACGGCATAAATATCATTGTCAATAAATAGGGACCAAGGTATACAAGCGTGAACCGGAAACCCTGAAAGAAATGAGTCCGTCTTGCTAGAACACCACTTGGCCGGCACTCGACGTCTGCTTCCTAGACGTAGACAACGCCGAAATCGCGAACGCCGTCGCAAGACCCCTGCTGCCAATGAGCGCACCGGATGATCCATACTTATACATATACCCGACTTGCCACCCACCATCTTCATTCTGCATCGCCAAGAGATCGTTGATGTCAGTCTCACTGCGTTTCCCGACCGATGCGCCAGCCAGCACGCGCATTGCGATCGCAAGCGGGTCTCCTCCCGCTCCGGAGCGCTCCACAATTCGATCGCCCAGCAAGGGGCCAAAGCGTGCCCACAGGTCGGGATCGTCTGCACGTTTGAGGAGCCGAGAGAGGAAGAAAAGGAAGCACTCTGCCGAGACGTAATATCGCGTACCGGATAGATAGCTGCGATTGAGGAGGACAGTGTAAACCCAGTTTAACGTGGCTTTCAGCTCGTGGCCGCGACCATATGTGTAGAAAAGGGTCAGTGCATTCACGCACACCACAGGGTCAATCCGAGAGCGTCTATGGTCAAGGTAGGTCTGTTACTGCGATCAGCAAGGGAGTCGACCATCATAATGTAGGGCGTTTGTTACCTGGACTATGCCATCTCGACTCCTAAACGCCAATATGCTATCCAGAATCGAGTTAACGAGGGGACGTTCGTAAGGCAATGTTGTCAAGCCCAAAGACGTGGTATCCACGTCACATGGAAACGTTTCAGTCGTGCCCCGTGGAAGACCTACCGGCGGCCAACATATCGTTAAGTCTCACCGAGAAGGTTTTGCTCATTACACACCTTGAAAGAAGTTCCAGGGGGAAGGTACCTGGGGAAGTTGTATCTTGACAAGCTGTCTGATGAACCATCAGGCTTCTGTAGATCATTTCCAACCTTCGAAGCAGCTCCGACCGGGGTAACTTACCTGTCATTCGTGGCTTCGAGGATCAGCAATTGTGAAAAGTTCTCCTCCAGCTGCGTCCCATCTTCCAACTCCGACGTCAGCTGGCCAGCACGCGCTTGGAGAAAACGACGGCCGTGTTCGAGGGAATCTCGAATGGTGCGCACAGGCACCTTGGTGCTCGCCTGCAGGGGCAGGGGCTGATTGCTATCAAAGACTATGGCGCCCACGGACCGGTGATCACTGAGAAGACCGGCCGCGTCCGCGTGAGAGGGTCGGAGAAGGGCCACGGTGTCCAGTTTATAGGTATGAGGGGGACGTATATGGGCGGAGGGCAGCGTATTTACACCGCCGCGAAGGATTATCACGAGCGCGTCAGGGTATGGGTGGGTCACGGTAGGGATTGTGGAGAACGAAAGCTCGCAAGGGCGGCTTTTCACCAGATTGGCGGCCAAGTCAGGAACGGCACAAAGGCACCGCGGCTCGACAACGGTTCCCAGCAGTTGTTTGATGAAGCATATGAGAGCAAAAGAATGTTGCCGGAGAATGTCGTGAGCGGCGGCTTGCTCCATTCTGAGTGAGGAGAGATGGTAAGCATTAATTATGTCGGAAGGGCCGACGGTCCTGTTCGGCGGTGATCAGCTAATGATCGCTTGGAAATATCGCTCGTTTGTCGTTGGGAAACTTTACATCTCCTTGCATGTTCACCCCGGCCACTCCAGGAAGTAATGTAGTCCCGAGAACAAAGTTTTTTGAGGAGGTGGCAAGCTCACGACTCTTCCTGCAAAAATGTTTTCTATACTATCAGGAGCCAGTACAAAACATTAATCATCGTTTCAGCGTACTGACCATGCTGCTCTAAAAATCATTTAAGCGATGCACATAGATGGGCAGCGACCGTGACCAGTTCAGGAGGAAAAGGATGGGAAGCGCGATCTTCGCGTGAATAAACGCGTAAAATTGCTCGCCACTGCGTTGTAAACACTAATTGCCGCCAGCGTGCAATCAAGGTTCGAGGAGGTCTTATGGATATAACTGATAAGATGGTGACTTGATGTTGATGTTGAACGACATCAAAGCTCTCGAACAACAAAGCCAAGCAAACATCTGTGGACTTTCCAATTCGGTCACGAAATATTTGCCCCTTTTACTATTGCGATTAGGTCTAGGATCTCTACGCTTTTACGATCATTCAAGCTTAAACAAAGGTCGAGGATATGTCTCATCGACGAAGACAGCCTCAAAAAAATGCTATCTCTCTCCCGAAAAGTCTTCTCGAGCAGATCGACTCGTCAAGTGCGTGATACCTCTGGGGTGAGCCAGCCTCCGGCACCTCCACATCATTGACCTTTACTCTTTCTCAACTAGATGGATCCAACTCAAGGCATCAAAACAAGCGAGGCGGCTCTCAACCCTCCCGCAAGGACGCGAGAAAGCAAGCTCGCCTAGACCGCAAAAAGCGCAAAACAGACCACTCCTCAACATCCAACGTACCTCCACCTCCGCCTCCACTTCTACATACGAACTACGCAGCACCGAAGCGGAAGCAACAAGACGAACCAGCTGACGTGCCGAAGAAGAAACGGAGACGTACGGGGAAATCTTCCAGGGATTCCACGAACGGAACGCATAACACACAATCATCTAGCAAGGCCGAATCGTCCAACCGTGCTACTGTTCCTACCGCCTCAAAAGCCAAGCCTCAAAAGAGTCAAAACGGCGATACAGCCCTCGCTCGCCTTGTTTCCAGATCTGAGCGCAGGCCGAAAACGACAATCCGTTCCACAGCTCCTCGTACGCAACGTGAACAAGATGAGGACGCATACATTGCATATCTCGAATCGAAGCTGGGCTCTTCACGGGGTGGGAAGAAGAAAGGAGAGGATGATGGACTTGATGGTGCGTCCTTTCTTATGGTTTTTCTGCTCAGCAATTGATTACTCGGCGGCGCGATATAGATCTCCTTGACTTCACGGATGCCGTCGGCGTGTTGGGTGAGGAATCTGACGAAGAAAACCACGCTTCTGATATTGAAGACGAGGATGAAGATGAAGACGAGGAAGAAAACGATCAACCGCTCGATGATTCTGACGAGGAGGAGTCTGCTTCAGACGAAGATGAGGAGGATGAAGGAGATGAATGGGATGGACTTGAAGAGGAAAACGCGAGCCAAAGCTCCGAGATGCAAGCGTTGGCTGATGCTGGCGAAGATGAGGGCGAGGTGCCACATGCAACTCTGGTCAGCACGCCTGGTAAGTTTTGTGATGTGGGCTACCGCTACTTTAGTTACTCAGTCACATTCTCCTTGCAGCCGGCAAATATGTACCACCCAGCCTGCGGAATAAAGCAGGGGAAGCCGGCATAGATGCAGAACAGATCAAGCTGACCCGTCTACTGAAGGGTCTCATTAACAGGTGAGTGACTCATCATATCGATAGCCATCATGCATTGATCGTATGCTCTAGGATGAGCGAACAAAATATGGGGTCCATATTGGATAGCATCGAGGAAGCATATAGGAAACACCGCCGCCACGGTAAGAGCCATAAATCTTTGCAGTCTTGGATTACGGAGTTGACTTGGCTAGATGTTACGTCGACATTGACGACACTAATCATCGAGGGGATATCTTCCCATTCTTCCCATCTTGACTCCTTCGTGGTCCTTCATGCAGCTTTAATATCCAGTCTACACAAGCTGGTCGGCGTTGAGTTCGGTGCGTGAACTCTGATAAATGCCATGCACTACTCTTACGCTTAAAGCACTCTTAGCTGCGTATTTGCTACAGAACGCCATATCAGCCTATGAACGATACTTGAAAGCAGCCGATCAGACTACTTCCGAACCAGGACAAGCGCTGTCCGGAGATGTTGGAAAGGAGGCTTCCAACCTAATCGTACTTTTGTCGGAATTGTACAACTTCCAGGTTATCTCGTGCATTCTGGTGTATGATATTATCCGAGATCTCCTCAGTACAGCGCTAAGCGAACTGAGGGTCGAGTTGCTGTTAAAGGTCCTTCGAAGTATGTAATTCTCCTGTCTTTGAGAGTAAAGATACTGATCTCTCTTAGATTCTGGAGCGCAGTTGCGTCAGGATGACCCGTCTGCATTAAAGGATATTGTTTCATTAGCACAAGAGAACTTGGATAAGCAATCTGTATCAAGGTATATATCTGCCATACTGGAAATTGTAGCCAGCAAATGCTGACTCTTGACGAAAACAGTTCACGCACACGCTTCATGATGGAGACTTTGTTGAACCTGAAGAATAATAAAGCTAACAAGAAAGCGGCTACGCAACATCAAGGCGGGGATGCCGTTGAGAGATTGAAGAAGTTCCTCTCTGGTCTAGGGCGGAAGAAGCATGGTGCGGTTGTATTGTTCAACGGGAACATTCATGTTCTAACAACGCTCACAGTGCTCGCTCATGAGTCTCTCCGAGTCTCTCTTGATGACCTTCGTTCAGCGGAGACCAAGGGCAAGTGGTGGCTCGTTGGAGCAGCATGGGGAGGAGACCCTCTTGTGGAACAAAGAGAAGAGCTTGCTCGACGAAGTGGTGGTGCTTCGCAGAAGGGCAAGAGCGATCAGGACCCCACCAGCATTGCGCTTGCAAAACTCGCGAAGAAACAGGGCATGAACACAGACATTCGCCGAAGCATTTTCGTCGTCATCATGACTAGCGATGTAAGGATGTGCGCCTAACAAACACGTTGCCGTTGTTGACCAAAAAACGTATTCAGGATTATATCGACGCATGCGAGCGGTTAGCTCAGCTGAACCTCACGGAAGTGCAGCAGCGAGAGATCATTCGCGTTGCCCTTCGATGTTGCGGCAATGTACGATTTGCTTTGTCCAGCTTGATTCACTTCCTGATCTTCTCTTGAAGGAAAAATCATATAACCCATTCTACGCCCTTGTCTGCCAGCAACTTTGCCAAACTTCGCATTCGTACAAAGTCACGCTGCAGTTCTGCCTCTGGGACTTCCTGCGAGACCTCGGCGAGACGAACGTCGGGGGCGCAGAAGTTATCAAGAACATCACGGACGATGGAGGCGCCTTCGACGGCGAGAATGTGTCGCCCACGCGGATACGCAATGTAGCCAAAGCATACGCATGGTGGATAGCGAGAGATTGTTGTACGCTGATGATTCTGAAGGTAAGCGAGACTATAAAACTCACGGTTACGATATCCTCATTCGTGTACACTCAGCCTGTTGACTTCACGGTGCTCAAATCCCAATCGCGGAAATTCTTGCGGGAGTTGTTCGTCCAACTATTTGTGGCCAGCCAAGTTTCGTCGCCTTTGCTTCTCGTCCCAGGGGCGGAGTTACCAAGTGGACGGAACCGCAGTCTTGTCGAAGAAGTTTTCATGAAGGCCTCGCGATTGGAGAACCTGGCTATGGGCCTGACGTACTTCCTTACGGAGACATTCCGCAAGGAAGAAGACCTACTAAAGTGGGGTACTACAGTTGCGCGGGAGACATTGCAGACCAGGATAGATCAGAATTCAAGGTTATAGGCGTCTACATATATTACACTGAGTGTATGACGTATGATTTTCTCAATGCTATGCTCGAGACGACGCTGCCGCTTTTCCCTCCAAACGAGAATGTCGGATGTTGAATGCGGGAGCTATTGTGATGCGGATCACAATGTGCACAGTCGATTCGTGAAAGATGAATACGTACTGGTACTCGAGTCCTGATTCTGGCGTTGCGAACTTTGCGCGAAGCTCGTCCTCCGTGAAATTGCAAGCTGATAGAACTTAGGTGACAACCCATGCAAACGGTATAAGGGAGCCTTACAAGTAATTAAAAAATGGCCACCTGGCTCCAGCAGTCGCGCAACGTGCTTGGGATATTCGTCTGCCGGCACAGTCCCGTCTTCCCTTTTCTCCATGAGCGCCATCGCGTCGAACGTGCCCTTATCCAAGATCAAACCCCATGCATCCCTAGAGGGCTCGCCTTGCTCCTCCGCATTGAGTAATGGTGGCTCGTCGTTCAAGAAGTCCGATACATTGAACGTGACATCTTCGGAGTTGTAGTTTGGTGCGACTGCCTTGGCGAGCCGAATCGCGCCCTCGCTGTAGTCGATACCGGACAAGCGGCTAGCGGGGTAACCTGACTCAACGAGCGCAAAGAGGAGAGAGCCGTTCCCGCTGCCGACCTCGAGAGCATACGGGTCGGAGTAGGAAGGAGAAAGTTCGTGGAGCGAAGCACGGAGGTCCTCAACCCAGGTAACCATTTTCTCGACCGAGTCAGAGCCGAACCTTGAGTAGTTTTTAGGATGGGTCTTAAGAATGAGGTCAAGAATCAAAGTTGGCAGTGCGTACTTACCAGACTTCGCCTTCGTCCCCAATCTCTTCAAAGTTCGCTAACTCTTCCTCGTAGACTTTATCCCAGCTAGCATTTAATATAAGCAATCCGGTCCAGCCTTCAGTACTCAGTGTCGACGTGACGCGTACTGTTCTTTGGTGCCAAGTTTCGAGGGTTGGAGATCGGTCATTTTGACCTGTAGGAGCTGTCGAGGAAGGAAGCAGAAAGATCGAGTGAAAACACTGATAATCAACTTGGTCTGTTCTGCTTAGTCAGCTTAGATCAGAAATGCATTAATGAACACCAAGGCAGGATGGACATTAACTGGAAAGGATTTCTAGCCTACATGGCCACATTCAAGGTGAAACTAAGGGACGTGACCTTAGAAAGAAAGGAATGTTACTGTGCGTGCTGCAGGTGCAAAAACATTCATGACGGCGGTGGAATCTGGGCACTCTTGAGACGCCGCAAGCAGAATGTTGTCGGATCATTGCGCGCAGAGGAGTTTGGTAGTGGCAGGAGACGGTTTCTTGGTATCAAAGATGACGAATGAGAAGGGCGTCGTATGGATTAGGAGGGTAATAATGATATGTGTACAGCGTGTAGGTGTCTAAGCCAGAAATTCTATCCTATCCGACATGAAGTTGTCAGCAACAGCAATGGAAAACCGGACACCGAAAGAGGTTGCTCACCGAAAGAAAGCCACAACATGGAGGTATCAGATGCTACCGACGATTCTCCTTATCCAACATATCTTTGGCCTCATTAATTTTACTGGCAAGGTAGGGCGAGCCCCCTCTGTCCGGGTGGTTGGCCAACATGATATGGCGGTGCGCATCCTTCAGCCTCAGCTTCATTGTTGGACCATCCCTGCCACATGCAGTTGTGAGTAACCAAAGCGGCTTCGATCAAAAGGGGCACACTCACTTCAACCCAAGAATCTGTATGGCCTCCTTCCGGTCCATCTTCGCCTTGAACCCGCCCTTCGCCCATTCCTCAGCTGCCCGACGTCCAAGCATGCCGTTGCGGAACATTTGACGGCCGACGAGACCAGCAGCAATGGCACCGATGCCTACAACGATAGGAGTGGCCATGTTCTAAGGAGTATGATTGAATGAAAGGCAGGGAGTAGAGGGAGGATATAGTCAAGAACAAAAACGGCTCGTAAGTCCGAGGGATGTGGGAATTGTTCCGAGCTCCCGCTCAGGGGCTTTGGAAGTTATCCTAAGCGACAACCACCACCACCTGACTTTGACCCAACGGTACCGCCTTAGCGGTAATAGCCAAGTAATGGCACAATGATACTGATTGCGGACTACCTCTATTATCAACTCATTGTGTAAAGCTGGAGTACTCAAAGGCACGTAAATTTGTAACCCGTTTGAACGGGTGTCTCGCATTCGACAGACTATCTTGTGGACAGCATCGCATTTCGTTTGACAATGAGCGTACTAATATCACGAGTCAACTTTCGCTAGTCTACTGCGCGGTATTATTCGTGATGGTGCTCCAGTACCTGATTCGCAAGAATGTTTCAGTCGACTGGGCAAGCTAGTATCTTTGAAGAAGTCACTTACGCGCAGCGCTGAATGAGACTGGGATCCGTGGTGATGGGTGTAACAACAGGAGCGCCGGACTCCGTCTCGTTGAAAAGCATCTCCGTGTACCCATATTCATATTCGTACCAGTACGGCGTGATGTTCATTGGATCGAACTTCTGGTTCACGTCGCCATACATTGAGAACGACATAAATGACTGCACAAAGGCGTCGATGAACGTTGGGTTATCGTAGGACGGTGCGGTGCTTTAGACGTCATCAGTTTTGCATAAGCTACGGTTAGGCTTTCTGCATACCTGTTGAAGTAATATATAACATCTTCGCCGTGAAGACCAGGTGGGATAGCGAACAGTCCCTGTCACGACTGTTAGCATCGTGATCTACAGAACCGAGGGACACGCAGAACAAGACAAACCTTCCACGATCTCCCAGGGTATGCAGAGAGCAAGTAATAGGTTGGGCAGACGAAGATGGCTACAACCATCTATAAGATAGTATCAAGCAGGCATCCGTGTACTCACAATCGCCCATGATGTAGTTCGCCTGCTCGACAGGCGTTCCGAGTTCGCTGTACAAAAGTGCTATTTCCTCAGCTTGTGCCTGCGTAAGATCTGGGAACAATTGGGCGGCATAGTCGACAGGCGTGAGGGTCTCGTTCTGGTTGACAAAGTCATTGCCTTCATGAGTATTACCGACCGCCATATAAAGTTCCTTCACGTAGTTTGTCAGATTGCGATTATTCATGTGTAACGCGACGAAAGGCTCACCCCGTTCAGTTTACCACCTGCGATAGTCACGCTAGGCCTCTCAGTGATAAACTCGCCATCGACCACAGGAACAAAAACATAGGACCCGTAGAATGCGCTTGACGCCAGGTTGGTGTTAGCAGTTTGTAAAGTAGACACATCTACTGCACGCAAACATGCTAGGGTATCAGAGGCTGTCGTACACCTAGAGACGAATACTTTACAAGCTACTCATATCGAAAATCGACAACTCTTACCCGGTATAGTTTAATGCATCATTGTAGATCAGCTATCGAAGAAGTAAGGAACATGTTCTCGGTGCAGGTCAACTGAGAAGCTCACTTGAGGTATTGTGTCATTATAGTTGTACTGGGATGGCAAAAATGTCGAACTCGTAATGGCGTATTTGAACAAAGGAGGCTGAGTGTTGCCGCCATGAGCAACCATGTGCTGGAGGACCGAGCCGGCGCCTGAGTTCATACATCAAACTTGTCAAACTATACGAATGAAATCAGATATCGGCACACCTGCAGACTGCCCCCAAATCGTCACTTGCTCAGCATTACCGCCAAACGACCCAATCTATGGCAGCATTAACTTTGAGAAGCTTACTTATTTGATGGCGTGAGCTCACGTTTTCTTGCACCCATTGGAGGGCAAATTGTTGGTCCACTAGATGAAATGTTACTTGCCGTGCAGTATGAATGTTGAGGGCAAACTTACGCATCCCAGCATTTGTAGCGCCACTTGCCTTAACTTCATTTCCAGCAAGGAAGCCTGAAGATGATGATTAGAAGGGTTTTTAACTTTTGGGTTATTGTTGACATACCGAAAAGACCCAATCGATACTGGATAACTACGACGACCATTTGATTATGAGAATCAATCATAAGGTCTTCTCCATTGAACGAGGCTGCGTATCCTGAATCATATCTAGGCAAACATGAGCAATTAGTAAGGCTTTGAGACTGCATACCCACCCTCCACCATGGATCCACACCAGCACAGGCAACCCGTCGGTGGAGGAAGGCTGTTCCGGGAGATTAGAACCCGGTGTAAAAACGCTGGTGGTATTGGTTCAGTTTAATGCTCAGACAGGCCCAGGGAACCAAATCAAACTCACTTGAGAAATAGACAATCCTCGGACGTTCCGGGAGTGGTGGTGGCACGCGTCACTAAGCCAGCCGGAGGAACTATCGCCGTAGAGTTCCCTCCATACCCAGCCTGGTAGCACATGTCTGGATTGGCGTTGGCTTGCTGAACGCCAGCAACGTAGGCCGGAGCTTGAGGAGAAGCCCATCTCAGGTCACCTAAAGGCGCAGCCAAGCGTAAGTGAAGATTTTGGACGCCCAGGTCCAGCAATTACCAGTAGGCGAGGCCGCATAACGTATACCCAAGAAGCTCGTGATGTTGCTGGTCGCATTGTATGTCCCTTGATATTGAGCATAGGGAAGATTCACGGCGGGCGACGCTGAGCTATCTGTCACCTTGGAAGGAGACGCAATAACCGCAGTGCCCCAAAGTGATGCAAGCAACAGACCGCGACCTCGGAGGGTGGGTACCATCATGAACTTTGGGAACTGAGAGTCGTCTGGTGGCCTTATCCTTCCCCTGCCAGTGGCTAGGACGCCTTCATATAGCAGTCATATAGTGCCTCGGACTTGAGGGCATTATTTTGCCGGGCTATTTTCATCTTCTTTTTACCCATCATCGTGGTACTGGCAGTCAATGAAATCCATTCAAGCGCGGAGAAACCAGATGAGTTTCCGACGAGAAAGGTGAAAGAGCCACGAACACACTGTAGGATTGGCTAGAGGTCGCTTGACTCGAGGATAAGTTTCGCGCGTCAAAAGTAATAATAGTACTAGCAAGAATTTGAACGAGGACGCGGCACGACTCGTGACGATATGAAGCATCTAGAGCGGGATGAAGGAGAGCAGTAGTCCGAGGCGATCCCAAAAAAGACTCCTTGTTGATGCACTCCAGCTTCGGCAGCTGCAGCTGCAGATTGTCGAATGGGAGGTTGAACAGTCCACCACTGGATCACGAGGCACTCCTTAAGTTATGAATATTCTGTACGCATGGTTAGTCTGCTTTCTGAGGGCCCTCGAACGATAGCACATACATGACCATGTCTCTCAACGTGAACGGCTTTGCGAGGCGTCCTGTAGATAGACCCAGGTAGACAGAAAGAGTAGCTGAGGCAAGGGATATGGAAATCTTGATTCGATCCTGGCGTCCATACTATTACTACGCACCAATCGCTACCGTAACAGCGCCAACCTCGGGCCCTCTCTAGGTACCTTGCAATCGGAACATTGATCATGTCATGGTTTTTGAAGGGAAGACGTCGCTTGTGCATGTGAGCCTTAACACCGTCTTCAGGCTTAAACAACGTGAATTGCTGATCATCTACAACAGAAAACTCTGCTTGGATGCCGCCAGCATGAGTGACGAAAAAAGAATAAGCAAGCCTGCTCAGTAAAGGTACACTCACGCTCCTGTACAAACAGCTAAGAAGAAACCTTTCCGACCCAACAACGTTGGTTGCCTCCTCTCTTCATCTCCTTCGCCGCCAACTTGATCAAAAGTCGTCACTGCAAACCTCTCTATCGTCGGGGGGACCGTGAACGGGAACTTCGGTGACGCAGTTGAGCTTGCTGGCTACAGGCGGAAGGAGGCTGGAGCTCTCCTGATCGTGACCGCTTACGTCGACGTTCACTTCTTTCACTAAGGCCCGATAATCTTTCCCCTTCAACTCGTGAAGGCTGCTTATCTTCCCTCCCCTTGGCCCTCCTCTCGTGTTGGTCGACCCTACTTCGCGTTCTTTCGTCATCGGTTTTGATATCAATCCCTCTCGTCCCTTCCTTCTCCTTGTTGCGCTTCCACATAAGTTTGCGAACGCATTTCGTGCATAGCGCAATCTTGACCAACGCTGATTTCTGGTTGCCGTGTTCCTCGTATGCGAACGGAAGTTCTAGGGTGGATAGTGGAACACCCTCAGCGGCATGGTCGGCACATCGTGTGTTGCCGCATGTCATCTCTCCTGCTCCAGAGAGGACCTCGTCTTCGGTCCGCCATCTGAGAGCAAACTGGGAAATCATACAGAGTTAGAATGTCATCACGGAGACTTAACCTAGTGTTCCATACATTACCAGACTTATAGTGTTTCAGATCACAGACCGCAAACTCGCGATACAAGCTATCATAGTATTTGCGCGCAAGCTGGTCATTCCAAGATGAGCTTCCCTCATCCCTGGCATCGTCATCTCGCAGAAACCTGCCAGTCCGAGATATAGATCATTGCTCTAGCTCTTTTGCGCTGGGTCGTAGATAGGTGACGCACTTATGGGATGCTTTAAGGATATCGAATTCAGTTACAAGCGAAGAAGAAGTGCTTGCTTTGGAAGAACTGCTGTAAAGTGCCATTGTTCACAACGAACGGATCCGAGCGGGACTCTGATTGTGACTGATGTGTCTTGAACTCGAAGCTCGAAAGCTTGAAAGATGGAAGAGCTGGTAGCGCCGCGCTGCGCGAACTTCATTTGAGAAGGACGCGGTTACGTAACTACCCCTATCCGTCAGTGAAGTTGAAAGCTTTCAAGCATCATAATCCCAGCTCCCCCAAATAACACTTAGTGAGAACGAGACAATGCATAATAGAACTTGTAGAGGTCCAAATAAGGATTGAATTGAGTTGTCGCCGATTGATTAAAGAGCAACTGGTCCTATGCGAGACTCGTCATGGGGAAACGAAGCCCTACTAGCACCTACTACTAGCACTAAGCACACACATGAAGTCGACATAAACTGCATGATAGAGCCGGCGTAGTGAACGTAAGAGGAGATCCGAGAACATTGTCCATTAGGTGTCAGATCAGGAAGTAAACCATTTCGTAGGTGGGGATTCATCGTAGGCATGTTAACGTTCAGTATCGTATGCTCGTAAATGTTTGAAACAAGATAAGGCATATGCCAGTGGAAAAAAAGGAGAAAAACGCACGGAAGAAGGCTGTTTCAACGTTGGCGGGTAATGGCCTGATTGCGAGAAGGGAGACAAGTCTTCGGAGAAGATGACAGGAGGGAGCCAGAAAGAAAAGGACAGACACAGATGTGCGATCAGTCGTCATAATGATCCAAGCTCTTCGGGATGCATATGAAATTCCACACTCTCCTTGAAAGCCGTGTCTCCAGAGCTATGTACGAGTCGTTTGAGTTACTGTCCACTGACCACTCGTCAGAGCCACCGCTTGATCTGCGTTCAGGTGCTGCCGAGCGTCCTTTACCGTTCCCTGAAGACAAGTCTGATCTTTTAACCCATTTCACATCGCGCCTAGCGGTAAATACAACACGCTGGAGAGAGATTAACATCATCTGCCGATGCATTCAGAATCTGAGTTCGCTCACGGGTAGCACAGTAGACTTATGTCGTCTGGGGCGATCGTCGTCGGACGAGGAGCTCGGGATGAGCAAGGGACCTTGGTTCAATATGTTGGCAACACCTGTGAAGGGGTTCCATAAGCCAAGTCGTCCCTTCGAGAAAGACGACTATCAGTTCCTGATCAGACAATAGCGAGTGAAGGAGGATTTTTACTGACAAATTTGGGTTTGGTGTTGCTATGTTTCTTCTCGGCGTTGGTGGTACATTGCCTTGGAGAGCGGTCAAGGTCGTTGGGACGTAGATCTTGGAGCGGTACACGACTTCTACGCCTCAATATTGCTGGCCTCTGAGGGGACCCATTAGTCAGGAGCGGCCATTGAACCTCACTGTGAAGATATACTGACATTCCAAAAAGACCCAAGGGAGTCACCGGAAATATTGGCGTGATGTGTCAATCTACCTCGCGTCGGCTGAAGAGATATCCGTTAAATCTTGCACTAGAACGGGGTACTGAAGGAATGCATACAGTGCATTCTGATCTATCTGAGACTTGTTCTTGATCCTATGTTTTGGCGTTGTTAATCATGTGGATTGCCCATATCCATCCCCAAATCACTCACTTTCTTGCCTTCATCAAGAATAACACATCGTCTTCTGTGACCACTTATAAGGTTCGCATGACAAATGGCTGCTGCAACGATATCCTGCGAGATGGTTTGATTAGTCGCCTGTATCAGGTAATGTGCGGGGTCACCTTCTCTTGTCCTATGTGTTTTTTCCAAACCTTGATTTGGCCCGTAGGTCCAGCTGAAGCAACAAGGTCATTCCCCAAAGAATAGGCGACTTGGAAAGCAGGAGCGGGCTGAGGAAAAGGGCCAGCTACCAGTGTACGCGAATCGGTGTCCCAGACAAACATAGCGCCGTCCTCTGAGATACCGGTTAATCTTTCACCGTCAGCAGTAAAAGACAGTGAACAGATGTAGTCATCACTTCCGCCAGCGACGAGTGTTGCGAGTTCTTGTCCCATGCAATCATATAACTTGACGGATGATTTGACATCGTGGGCATCGCTGGTGGTAGAGTCTAAGAGCGTCGCAGAAGACTTAATGGCCACGGCTAGATACATGCCATCTGGAGAGGACTTGATACAGGAGATAGTGTAGCTGGTCCGAATAGGCGGTATGTTATGAGCGTAGGATAAGATGCCATGCCGAGCAATGATGCCCTCTTCCGACGCGAGCCAGATGGCCCGACCATCAGGAGTGAACGAGGTATACAGAGGCCCTTCATTGCTGGGAACGTCAAGGTTGCAGATGAGAGAAAAGGTTTTGGCATCCCATAATGCTGCTTCACAGTTGCAGCTTGCAGCAAAGAGATGCCCGTCACTGGAGAACTCCAGCGACTTAGCCTGGGCCCGAAGGTCTAAGATAACATGTGGTGCAATGTTGTTCTCGGAGTCTAGGGTGCGAATAAACCGTCAACGTCAGTAGGACGCCGCCTTATTTAACTGTGGTTGAAGACGTACCGCTGAGGGGAGTGTGGATGTTGGCTGAAGCCTCCATGGCTGATAGGCAAGGTTACTTGCAGCTTGCCCACAACTGTACCACCCACTTAAAAGCGAGGAGGCAAGCTTGCGAGCTTGGGGGAAGATTCTAGGAGATAGTGTGGTTAAACGGGGTCTACCTCGTGGCCCCACAGGCGTCTACAAGGTTGCACAGCAAGTCAGAACAAATACACTAGGATTTCAGGCAGTGCAGCTATCCATGTCAACTTGAGCAACGCCGATACAAAGAAAAGGAGCACAGTCTTGGCCCAGTCTTAAACACCCGATAAGAAGATATCTTGAACACGGCAAGCATTTGGGCGTTATGACAGCCCGTCAAGGATCTTACGAGTCCTTTGGCGTGAACAAATATCCGGTAAACTTGGGCACGGTATCCATCCTGGGCCTGAATCATGTTCTGCACGTCAAAGTCCTCACAAAGCCCGGTCGAGTACTGGAATCTACCCCTCTCCGGCCTTTCCCAGTCATACCGTAAGACGAGAGGAGATAGAAGACATCTTCACGTAATGCCGTGCGTAATCTGGAGCCAATCTCTCAGAACAACAACATGAACAACGTTTACGACATATCTGAGCGTGACCTCGGCCTCGTGTTCCCTTTGTCCTTCCCGTCAGCAATTCATCCACTCCCTCCAAACACTTCCCTTGATGTCTTCCGATCCAGTGCAGCTCAAGGATGAGGGAAACGCGTTGTTTGTGAAGAAAGAGTATGCAGCTGCCATCCTTAAATACACACATGCGATCGCGCTCGATACTAAGAACGCGGTCCTGTACGGGAACCGCGCAGCTTGTCACCTTGCCCTGAAAAAGTGGGTCCAGTGCAAATTGCGGGGTCAAAAGTAGGTGCGGAGGCTGACAACCAAGGTGATGCAGGTGGCTTGATGCCTCAGGGGACGCGCGTAAGGTACGTGAATTGCAATGGTCCACCGCTAAGTCTTACGAGGCATACATAACGCACACACCTCCCCCCTTCCCATAGGCTACTGATCTTGACCAAGGGTATGCTAAAGGATGGGGCCGTCTGGCTGCCGCTCAAGACGTACGTTCTCCTTCACCCAAGTCGATCCTGATCTAAGCTCATAACCCACTGCGGGATCACTAGGCCATGTTGCACTACAACGAATCTGTGAAGTTCTGGCAAAAAGCCATCGACGCACTACCCGCGCAGCTAAGCCCTGTAGAAGTGAAGCAGAAGGAACAGTATGAAGAGGGGCTCAAGGGTGCTAAACGCCGTTTGGAAGACTCGGAGAAGCAAAGCACATACATCCGCATGTCATCCAGTGACAAAATACCTTGGAAAGTTGCTAAAGCTCTGCTTCCCGAGTTGCAAGCCAGGGGTCAGGCCGGAGCGCAATCGAGCGTACGCTTCATTGCTCACATTTTGTTCATCAGGCCGCTGACCACACATTAGGCTTGGGTTATCTCCGCTGCATATGATGTGAGCGCTAGCCGCATTTACGTTGTCGCTTAAGATCGCTCATATTGCCTTAGGAATGGAAGGAAGGGATCGATTACCTCAATGGACTCAAACGCATACCTGTTCCTGGTTCTCAGCAATATCGCGTCGTTGGATGTACACAAGTACGTCGAGCCAGGCCAAACCACCCAATGTATTTCTATTAACATCGCAGATAGGGGCTTGCATCATTGTCCAATGGAATTTTGCGCGACAGTCGTATTTTCCATATTGACGATCCGAAGTTTGTTGAAAAATACAATGAACAAGGTGAGCATTCTGAAGTGGCCTTGGAGGTCCGATGCTGATTTCTTTGTTTACTAGTCATGTTTGAAGTTCAGGCTCTGAGAGCATTCAGCACAGAGGGTGTGGAAGGCGTCATTGAAAAGGCCCAGAAACGTCAACGCGAGGAAGGGTGGGATTCCATCCGGCCTGCGCTTTCAACTACTGTACGGTAGGTCATCGCATGTCTATTGCGCATACAGCCCGACATATTGACCTATCCAGTGCTTGGATAATGCAGGGCTTTGTTGTCAATGGTCTAAAAGGAGAACCCGAACTTGCGGCTAGCCTCCTCAAAAGTGCTGTCGATTTCTTATGCTGGGGTCGTGAGGCGTGGAAGGACGTGCCAGACACTAACCGCGGAACTATCTTCTCGGATACGTTCCTCCGGGGAGTCCGCACCATGTATCTTGACATGCTTCATAATGTACGTTACTTTGTCCCCCGCTTCTTCGGTCAAAAAAGCTTATACCGGAATGCTGCTTTGTGATGAAAGTCATACTGTAAGAACCCCCGGCCTGATGCGCTTCAGGCAGTCTACGACGAAGCGAAGGATCTTCTTGAGGATGCTAGTGCAGCTTATGGGAACATCACTGGGAACTACGATCCTGGTTTTGTATTCTCGTTCTACCTCTATCCACAGGGGAGTGCACTGGCGTGAGTCTTCATGATGACCTTCTTTGCTACTTTCGGATATGTCCTGACAATCCCACGTCCAGCATGATGGGGTATTATCATGCGCAGCTTGGGGATCAAGCGGCTGAGACCGATGGGGAGAAGAGCTCGCATTACATGCTGGCCGCCGAAAAATATGCCGAGGCAGCGATGATGTACCCCGAAGATGACGAACAGCGTGCATGTAGGTTAATCGTCTCATTCGATATTATCATCGTTACACGACGTTCTTCGGCATGATAGGGTACCTCTCGTGTGCGATGGGCCACATGTGGAAATGTCCTGTGCCCATCCGGGCGCTCGTGACTATCGGGGAGAAGCTTCGCGCAGCTGCACCCAAGATGCGGAGGATCTGGGAGAATTCTCAGCTTGCCAAAGGAGGGCGGGATAAGTCCATCAAATTCAACCTTGACAAGGTGGACGAGGCTTTGGCGGCGGTCTCGCAAGGGAAAGTATCACTCGACGATTACATGGCGCTCAAGTTCGAATGAAGTCGCAAATGGATTTGAGTCTTGTCATCTGCATCAGCGCTCGCTATATGCACATTGTTGAATCCCAAAAGTTGTGCAAGCCAGGTTGATGTGCCTGCTAATCATCATCACTCTCCTTCACGTTCACTCTTCCGGAGTGATGCTCAGAATTCGTTCCCCTCGAGCACTTTTATGAGTCCTAGTCAATCCCCAGAGCGTAACAAAAGCGTCGGACCTTACGCGCGTAATTTAAGCTCGATTGTAGCCACTCAGATCACTTGTAATAACATGACATTACGGAATTCTGCCGTCACCTGGTCTCGTGTTCCTACCACCATCCTTCCCGAGCGCTCTGTCACCTCGGTTTTGAATATCTTGCTCGATGTCTTCTGACGCAGTGCAACTCAAAGATGAAGGAAACGCGCTGTTTGTAAAGAAACAGTATGCAGCTGCTATACTCAAGTATACAGACGCGATAGCACTTGACGACAAGAACGCGGTCTTGTTTGGTAATCGCGCTGCATGTCACCTTGCGTTGAAGAAGTGAGCTCAGCAGGGCTCATTGCACCTCGCGGTTCTGGATGCTTAAATGCTGACAACAATGGTGACTCAGGTGGATGAATGCGTCTGAGGATGCGCACAAGGTATGCATGCGCTCGAGCGAACATCCCTCACGACAGGTCGATAACTTCGAGTCTTTGCACAGGCTACCGAATTCGATCCCAACTATGCTAAAGGATGGGGCCGTCTGGCCGCTGCTCAAGACGTACAACCGCCTCTTCTTCCAGCATGCATCCTTCTGCTGACGATCTCCGCCCCGCCAGGCCATGTCGCAGTACAGCGAGTCGACCGTCTCCTGGCGAAAAGCGATTGACGTGCTTCCCTCGCAGCTGAGCTCCACCGAGGCAAAGCAAAAGGAGCAGTACGAGGACGCTCTCAAGGATGCAAAGCGGCGGCTAGAAGACTTGGCTGCTCCATCGCAAAAAAGCAATGCTCGCGGCCCCGACGCCAGCAAAACGACGCAGGCCTTGCCGTGGCAAGTTGCTAAAGACATGCTCCCCAAACTTAAGGCAACGGGACAGATGGAATCAAGCGTATGTTGCCTTACCAGAAGATGGTGACCCAGTCGCTGACTACGGAGACAGGCTTGGGTGATCGCTTCCGCGTACGATGTGAGCATGTAGCCGTTGCATTAGAAACTTTGTTTACGACAAAGTTATTTGTGTCTTTCTAGGATTGGAAGATGGGCATCGATTGTATGAACGACCTTAAATTTGTTCCTGCTCCTTTGCCAGGAAAACCGGACCGAGTTGGCATCGAAGGTTACCCACACGTATGTCGAGTCACTTCTTCTCGAGAACATCTGCTCACAGACGAGCAAAGGGTACGACATGTTTGACAAACGGCATTCTACGTGACCCCCGTGTCTTCCACACCGATAATCCGAAGTTTCTTGAACAATACAGTACTCAAGGTGAGTGCACCGTACTGAATCGGTTTGACGTGGAGTTTATCTCAAACTACCTCTGCTAGTTACGTTTGAAAGAGAGTCTGTAAAAGCGTACATCGAGGACACAGTAGAGGACGTGATCAAAAAGGCTCTGAAGCGACAGCAAGAAGAAGGATGGGTGTCTATTAGAGCTGCGTTATCTATAACTGTACGGTGGGTGACTCGAAACTCTGTCCTGCATCAGCTCGTGATGAAACCACCTAGCGCTTGGATCATGCAAGGTTTCATTACCGATCGTCTATACGGGGAGCCCGAAGTGGGAGCGAACGTCCTCAAAAACGCCATTGATCTGCTCAATTGGGGCCGCAAAACTTGGAAGGGCGTGCCAGATAGTGACCGTGGAACCTTCTTCTCAGATTCGTTCCTCCTGGCAGTTCGTTCAATTTATCTTGGAATGCGCCAGAAGGTATGTCCTTGAAGTTCGCTGCTCTAACGCCTAGACAAGTTTACGCCAAAATTCTGGTTCATAACGGAAGGCCTGCTCAAAAGATCTTCAACGCAAAGCCCTAACAGCTTTGTATAGCGATGCACAAGATCTACTCGAGGATGCCCACAGAGCATATCGGGATATTCCTGCCGGTGACTACGGTCCTGATTTTATATACTCGTTCTATACCTATCCTCAAGGCCATGCGCTAGCGTGAGTTTTCGTCACAGTTCTCTTCATTGCTTCGCCGTGGTTCTGAAAACGATGCATCCATAAAAAAAAGTATAGAGGGGTTCTGTCTTGGCCACATTGGAGATTTGGAGCCCGAAGATGACCTAGAGGAACAGAAGATGTCAAACTACTTGATAGCCGCCGATCGGTATAACGAGGCGGCGATGTTGTATCCTGAAGATGATGAATACCACGCTTGTAAGTGGAAGACTCTATGGACGTTGTCGTTTAGCCCTCACGGCATTTCACGGTGTACCAGGGTATCTCTCGTGTTCCATAAGCTACAGGCGCAAGTGTCATGTGCCCATTCCGGGACTGAAAGACCTCAGAGCGAAACTCCGTGCGGCGGAACCCAAGATGAGGGAGATCTGGATGAATTCTCAGCTTGCGAAAGAAGGAAGGGATGCCGCGATCCAATCTAGCCTCGGCGATTGAGTAAGCATTGACAGGGGTTTCATGGGGTAAGACGATGATACCTGTGGACACTCGTATGTCGCCCGACTCAAGTTCCAAGCGCCGGTACCAAACATCAACAACATGTGAATTCAAAATGCGGCCTAAGTTGCTGCCGTTCCGTCATACATTTGCCTAGAAGGCTTCGTTCGTCGGATACAGGTCATGCTGACCACCGTAAGGCATGTGCAGGGCAGTTGCCCCTCATTTAGTCTGGGCTCGCGGCTGCTCGCGGTTTGGGTGGGTTGAGAGGTCTTGTGCTATCTCAGCAAGGAGATCGAACAAGGTTTAAGGGAGCGGGAAGATCTCAAGATCGATCTGACCAACAAGGTAAAGTATTTACGCCCATCAACTTTATCACAGCCAGACATTTTAGCTGGACAATGGCTCCGACTCTTTACTGCACAAAATACCCGCGCACGCTGGCTTCTCCTAAATCCGCAGCTGCCTGCTGGCTTCGAAGTTGGAGAAAGAGCGACGTCGTACATGTGCGACGTCGTCACCAATGTATACCTGGCCTTCCAAGGTGGGTGGTCGGCTTACGCCAGGGGAACGTGGGGATGTGTCATTGATTGTATTTGCGAATCGAGGAGATGCAATGATGGAATTCCTATACCCTCTGGGAAGTCGGAGCAGTCACGGGTCGGTGGCTGTCGAAAGTGAATCTGAGTTTGTGGGGAAGATGCCGCAGGGCTGGGTATATTAACCCCTGGAGGCCGTTGCCCACCTGCTTGATCAGGACGTGACCTGGCCCGAGCGCGTCTTGGGTTCGCGAATGTTAGAGCGGAGGATAAAATGGTACCGATAGATAATGACGAGAATGGAATGGGAATGACAAGTCCGGGGTTTGCCTCCCCTGGCATTTATAAACCTTGACCTGGCGATCGCAACGCCTTCTTACTTTCCTCTCTTCTACTGCCAAACACTCCTCTCTCAGTACCCAATTTCACAATGAGCAGCAACAACAACTCCCCCACTTCTACTTCCACCATCGACTCAGTCAAGCACTCCGCTCCCATCCCGATCGGCATTCACACCCGCCACCGCTCAGAGTCCCTCTCGTCGGACTCATCCAACTCGCCAAGCTCTCCTCCCCCGGTCCAGACGCCTTTGAGCAGGAACTCGCCTCGCATCTCTACCAGTCCCTCTAGCTCGCCTATCCTCTACTTCCTCGCTCAGTCTCCAACAAAGGCTCCTGCTACGTTCCCTTACCGCGGCTTCGGTCCCCCTGTGTTCGAAGGTTCGTTCTGAGCTATTCTTTACCGCACCTTGGGGACTCATATGGATCGTCTTTGATTTTTTATGGTATCAGAAGAGCCAGAAGAACTCCCATCTGCAGGTCATGCTAGGCGTGCCAGCATCGCTGGTCGCTTTGCTCCTCCCACTCAACAGCAAGCACCCCCGATGTCAGAGGGTAATGAAGGCCGTGGCGCAAGCCTCTTCAGACGCCTCTCCCTTGGCGGCGCTCTCGCCAAGGTGAGTCTCGGCATCTACCTGTTTTATCTTGCTTGATTAACCCCGCATTTTGCTAGCCGCCTGCTGACGTGCCCCGCACTCAAAGTCCGCCAATGCCCGCCGCTCCTCCGAACACTGCCATCTCCTCTCCGGTCGCAACCAGGGACATTCCCCAGCCTTCTCCTCGTAAGCCGAGGCGGTCGGCGACGGTCAGCTATGAAAGGCCCAAGCGGGCTCCATCTCCTATGGGCGAGCGCATCCTGAAGGGCCACTTTGATGGGTTTAACTGAGCCTTTCTCGCTCAGATCTCGCTGGTCGACAGCATCTACTCAGTTCGCATTTCTCTCAATGAAATTAACGCCTCTATATTGCACCTCACCTCACCTCCTATGCACGGCGCTGGATAGAAGTCATAAAAGGCACCTATGGATAACTGGGCGTCGTTGCAGCATGTTGAAATCAGCAATCTCCTATGGCCAAGAGGTTTAACTTGTATTCTATGGCTTGCTAATTCTGGGTCGAACTTGTGATCCAAACATCCGCTTTCCTACCAGAAGTATAATCCCGATCGTGTAATTCCTCGTCTCACCGCTCTCAAAAACCTCACCTTGTGCCAGTGGACCGGACGACGAGCTTATTCGTTGTATATCATGATATCCCACCCCGAACGCTTTACAGTGCATCAGCCTGCATTTATCATTCGCATTCACACCAATAACACCAATTTATATCTGTTTTCGTTTCTTATTTGAATTTGGGTCTTGTAGCGGGCTTATTATGTCCACGTTCTTCTTCGATCGCTGTAAACAAAGCGTGTATGATAGGCAGAAGGAATGTAAAAGCTTATTTATTGCTAGAAGCTTTTCATTACCGTGGACATCGACACGTTCAGAGCACGCTCCTTGGTGGCGCCCGCCATCAATAAAATGAAAGATCTCGACTGAGAGTTCGGGCGAGATCTTGTCAGCGACCATGAGCATGCCCAGGAGCTCTGCAGATAGTCTGCCAGGGACAAGCAGTAACGTTGAGCTCCATGATGATGCGTATACATACTCTTGAGACCATCGACGAGTAGCCATGTGAAGGCGTTATCTCGAAGCCCTCGCGCAAATATGCACCTTTGCCAAGATGCATACCCGTTGATTCGAGAAGCATTGATTCGAGAAGTGTTCGAGGGTGCCTCCCATACGCAGACTGCCGATGGGAGGCACTTTCCTCCGAGGCATTCTCATGGCTTGAGCACGGCAGCGCGGTTTGCTAGCGGCATCGGCCGCTTCGCGAACACGATCTTCTTCTTCACCACCGCGACGATGCGCCACCCCACCGTTGCGCCTTCTTTGCCTTCTGGATTGCCTGCGCTGCGGAACGATGACGGCGATTCCTCGCCGATATCCATGTCGTTCGTTCCGTTTCCCCTCACGCTGGCGTCTTGGGGCGAGTTGGTCCTATCGCCGTCGCGTTGGATGACCGCGAGCGGCTTTGCGAGGCTTGCGACTTTGCCCTCGAGGAGGTGGTGTCCGATCAAGAGGGTGGGCTTGTCCTGCAGTCGTCAATGAGCACATTAGTGTTGTCATGATAACAGAACGAATGTATTCCAATTGCTAAGTGATCGATCTCTCATAATAGACGGCGGATAAACAAAATAGGAGAAAGTTGGCTTACGGGGTTGTCCATGTTCAGTTTTCCGATGAGTTTGCCTTCTCGCGTGGTATCATCGCCTTCGACATCGAGCATGCCTTGTAGCTCGATGAGAGCGACGTCATCGTTCCCTAGCCGCGCGAGTGTAGACGGGAGCGTGTGCCGGGAACCAGAAGAAAGATCAACAGTGACGGGAATAATCATGAGGCAAAGCCCAGAGCAGGAGTGAGAAGGTGACCTCAGGAGGTTCGGTAGGACAGCTTGGTCCTATGTGCGCACTGAGCCTTCCGTTTTTGTTGAAGGCCTGATTTAAACTAAGAGCGACACAACCTGACAAGAAAATATTCCAGGCTTTCGGAAATTTGGCCCTTCAAATATTCTGACGTGTGAAAATACCCTTTTCGGACCTTGAGTTGAACTCATCGCTACAACACCTATAGGTTGCCATCTTTTGTTTCACGACGGTTCTCTTGCGATTACGGTGTTGTCCATTGTTTCCGATGACTACTCTACACCCCGCTGGTGCCCAACCTTTGCCTTCGACATTTGAATATGACGATCACGAGGCCCTCAGCGTCTACAATCAATGCAGAGTAGTTGAGCGCCAAATCGCCGAAATAGACCCGAAACATTGGCGTCTAGTCAACATCCGTGTCGTTGGCTACCTCCTACAGTACCCTCCAAGCAGGCAAGCTTTAGTCTGCTTGAAGAGAGAAATTGCCCACTGCATACAACTATCGTCACCCCAAAATTTCGACCATGCTGCGGCCATGGAGAGGGAGAAAAAGGAAGAAGACGAGATTGATAAGTGCAGCAACTGTGATTCTTTGAGCGGCAATTGCATGGGTTGTCTTTTTTTGGCTGAGCGGAAGCCGCTCTATATGTTGTTGACTAACCTTGGTATACTATACCGAAAACATTTCATCCGCTCATGTAAACATCACGATTCTTTGAAAGCACCCCTGACCTGACCCAAACTCAGTTCACAGGACGAAGGGGAGAACGCCAGGACCTTCCTTTCACCCCTCCCGCAATAGATCGTTTGCGGAATTAAAGGACAGTTTCAGCAATACACTTGAGGTTGTACCGGCCAATCATCAAACCGCAAAGATGGAGGTGCGCGGTGTTTCGCTCCAGACCTATTCCTGACCATCAACTGTATGCTCTTCAGGCTCTTATACGGGATGACTTTCGGTGCCTAGTTACCCGCCGTCTTGACTATTATGAAGCTCGCAGGAGAGCCTTACAAAGGGCGCGGTCTACCGACAACCAAAGCATCCACTCTCTCGACGAAAGTAGCGAATTGACCGCAACTACTGAGTGTGCTCACATATTCTCCCAAAGCACGAACACCAATCTTGATGATCCAAGAAAGGTTCTTTAATCCTTTTTCTTGTCAGTACGGTTTGAACCAGCTTCTGACGCCGACTTTACAGTTATACCTTGCAACTTCCTCGTGGGATGTCATTGAGCGCTTTGGCTTTCAGGAAATTCTTGGGGAACTTAATGGGAGTAAAGCGCATTCGCTTACCAACGTTCTGACATTGTCGCCTTCTGTGCATAAGGTTTTTGACGGCCTTGGCCTTTACTTTGAAGAAACCGTGCGTGCCCCGACATCTTTGATTTTATGATGGTTTATGAACATCACAACTTCACACTAGGACACACCAAATCACTATCGCGTTTCTGGTTTTCCTCTTTCCCCTCACCGTCAGTTTGGGTGTGAAGAATTTGTTGCTTTTACAACGAGTGATCCCCAGAAATATCCACTGCCATCGCCCAAGTATCTCAGGATTCATGCCGCTTGCTGCAAAGTGTCACACATGTCTGGAGCGTCAGACATGTTCGAGCGGGAAGAATTTAATAAATTTGAAGACCCGGACCTATCGGAGCCCATTTTTGCAGCAGAATTGAGTGCACGCCTTCTCTTACTTTCACAGGAGTCACAGCACTCTACTCAGGTAATTTGAGGTCATGGAACATTAACAAATCGAACTCTATTGAAACTGCACGACTGTGTATATTCGGTGCTTCAGGTATCGAGCATGCGGAAGAAAAAGGCCTTGCGTCAGCAGAGGGTGTACTACAGCAAGGTCATCGGGTTACCGCCAGATGTCCGTGGCACTGTTCAAAGTCCAAGTCCAACCCATGCAACATAGCAATGTGCATTTCTATCCAGACACTTAAGGAACTTATTCATAACGCCGTTTTCAACCAATATATGTCGTACCATTATCAGTAATCTCCAAAATCCCAGCTATAACATTCCTGCGATCCATGATGTTTAGTTCTTTTATCTCCCTACAAATAGCTTGCGAGACGTACCACACAGTCCTTTTCAAAAGCGGCCTCGGGAACGTGCCGGCCCATGTCCTCACTGGGCTTCCACGGTTCTCCAAGGACCTTGTCTATGACATTGACTACTCCGTGTGTCCGTATGTCCACAGACCAGCCATATTGTGAGACGGTGTCATATACAATCGACTTGCCGAGGTGGCACCCCGTCTCCAATGCATATCCTCCGAGAGCGCAGGAAGACAGGATACCGTTGCATGTGCCCATGGCAATGGGGTCTGCAGTGTGATAAACATGGGTGATGTGCTGAGTCGAAGGCTTACACCGGAATAACAAGGGTAAGCTTAGATTATGCAATGAATGGTAGCAGCAAAACTCACGGGTGAAGGGAGATGCAATCGTCTCGCCGCTGTTTTCTCTCCGGGAGACTCAAATGCGACGGCAGGGACACCAAACGTGACACCGAGCAAGGATGACAGGGCACCACCCAGCGAATGCCCGATAACCCAGATATTAGATTCAGGATACATATAGGTTAGATTGTTATACAGATTCTGCAAGTATTCGTCAATACTTATCGAGACCTAAGACACTACATCAATCCCAGAAACCACGTACCGTCCCAATCGGATAAAACAGACTCGTATCGTCCACAAGCGCACGTTCGAGGCATCTCTGGTCGCACTTCCACCCGCCGCGATGGCAGTTGCACACCGTCGTCCACGTCCAGTCGATCTTGGCGCAGCAGCAGCTGAATAGCAGGTTATCGTTCAGCTTGTCTTTCTTCGCCGTGGGCCCGCCGCCGTTGAGCAGACCGGCCGATGTGCCCTTGATGGAGAGGACGACCGTCGAATTGTCCTCCGTCGCGAAGACGTACCCGCGGAAGCCGTCCGCGTCGGGCTCCCAGCCTATGGGATGGTACTATATACGCGAGTTAGTAAAGTGCGCAGCACAGGCAGGAGGAATAGAGTCAAGATGGTCAAACGTACCTTCTTCCACTGCTCATCGAGCTCGTACCATGCACCGTCGTCGGGGGTGACATATGCATTGTTCGTCATCTTCGCGAGCTCGAGGAGGGTCTCCCGACTCTCGATGTCTGGCCCGATAACACCGTCCTCCCACCAAGGCAGGTCTGCACTCTCCAGCCGCTCAAGAGAGCGCGTCCGCGCATCAAGGAATGCGTCATGCGAGGCGGGTTTGTGCGATGTTATCTGCTGTGTACCCAAGGTGTACGCAGTCTGGTTGTGGTCTCTGCCAGCCGTGAAGGGGCCGAGTCCGTGTGGATGTACATCGGAGAAGACGACGTGAGCGGAAGAGGAGACGGCATGTTTGTGACGTAGTGTGAAGGTAAGAGGTTCTAAGCGCCCTCCGTCGATATCAGTTATTTGTGGTCTGCTAACAGAGAGGAAGTCGAGGAGGTGGAAGACCAAGGCGGTCAGCGTGAATGGTAGCATCACTCATACCCGCGTCTGACGTATATTCATCCTTTCCGCCTTGGTTCCACAGAGTGACCCCGAATTTGGCGATCTGCATCATGCAGGCAGCTCAAATATTTTGCGGTGAATATCGTCCACGTCATGAAGGGATACAAGGATAGCAGAAAGATGGCTTATTGGATCCGGAATATCGAACCGTCTATAAATTTCTTGACTGTCTATATGCATGCAAAGCAACTTGCTCGTTTGCGTAAAGCGTTACTACAAAGCCCTGTATCTGCCATAACATCATCAGGAGCCCAACCCTATATTACTCCCTCTTCCGCAGTCAGAAGGTTGAAAGAACATAATTAAATGAGAAGATGTAAGTATCGTTGCATAAGTATCCATTGAGCGAAATGACGATATAACGCTTTTTAGGACGAAATATTGAGGTTTTCCATGGCGAGGTCCAAAGGATCGGCGGCAGCGACGTTTGCCTGGGCTTGAGCCGCCGCCGCGCCTGCACTCTTGAAGAATACCTCGGGGCTGGTGCAAGCAGCGACGGCACGGCGCATGTGCACTGTCAGGAACGATAGACCGACCTGGTATGCAGCTGCACAGAGCCGATCAGTAAATGTTCACCATTATGGGAGTGTTGGATGATTTACCGTTCATCCAGCCGAAGCCCTCGCGAGGCACCATCTTGAAGTCAATGCCCTGATTGCCGTATTCTGCGTCTACCAAATGTGACAACTTAACCGCATCAAACTAAGGAACATGATAAGCATAAACTCAGAAGCAACGTTAATATATGAATCCTGTACCTTCTCGGGAACAACCCCATTGAAGTCGACGAACGCGGTTGTCATCATGTAGAGGAAGCGGTAAGCCAACCGTTGAGCCTCGTCCAGATAGCCGTATCTTTCCAAGCCAACCCAAGCCATAATCTGATGAGGAGGCCTATAGACAATCTATCAGGACTGCACTACACAAAGCCAGCCGTCAGACTTACCATGCGTACGGGTAATCCCACTGTCGGTTAGGCCTGTCCAAGGAAATTTTACCACGAGATTCTTCGGTTCCAGAAACAACACCGCCCAAGACCTCAAACTTCTTCAGCGCTTGCGACCTGCCGAATATTCAGCGTCAAGGTACCCAGAAAAAAGGGAACACAACGTACACAAGCTTCCAAGCTTGCTCCTCGCTAGCGCATCCTGCCCAGAGGGCCCAAAGGGCAGTGGCACTCTCATAAAGACTTTGCTTCTCAGTAGCGGTGTCGTAGTCGAAGTAAAGGCCCTTCGACTCGTTCCAGAGGTACTTGTTGATCATTCCCTGTCGCCACTCTGCCCTCGCGAACCACTCCTCGCTCGTCTGAGCACGGCTCGTCGAACGTTCACGGTAGGGATTCGCGTAGTTCTGCGGCGTCACCGGGAAAGGCGAGAGAGGGAAGTCCTCCTCGAGGTACAGCTCATTGTCGAAGAGCTCCCGAATCGCAGTCCCGATGTCGACCTCGTACTTGTACAGAAGGGCCTGAAGATCGATGGTGCCGAGGTTCGCACACCGCTTCTCGAACCGATACGTCGTGTCGTGGCCCGACTCACGCACGGCACGATCGTGCAGGAAGTACTCGTCGAGCTTCGGTTCCTTGAGAGTTCCGTTGTTGTAACGCTCGCCGAACTCATGTACAGAGATGCCATGCTTCGCAGCAAACGGCTCAAGGACGTGCGTGAAGTGGGTGGCTTCCGTTTCGGGAGGGATACCCAAACCATCAGGGCGAAAGCGCGAAAGACCGGTTTTCGGGTCCATGCGGGGCTCCGCAACCCAGATGGTGTGGTACTCCTTTATGGCCGCTTGGATTGCGCGTTTCAGCCATTGACGGTTGGCTTCCACGTCGGATCGATCGAGCTGGTTGTAGATCTGGAGGGCCATGTCCGTAAGGAAAGGAGGTTGGGAACGGCAGAGATAGTAGCTCCGGCTGCCGTTTAATATTTTTCCGTAGTGCTTGATCTCGAAGATGAAGTGGTCAACCATGCCCTTGGCCATGTTGACCTGGCCATCCACAAGGAGACCAAGACTAATGAAGTATGAATCCCAGTTGTAAAGCTATATGCGCGTCAATATATTGGGACGAAGGAGCAGATTAACCAGTTCCCACCTCGTTGAATCGGGCGCCAGGGACAACGAATGGAATGCCTTTCAGAGTCTTGCCACCTTTCCCATCGTCGACTTCGTTCATAGCAAGTGCAAGTAGCCCAGGCTTAGAGTTAAGACTCTTAACAAACTCCGGACTGTCGTTCTTCTCTGGGAGTACCTGAACATCCAGATTCATGTGAGGCTTGTCACGAGCAACCTTCCTGTAATATTCAGCCATAGCAGGTTCGCCGTGCGGCACATATATGCGGGGTTGGACACGACCGGTGCGGTTCTTGGGGTCGGCGGTGATTATCTCAAGGCCATCGCCGTCAATACGACGAGTAAGGGAATGCCAGAAGGAATCACGGATCATGCGGGACAAACGATCCACGGGGTTTTCAGTCAGACGAGCCTCGTCCAGGACAATACGCTTCCTGTTGTGGTCTCGTGCGAGGGCAAGTTCCTGAAGCAAATTCGATAACATGTAGTTTCCCTGGGGAATGGGAAAGCATTAGCGAGGGGTTGGATTATAGTAGCAATTAATTGTTACGCACGCGGATGTCAAAGGTCTTGAAACCGTTGCTTGTTGCAGTACCCAGAGCCATGATCTTCGGTCCTGCGTCTGTAACACTGATCTGGAAATCTCCATCGGTGTCCTCCTGCTCGAGAATGACTCTAATTGTTTCTTCGACATCAATCAAGAACCTCCTCGGACCAGTGACGTTCTTCTCGTCGTGCGATAACCGCCTTGCTCTCAAGTGCTGGTCCTTCTCGAAAGTAGGCGCACGCTTCGGATTGTACCCATGGATGTGGGACTACGTAAATCAGACGTGTGATGAGTCACACCACGCGAAAGAGAGGGTGAGCGAGCTTACGGCGCTGTATGTCCTCGAGCGTTGGAAGGTCTCTCCACCTCCATAGTATATGGCGGCGTCGACGTTAACAGGGCGCTGCTCGTCGATGAAGGTGACACCGGCAGGGTGGTTGACAGCAGGAGCCATCGACAAGAAAGATGACGGGCGATGCAGAAACGAATGAAGTTGAGTTATGTCTTAGCGGGCGACGTCAACAGGAAGTTTGGGGTAAGTAGTGCGGCGGAGAGAAGAGATGTGGGGGCGGTCTATCCCAAATTTAAGCGATTGAGGTGCGGGCCGAATGTCTCGCCCCCTGAATATGCGATGCCGTAAGTGCGCTGGTAGGCTGGAACTAGATCGCGGAGGTAAACCCAGAAAGATCGATAGGACCAGGGCAAGGAGCTAAAAACACAGGTGGGAGGAGGAAGGAGGAAGGTCGATTAGACAAGCTGCTGCCCAATGCTAATTTCCGGACATTAGTGACAAATTCGTACATATGCCCGCGCCGGCACATCAGTACTAGTCCGAGCCACGCGGTGTGCGCATCTCTCACCTGCGGTTCAGTACAGTACCAGTGGCCGGCTGTGTATTCCCCTCAAGAACACGTAGTCGAAGCTACAGTAATTTGTAGACTCGGGCACAGGGTAGCACAATATGAAAAGCGCAGAGGTCAAGTTGTGCCTCGAACAGGCCGGAGTCCTGTCTTTATACTCATCCGAACCAATCTGATGAGCGGAATCGATGTCAGGGGCTAATTACGCCACTTGCTCATGGACATCTATCTTCCCTTACAATTTTATTGGCTTCCATGTATTTGCCACGGAATGTTGGAGTTCCAGCTGTTCATTTCCAGCTGATATCAGTCCTGCAGTGTCGGATTTCAGGCGCTAGGTGGTGTTACGAGGCGCTGCGGGAAGTTGATACGAACCTAACGTTGACTCTTCCTTTGTTCTGAAGTAGCATAACTTGAACGAGTCGGCGCACCCAGGAAGGAGGAACTCACGCTCACTCACGAGCGGGAACCCCTTGACGTCACAGAGAGCGCAGTTGACAACAAGAAGCGCGCGGGTCTCCCACCGAAGTAACTCAATGCGATATTTGCTTGACACGTACATATTTGCTCGCCTCTCCACAACAAGCATGAATCATGTTCCAATCTTACAGATATGGAAACGTTCCATTGAAGAACAACGCCCCAAGCTATACTATCCGGACAGCTAGGCACCCTATCTCCAAGATACCTACTCTACAACTAGAGGGTGACTCAGAGGATAGCTTCCGTACTTACGTAGTACGTGAAAGGTATACGATCAACATGAGATACCAGCGTGCGCGTGCAATGTCCGTGCGCCGTCATTAGCGTCTTTATTCGAGGCCACTGCCAAAGGCATCGCGCCTCGCTTCGGCCTTCACGAAATCATCGCATTCAACGCGACTCTTCTTGACGTCTACCATGTACAAGAAGATCGTGCTGGCGGTCCCGCTGCGGAGATGAAGTTGAACGAAGGATCAAGGCCCCTCAAATACCACTTACAGTCCGAACAGGAAGGCGAAAGGCATATTATTGTTGTTCCCCGAAGCTGTGATAATGGCCGAGGAAACTAGCGGACCGATGAAGGCTGACGTCTTTCCAACCTAACTATATGTGAGGCTACGTATCTCAATAAAGGTTACGGTCTCACTTACAACGGAGAATAGCGCGAAAAAGAGGAACCTACCAAGGACAGTAAGTTAGCGTTCCGAATGGCACCTAAGGACACATACATTTGCGGTAGGGGAGATACCTCGCTGATCATGGTCTGGCTGTATGCATACCATGGACAAACCATTAAACCATAGAACACCTGGTAGAGCCTAACGAACATTATTGAAAGAACAGCACTCCCCAACGGTGAAAAACATACCAAATCTCCCAAACATGCTTGAATCCAAATTTATCGGTGTGCACACCGATGAGTCCCCATATTGTTAAAACCTGCGAGATAGGGCTAAGTGCAAGAAACAAATATCGAGGAGGAAACCCTACAATAATCCAGAAGACATTAAAGCAGAGCATCTGAGGATTGTATGAGTGTTTGATAGTCAGCGGCGTCCGCAGACCTACTGGTTTAGTTGCAATTTTATACTTCTTCTGTACAAGCCAGAACAAACTACGATTATGGTCGGGTCAGGTAAGATGCAGATACAACGAGGAAACTTACTAAATGCCCATTGCTTGAGCAACGATACCGACAACGAGGAGCAGCGTTAATTGCATGGTAGAGTATGCCACCACACTTTGTTCATGTTAAATTGTGCAGATTCGGCAAGGAACCAATATAATTACCTGTTCTGGAGAGTACCGATGACGGTGCTATACGAACGGTTTCAACGAATATGCAAAGAATCCGAGAGTTATAAGGCATACACTGTAGTATTGAGAACATCACCCCTGTATCTGTATTAGCCCATAAACGAAGGATGGCCTGCTTGAACGTACATGAGGAAATAAAAGACAAGGTATAAGAACGTTTGCTTGAGCCTCATACACTCTCGCAAGGCAACGTATGTTTGCTTGAAGCCAATCGTAAGCAGCGATGCGCCAGGAGGAAGAGGGAGACCTGGTCTGCGCTTTTCGAGGAAGAACCAGGGTAAGGCGCATAGAACTGTTACAGTAGGTTTAGAATAGACAAGCCTACTGTTGTGTAAGAACTCACACCAAACACCACCAGAAAATGCGATCAATACACTGAAGGCCCTTGTGTTATTCTCCGTGCTGTCACCTGCTCTGAGACCCTGTATGATGCCAACCATGATTGCTAGGATGACAACTTCCCCCACAGAGCAAACAGTGAAGGAGATGTTGGAAACACGGTTTCGTGAAAGAGATTCAAAGTCTGTATGCTCCTGTTCACTGTAAGGCAATTAGACGAAGTAAGACAAATGGGAGAAACACGAACTCCTTTTGCCCTGATATGACCTCATGAGCTGACTTTTGCACCTCTGGGAGGTTTCGAGCAAGCCCCGGAAATGCAGCAGTCCAGAAAGTGAGGGCACCCTAAGTACATATGGCGGAGAATAAAGTGAGGATAATTCAGCAGAAGAAAGTGGGAGACGTTTACCTGATAAGTTATTACTAGAGTGCGGTTTTAGGATCGATGGTACACCAACGCCATCGGACTGGCCCACACATATGACAACTCACAACCGAGCATATAGAGCGCGACTCCAGCTTGCCATCTTGACGGATCCTCCACTCCCAGCCAAGCAAATGAGATAGCGACAGCAAGTACAGTAAACCCTATCGTGATATTGGGCCTGGAACACATCAGTTTAGCGGACGTAGGCCTCTACAACCTGTAAGCTTCACAGACCTCCATGAACCATAGTCGGCCCAGGCCCCTATGACGAGCAAAACGACAGCTTGAATAGCAAAGCTGATACCGTTGGTCAACAGGACAATTGAGTTCACTGCGTGTATGTGGTCAGCGACAAGTCAACAAAAAGTTCGAAAGGTTCACCATCGCGAATTTCGCCTAGGTAGGGGAGGACGCAGCCCGAATCGCTGGTGCATGGCGCAGTGTACGGGGGCTGAGACGGGTCATAGCCAGCCAAAAACAACAAATTCTGAAACTGAGAAGGCCCAAAATTAAAGCCAGATAAACCGTTGTTCCCCTGCGATAATGTCAGACGCGGCTAGCCTGTTCTGAAGGGTGATCAAAGTCGGTCAATACCGTCAACGTACGACGTAGTAAAGATAGAATGCCCAGAGTTCGAGGCGCGTTGTGGTAAATCCCGCGGATGTAACAGAGTCAGTTAATTCCGCTTCTTTGTCCTTATCGGAGGTGACGGAGACGACATCAGGGGGGACGTCCGCGACAGCCTCTTCGACCTTCTTCTCAGTGGTCATGGCGGGTTGGACAAACGAGGGACGATGGTTCGGGGTCCATCAGGTGCTTATAACTTATAAGCGGTTTCAAGCGCTCTCGGTGCCACATCGAATCGAGCAGTCGGCATGTCTGCTATCTTGTAGCTTCCAAAATAAACCTGGAGCGTACTATCAGTTATGTCATTCTGATGGGGAATTGCCCGCCCGGGTACTACCGGCGACAGCCGAGGCGCGCCGGCCAGATTTACTTCCACCAACCACTTCACTAGGCTCTAGGACCTTTGGAGTGCAATCTCCTCGTTCAGCCGGATGTTGCGCGTCGCTCCTGTCGTCAGACAGGCATCGTCTACCGCTTCAAGGGGTGCACTAAGGTCTCAGAGGAGGGTTAGTCCATATCTTTCTGTCATAACACGCGGCCTGACCTCATGCGGACTATGACAGCGTCTGGCGACCGAGGCTACCACCCCGCCCAAAAAGAATGTCCTCAGGAGGCTAATCTTCTACACCGTCGCTGGCACAGGTACATTCTATCTCGGAAGCACCTTTGTCTCCTTTGAAAACCAGCAATACCGCGAGTTCTTCACCAGCAACGTGCCCCTTGCCGATGCTCTCATCGACTATGGCGAGGCAAACAAGTGGGACGAGATCACCATCCAGTCTATCATTGTCTCCAGCGTTGACGCGGCCAAGTATGTGTCCGACTTCGTGCAGAAGCAGCTCGGGAACTCGGCCGACGCCGTGGAGAAGTCAGGAGATGTGGTCAAGGAGAAGGCGGCTCAGGCTAAGGATGCCGCTTCTTCAAGCCTCAAGGACCAGAAGGAGCGCGTCAAATCTGCTGCCTCTTCTTTGAGGACGTCCGTCAAGAAGAACGAGGAGAAGATCACGGAGAAAGGTTCGAAGGCTGCTGCTATTGCCCGACACCAGGCCGCTCAGTTCTCTGAAGAAGTCGAGGAACTCGTCAGGAAGGCTGAAGCTGCCATTGCTGGGAAGTCCATGCCCGTTACTGGGGTCACGACTACTCCTGAGCAGCCCGCTGGCTCGCCTCCTGATGCTATCTCACCTTCAACGGAGCACGTTGAACTTGTCATAATTAGGGATGGCAAGGAGTGGGACGTTCCTCTACCCATCGGTTTTGAACCTCCCCCGGGCTTCTCTCGCCCAGCTCCTCCTAAACCTAAGCCTACCAAACTCACTGAACCCGCACCCGCACCCGAACCACTTCCCCTCGTCGCGCCCACGGTCTCAGAATGGAGTTCCTCCGAACCTGTCATTTCGCAACTGGCTTCTACCATTGACAACCTCGCCTCCTTCTTGAATTCGAATCCCACGGCAGCTGGCAAGGCCAAGGACATTCTGGAGACCGCCAAGCTGGATTTATCCGGTCTCGCGGAGCGCATGCATGGCATCAAGGAGGAGGAGCGCAAGCAGCTGGAGGCGAAGCTCGACGACCAAGCTCGGGAGTACACCCTCAAGCTTCTCGAGCTCGAGATGGATGCGCAAGATAAGCTGGATAGCCAGGAGCAAGACTACCGCCACCTGTTCGACTCGGAGAGGGCTAAGTTCGTCCAGGCGCACCGCGAAAAGCTTGACCAGGAGCTGAAGACACAGACTGAGCTCATTAACGAGAGGTACGGTACCCCATTGCGACGAAGGTAGCATCAGCTAACGAAATAACACAGATTGAAGGAGGAAGTCATTGCACAGGGTATCGAGCTACAACGCCGTTGGATTCGGGAAGTTAAGATCCGCGTTGAGCAGGAGCGGGGCGGCCGTCTTGCTAAGCTCGATGAGCTCTCGACAAACCTCAAGAAGCTCGAGCGCATCGCTCTTGACAACTCCACCTACCTCGATGATAACATCCGTGTTCACGGCATGTGGACTGCTCTGCGTTCTTTGCAGAATTCGGTCGATGCTACCATACGGAAACCTTTCCGTGACCAGCTCAACATCCTGCGTCACATCGCCGTAGCGAAGGACGACCAGGTCATGTCCTCCGTCCTCGAGTCGCTTGAAAAGTCGGACGTTCCTGATGTTGGCGTTGAACCCTTCGCGGACCTCGCCTCGTGGTTCTCGACATCCGTCGCACCTCGCGTCTCGAGTGTCGCCCTCGTTCCTGATCAGAATGCCGGCGTCCTCGCTCATCTGGCGTCGCATCTTTTCTCTACGTTCCGTTTCCAGCGCCGCGGCTTTGTTGGCGGTAACGATACCCTGAGCGTATTGGCGCGGGCCGAGTACCACATGAACAAGAAGGATCTCGACAGCGCTGCTCGAGAATTGAACCAGCTCAAGGGTACGGCTGCCGAACTTCTGCGGGATTGGCTGGAGGCAGCTCGGAGACGGCTGGAGATGCAGCAGGCTCTCGAGGTACGTGTCTAGTCATGCCAGTTTGAAGCCATTCTCACATCGTACACAGGTAATGCAAGCACAGGCGACGCTCGCCTCCCTCCTTGTGGTATAGACATTCACATTACAATACATTAGACATCTACATCCCTGCAGTACGCTTTTATTCGGAGCACCCTGAGCTAATGAACCCTTTCGGTGAGGATTTCACTCTACATTGGCGGCATGGCAGCACCGTTAGGAGATGCGACCGAAGTTTGCAGAGCACAGTTGCAAACGACCTGGGCCCTGCGAACAACGGTCTGCGTTGTTTCAGTGCCCGTTGGCCCGTTTGCCTTTGTCACCTTGACGAGGCCGGGGAAATTGGTCGCGCCGACAAAGTCCTGCTCACCGTGCTCACTCCGGAGACACCGACGAACAAGCTCGAGCTGACGGGGGTGCAGCACGCTTCCAAGCTCGGGCACGAAGGCGCGATAAAACGCGTCGATAGAGCTGCCGGAGCTGGTTGGTGAGCCATGGAGCATGCGCGAGAAGGTGTATGCTGCTTCGAGGATGATGACGCCCGGCAAGGGATCGGCGAGGGTGCCATGCGTGAGGACCTTCATGACTGTGGGCAAGCGTTCTACGAGGATATTTCGTGAAAGCTCCGGAGTGCAGCTATCGACTGCTGCGCTGAACGTTTGGCGTCGCCATACAGCTGCGACGACAGGATTACCTGCAACAGAAGTATGAGCATCCCTTGTGGGGACAATGGATACAAATGCGGGCTCACGGGAGAAAAGATGCTCGTGAATACGAGTGATGTGGTCGTTGGCCTCGTTCGAGTTGGTCACGATGAAGTTGTTGATTATTTCTGCGCTGATGAGCTCAGACATGGCATGCCGCAGCAAGTTCTGGACGCTCATGGGGGACACGTTCGTGACAGGGAAGCCATCAACAATATCCTGAATGTCCTGAAGAAGGGCCCCATGGATCTCTTCCATGGGCGCGGGCGGTGCGCGTACAACATCTGCTGCCCAGCGGTTGATGGTGCGCTCAAGCTGAGATGCCGCATTCTAAGCAGGGGATAGATAGGGGTCTTAGCAAACACAAGACGAGCGTGTAGAGATTACACGAGACGCACCTTGATCGAGAAGTCGTCGACCGATGACCCACCTTTTGGCGTTGACTGCCTCTGTTCATGCTGTCGGTCATTGCCTTCAAGGAGCGCGATTCGCTCTCTCAATAGCGCAACCTGCCGCTCCTGCTCCTCGAGCTGTTTGCGTTGGTCCTCGACTTTCTCGTGCGCAATACGCTATCGAAGTTATGTGTAAGCCAATGATGAAACTCCTGAAAGCGATCCCATCGAAGCACTTACGAAGTTCGTTAGAGCATATCGGTACTGCTCTCCGCTGACTAGATCCATCGATGACGGCGCGGGGGACTGGGTGCTGTACGAGCCACCGCTCGAACCATTGTAGGACATTGCGAAACTGGTAGGGGCTAAGCGTAAGTAGTAGCTAAATGAGTGCTAAGGGCACTCCAGAAGGTCTTTATAGAGGCTGAATTGTCATGGCATACGGGCGCTGCCTTCCTGAACAGCCTTTTGGAAAGACATAACTTTGTACTATTGCGGCCGATCACGACGCCTGGTGGAAAGCTTCAGGAATACTTCAGGGCGTTACAGGGTCAGGGCACCCAGCACCCAAGACAATGTTGAGGTTGAGGGCAACGCACGAAATTAGCATTGCGCGTGCATTTCCTGGTACAGGGTACTACAAAATAACCAGAACATCCACGGGAAATTTCTATATCACTTCAAATGCAACGAATCCATGCCAAACTCCCCACCACTTCCGCGATCAACGTCATTGAATGGGTCTCTGACACTGCCTGTTCTTGATCGCCAAAGCTGTGTATACAACACCTTCAACTTTGCGAGCTCCGCATCCACAGCGGCTGTCTTGTTGGCGAGTGCCATAAACGTGGCGTGTTGCGCCTGCAAACTTGCAGAAATAGCTGCAAACATGGGCCGGTAAATATCTGTTTCTGAAGGCGGGAGTCGATCGAACGTACCATGGGGCGTGCTCTGTGCATGGGCTGCCGTTGACGCAAGCTTGCGTTCGATTTGCTGACGAACATAATCAACAACAAGAAATGGGAAGTCCTGGAAAATTAATTGCATACCTCAATGGTAGTCTTATACCACTCTAATCGCTGCTTCATCTCCTCAATGGTCCGCATGAAAAACCTATCAATAAATGATTAAGAGTAAACACTTCCAATTAACCGCTTTTCTTACTCCAGGGGGAACGAGGCGTGATTCTTTAAATATGCGCCATTTTGCTGCGGGTTTTTGAAGCCATCCACGATTCGAGTGGCCACAATCGTGTCCTGGACCGATTGCTCAGTCTTGTTCTTGAGATCCCGAGTATGCAGACTGTCTGACTGCATGACCGACACGATATTAATCAATTCCTAGAAAGCTGCCGTTTGAGCGAACGATGCTAACTCAGAAGCGAATACTAGTACCTTGTGGACATTGCTGATGAGTTCCTGACCCTTTGTTGGTTCGTCGCCCAATTTCCGCTGCTTCAGCTCCGTGCTTATCTGGACGCGGCCCTGTATATGGGACCTAGAACAATGAGATGAATAATGTGAATTTCTTGAGACGTGTATGGAGCTTACTCGATGCTTTCGAAAACCCTCTTCGTCTCGTCCGGAAGGTCATTAAACTTGGTAGATTTGGTGAAAGGTGCGCTGCAGGTAGGTTTATAAGACGCGTCAGTGGAAGTGACCATGTTGCTTACTTCGCACTACAGATTGTCAGTATTGATAACAACGAAAGCTGACACAATATCGCTCACTTTTGTTGTTGTTGCGGCTGGCCAAATGTTGACGCGCCCAGCCCTGTCGAAGGTTGTGTCATGCTTGCACCAAATCCGCCAAACGTATTCGTTGTTCCAGTACTGGGCTGCTGACTCGCATTGGAAGGGTTTCCAAATAACGAAGGACCGGAGTTGGGTGTCGACTGGCCAAACAAGTTGCTCGTTCCTGTCTTGGGCTGCTGTCCAAACAGACTCGTCCCAGACTGAGTGTTGGTGTTCGCTGCAGGCTGGCCGAACAGACTTGTTCCACCCGCGGTCGTGTTACTCGCAGGTTGGCCAAACAGGTTTGTAGAGGGTTGATTACCCGAGGGGTTGGTGGTTGACTGGCCGAAGATGTTGCTCGAAGGCTGAGTGCCTATATTCGTGTTCGATGCGGGCTGACCAAAGAGACTAGTCCCAGTGTTCGTGTTCGCGTTTTGTGTGTTTCCAAACATAGATCCGCCGGCGTTCGTCGAGCTCGGCTGGCCAAAAAGCGAAGTGCCCGTGTTGGACGTGCCACCTGTATTGGTATTAGGTTGGCCGAATAGTGACGTCCCCGTGGATGTGCCGCCGGTGTTGGACTGGTTTGGTTGTCCGAAGAGCGAGGTGCCCGTGGACGTGCCACCAGTATTAGATGCGTTGGGCTGACCAAACATTGAAGTCCCTGACGAGGTACCACCGGTGCTGGGGTTGGGCTGTCCGAAGATTGAAGAGCCTGTGCCTCCGGTGGACGTGTTAGGTTGTCCGAATATCGAGGAGCCGGTGTTGGATGTATTTCCGAACCTACGCAAGGTTTAACACAAATCCATGAACAAAGCTAGTCTAATAGTATGCGCACCCAGAAAATGCCATATCGCCGATAAGTTATAGTGAGTATGTCGGCCGGGACGTTAATGTCGCAACACGCGCTACGAGCGTGAACTCGAAGGGACTCAGCCAAACTTGGTTCGAGAGAGCGGGGACGCGTCGCGGACTCGGACCCCGAACAGCACGTCGGATGACCTGGGAGTCTGACCACGACACCCCTGATTGTGCCTTCACCGACATTGACTAGTTGCACCATGTGCACAAATCCAAAGCTCTCATTCACCCACCCCACGCTTACCTTGATCAGCCTTCATTATCCTTGTGCGAATGCGCTAGCCGTCGTCTCCAATGGACCAGCTACCAGCATACTCTGAATCGTCCGCCGGTGCAAGTACATCTCGCCCGGCAAACGCGCGATCCGAATACACCGTATCGCTAGAGACCTCCAAGGGAGAGAAATGGTTGACTCTCAGAGCTAGAAGCCGTGCCCAGGACTCAAGCTCGCTTCCTTCTTTTCTCGAAGGGGATGTCATTTCAGGTAATGTCGATATGGAAGTCGCGAAGTCCGAGTCTATCAAGGCCATAACCGTCATGGTGAGCATGAGCATACAGACTCTCCCTGCTCAAAGCTTATCGCCAGCATTCTTTTGCTTGTGTAGGTTGCTGCCGGTACTACATATGTTGGCCAAGAAGAAGAGCGCTTCCTCAAAGTTGAGAAAGAGCTCTGGACCCCATCCATGCCCCTACCCGACGGCTCAAAGGTGTCGAAGTTCAGTAAAGGCCACTATCATTGGTCGTTCGAGTTAGCCTTGCCAAAGGAAGTCGAGGTAGAGGACGGAAAAGTCAAGAAACCCTTCCCACTCCCTCCTATCTTCACAGAACGCGCCAGCCCGGTGTACCTGGACTACAAACTTATCGTGACAGTAAAGAGAGGCATGCTCAAAGTCAATCAAACGTTCGTGACGTGCTTTCTAGACAAAAACTCCCTCTATGCATGCGTACTCAATCTACTACCAGACTTCAGACTGCTATCAGCTATTTGCCAGTGACGCGACCAGAACCGCCTTCTCCAATGCGTCAGAAAGCATATAAAGAGAATCTTCGTCTCATCGGTCCAGACGGTATGTCAAACGCTTGGCGAATCAGATTACTCCAGTCTTTATCGGAGTGACAGGCGACCCCGAGGGATGGCATGTCTGCGCCCCAGTCACTGTCTCAGGGACCGTCTTTGAGTCACGCAAGGTCGAGGTCTCATGCACGGTATGCATACTACATGTGCGAGGTAAACCATCAGTGCTGAACAACTTTCTTCCTGGCTCAGCTCGCGCTTGCGAAACCCGTAAGTCGCAGTCCGCTTTGCCCTCGATATCAATGTTCAAACGGTCCTTATCTAGCTAACCTACGCCCGCGGGACACCTTTACCATTAATTATGACCTTGTCGGGAGACGATGAGCACGCTCTGGACCTCCTAGCATCCCCTTCCTCCATCCATCTTACTATGGTCAGATCGGTTATGACAGGGCCCAAAGCAACAGATGACAGCGTTGTTCCCGATGCCAAGGACACCGTGTTCAACGAGACTGTAGCTCGTGCAGTCTTCTGGCCCGACAAGGAAGCAGGCGAATTCGAAGCCGGCGCGGTAGACCGCATTTTACAAGGCGAAATCGACGTGAAGAGGTCACTGAAGCCAAGTTTCCATTTTCCAAACTTCACCACTAGGGTAAGCTGACTTGTTTACGCTTAGCTTGAATACAAGCTAACGCATGCATTGTACAGTATTTCCTCGAGCTGGGACCTTTCAAAGGCACCGGATTCTCCCCATCGAATTCGTCTTCGGCGCCCCTGCTGAGGCAACAGATTATGGTTGCAACTCTGCCGCCGTCAGGCATCATTTATCGTTCGCACGCTCCTCCCGAGTACGTTCAAGAGCAGGCTGGGGATTACAACAAGACTGTAGGAGTACTGGAAAATGGAAATCAGAGATTCTATCACCATGGCCATCAGTGATATTTTACCACATTGGTATCGTGATGTTGTATTTTATGTATTAAGATATCAATCAGCCGCCACCTCTACAGGCACTGACCATGGACCTTGCTAAATCACCGGCATTCAATATTCAATTGACAACTCAAAACATCGCCAGGTCACCGCTATCGAGTCCCATCATCAGAAGAGTCTCGAATGTATCGTCCCCCTTTCGGGATTGCGAGCCCTTCGCTCCGACTCCACTCATTAGATCCTGATCCATTGGTGGGACAGTCCAATTCAACGAGCCCGGTCTCCTGCTGGCGACAAATACGAACATATCATCGTCCTGCTGTCCCGGACAAAACCGCGTCCACGACGCAGGTGCCGTTTCAGATGCTTTCGATCTGACCAGAACGGGCGCGAAGCTGAACCATAACCCAAACGCCGTCCAAAACGGCGTCTCCTTGGGCAGGCTGCGAATCTTGTACGAAATCACGATGTCTATGTTCTCATAATCAGCTTCGGAGCTGACAAAGGGGGGTGAGGTGAGGTGGATGAGAGAGCGGAGGAGCGGACCGAGAAGCTGGGGAAAGTAGACCTATGTACACAATGGATGCGTCTCACAAGTGCACTCCAACGGGTAAGGGACTGCCCACTCACCAGGTCACTGCAGATGATCTTGAGCTTCCACGGCTGAGGCCGATCCCACTGCTCGATCAGCTCGGTGTGTATGTTCAGTGCGTGTTTGTGATCGCCCCATGAGAGCGGCCGTATATGAAGGGGCCGGTCACGCCCACAAGATGCCCGAAGGTTGGACTCGAGCAATGGACACACTTCGGGGAGGTCTGTTGCTATCACCGTGTCCCGGTCGCCCGAGGAAACGTGATTCGCAAGATACGATGCGACTATGCCGGTGCCCGAGCCCAGTTCAAGGAAGATGATAGGTGATCGCCGGTCATCGTCGTCATTCCGATGCTCGAGGAGCGGAGGATCAAGCTGCTCGGGGGCAGAGATAGATTCTCCAAAGTACGCAAGCATGTTGTATGCCGCCTCCCTGCCGTAGCATGTCCTCTTGAGTAGCGGAAAAGCTTGATTAGATCGCGTAGATGTACGCTACCATACTCTGCCGGCTATCCCGTACTTCTGGATGGCCCCCTCTTGAGCTGCAGCGCCAAACGAGTCTCCTTCGTGCGACGCATCACGTAACGTCGTGTTGGGCTTGATGGATAGGTTTTCAGGGAAGTTGGGATTGGCTACCATGTTCTGTATCGTATGTGTGCGGCCAATGGCGATCGAGGGGATTGGATGCAGAGCGGTTGTTTGCTCCTATTAGGATTGGAGGACCTTACCTGTTCTCGACGCCGATGACGCGGAAGCTATGGATCAATCATGTGTCAACGACGGACTAATCGGTGCGGGCGCGAGAGCTACCGGGAGTTAGCCGGCTCTGTTGCACCGTCCATAATTCCCTTCAGCTCGCTGACGCTGGGTCTAGCACTCAACGTTCTCTTCTTTCTACGTTCCAAATGTCGACCCAGTCCAAGATCGTACCGGCCCAGCTGACGCCCCTCGGTGCTGCATTCGCCGGCGCGCTCGGGGCGTGCTTCAGCAATGCGTGAGTAGCGAGCGCAGACATGTACATGTGGAGTAATTGACACTGAGTTTTCGGCATATCCTAGCGTGGTCTACCCTCTAGACGTGTGCGCATACCTGATATGGGCCCTCTGTGCTCAGCTGACTTCGTTTGCGATCATACAGAGCAAAGACGCGTATCCAGGCGACGTCGTCGAACGCGAAGGGCAAGCGGAAAGATGAAATGACAATGCTATCGGTCCTTGTCGACATCCTGAACGAAGACGGCATCTCGGGCTGGTACAGTGGCTTCGCCGCAACAATGTTGAACACATTCTCCATGCGTGCGTTCTTGATCTGGTGCAAGTGACAAGGCTCAGGCTCATCAGGAAACTCACTAGAATATGCATACTTCTTCTTCTACTCCTTTATCCGCAATGCATACACAAAGCGACTTGCTGCGAAGCTCCCTCCAGGGTCCAAGCTGCCAGCCCTATCCACCGCCGCAGAGCTCGGCCTCGGAGCCGTGGCAGGCGGACTCTCGCAGATATTCACCATCCCTGTGTCTGTGATCGCGACCCGCCAGCAAGTGGGCCGCCACGTGAATGCGGGGGAGAGCGAGAAGAAGAAGGCCGATAACTCCTTCCTTACCGTCGCCCGCGAGATCATTCGGGAGGAGGGCGTCACGGGTCTGTGGTTGGGCATCAGGCCCGGCATGGTGCTCACTGTCAACCCCGCAATCACGTATGGTGTATACGAGCGCATCAAGACAATAATGTTGCTCGCCCGGGCTAAAGTTGGCGCGGCTGAGCGCCTGGGACCGGGTATGTCGTTCCTCCTCGGTGCACTCAGCAAGACCCTTGCTACGGTTGTGAGTACTTTGACTTTTGAATGCGCTGCTGTGACCTGCAAGCCCCTTCCGGCTGTACATGGATTCACATGACCTTCGCTAACACGCAACAAAGGTCACGTACCCCTATATTATGGCCAAAGTCCGGATCCAAGCTCGCACGGCTGATAGCGATGCCGGCGACCGGAATGATCTCCCCGCCCCCACGGGGACACCCAAGTCGAAGCCGAAGCAGCTAGGTGCCCTCGGTCTCCTTGTCAACGTGTTGCGCAAGGAAGGCGTCTCAGGATGGTATCAGGTCAGCCCGCATCATCATCATGATATCATTATCATGCCTGACCTTCGTTGACTCTGTGAATCTCCAACTCCGGATGGGTGCGACTCACAGGGAATGTCGGCCCAAATCATCAAGGCCGTGCTTTCACAAGCTTTGTTGTTCGCGTCAAAGGAGCAGTTTGAGAGCTGGGCACTCGCCCTTATGGTAATGTTTGCCCGTATGACAACAGCGTCGTGATACACCGCACGGCGCAAAGCCTCCTTATTAGTGTAGGTCCATGTTTTGGGCTGCAGTTGAGCGGTTATTGTATTGGCGCATCTTGAGTTTGATAGACGGAGGGGGATGTACCTTAGATATACTTCCGCGCCCATGTACTAAGATCATTTGTGCTCTAATTAGATTAACAAGTGATGGTCGTGAAACGTGAACTATCGAGTCATCTTTTGGAGGCAGGACCGGCGTTTCAAGCACAGCGATACACGGACCCATTCCCAGTTGAGAGAACAAAGCAGATGGTTGCGCACAAGGTCATTACCACAAGAGGGGGGTATATCCAGTACAATAGTAAACTACAGCGTGTTGGTAACATATATGTAAGTGGTAGTATACAAGTCATAGGAACGTCATTATCAAGTCCAACTAAGCACAAAGAAGATATCTGCCCTCCACCCTAAATCAGCCGATCGAGATGCCTCGAGAAACAATTAGCCCGTTGCCTAAACCCACTCAATGAAATGCTCCAAAGGTGAAATCATCCGAGTCCGAAGAGCCACTACAGGCCGCTGTGGACTGCGTCCTACGCCCGTCCGTCGACCAGCATGTCCCATTCGTCATGCGGTGGGAGCATGATCCATGATTTCGTCAACATCTCCTGGTCCCCCGTGTCCATGTTGAAGTCATCGTCTGATTGGTATGAGACCATCTTCTCCAAGTCCCTCGTTGCCGAGAGGATGGATAGTGCGCACCGAGGGCCCATCATGAGAATTTTCTCCCCCTCAGGAGAACAGCGCATCCGTGTTTGGATGGCCATACGGTAAAGGTCGGGCTCACGCTTGGAGCGCGGAAACGAGGCGCGAGGTGGGAGTAACTTCGGAGATGGGGAGAGGGGTGAAGTGGTGCGCTGGCTGTACAATGGGCGTATGGGAAGGGGTGGTCTTGGTGCATTGCGTGTGGGAGAGGTTGTAGAGGTGGATGCATCGCCCTCTGAGGGCTGCGGTGCGATGGTAAACTCAGCGCGGCCTCGTGGGAGCTGTATTTTCCGCTGCTCTCGTTGCTCCTTGTAATGTTGAAGGGTTACACAGGAAGTAGAGCGGGAGAGGTCGCTGCGTGAGGAGGAACGCGAGCGGTAGAGTGAGGCGGGTTGGGAGGGAGAATTTTCGCCGCGGTAGTCGTCGAGCGACAAAAACGAGGCAGTCCTGTGGAGACCCATGCGTGGAGCCTTGCGTTTGGTGTTGTCGGAAAAGGAGGCGGTAGAGGAAGAGCGCTTGAGGGAGGTGGTGGGTGAAGGCGTCGATGGACCCACTATGGCGGCAGGCATAAGTAGGGAGGCAAGGCGTAAGGGTTCCGAGGTGACAGACAAAGCGAGTTGATATCCTGTGGGTGGGATGGAAGCGGTGCCTGGACCCGGGACAAGCGCAGAAGGCTACGCGTGATCGGATATGCTGACATAATCACATCTTTTTGAATCAATCTGATCATTTCCCCGCCTCGGGTAGTCTAGGGCACCCTCGGATTCGCCGCGGCTGTCTCCAGAACTGCGCCACAAGTGCTCGGTCCATCCACTCCGTCACAGCAAATGCGGTATGAGATCTGACTTTGTGGCTAGATCTGACTCGGGTTTATCGACATAAAGAGAAGGATGGCGCCAGAGTAAGCTTCGGCAAAGTGACTTGTATGAGTCCAGCAGAGTCCAGCTCACGGTCGCGCTGAGCTCGGATCCTTCCCGCTAGTCGTATCCTGCCATGTCCGACTGTCAGCCACATGCCAACTCACGCATGAGTCAACATCGTCCTAGATCGTGCTGCAGCCGACACGAACACATTGTATCAGATCCCGCTCCGCATGCGAACAGTTACCGCTAGTTGAGATCCCGGAGACCGGAAGTGGATCAGCTATTTCCGACTGTTTCCTAGCCACTGCAGTGCCAGCCACTCCGAGTCTGTGCGTGAACTGCAAGTGATAGTCAGAGGTCATACGATCACAATCATACGAGGCGCAGAGTAAAATTTCCTGTCCCCAGTTCCTGTGGAGCGTTCTCGTCCGTAGGGACAAGGGGAGGTCTCGGGCCTCGTCTTCTGGTGGATCGGAGAGAGCTTTCCATAGCACAGTACCACTCTACAGGTCCATGCTCGGAGCTTTTCCGCAGCAAATCCATTTCACCTGTTCGGAACTCGACTCGGGAATGAATCTAGACCTTGGAGAAACTAAAAAGTGGTTTGGACAGGCATGGAGGAGGAGCTGAAGCTAAAGTGAGCGGGGTGTTTGCGGTCAAGTAACGCCGGCAAGTGGCGAAGGCTGCAGGCGGCCCGCCCCGCCACCGCTGCAGATAAGGAGGACGCCGTCACGTGAAGCAGTCCTTATCTTTTGCAACTGCAGCCAGTGCTTGACGTTCACTGAGCGTACTAATGCTGGCTTATCTCTGCTGGTATAGACTAGTAGAGTATGCCTTATCTCTGTGGGGCCTGGGCAAAAAATGGTCGGCACACGAGCACCGACTGTTCCAATCACGTCTAGTACTAACACTATAGCGCCAGCTACTAAAGAGCTATAGCCATGCACCTCCTCCCGCGTGAGCACGAGAAGCTCCTTCTCCACCAGGCAAGTACTCTCAAGCTATACATTGTCTTAGCACGCAATCTAAGGCGCAATTTAATACCCCCGTCTAGACTGGGTTTCTTGCCCAGAAACGACTCGCACGCGGCCTCAAGCTTAACCTTCCTGAATCCATTGCCCTCATCGCCTGCCAGTTGCACGAACGTATACGCGATGGCATACATGACGTCGCACGGCTCATGCATCACGGAAAAACAATGCTCGGTCGACGTCACGTTCTCCCAAGCGTTCCTAGCCAGTTACACGAGATCCAGGTCGAGGGCACGTTCACTGACGGGTGCGCAGACCGCCCAGTTTCCGTGTTTGACGCGTGATTGACACGTTACCTGCAGTGTATTCCTGGTGACTGTACACGACCCGGTGTGCACAGAAGACGGCGACCTTGAAGCTGCTCTGTATGGCTCCTTCCTACCCATTCCTTCTCAAGACAACTTCCCAATCGGTGACGTCTCGTTATACTCCCGTGACAAGCTTCCAGGTGCCATCATCCCGAAGAAGGAGAGAGTTTTGATCAATCGCGGTCGCAGACGTGTTCAGCTGAGGGTAACGAATAACGGAGACCGTCCTATCCAGGTGAGACTTGTTTCATCCATGATCTTCTTTGGTTTTGACGTCACCGCGTCAGGTAGGGTCGCACTATCACTTCATCGAAACGAACCCAAGCCTCTCGTTCGACCGCCTACTCGCATATGGCATGCGCCTCGATATCCCTTCCGGGACAGCAGTCCGTTTTGAGCCCGGCGACTCGAAGAGAGTGACGCTTTGCGAGATTGCGGGGCTGAAAGTCATTACCGGCGGAAATGGGCTTGCAACTGGTGTTGTGGACTTGCGGAGGTCGGACGAGATAATAGCGAACATTTTGGCGCGTGGATTTGCCCATGCACCAGAACCTGGCGCGCAAGAGATAACCGTCGACTCTGACCTGAGTCGCGCGTCATATATCTCCATGTTTGGGCCTACAGTTGGCGACAGGGTGCGGTTAGGCGATACTTCACTGTGGATAGAGGTTGAGTGGGACAAGGTAGGCTCTACACATTCTTTACTCAGCTTAGAAAATGTCTAACATAAGGTAGACAGAATACGGTGATGAAGTAAAGTTTGGCGGAGGTGACTCCATGACGCTCATTGCATCTTGAATCGTCGTTAACTCTGGGCGTGCAACAGGCAAGAGCATCCGTGAAGGCATGGGTCAGGCCACGAACAGACGTTCGGCCGACACGTTAGATCTTGTTATCACGAATGCCCTCATTGTCGACTGGACTGGGATATACAAAGTGAGTTCATGGCGAAACCTTATGACATCCGCTAATTTGTTAGGCGGATATTGGCGTCAAAGGTGGCAGAATCGCTGCGATAGGCAACGCAGGCAATCCAGATGTCATGGCAAATGTTCATCCCAGTCTCGTCATCGGGTCGTCGACCGAAGTGATAGCAGGAGAGAAGCTCATCGTTACTGCAGGCGCTATTGACGCACACGTGCACTACATTTGTCCTCAGCAAGTTACCGAAGCTTTGGCTGCAGGGACAACCACTATGATAGGTGGCGGTACAGGACCAAGTGCCGGTACAAACGCAACTACGTGCACGCCTAGCCCATTCTACATGAGAACCATGCTTGCCGCCACTGATGGCCTACCTATGAACTTCGCGTTCACCGGCAAGGGCAACGATTCTGGGCCCACTGCTCTCGAAGACATCATCAAGGCAGGTGCTGCTGGACTTAAGCTTCATGAAGATTGGGGTTCCACCCCCGCTTCGATTAGGTCGTGTCTAGACGTCGGAGACAAGTATGACGTCCAAGTTAACATCCACACCGACACGCTGAACGAGAGCGGATTTGTACAAAGTATGTTCAAATTCTGATTGATGATTCGATGACCTCATTGTTTCAAGGCACAATCGACGCCTTCGGGGGCAGGACGATACACACGTACCACACGGAAGGTGCCGGCGGCGGCCACGCTCCCGATATCATCGTTGTTTGTGGTCTACCAAACGTACTCCCGTCATCGACCAACCCGACACGTCCCTATGCCCAAAATACTCTCGACGAGCATCTCGACGTATGGACCTAACTCTGTTCGCCAAGCATTAGTGCTGATTAAAATTAAACAGATGCTCATGGTCTGCCACCATCTTGACAAATCTATCCCCGAGGATATAGCTTTCGCAGAGTCCCGCATTCGCGCAGAGACCGTCGCCGCCGAGGACGTGCTGCACGACAACGGCGCTATCTCCATGATCAGCTCCGACTCGCAAGCGATGGGCCGCGTCGGCGAGGTCGTCTCGCGCACATGGCGCACCGCAAGCAAGCTGCGCGACTTCCGCGGCCCGCTCGCAGGCCTCGGAGACGAGCCCGGGCGCGATAACGGGCGCGTGAAGCGCTACATCTCGAAGTATACGATCAACCCGTACGTCCTTTTGTCGCTCTTTTCGCGATCCTCGAGATCTTGCGAACGGGTTTCTCCGTTGCTGATCATTCAACTTGCCGCCGGGTTCGCTGTGTGCGTGTCGTTTGCTATCGTATGGCTATCACGGACTTCCCCGCAGTGCGATCACCCACGGCATCGGTCACTTGGTTGGATCCGTCGAGCCCGGAAAGCTTGCTGATCTCGTCCTATGGAAGCCGGAGAACTTTGGCGCCAAACCAGAGATGGTCCTCAAGTCCGGTGTCATCGCGTGGTCGCAGGTGAGCTGCTGATTTAGGCTTTAGCTTTCGCACCGCGTTTTTAATTAAGGGATGAAACGATCTGCAGATGGGCGACGCGAACGCATCCATACCGACGGTCCAACCCTCGTACGGCAAGCCCATGTGGGGCTCGTACCCAACTGCAGCGGCACTCAACTCTATCTCGTTCGTCTCCAAATTCTCCATCGACTCGGGTACCGTCGCCTCGTACAGGCTCTCGAAGCGTTTCGAGCCGGTCATCAACTGTCGAAATATCACCAAACGGGATATGAAGTGGAACGACTCGATGCCCCAGATGGGCGTGGATCCAGAAACTTACGAAGTCACCGCAGACGGAGAACACCAAACGATCGAGCCTGCCACGATGCTGCCACTAGGAAGGGAATACAATTTATTCTAACAAGGTACCACTTTATGGTGTATGTACGACAGTCTGCAATTCATTCTTTGGTTGGGAGGGTATGTATGGAAGTAAATGTGTAAGGGGTGATGTAACAATATTCAGTAGCGTACTAGCAATGCCAAACAAACAACGTAACGTGTGCTGCAGTGATACATGAGCAATGCAAAAAATCCAAGGAGAGAAACAAACACAAGAGAACGGGTAATGAACATGTGCAAGAGATTATTAAACCAAAATACCAAGTTCTTGATGGACCAAAAAGAAAAACCCAGAATTGATTATAACGATAATTTAGAACAGGCGTCCGTGGACCGTGTGCGGGATGGAGCCGAACAGGTCTTCATCGGGGATTTCGGGGACATGAACGTCGAAGTCGTCCAGGTCGCGGAGAAGGGGGCCACCAGGAGGTGTCTTGAGATCAACATTGCTGGACGGGAAAAACGGCACCGTCTGCTCGCCCACTAGCATGGACTCTGGCTCGCTGTAGATAACGGAGGGTGCGAGCACAGTCGGGGGCTTGCGGTATGCGTCCGTCCTGACAGCGTGATAGTGCCGGGAGATAAGAAGCTTCTTCGCGAGGGAATCACGCTTGCAGCTCGAGCAATGAGTGCTCCAGGACTCGAGCTCGTCCGGGAAGTAGCTATCGCAGGTGCTGCCATGCGATGTGAGCCCGGTGCTATATTATTGGCAGATAACGAGACCTAACGTACCTCCTGGAGCGGGGCTTGCCAAGGTCCTGGTACCTGCGAGAAGGGCGGCAGGCGCCCGATACACGAGAGTTATATACAGAATTATGAATAGTAAGGTAGAAAGGGGGTATGGGGTTGATGAGAGGGTTTAATGGAGACAGTATCTTGGGTGCATATTTATTATGTTGAGCATTGCGTAACAAGCGATTGAAGTCTGCTTGAGATAGGTTATTGTTGTCTTCATCGATGCTGGGGGTAAAATGGAAGGGAGCATTGTGTGAGAGTCCGCCAAGAAGGTTGTCTGAAGAAGTATTATCCGATACAAGTTGATTTAAGTTAGATGTAAGCGGGGGCCATGATGAGTGCGAAGATGCGTTTAAGGTAGGTACAGGTGGTGAAGGAGACCGAGAAGGAAGGGCGGCCTTGATAGACGCAGCTCTCTTGCGCTCTGACCCTATCGGGGCTAGAGCTTTCGGAGCGCTGGGGTTCTCAACAGGGGAGCTGTCGCTCGTCAGGAATAGGGATAAGGAGCCCTCGTTCGACTGCCCATGCCAAGACGAACGCCTCGCAGGAGGGGAGCGACGAGGCTGCAGGCCAGGTGGCGAAGCTGTGCCATGATGCAAATGGTCTACATTCCGAACGACAGGTGCAGTCTGCGATCGTACAAGGTAGCTAGCACCAGAAGGTGCACGAGCATCGTTCGCACGCCAGAGGTCGCTGGGAGGAAGGTTGACCTTGGGCGGCGAATTGGAACGGGTCTTGAGGACGAGACGCTCAGCAGCTTTCGGGGGAGAGGGCTTCTGAGAAGCAGCAGCAACTCTGTACCGATCCGCGGGCAACCACGGAGTCCACGCGTCGCTTCCAGCAGACGAGTGACGGCGAGGACGCATGACAGGCGGTCTGACATCTCGATTAGACGAGACTAGCCACGTTGTAGAGGCATGTCCATCCCATCTTTTCGTCTCGTGTGCTGCAGGACTCTCGTGCTGCTTATCGATGACGCGGCTAGAGTCAACAGATGCAGAGCGTGGACCCGTCGGTTGAGATGGGAGTGAGTCGCGGTCTCTAACATTGAACAGCGCTGCGGGGAGGCGATCTACAGCAAGGCACACGACATCAGTTGTCGGCCCTCTGGAGGTCACAAAGGTGCTGTGACTCACCAAAAGGTCGCCGTCTATAGGAATCTCCCTGCGCTTGAAGATGACGCCTCTTTGCATCGAGGAGGGCAAGCCCGTCGTTGTCGTAAGAGCGTTTTGGTGAGAGTGAGAGGTGAATGTTGATTAATTCCCTATTCTCGCGGTCGTCGATACTGCCAGGCATAGGTGGTGAATTAGGATGAGAAAGCATAATCATGTTGAACGTAGTAGAACTTGAGTACGAGGAGGAAAATGGAACTTAGGCTTAGGGAGGAGGCGGAAGAGTCGGAGAGGAGAGAGATTGGGTGGGCGGCCGTGGCAGGAGGACGGTGATATAAATGGGCACGACCGGCGACACTTCCTTTGGCAGTGCTTTGGCAGGTCACGCGCCTACCATACGACACAATGGCCCTTATCCGGCAACAAATTGCCTCCGGTTCACTTCTCTTTGGACACGCAACAACAAAAAGCGACAAAGCCATGAGCACATTCGGCTCCTCCCCCAGGCGCAGACGTCCCACCATCAGCCAACCCTCGGCAGGCGTCCAAATGCGACGGGCGCGCCCTGTGCTTCATTCAATAGACCGCTGACTCTCCTTCTTACTTCCTTTCAGGGCACAGCCCGACTCACTGGCCGCATCGCACACCATGGATGGTTCTGGCAGACAGGGGGTGGGCTGATAGACTATTATGGGGTTCAATGAGTGAAAGTCTAAGTTATGCATACAGCTTTGTCTAGCGAAATAGAACAATGTGAAGCGAACGGCGGTGATTGTCATCATTAGCTAACAGAAGAGTCTCGTGCATTGAGATCGTCAACAAGCAGTGTGACAAGAACCAAGGTAAGCGGCTTGAGAGCGCGTCGTCGCGTGTCGTTGGGGGCGTCTATATGTCGTGAGGTTAAGGTCGAAAAGCTTAAGTCAAGATCGTTCACGATGCAAGGGTCGGTAGGGCGCAGACTTGCATGGATGTCACACTAGCCACCTTATCACAGAGGTAAGAGTCTTTGGAGGAGTTGGTGGAGGTGGAGTCGCCAGAACTGAAATTCCCAAGGGCGTCGTCGTCGAAGAGTCTGGCCAGAGCCAATTTCGCATCGCCCTCCATTGCGCCCCAGGAGTCGGTCGAGCTGTAAACTCGGTGGCTTCCGCTGCCCGCTTATGATCGGGCCGTTCCCGTGGCTCGCGCGCCGTTCCTAGGAGTGGGGTGAGAGTCGATTGTTCCTTCGGAACCTTCGGCATCGGTTTCGGCAACCTTGGGATAGCAGGAAGTGGTGGCATGATATCCGACGATCCTTTGACAGCAACTTTCAGATCCGGTGTCGACTTCGAAGCCAGACTTCCTCGACTGAGGAGGTTGAACGACCGCTTAACCTTGATTGAGCGAGGCGGTTGCGTCGGCGCTGTATTGTCGCTCATCGCATTTGAGGATGGTTTTCTGTGGGCGGCGTTAGCATGTCGATCCTTTAATTATAGCGATGATTGTCAGTGCACATGCCTTATTAGACTGATCCATCTTTTCGCAGTGCTCTGCCTCTCTGTTCCTGCAGACATTAGTGCATTAACAGCGTTCAAGTCAGAAGGACTGATGGGCGTAAGTGGTGATCGAACTGGTGACCGCAACGTCGAAAATTCAGTATTTGAAGCCGTTGGCCTGAGCTTGCGATGAATCCACATCGGCGCAGGGCTCTGCGCTCATAATGGTTAAGATCCGCGTACAGCTTATAACCAACACTTACCGAAGAAGTCGTGACAGAGGTAGACCAGGTCACGGTGGCCTGATGTTTGTCGAGTACGGTCTGACGGGACATCAAGAAACAGCGGTCTAGTGCAGCTTCGAAGTCGCTTGGAAGGCCGGCCACATCTTCGACTTCGAACGGCAACGGCGGAAGCTCCTTCTCGGTTGCGTATGTGTTTGACATGTCAAGAAGGGAGATGGCGGTTTGATCGTCCTTGCAGGATAGTCCGCAACGAAAGAGTACTTCAGCAGGACTGATATTTTATGGCCCAGCAGAGGTCAATGCGAGAACGACAAGTCGCCGAGCGCATAGATGCATGTTTGACTCGTACTCGGAGCTTGAGCCGCTTAGATATTGACAAGGGTTGAAGCAATGTGCGCATGAACATTGACATGGACAAGCGAACGACATACCTATCTGGCTTTGATTCGAACTTGAAGGACGTATGGTAGCGCTTTGGAGGAAGCAGAAGAAATTTGGAGAAACGTAAATGCAAAGTACGTTGTCCTCGTGCTCAAAAGACTAAGCCCGCAGCGACGAACCAAGTCACAAAATATCCCGTCACCGACGCGTGCTTTAGCGTGAATCAGTACAGGTACCCAGTGGAAGTTCAAAAAGTGGGTCAAGCCCACGCCGCGAAATAGGGGGAGTCGGACCGACATGCCCGACACTTTATTGATGTGTCAGCGCCCGGTGCGATCCCCTGAAATCGTGCTCCCACCAGCGCCCCGCTAGACAGAATAAGATCACCTTATGACCCATCCTAATGCTTCCACACTCACGCGAATTGGCATCTGTGTCTCGTCAAGCCAGTCAGAAAGCAGCATCAAAGAGGGGGCGAGCAAAGGCGGCGAAAGACGACCCCAATGGGATGGCGACGAGACAGAAATGAAGTTGCCGGTTCATAGAATTCATTCTGAGCGCGTTACTAGACCAAATTGCTGACAGAAGGAGTAACTCAGACGTAACAAGTGATCATTAATCATTCTGAGCAGCTCGGTCGAGTCACCCATGCCACCCTCCCGGCCGAGCGGCCCTCCGACCGCATTTACCTCTCTTTCTTACGAACCGTCATGTCCTCTCAGCGAGCCGTGGATGAGGAAACACCCCTGCTGCAGCACGAGCAGCGGCCCAAGGCCAGGACACCACTGCCTTGGCGACAGTTTTCCATCATCTTGTTCCTTCAGCTCGCTGAGCCGCTCACGTCTCAGGTCATCTCGCCATTTGCGCCGCAGGTGAGAAGCAATTCTTGCAATTTTCACCCGCGTTGCAATGCTGATCGACGTTTTCTAGCTCATTCGTGACATTGGCATCACGCATGGCGACGAATCCAAAGTCGGACATTATGTCGGGTTAATGGTACGTGCTTTCTCCACAGGCAGAACATCCGTGTTAGTTTACTAAACAATAATATCTTCATAGCATTCACTTTTCTTTGCAACCCAAGCCTTGACGGTCCTTCATTGGAGTCGTGTCTCAGATCATATTGGACGCAAGCCAGTCATCCTGACGGGACTCTTCGGGCTTTCAATCTCTATGTATTGTTTCGGTCTCTCCAAGACCTTCGTTGGTCTTGTCATGAGGTACGCCGTTCTATCTTTGTTCGTGAGTTTTCAAGATTTTGACGACCGATGGTAGTCGCGCTTTGAACGGTGCATTGAACGGCAACATTGGTGTCATCAAAAGTATGATGGTTGAGATCACGGATGAGACGAGTTTGCCGCAGGCATACGCTTACATGCCTATCGCTTGGTCGACTGGAGGCACTCTTGGGTAGGCACTTCTTGTTTGTTTTCTTGGCGTCGTTGCTAATTTTGCATTAGGCCCCTCATAGGAGGAGCGCTATCAAGGCCGGCAGATCGTTTCCCCAATACTTTCGGTGCATGGGAGTTCTTCAAGGAATATCCCTACTTTCTGGCTTGTGCTGTTCCGGCGACCTTCTCTGCGCTTGCATGGGTTGTGACGTTCTTGTTCCTCAAAGAGGTACTTCAAACAAAAATACAGACTATTACTTTCATGGTCTAACACGTGTTACACAGACTGTCCCAACTCAGTGGTCTCTTTCTCGCCTTTTCAGACGCAAGGAAGAAGATGTCGCGACGGCAGTGCCTTCACCTACTGAATCATCGGAGACTCTGGCGGCCCCAGAGACTGCGCCCAAAGGCGACGAGAACAAGCCTCTGCCCCTCCGCAAGCTGCTCATCCCGCGTGTCATAGTCGCGGCAGGCAACTATGCCGCATTGTCGTTAGTTGACATCGCATTTCGTGCTATTCAACCGCTCTTCTTTGCGACTCCAATAGCGCTTGGTGGTCTGGGTTTGGATCCTCCTAAGATCGGGACGATTCTTGCGGTGTACGGTATCATCAACGGCCTTACCCAAATTTTCTTCTTTGCGGATCTAAATGACCGATTGGGTACCAAAAACCTCTATACCATCTCGATTGCCAGTGGCGTGCCATTAATGCTCACCTTCCCAATCATCAATGCTATGGTTAAGGCTGATGGCATTACCACAAGTGTGTGGGCAATGATCGGCGTGCAAATCATGCTATCTGTCACCTTAAACCTTGCATATGGTGAGTTCATTCTATCATATATGGCATCGCTTTGTCCTAAGGGCTACCATAGCTTCTATCTTCATTTTCATTGCGGCCGCTTCGCCAAACAGGGCGTCGCTTGGCGCTACTAACGGCATGGCACAAATGGTCGTCTCGATTATGCGCGCCATCGGACCCGCTTCTTCGACTTCGACTTTCTCGTTCTCAATCCGGGAACATCAAGACGGTTGGATTGCATACTGCCTCCTTATGGTTCTGGTTGTCATAGCCCTCGTTGGAACCACCTTCCTTCCTCGTCGACTTTGGAAGAACTGATTCTTGCCACTTGCACAATATCACGACCCCTCATGACCAGTTTTGTATCCTTCCCTTTGTTTGCTACTCTGGGACAAAAACGTGTACAGTGCCCCATGCGCGCGCGCTCTTGTGTTACTTGCCTGCTTGTTGTTACATAGAAATCACAATACATAGACTGCTGTATCGTGTTTAGGGGGTTTCCTAATCTAGACTGTAGCTGACTAATCGGAGCTGAACACAGCAGCGAGGGCCGAGCGTCAGCGTCAGCAAGTGCATAGACCGTCCTCCTCTCTCCTTTTATTCTTTCCATCTCTCAGCTCCCTCTCTTCTTCAACCACCTGCTCAGCGCTCCTCATTTTTGCGCTTGAACTCGAAATGTCTGGCTTTGCCGCTCTTATGGCGCTGAGCGCCTCTCAGACCCAGGAGGCCGAAAGCGCTGTACAGCGAGCCCTCAAGGAACGCCAACGCAATGAGGAAGACAAGCGCAAACGACAGGAGGAGGTAGAGCGGAAAAGATTAGAAGAAGAGAAGAAGTTGCGCATGAAGAGGTTCGAGGACGAGAAGAGGGCAAAGGAGGCGCAGGCTAGGCGAGAGGCGGAGCGGGCGAAACGAGAGGAAGAAAAGGAGAAGCGGGAAGAGCAACAGCGACATGCTATGCTCCATGGCGCCGTGAAGGCTAAACCAACCAAGTGGCCTTCCTCCAGTGGTGGCATGCGGGAGGAGGTCCGCAGGCGGCGCATGCCATCCGACGAAGAGGAGGAGTCACCCGGGATGATGCTGACCCGCGAGGAGAAGAGGCAACGCAAGCTTGACATGGATATGCGGCGGACGTACAACGGCAAGCGCTCGTCTAGTCACTCAGGTTACACCCGAGCTGGCGGGCGGCGGCTCCCTGGTGGGGCCATCGATGCCACAACGCCATCTCAGGCCACGTCAGGAGACTCATCGCAGTCCATCAAGGCTCGGCTCACGGCCCTGCCCAACACATTGACGAAGCTCAATGTCGTTAAACGTGACGTGCGGACTATCGACGAGATCCTGCAGGACCGGGCGAAAGCCCGAGAGAACGCCGTACTAGATGGCGATAATGCCAAGGAGTTCAATGATTGGTTTGGCAAGGCTAAAAAGAAGGAAGCCACACAGTCCTCGCAGTCTTCTGCTGCAGCGCCCTCGGCCCCCACCTCCAGCCGGAGCTCGCCCATGTCTCCACCCCCAAGTACGTCCACTTGCACCAGACACGAGTCAGTAGTTCATGACCATGTGTTCAAACAGAGACCTCTCATTTATCGGCCGCGGCGAAGGCAGTCAGCGTTCCGAAGCCTGTTGCCTCAATGGCAAAGAGCACGAGCAACTCGCAGCCAAAGTCTTCGCTCTCCTTCAGTAAAGACAAGCAGATGCCCAAGGTTTCTGTGGGAACCTCTCGCGCTGACACACAAGCGTCCAAATATCCATCGTCTTCTAAGCGTTCGGAGCCCACCCGCAAGGTTATTCCGTCGAAGTCGCGGGCATCATCATCTAGCCGTTCAGTGCCGGCAAAGAAACGCGCCCGCTCGCCCTCACGCTCGGAGTCGCCGCCACCGAAACGCAAGGCTGCCACGTCGTCCGGTGATGATGACTACCGCTCCGAAATTTGGAAATTATTTGGCAAGGATCGTGGCACCTACATGAATCAAAATGTATACAGCGACGACGAGGACATGGAAGCGGATGCTCTGGCTATGGAGAAGGAAGAATTACGCAGGTTGGTCTCTTCTGTTGTTTGTTCGCTGCAGCTGGAGCTTAACATTCTCTCCAGTGCGCGCCTTGCGAAGAAGGAAGACCTGGCAGCTCTTGAGGAGGAGAAGCGGCACGAGGAGGAGAAACGTCGGAGGAAGCGAGAGCGAGAACGCCGTGGACTCTAGATGGTAATTGTACTTGGATCGGTTTATCCATACCACTTATTCGTCATAACTCCTGCTGTAAGCTGTGTTTTGCGGACTGTATGTAAAGGGCAGAACGCCTCTAGCCGTTCAACCATTAATATTAATGCGATAGAGAATTTGTAGGTTTACATAGAGTTAGCTTTTTAGCACAATCATTGCATCCATACCATATCAATTATTTTTGTTATATCGCATGCTACCAACATAACACCCAATTGCAATACCAACACTGTTCTTTAAATTTTGTCGAGTCTCGTTGTCTGGTGTGGTCTCATCGATCAAGCATTGTACAAGAAGCCGCTAAAGCACAACTATAATTAAGGATATATATCGTCCAAGATGAAAGGATCACGCCAGCGCAATATTCGCGGATGGAGCGACCAAGACGCGACTGAAATGCACTGTGTCTAGTCTTGCAGAATATATCGTCGATCATATATCCCTCACTCAGCCCGCAAACGTTTCCTAGGCCCGTCGGGCGGTAACTGACCATTCCCACCACCCTGATTCCCTTGCATGAACGCAGGGTTGAGATGTCCTTGCATGCCGTAGCCACCACGACCGGTGCCGCCGTTAGCTTGCATACCCATCCCTATGAATTTACAGCGACATTGTAAGAATAATGGCGTCCATGTGCAAACCGCTAGAAATTCATACCCATGCTCCCCATCATCCCGCCGCCTCGGTTGTTCACCATGCCCCCTCGGGGACCTTGAGGTACCATGCCGCCCCTACCTCCTCCACCCATGAATCCGTTCATGCCACCAAAGCCGCCCATACCGCTCATATTGCCCATGCCACCCATGCCCATACCCATACCGATGCCCATGTTACCCATGTTCATACCTCCGCCCATTGGGTTCATGCCGATACCGCCCATGCCAATGTTGCCCATCGCGTTCGGCACGCCTCCACGAGCCATGCCGTTGTTAGCGTTTCCCCCGCCACGTCCGCCGCCGGAGTAGTTGCCACGGAAGTTGCCACGGCTCACCGCACCTCCTCCGGTAGCAACGTTTCCGCCTTGCTGGTTTCTCATGTCTCGAGCGGGAGGCTCTGCAGATTAGTGAGAAAAGGATTATATTTCAATGGTATGTGCCTCTGCTCACCTTTGGGCAGGGTTCGAAATGGGTTTCCATTCGCTGAACTGGTCAAGGTGACTGTTGCACGCCGGTTGTGGAAATCGCTGATAACAAGTTCATTAACCTAGCCGAACTGTTACATAAAATAACTTACTTGTTCTCGAACCAATTTTTGACGGTGTTGGCGTTGTCAAAGCTACCACATTCCACGTATGCAACTCTAACAACCGATAATGTGAACATTCAAGGACCTCCAAATCCGTTGGTAACGTACCCCTTACTCTTCCCGTTCACTTTGTGTTCGGAGAATGTTATATCTCTGTGGTCAATGGATACTCCGACATTTTGAGCAATCTGCCGCAAGTCCTCGTCCGTTGTCCACTGAAGGGTCACGACGTAAGTTTTCATATGATCAAGATTACGGAAAACAGGAACCGCGAACCCATTGGAGTTCTCCGATATAGATGGCGTCATTGTTCGCCATGCTCAGGTCTCCGCCGCTGATTCCGGGGGACGCCACATAGCTTATTCCTCCAGATACAGTGCCATTGGTGTTGGTCATGGCATTGCTGGGGTTGTTCGTCTGGACCTGCGGAGACAGTCTTGGTACCTGGGCCATACTCTGAGGAGCATCATGTTCCTCCTCGTCTTCACGTGGCCGTTTGTCACCAGTGACAGGCTCGACATCAGTGGTGATTGTCTCAACATTTTCTTCCATATATGCATGATCATCGGGTAACTTTGGGAACGCGCATAAAGTCACGTCAGGGGTTCTCCGAATGCAAGACTAGGTGCGCACCTGGTCTACTTCGTGCGTATTGAAGCCGTCATCTTCACCGTAGATATCAAGATCGTCCTCAGGCATGATGCACTCGCAGACTCAAGGGGAGAGAGATGGAAGAGCAGAAACTTTTTGCACTGCAAAGTAAGATGACAGGAGGTATGAGTACCGACAACATAAGACATGCAGCATGTGGATAGCCAGGGACAGGGACAGAATGGGGACAAGTGAGGGTTTACAAGTAGACACTCGTACACGCATTCCGCCACCAAGGACATTAGCGAGACGAACAGAACAGAGGACACCTTACATGGTATGGATACAATGAGAGTGCGGACCCTGTGAGGGCCTAATTACAGATGCGAACGTGCACGTAAGAACTAGAGGGAGAGCAGTGAGCGATTTGTTGAGGAGAGAAACGTCTTGAGGAAGAAGGGAGAGCGATTTGCGAGCGAGATGTGGAAGAGATGCAGGTCAAAAGCGAACAAGGTGGAGAGGCGAATGAACGCAACCCCGATTTGTCATCACTTCTATAGGACACCACTGTTTGTTCCTGTGTACTCAGTGAGCAGCCACCGACAGCCATCCAATTCAAGAATTTAAAGCGCTTTTCCTAGCAAGCACCGAGATGACCAGCATTCTACTCTAATCTGCCAATCAATCTGTAATCTTTGCTTGAAGCACTCTCAAGCCAGGTTCAGGACGTTTGCGAAACAGGGGGCTGCACGCGGTCAGTCCCGAAGACGCGACTCGATAATTTCGCTTGCGCAACGCGTCGGCAGCCATTGGTCGCGGACTGTAGACCGGTCCTGAAATATTAAATGAATTTCGTTAACAGCTGCTTTCACCTCGCGGTACACCAACCAGCATGAACACATCCCAGGCACATCCTGACTCACCGGTGTCTACCGGAAGTCGACCTCAAGATTGTATTACCTGCAAAGTTATTGGCTCTGCTGCATTCGGCATCACAGGCATTTACGCGTTGCGCATGTCAAGAGCAAGTGCTCCTGGGAGTGTCGGCGGAAAGAGGATGATGGCGGTTGTGGGTACCTGTGTGTAATCGATTTTCAAATCACAGTCCCTTTGATACTCATATTCTTCAAAGGTTTCCTTGCAGGAAGTGCTCTGAGATGGACATTTTAGACACTCCGAGCTTTATCGCAAATACAACGCTAATCCCCATTCATGTGTTACTACTTGCTCATGAACTGAATGCCTCAACGCGAACTCTTGGTTCCACATCTGTCAACGAACGCTCTCGGCGTCTTGGAATGTCTCAACGACTCTGGCAGACTCCCTCAGCATCTCTTTATGAGTGAGCTCCAAGGCTAGTTGCTATGGTCCTTCATGTAGTGTTCAGGGGCCTTTGAGCACCCCTACCACCGTTTTCTCCTGCTGTGCAAGCCACATTCCGAATGCTGGAGTCTTCAACCATCGTTCGTAGAACTCCTTCTCTTTTCGCGAAGATCTGAACGGGATAGCGGATCCGTACTTCTTCAACGACGCGAAGAAATGAGTGTTGTTGAATGGCTTGATGCGTTCACTGCCACTCTGTCTCTCGGCAGGGGAAGGAATGAGCGTACTGAAGTATCGATTCAAGGGAGCCAGCATAGCGATAGTCCGGGAGGAGAAGTGTCTGCGAAGCTTGACAGAACTTGAAGCGATAAGCTCTGCAAAGAGCGTCAGTATCGACGAAGCAAAGAGGGCTACTTATGCAGACATTACCTTGATCATTAGAAGAGCATGCGTCTTCAAGCTCTTTCAAAAAGGGCCTATCCTTCGACGTATAACGTTTATGGATTTTAGTGGCCCAGCCAGGAGGTGGCACAGTCGCCTTCCCTTCGACCTTTACACTGAAGTTGGATGTCAGTCCCTACGCAATCCGGGCGTTGGTTTAGTCGCAGTGACCTACTTGGAGCTTCTTCCCAAGCTGAGTACATGCGGCCAATGTCGACATGATTTCTCAAAGAATGGGTTGGTAACACCCAGAACGAGCCCAGTTCGGGGAGGGAGCTTATTGATGAAATTTGTATGGTCCTTATCTTGCATCGTGAAATAGGGTCGGAAGTCTATCGCTAACGGTATCTGTTCTTGCATAAGTAGCCAACAGAAGAAAGGCTCCAATTTGCTTACTGGACGTAGTAGATCACGGAGCCACCACACGGCTTGGCTCGTTTCCATGGGCGACTTGCCGAATATCAGAACTGGCTCACAGAATATCAGGCACTCCCAGATTGACCAGAGGTGCGTGAGCGATGCCTGAAATAGTAGGATTGGAGGTGGGCGGGGAGGTGCTATGCTTGCCGTTATCTAAAGTAAATCATGAGTTCCGTTCGAGAGAACTTCCGCGAGGACGTACATGTGTAGAAGTCGAGTCATAGTAGGCGCCAAGCTGCATCTTCGCTTCAGAAAGCTGGGGATCGTCTGCTGTTCGAGGCAATTCTGCATGAATCACATCTCCGACGAATCCGAGCTCGCACATGGCTCCTGGAAGAGGTTTACACCTTCTTTGCGGTATACGTTAATTAATTCATGTATTCAACTGAGCGCAAACCATTGGGCAATGTTATGGAGGGCAGACTCGAGTATGCCAGTGCCATGTTTGTCGTAAAGTAATCCAAATCTCCTGATGATCTCGGTGAATAGCGCGGGGTATTGTAGCTGAGTTAGCAAGACAATGGAGCGCTGAAAAAAGTTACTACGTTGCGTGAACGATGGGCCCTGTCATACCTGTGAATACCCTCTCTTTGACGAAGTATCTCTGCGCTGGCAGAAATGAGCATACCCGTACAGGAAACCGTCCAAGGCCTCAGGTCTCTGAGCACTCAAGGCAGATAATTCTGTGCGCGATCCGTGGTCACGTATGCGAAATGAATGGAATTGACTGCCCTCATCCGAACGAAGAGAATCAGGAAAAGAGGAGAATGCGCTGCCGACAATTCAAGTTTAAGAGAACATCAGATAGCAAGGGCATCAACTTACATGTTTTCCTTCTCAGTCGTAGACAACCAGAGAGGGGGATGCACACTTCGCATTACAGGGCCGGTATCCAGGTCAAAATCAACTGACACCTCAACTGTAACTGTGCTTCATACAAATCATACAGAGGTGCGCACCTAGAGCGAAACCTAGAATCCACCGCCGCAAGCTGGTGACCTGTTCCGGCTCAAGATTGGCGACTCCCGACTGGGATTCAGATCCATCGTTTTCAGGACCTTCCGTCAGATAAACATCGTCTGGAACTGAGCGCGAGTTATACAGCTGTCCAACGGTCCTCGCTGGTGTCAGGTCCGCTTGCTCAGGCTTGAGGTAAGTAGATGCTCGCCACGGAGGGTTACCAGTGGATGATTCCGACTTCGTGGCAAACGAAGCCAGGGATGTATTCGGAGAGGTGTAAGGCGAGGGCACTAGACCAATGTCCTGCTCTTCAGGTTCAGATCGCAGGCTGCCAGGCTCGTGGACCATGGCATCGCAGTCGAAAGGGTGTGCAGGTTGACGGTCGAAGCGGGGTATGCTAACACGTGATCGTACCCGATCTCAGATCTCTGTCAAGCAACTTGCTCGCTCAATGTTCGTTCAATGTTCGTAGTTGACTGCATGCGATTGTACGTATGGTCGGTTTTACGGAACATAGCAGATAAACCATAGCATATAAAATTGGGCCTTCGAGAAATGATTGAACTCGCAGTCTTATTTCTCAAAAGCATTCAGGAGCGCAGGTGTGCTCAGATATTCAGTTCTATTCAGGCTAAAATCTGTTCCTCAAGTAAGAAGCCAGTCACGCTCCACAGAAGTGCAAACCATGCTCACCGTCTGGAATAAGTGTAACATTATCACGCATGAGTTGCATGACCTGGGGCGCGGATGGATCATACTTCGGCCAATCATCTGAGGAGAATATCAACCAAATGATCAAACGACACTAAAATAAATGGCGGAACGCCGCGCTTACCGGCTGGCGAGAGATCATTGACGAAGCTAATCCAGTAGCTTAGCATCTGATTGGCGAAGGTGTTCTCGACTGGGTTGGGGACAGGCCCAAATAGTAACGACAGCTCCGAAGCATGGTACACTAGCAGGAGAGTTCAGGGTGGCAATTGAAGTTAAATGAACCATACGCACCTCCAAGGTCAATGGGGTTTCCTGGAATGTACTCCGTAAAGTAGTATGAATACATAGGCAGCCGACTTGCAGTGTGCTCGAATAGATAGCGCCGCGGAGCGAGGAACATACTGTCCGTGTACCAGGCTTCAGATCTATCAAATAGCATGTCCCCGGTGTGGTAGAGTCCTCCATACGAAGTGTCGTTCACCGGGAAGTACTGATCAATTCCTTGCATGACTGAGGTAGTGAGAGTTGAATTGTCAATGACTAGATGTTCAATGAAACTATCGAACGCGGCAGTTTGTTCCGAACTGGGTAGGCTGAGGTTGAAGACCGACTGGCTGAAAAGCGTGCCTTCGTTCAGCTGCGCAGGGTTCAATCCAGTGTTCAATTTGCCAGAAATGGACACGTACATTAGTCCCTCCAAGGTAGGGTAAATTTGGGAAGTTTCCACTCAAGATGCGTTCCGAAGGACGTTCAGGCATGAAGCTGCCTGCGGGTCCAATGCTTGGTTGCCATAACTGTTGGTTGAGCGTGTTGTCAATCATCGCATTGCTGATATTGGCAAGTACCTGAGAAAGGTCATATCAGCGGGATATTAATTATATAACTCGGACAAAATACTTCGTAGGGGAGTTTCTGCAGACAAGCCACCGAGGTAGGCCCAGCTGTGCAGTTCGTAGCTTCGAGAAGGCGGTAGTATGGTTCTCCCGGCTTGTCGTATTGATAGGCATACGGCGCATTTTTCCTATGCAAAGTCAGCATAGGCAATGTAAACTTTTGCGGCATACGAACATAGGACCAGTAGAAGAGTCTGCAATTACAGCACGGAAGGGAGCAGGAGTTGGGGTAAACAATAGTTGTGCTTCCACTGCGCCAGCACCCGCGGACTTCACATTCATAACCTAAATTTAGCAGAGTCTTCCACTGAAAGATTTGCGAGTATACCTGGCCCCATATTGTCACCTATGATTACGATACCGTTATTTCGGTTAGAAACAAAACGTTTATTTTCGAGTCCGTACCTTGGAAGGATCACCACCAAAGCTAGCTATATTTTCCTGGACAAACTCCAAGGCGGCATGTATATCCCAAAAGCCCGCATTGAGGTCTTCTGGAGGGATATCACTGCTTGCCAACTAACGGCGGCCACCGTTAGCATCGTCTCAGGCTTATCAAGAAGTTTGCTCACAAAGCCAAAGGTGTTAACCCGATAGTTCCTATGGAACACGTGAGCAATCTGAGTTCACCTGGGAGGCACTGTGATTTCTTACACGGATACGAAAATTAGAGGTTTGCCCATGGAGACACTTTGACTAATGATGCCTAAAAATTATGTGTTGAACAGGTATGAAATGCCACTATGGTGGTGTAATGCACTTACGTGTGGGGTTGTAACTGGGATCAGAAGCGGCTCTGTGATGAATGTCAATCAGTAGCTACAATGTTATAATACGGTGGAGTCCTGCTGCTGACCCTATCATGTATGCACCGCCCTGCGACGATGTTAGCCCTTTATATGAGACAAGCTAGAAAATAGCTTACATAGTGCCATACTAAAACCGGTAGCTTCGCGTCCAAGGAGGTACCATTCGGTCTCCACACCTTGTACGAGGTCACGATCAGGGATGAAGTATAGCATTACATCTTCGTGAAGCAGCCTTACATTAAGGTTTAAACAGTTTTCGCTAATGTTTGCGCCTATGCTGGACGTTGCTGGCTGTGGGCAGGCGTCGCCGAATGAATACGCGTACTGGACTCCAGTAGAGGCGTTCGTGATTGGCACAGGTGCTTTAAACCGAAGGGAGCCCTCCGGAGATTGTGCATAAGGTATGCCAAGCCACGAGTCTGTTCCATTGACGCCAGATTGACCTCTGAATACCCCAGTCTTGAGCGTCACGTCCACTGAGCCAGAGGAAGCTACCGTTGGCGTGCTGAAGACACCGAGGAAGCTGCGGGCAGCTAGCAAGCAGATAAAAAGTTGCGAAGAGAGCACCATTTAAGGTTGAGAGAAAGAAGAGATGCCGCTAGGTGTCGAGCCTGACCGACCGATCCATTGATATAGACCACTTTTATAAGGCTTTGGAGTCTCATATCGCGTGAACGATCTGTGAGAGTCGACAGGAGGTGACGTTCTTGAGACCACATGCATTTCCGAGAATACGGAGGCTATACGTCTGTTTGCTCGATCATGAGAAAGTGGGAAGAGGGAAAAACATCCCGCGTTTGTTTCTCATTGCTAAATCATTGGCTGAATGAAAACGAAGTCAATATCCGAGATGGAGCTCCGAGGGAACGAAGGTGGAAGACCCGTCACGGACCCTATCGGCGGGCATTGCCGAGCCGCATTAGGCCGCCTTGCTATCCCCGTGCCACTGGGGTCCAGATCCAATATCCAGACTTTGCTAACGTCTCTTCTGACCCACGCGCGCGACCAGTCTCTCTTCTCACTAATTCAAGAATTCAATCTCAGGTTCAAGCCATGGCTGGAGCCAACTATATGGGTGGAAGAAGGTTCGTTAATTCAGAAACACTCCTTCGCATCAGATCCCATGACGTGGTTTGCCAACGTTAGAAATGCGGCAAAAGCCCGCTCACGAGACGTTACGGGCCGCATCCAAAAACAACACTTCAGTCGACAGAGACTTGGTTCACTCTTACAGAAAGTTCAGAGCGAGACACGTGCTTCCTCCCGACCGAATCTAGGATCGGTTTTGTCTGATTTCAGTTTGCTTCAAGCTCGCCGGGACGCACATGCAGAAGAAACTACGAGAACTGGGCCAAGGGTTGTTCATGAAGAGCCTGCACGTTTCCATTTATCCTCAAGCCCGAATTCTAGCCCGCGAAGATCTTCACGGCTCCTAGGAGTTCTTGATACGACAGAGCGTAGGTGACCAGTGTTGCGATATCTACCTCGGTCAACCTATTTTTGTTAGCGCTCTCCATGCGGGCGGAGATACGTCGTATGCTAGCAATCCCCGACTTCGCTGGACTGCAGGATGTCTCAACAACTCGGCGTTCTCGAAAACGTTTCACGACTCTTCGGGCGAAAGACCGACCTGGAGACCGGATATCTGGTTCCACGTCCAGTTTCTTTGAGGTATAACCGCGAATGCTTGAGATTTTGACGTTTGAACTACCTTTGATGTCGGTTCAAGCCCAACCCTCTAACTTTGTCATACTCACCGAACATCGCTCCGGGAACCGCGACGCCGTCGTCCTCAAATAGAGACTTTAAGGCGCAAAACACCTCGCTGCTGGATCATGAAGCTGTTCGATTGTCCGGAGTTCTTGAACAGTCTTCCGAAAGTTGTTTCCCACCTTTTGAACACGTTCTATTGAGTTCACCAGTCTCTTTGCTCAATCTTGATACGTCACCTGCAAATCCTACCTTTAGTTGGCCGACACAGATTCTACCAGGTGATGCAATTCCACGAACTCCTCCGAGTTTTCGTCTGCCAGCAGATCACTCGACACAACTTTCTCCAGAAAGGCACTTAATCTACACCCGTTATTCTCCTCTAAGATCAAAGCTGTACTCTGGCCATGGACCTTCCGACGACTCAGATCTAGCATCGGAGGTTGGTTATATGCGCCAACCTCAAAGCCCGGCACCACAGGCAATCCCTATCGCTCATGGTGCGCCGTCAGCGGAGATTCTGCCGCTTGATCTTATAGAAGACGAGAATCCCTGGAACACTATTGACGACATTCTTGACCTGCCTTCGATCGAAATAGGCTCGGCTCAGCAGGCCTATTCGTTTGATCGGAAGGGGGTGGGGTATATACCTTCCGAATTCAAGGTAGATGCTAGCGGACGCCATTCTCAGGTTCTTTTGGGTCAACGAAATCCATACGACGTAGCGCCATGCTGCACTTGGGGGAACGGCTCTGTCCACTCTTCTCTGTTATACGGCGAGGAAAGGATGGATGAAACGACGAAAATCTCAAGTGCTGCGTCCAGCGCTCATAGCGTTCATGGAGAACCATCGAAGGAGACGAGCAATTTGACTTGGTTTATCCACCCTCCTCTCTTGCGTACTTGTCTGACGGAATTCGGCGGACAACCTGAGGAAGCACGACGTCATCTAGATAACAACCTCCCTAGCCTCGAGTTTGGAGAGAACCAGAACGGCGTGATGGAAGCGGCAGAGGCTCCGAGAAGTATATCATCGCCCGCTTTCCCTAATAGCCGCGAAACAGGGAGAAAGTACTCCTCAACGGCGACGCTGCGATCTGAGCTCCAGCCAGACACCACTGTTCAGCCGTCTTCCTCTTGTCACTCATCGAGCAAAGATCGCCTGTTGACGTCGATGACGCCGTTTGAAGGACCACGCCTTTTCTCCGACTCTGATGACGAAGATGAATGGTAACACGTTTTGGACTATGTAAATACAGTGTGTCCTCAGCACTTGAAACCCCCAACTCAGTCCAAACAGTTCACCATTTTGTAGTCGTAGTAAGTGTATAAAATTATGGCTGCTTTGGCATTAACAATGCCCGAGGATGAATCCCATCCAACGTGTACATTTACACGTGCAGTGTGACTGGCTGCTGGAGGGTTCAGATGAGAGATCTCAAGATGGTCACAAGCTATGGTCCGAGACGCGTCCTCGATATTAATAGGACGCGGTCACGTGCGATGACTTTACGCGAGTTAATGTGGCCAAACCGCGACAGTGGTGAAAGCTCACTCTTGCTTTCAATACCACTTCCGGAGTTGCTCAAGATCTCAGTTGCAAGTTATCTAACCTCAGGACATATTACCAAAGTGGATGAGCTCAACAAGCTGATTGGTGCCATCAGGACGCCGGAGGGTGGGAGCGGTGGGCTCGAGACCGACTCAGATAGAGACGTGCGTAACAGAAAGATTTATGGTGTGCACTCTTGCCCTTTCTTCTGAGATTGACGGGCTTGAGATGGTGATGTGAAAACGCTATAGATATAATTCGACAACGTGTTCTGCCTGAATCACCTCAACAATTCCCTCGCGTCGATCTGATAGCCTATACCCTACGGAATGTCCTCCGGCCGGTCTTCACCGCCAAACAAATACCCGACGTCCTTAACCTATTGCCTCACTTCGAGTTCTTGCGCAAGTCTGCGCTAGACAAGATTGAGACTGCGCTGACTTGGCAGGCTTACTACCTTACGGAACCTAGCATGGACGGAAGAGCGTTAAAGCCAGGAGAGGAGAAGCAACTCACAAGCTTCAGAGAGCAAAGCCATAAGCACCGGGAGACGTACTTGGTCCTGGTTCGCAATCTCATCTCTCTGGTACGTGAACTTATTGGTAACAGTGTTTATGAAGGTGTCTTGACTCCTCACAGCATGTTTATCATCTATTTATAGGAACCGACTCGGCTCTTCTGCCAAAGCAGCTAGCCATTTATTTCTCGATATTCGCGCAGCGAGGCAGTGAGGATTTGACAGTCTCCAAGTTCAATCATGACCTATCCGAGGACGAGCGCAGGGGATTTCATGAACTCTGTGAGGAATGCAAAGCCTGGGTTACGGAAGCGTTTGAAGAGGAAAGAACTCGATTTCAAAGGTTGTCAGAGCAGGGGTAGCTACTTTCTTTGCTCCATCTAAAAAACATCTCATTAGCATGTGCGATAATATAGGTTAAATGAAGAGGAAATCGACGACACTTTTCAAGCCGACTTCCAGAATACACATCCGCCTCCGGTCGATATTTTGGATTTGAGGTTGGGGATTGAGGCATATATTAAGACTACAGAGGAGACAGTTGCCCGGCTTGTCAGATACTTCCCACATTGAATGGACAGTTGGGTCTTCGTTGGTCCGTCGCTACGTTGATGCAAAGTGCCCATTATCGCTGTTGTGATAGAGTATTCTCTGTTCTTGAAGCTCACGATGTACCCGAACCCCTATTTGCGTTACATATGTGACCTGACGTAAGTAGCGAGCTGGGCGCGTCGTACACGGGACTCGAACGTGTTGGTGCAGCCTCGAGTCCTACCCTCATACCTCAGCTTGAAGGCGGGGCAAGACGACATCATGGCACCATTTGAGCCTCCCATCCTCATTTGCTCCGGGATCAAAGAGCGAGCCGAGTCACTGTTGATCCAAGGTAAACCAGACTCCGTTCTCCAGGTCCAAAGTTAGCTTCATCACAAACGCTACGTTAGGCGACAGGTTGTATGCTGGGACCGCCGTTGGAAATGTCCACGTATACTCTGCAGAAGCTGGACCTGGTAAGCATATACTGTCTTTACATATCAAAGATGCGCCTTGACGAACAGTCGCTCGTCGCAAGAAGGGGCAACTCTTGTGGAGAGCAGGAGAGGATTGTCGAGGCGCGCTATTGAACAACTGGGCTATATCAAGGACATAAACTCGCTCGTCATCCTAACAGGTACGCTACGATTTCCATCAACCTCGATGTGTCTGACGTGAACCGGGCCTCTCAGATAAGATGCCTACTTTGTATCCTCTCCCGAGCTTCGCACCTCCGACACCACTCATCAAAGCCAAGACAGCGTTCTCATTTGGCATTCACACTTCCATTCACCACGATCAACCCACTACTCCCTCTGGGGAATCGCCGTTTGATAAGGGAATGCCAATCCCCACCATTGTTACGCAGCTTCTGGTTGGATGCCAGCGGAAAGTTGTCTTATATTCTTGGAAGGATGGTGAACCCCAAGAGACTAAGGTTAGCATCTTGACGTCCTTTCTTCTCCGCGAGGGCTGAGTCATCGCAGGAATCGCCTCTTCCCCACTCTCCACGAGCTATCGCCTTTCTTGACCACGACAATGTAGTCTTCGCATACCCAAACAATGATTACGCCGTCTTTTCGATTAATAAACTCACCACTCTTGAGGTCACCACACCCATGCCAGCCGCCCCAACAATGGGTGCGCTTTCGGGGTTCACTGGATACATGACGTTGGGTCTCGGAGCTAAGGCCAAGCCTGGACTTGTCAGACTTAGCGACGGGGAGGCACTGATTGTCAAGGACAGTGAGTATTATGTCATCCCTGCAGCATTCATTGCACATTGACTCATGTAGACCAGGGTTTCATGATCGGCGCCGATGGCAGGCCTCTAAGGGAACACACTCTGCACTGGCCAAGCCCACCTGAAGAATTAGGTATCGTCATTGTGCTCTTCCGTTCTTGATAGGTTATTCTGACTTCAGCATAGCGTATGTGAAGCCGTATATTTTGTCAGCGTTAGCACCTGGAACCGTGCCAGCCCCTTCAGATGAGAAGAATACAGCTGCTACTGGCACTCAGAACACTATGATACAATCTCCGGTGGTCCAAATATCGTCTTATCTTACTGCCTCAAACGTCCAGACCCTTCCTTTTCCGCCGCAACTAACGCCAGCACCCACAGGCCCAGCCAGCGCCACCTACACAATACGGCTCTTAACGCCCTCAACTCTGTCCAGCAAGCCCTCAATATATCTCGTTGCTACTCCAACAGACCGTACCGCTGCCAATTCCGAGGGTAGCTCAATATGGCAGCTACGCATGCGCTCATGGATGGACCAGATCGACGAGTTGGTTACCAGTGGCCTCTACGCTGAAGCACTATCGCTTCTCCATACCCTAGATGTGTCAATATTACCCGATAGGGTACGGCCCTCCTAATCATGCACTGTTGACGCGACCTCACCATTGATCAACAGGACCAACGTCAAACCAAGATTCGGGCGCTGTACGCTGTCTCGCAGTTTCGCGCAGGGAAGTATGACGATGCCATCAACACGTTCCTGGAGCTGGACCTAAACCCAGCGAAAGTAGTTGCTCTCTATCCAGAGAGCGTTGCTGGCAGACTATCAGTGCCCCAAGATGAATGGATACCCCTCTTTGGAGGTCCTTCAAACCCCAAACCTGCGGAGAACGATGACGCCAAATCTACGAATTCGACAGATACAGGGAACGCAAATGGCGGGAAAGAGAAGTCGTTAACAGCTGCATTGGAAAGATCACCTTCTCCGACTGGATCGCTGCGCGCAAAATCGAAGTCGACCTTTGCTTCATTGCTACCGTCTATGGCAAAAGACGATGATACCGCGTCTATAAGTGGGAGAAGACCGAAGAAACCAATCGGTAAGGACTGAAACTAGCTCTGTTCGAGTTACTTTGGCTCATAAAATGGCCAGATGAATTCAGTCGTTCTGTGGATGCATTATGGCGGTACTTGACCGACCGCCGGCCAAAAGTAGCACCCGCTCTTGAAGCCGTCAATATCACCTCTGCCCAGTCACATAGCCTGCCCTTCCTTTCAGAGACGTCCGTAGACGACTTGTTTGCCATTCCTAATGTCCCCCTCTCGTCCCTTACCCCTGAGCAGCTCATCCGTTTTGCTCAAATTGTTGACACTGCACTGTTCAAATCGTACCTACAAACACGCCCGTCCATGCTTGGACCTCTTTGCCGAGTTCCGAACTGGTGTGAAGTGTCTGAGGTGGAAGAAGAACTGCGAGCCCGTGGGGTTGGTCGTCTTGCTACTTCTTGGCTGTTCGCTATAATGACTAATCGTTTTTCAAGAAATTTTCGGAGCTTATCGACCTGTATCATGGAAAGAAGATGCACTCCAAAGCTTTGTCACTATTGAAAGAGTCAGTGGTCTTCTCTTTCGAGTACCTGACACTTTATTGATTATTTCTAGTTTGAGCTCCAAGGAAGATGATCCCCGAGACAAGCTCAGCCCATCCATCGCATATCTTAGAAAGCTGGGTCCCGAGCATCAGGATCAGGTTTTCGAATGGTCACGCTGGATATTCGACGAAGATAAGGAACAAGCATTCGAGGTATAGACAGCCGTTGCCTCATCGGAGATATCGACTGATTTCCTGTCAGATTTTCACCTCGGATGACGTTGAGCTACCTTTTGAAGTAGTCACCGATTATCTCGAGAAAATTGACCCGAGGTTGGCCGCACGGTATATTGAATATGTCATTGACGAGAAGAGCGAGGAGGGATCGCATTTCCACAATCGGCTCGCAGAACTCTACTTGACCATCACGGTGGCTGCTCGGAAACGGAAAGATGAAGGTCAGTCCGAGCTAGGTTTCGTTGCCCGTTTTGCTGATCGCGGTTCTGAAGATACTCGGTTGACTTTCTACGAGAAACTGCTCACTTTCTTGGACAGCACTTTCTCCTATCAGCCGGACAGATTGTACGGGCACATTCCTGATGGTATGCCGTTCCTGCATAACGCCGTCTCCAAATTCTCATCTTGCTTTCGTTCTAGATCTGTATGAGGCACGGGCAATTCTACTTGGGCGCATGGGCCGCCATGGGCATGCGCTCGAGCTCTACGTTTACAGATTGCGGGACTACCCCAAAGCCGAAGAGTAAGCGATATTGTACCAAAAAATATAGCAGGTTACTCATCGTTTGTCAAGCTATTGTAAGCGCATATATGCGGCGGGCCCTGAAACGGCGAACATATTCCTTACCTTGTTACGAATATACCTTCGTCCGACGGTCAAGACGTCGGCGGATCTACTGAAGCCCGCTCTGGACCTGATTAGCCGCCACAGTCCGCGATTAGACTCGGTCGAAACGCTGCAGCTCCTTCCTCCTCTGGTCACAGCCAAGGATGTCCGTCCCTATCTGTTCGACGCGCTCCGTGCACCTATATTTGATACCCATGTCGTGCGAGACATCCACAAGGCCCACGCCGAGAGCGTTGCCCAGAAGTTGATGTTGTTGGAATCGCGGCGCGTGAGGATCACCGACAGTCGGATGTAAGTCAAGCTGATTGGGCCGCGACCCGCAGCCTACTTTTCGTGCCTGCTTGCTGATATATTGCTCTATACGCAGATGTCCCCACTGCCACAAACGCATTGGTAACAGTGTTATTGCGGTGCATGCCCCTAGGTACGTCCTGGCCACTCTAAGCTCAGTCTTGGTTACTGAGCAACACGGACAGGGGCGAGGTGACGCATTATCAGTGTCGCGAAGCATTCTCGCGAAAACTGACGGACTCGCTGCGGAGATAGCTACGTGCCTAAAGCTGATTAACGCCTCCTTCATCTCTTGTAATACCATCAACCATAACCCTTTTCGCCTCAGGCGCAGCGCTTTCATATCCGTAATAATACATCTGATTTTTCTGCCATGATGCGCGCTTGATAGCTTGAACATGGGAAAATGGACAAACATCCGGAAATCGATCGAATGACATGAAACCGAAACAAGAATTTGATTGATTCTACAATGGCTACGGGTACACGTGAGGGTGGTAATGCAAAATGCAGTTCTATGCAATACGACAAGGGATAGGCTAAACGATACACTCTACTTATGTACATAGATATACAATAATATACGAACAAACGATCGAAAGCCCAAGCACAACAGACAGCAGAACAGCAGCAGCAACAACAACAACAACAGCTAAAAGTTCAACAACAAAAACAGGCACAACAATTTTATCAATCAAACAATGGTCCGGTTTTTCACCTCGCGGAGGGTCTCTTTCAGGACGGTCAGCCAGACATTGGCGCGCGAAATCTCGCTCTCGGCGTTGGCCGCGGCCGCGTTGAGCTTGCGCCGTAACAGGTGACGGAGCGCGCGGACGTCCTCTGCCTCGTTTTGGGAAGCTGGCAACGAGACGACGGACGAGGCCGCCGACGCGAGCGGAGAGCACAGCGTGCTCGAGGGCGACGACGATGCAGGGCTGCTGCTCCCGCTGTTGCTGCCGGTGTAGTCGGGGAACTGCGGCGAATCAATCATGTCGGTGGAGAACGCGAAGATGTCGTTGAGCACCACGCCGTTCTGGACGTTTTCGGCCCGGCGACGTTCGACCTCGGCTCCTTGCGCCTGCACGAGGGAAAAAAAGCAAGCACAGCCCGGTGTATCAGTCTCACGCGATCAAGGGTTAATGAAATCAGCGTCGCGACGGACCTTGAGAGTGCGGTTTATGATTCGCTCGGCGCGGGACGCAGAGTTGGAAACGATAAGGATAAGGTTGTCCACCTAGCAGAGAGGCAGGATCAGGAATCAAGGCTCCAAGGGGGGCATACGCAATTCATCAAGCTTAATTCAAGCGTACCTTTCGCAGGCAGTCGTCGATACGGCTGAGATCGCGCCCGACGGCAGCCAGAACGGGGCCCAGTCCCGGGTTCTCGCCGCTCTCTGCAATAGTTGGGGACCGCGGCTCGCGGATGTCTAGAGTAATAGGTATTGCCGGCTGCTTGACATCGGTACCGACGGCGCAGTCGTCGTCGAGGTCGTACACGATCTCAAGGCTGAATGGCTTGTTCGAGACGATCTTCTTTTTAAGCCATGTCTTGAGCTTGGACACGCCACTCTTCTCCGCCTTCTCGTAACGCGAACGACGATTTGAGAGTATGCCCTTTAGACGGGGCTCTTTTGGGAGGGCCTTGTCCACGTTCGGAGCGGCGTCGCGGGCGATCAGCTCCTTCTCGATCTCGATGAGGTTGGCGAGGTGGGTCTGGTAGGTCGAAGAGTCGGCGCTGAGAATGAAGGAGTCCAGCCACTCTGGCCATGGGACAACGCGGGCGCCTGTATGCTGGTCGGTGGTCTCGATGGCAGCTTGGCGGAAGATCTCAGTGGCGACGGAGGCTTCTTGGTACGACGGCTCCTCCAAGTAGTCCACGAACGATCCGTCCTTGACGTCGACCTCGCTACCTACGGCCGTGATTTGTGAGTCTTCTGAGCCACGATGCAGGCGCTTGCGTGCCATGAGCGAGACCAAGCCGCTGCGGTTGAGGTCCTCGAGCTGGTCAATGTCGTGCGACGTCTTCTCCCAGAGCTGATCGACCTCGTTGAGGTTCTGACGCAGCTCGCGCACGCTCTGGGTCGCCTCATCACCTTGACGGCGGTACGCAGCAATGAGGTCCTTGCCGACTCTGCCGACGTCTTCAAGCGCGCGCTGAAGAACGTCGAGGCCGGTTCCGTGGGCATATGGAATTTCGGCGGTAACGTAATCAATATCATTCAACACGCGATTGGAGGCTTCAAGGACGTCGATCTCCTTGTAAGGACGGTAAATGGACTGCGGCGTTTGACGACCGGATTGGCCAACCCAGCTTGCTAAAGACGAAAGTGTGCGAGTGCGCATGGCTGGCTGTGACGGACGAATGGTGCGGTCGGAGAGAGCGGACTGGGGCCGGACCAAGGCACTTTCGGTTTTAAAGTATGAGCGAAAGCATGGCTTGGCAACCTCGAACGGGGTGAGTCTAAAAATTATGGTCGATCAGTCATTGGGCCAGGCAAGCTCCCTGGACGTCAGGGATACAATTAGGGTTTAAATCCACTTACCCCCGCGAGTTGCGAGCACTTTGCACATGTCCGCCAGTGTCGCAGTCAAGAAAGGCAATCAAGACATCTGCACATTCGCCGTGCTCCGCGGCGATGTGGATGCAAGTTTCTTCGTTCGAATCCTGGGCCGACAAGGGTGCATCCAGGTCCCGAATAAGGTGTACAGCGAATTCGTACAAGGAAGGGGCCGATTCCGGATGATCTACAACTCGCGAGAATCGTGCGAGGCAATGCAAGGGTGTATACTGTTCTTTAAATGTGAAGAGACTGATGTCCGCGCCAGCGCGATACAGAGCGTCCAGAACTTCCACAGAGGGCTGATGCACGGATGCGCAATAGTGTACAGGACTCCATCCTTCGATGTCGCGATCGTTTACAAGAGGGTAGTGAGACAAAGACATGAAATCATCCAAGGCGTATGAGGGAAACAACAGTGAATAGAGAGTAGGGAGGTCCGAGACGAGCACAGCTTGTACAAGTGAATCTGTTATAGGTGAGTTTGCGTCTGATACAGAAGAGTTTTGATGCCAGGAGCCCAGCGAGGGAGGATACGAAAAGTAATCTTGAGGTACACCGGCGGGCTGGATTAGTTGCCTGCGGTTATTTGACTGCACCCCGGTATCAGTAAAGATAGCACTTGGGCGTCAAAAGATTTGAAAAGACAAACCTCGGTTTCTGACCACCGACGGTATCGGAGCGATTCTTCAAGCTGTGACAGGACGTGAGGATGAGACAGGGCGAACTGCACCGGTGACCGGTGGAACAGGTCCCGCGCGTCTGGACATGCACCATGTGCGAGCTAGAGCGGACACGTCAATATCAGAACAATCGTATTCAAAGACGAAACGCGCATATACCCACCAGAAGCTGGACCACCTCCACAGTCCCATCCCGGGCAGCATCTGTAACGCACCGTTAGATCCGTGCGTCTCATTGGACATACAGAAGCGATTAGAGCGTACACATGAGAGGAGTGGCGCCGTCAGCGTCTGAGCCATCCACTGAGACCAGGCCATTACTGTACTCGAGAAGCACGGCGACAGCTTCTGCGAGCTTCAGCCAGGCAGCCATGCCGAGGGGTGAAACACCTGCGATCGAGTCCTGCGGCGCATTGAGCGAATAGAGGGTGATGTCGGGGTGAGATACGATGTGCCGAATGGTGGCGAGGCGTTCCTCGGACATGAACGACGCGTCGGACGCGTCAACGGCATTCCACCTGACGTGCCGCATCGCGTCAGCTGAGACTTTACAACATGCACCCGAGCTATCACTGACCTGTCGGCGGTGAGGGCGCATGTGAGGGATGTCCGGCCCGAGGAGTCCACAACGTTGACGTCGGCGCCCGAGCGGAGGGCCTCGAGTAGTCCCGCCTTGCTGCCTTCGGAGGCGGAGTCGAGGAGGGACATGTTTTCGAAGGAATGATAGTACGAGCTCATGAGGCTCTTCGTCACGGCACGTCGTAGCGGATGTCTTTGAGAGCGATGCAAATGCAGATATGAGGGAGATTATACAGAGGAGAGCGGGGAAAGCGAGCCGGAAAAGCACGATGAGAGGCAGCGAGAAAAAAGCGGAAAGGCAGCAGGAATGCAATGCGATTATAAGGAAAGGAGAAAGAGAGTTTGGAGCTGAGAAGTCGATGACCGAAAGGATTTGGAAGGTATGAGGACAGACTCGTTCCGGTTCTGGTTCTAGTTCTGGGATGAGGTTAGAAGGGCCCGATGGAAGGCGAGAAGAAATAATATTTGTACACCATCTAGGACATTGGCGCCCTTTGCACACGAGGCAGTAAACAGACTGATCAGAAAAAGGAGACCATCTTACCGGCATGATGCACGAACAGAGGTCCGCCGCCGCTGTCCGCCGCTTAACCATCCCTGACGCCTCGAGGCCTTCCTGTTTCCCACAGTATTCCATACATACGTTCAGCAACATTTGCACAATCGCATTTTATTGTCCCCTCCTCCCACTTCCCACTATCTGTCTGCTTCACGGAAAACACAATGGGCGTCTCACTGCATCGGCCACTGCAACTATGCGATGCGATAAAAATATGCTGAATGGTGATTCGTAAAACAGCTGATGTGTGTATCAATAACAATAGAACTGTATCATGTGTGCGACGGGAAGCGAAATTATATGGTAGGTTGTTACATTTGCATGCTGATTGGGTTTTGTCGTAACGGGAAGGTGTAAGGGAGCGGTGTAAACCAAAAAAGGAAAATTCTTGTCCATGTTGTCCTCGTCATCACTGAAAGATGTGCGCCGAATGGTCACCCCTGGCCATCCCTGATCACCCGCCCACCGACATCCGCCGCTATGGCGGCCGTCGTTCGCATGTGGAAGCACGGACCGTGCGGGAGGTAGGGCTGCCTTGATTTGGCTCATATCTTCATGTACGCATCTTGGGGCAGCGCGGCCTGAGAATTTTGACGTAAGTGGACAGCCCGACGCTGCAAACCTTATCCTTCCACGTACCTTCACCTGCTCAAAATTCGCAACGGCGCGCTCCAGGTCCCAGGCGTTGTTTTCCAGGCAGTCGAAAGCGTACTTGATATTCAGGCCGCTCCGTTGGCACATCTGCCAGATAAGGTTGCGCTGGTGTTCAGTCTGAGAAAGGACAGACAATTTGAGCATCTCTGTGATCAACGCTATCATATGGGGACTTACAAAATTCGAGAGTGCCTCGGCGACATGGGCAGGAGGGGCCGCGCTTGGCTGGGCACCAGTATCCCTGGTTCCTTTGGCGTCGCCCTGCACGGATAAAGGACCAGGTTGCCACGCCTCATGACTTGAGTAGTTGCGTATTATCCATTGGTCCGAAAGAATGACCACATCCCAGCCATTCAGCTTCGCACTATTAATCCCGTTTGGTAATAAGTAATTCGACTTGAATTCGACGACAGAAAGAACGTACCGAGAACCAGGCACAGCAGGCGCGAGAACGAAAGACCGGTCAAAGGACCGAATGCCTTGGGAAGGGTCTGCACATATAAGTATTCAGTAAAGATGCCCAGATCGCTATTCCGCGGTTTAAGCAACTAACCTTCGGCAAATTGTCCGTGGACAGAGATGAAGAGCTTGAGGTGCTCCCCCTGGCCGACGGGCCAGGCGTCGACACAAAACTTTTCCGGGGCGCCCGTCACTTCGTGCTTCGTCTTTGGCAAATCCGACAACGTTCTTATAATCTCTTCACTTCCGAGGTGCAGACTCTTGACGAGCTTGCCCACGCCTCCTCCCATTCGGCTCAGATTGCGAGATCCCGCCAACCAAGTACTCCATTCCAACTTTCTCTGGTTCGGCATTTCTTTGTGGAACCCTTGCACACGCGCTCGACTGGGTATGGCAGTGTTCACGGCGAACGAGAACGTGGCGGATGGGTGATATGCATCGATGAGGGTTGCGCGAGTATCGTCGAACATGGTGAAGAATCTGTGGAAAACATTCCAAAAAGTCTCGTCAAACATCAGAAAAAACGACGACAGGCGTATTTACGCACCGCATGAGAAAGTTGCTAACGATAGAATCTTCCACACCAGTGATGAACGATGGACCCATGTCGTGTGGGAATGTCTTGGCGGTGGGCTTTTTCGACACCGATGTTGAAGTGTTCGCGGGACCGGGCGCATCGAATGCGATAACTGCGATCGGCTCTTGGTCGAGCATAACGAGAGATGGGAATCGGCGTGACATATCACTGGTCTCGATGTCAAGAGAGTTTAGATCGAGCATAGCCATGGGTGTACCAACCTTCTGTATTTTTCGCCTCTTCCATTCTGAAATTCCAGCTCTCTGAGCGGGTTACCGAGTAGGATCAATTCTCTCAGCTGCTCGAGCTTCCCCTTGCGCCCGGAGATATAATCAATATCGCGCCAAACTTTAAGGTTGTTGTTCTGGAGCGACACGTTGGCAATGTTGGGTAAGTAGTGCGCAAGGGTGGACAGAAGTTGGCCTGATGAGATGTTGTTGTTTGCGAGTGATATCGTCTGCACCTAATAAGCGAGGAGACATTGAGCTTCAACTTCTTCCAGTCACACGACAAGACATACTGGTGGTTTCAACTGCGACGCAAGCTTGAAGATAACGGACGCCTCGCGAGCCGACGATCCCGGTGCTCCGGGTGGAAGTAGATTATGTTTCGCAATCGTTGGGTCATCCAACATACTCTTCAATGCACGTCAGACTTCAAATAATAACAGCCCTATAACCAAAGCAACGCACCTCCAGATTCAAAAATCTCGCCTCCGCATTCCACCGCTTATTCACGAACTCTCTCCACACATCCACCGCCTTAAACGCCATCATATCTCGCCGCACCCTCAACGCTGGGAGAGGTGATGGGCCGCCGGGAGCGGACGACCCAGCGGACGTAGCGTTCCTGCGAAGACGCCCCACCGCCGTCGTCGACGACCTCGAGGCTCCGCGGATCGACAGGCCTTCAGCGGCCGCCGCTGGGCCACCGCCTCGTGCGGCGAGCTTGTGGAAGAACACATGTCAAGTGCAAGTGCGTTTCGTTCGTTCGTCGGAGAGACAGACGAGCAAGCCAGCCAACCAGCGAGAGCGCGCCGAGCGTTGTCGGGCAAGAGCAAGAGGGGGGAGTCGGGTGAACAAAAGGTTTGTGTAAGCGTCACGGTCTATCATAAACTGGTGGGAAAGGGGGGAGGATGAGGAGACAGCACAGCACGCGGCGTCACGACATAGCCAACAACAGGAGTCATAGGGTACAACATGACAGCAAGAAGGTGCGAACACAACACGGGGGCAAGGATATATGCATACAAGAGGAAGGGAGGGAGGGAGGATACAACACATGCCCAATGATTGAGAAGCGAGAACAAGGGTGGGAGAGAAAAGGGGGGAGCGATAGGTCTCATATTTACCATGGCAGATCTACTCGGTCCCGGCTGGTCCTTGAAGGCGTCGATGGGGCGAGGGCGGTGCGAACGGATCTTGGATATGCCCTTGCGCCCGCCTGGCTTGTCGCTGACATCGCGCATTCGCTCGTCGCGGTCGATGAGGCCGGCGCCTTTAAGCGCGGTATTGGCCAGGGTACGGCTTCCTGACGGAGTTGCTGCCGGAGTCGAGAACATCGCGACCGGAGGAGTAGTTGAAGATTGGAAGCGCTGAGTTGTCGTTTAGGAGTTGTGTCGTATAGAGCGGAATAAATACGGCGCGAGTGGACGGACCAAGCGAGGATGTGGTGTGAAGACAAAAGCGAGCTTCGGTCCTGTGCTATGCCGTTCCTCGAAATGGGTGGGTGTTCCTTTGTTTGGCTCTTGTTTATTTCGGAGGATGCTGACTAATACCTCCTGAAAAAACTGGTGTGACTCAGTCACGTCTGCAATTCAACTGACGTTTACTATCCAAAGAACTCGTTCTTTTACATTTCTTGTACCGCCTCATTGGTGTAAATATCTCTCATGGACAGAAACGCAAGTATGCTTGTTTGACGTCCAGGGAGTCAAAACCTAGCACAATGCTGTATCGTATACCTTCTGTACTACTTCTGAACAGTGATTAACTGCTGCATCAAGGATTCCGACCCTGCCACAACTAGTATTGCATCCAGCGCAATATGCCAGCGAACGAGAATAATAACGGATCCCGCGTGAAATTAGCGTGTGTCCAGAATTTATCCATCTCGTCGGGGACCATTCGGCTGATACATATTATACTGGTGCGTAGCCCCGTGACCCGACGTGGAGGGCGACTTTCCTGCACTTGACGATGTCGTTTGCGGTGGTCGGGACCGGTAGTAGTTAGAGTTGTTCGCTCTGTCCGTATTCGAAGGATGAGCAACTGTAGACGGAGCTATGACGGGGGACGAAGTAGATGCCACCGTCGGCATGGGCCACGGAAGCCGCGACGTCGTCGTACCACCCGACACTGGAGTCACAGAAGACGACGCGGACGGCTGAGAGGTGCTTGCGGCCTGTATGGCCGGCGAGGGTTGCGCAGACGGCGGTGCTGGAGTGGAAGTGGCCGGCGATTGAGATGCCGGTTGCTGAGCTGGCTGTTCGCCAGAGGTAGGGGTCGGCTCCGAGGGGACCGTTCGGTCAACCGACCCTTCCGTCTCCCGACGCCTCTTCAGGCCTCTAGAGGTGCTTTCCTTGAGACCTAGCCCAGTGGCTTTGATCAGAATTTGGTGCCTAAGACGTGAAAGTGTTAGTTCAGCGAACGCATCGTGAGCAATACGACTATACCTTGTCCTGGTATTGCCCCACTGCGCAATGATCCAATCCCAGTCAATCTCTGCGCCAGCTCCCCGCCCCCGACTCTGCTCGGCCAGTTGTTTCAACCGCTCCGTTTCCTCGTCACTCCATGCGCCCTGGTTCCCAGCCGAGACCCCAAGCGGTGTACTGATGCTTGTCGCGGCAGTATGCGGGGCTGCTTGGGCCGTAGGTTGGGCAGGTTGAGCCATCGAGGCTGAATAGTATGTCGTATAGCCCGGATACTGGTAGTACGGCGCGGTCGGGTATTGATGCGTATTGCCATAAACAGGGGGATATGCCATGGTCGGCTGACTGCCCATAGGAACTACAAAAGATTGGGGGTTTGAGATCACTGGTGCTGGGGAGCCTCCTGCGGGTATACCATTATTGGATGCCGAAGGTGCAGGTGCAGGTGGTGGGATGTGTGCATATCCCGGGATAACAGGATAGATAGGGGGCGGAGGATGAGCCGTTAAGCGTGCAGGATTGCTGAGCTAAGTTAAGAACTCGAATAAGACGAACATAGCATCACATAACCTCCGATAGAGACACGTACCAACTGGTCGCAGATCCGCCTTGCCTCGTTCAGCATGGCTAAAGGGTCAACTTTGACCCCCGGACCCATCTGATAGCATTGCGCGATAACCAGCGAGCTGGTACCTTTCTATCAACCACCGTTCAACACTCAACTCGCCGAAGAATCACGGATGAACCCTACCACTAGCTCTTCCGCAGCTCCATAGAACTCCGCGCATAAGCTGAGCACGCGCCACTGAAACTCGTAGTACTGCTGGTTGTTCGAGTTGACTTCACCAGGCTGTCCTCCCGGCGTGTACTGGTAGAAACCATGCTGTTGCGCAGGTACGGTGGGAGGTCGCGTGTTGGTCAAGTCGACCGTGGAGATCATGCGCCCCTTCTTGTTTTTGGACCCGCGCGGCCGACCAGGTTTTCGCTTCCGCTCGCCTTCAGACTGCGCTGACTGCTGCAGGTGTTGTTCGGCCGACTGGCTGGTACCGGCAGGCGGATTGTTATTCGAGCTAACAAAGACGAGGGTCATGGTTGTGAAGGGACCACGCAGGGGAGAAACGGAACAGCGTTCCAGGGGTAATTTCGGCAACAAAAGGCGACCAGGCACTCGTCACTACCAGTTGGAAGGGGACACGTTTGAGACATACCGTGCGTGGTCGCCGCCCGGAGTGGCATCGTCGCGTTGGTCTTGTCTACTTTCCGAGTCCATGTCCTGATCGAGTTGCTCCTCGACTGCGCCCTCGTCTCCATCTTCTTCTTCCTCCTCCTCGTAGTGAGGGTGTGCGACCTTTTGGAAGGAGGAGTTGGAGTTGGAGAGGGGAGGATGAAGAGCATGGGAGAGCGGTTGATAATGTTGAGGGTTGTCCATCGTGCCGAGACGCGTTGGGCGGTAGGTCGTTATTTTTTAGGTATATCAAGGAGTATACCGGGAGGAAATGATAACTATTGTGCAGGACTTGTACAGATCAATGCACCCAGGAGTTATGGTCACGTCCGTGAGATGCTTTCCTTGTTTTCCTTTGAGTTTATTCCCTTGTTTGGCCATGTTTACTTCGTTGGTAGGTAACCTTATTTAGCCCCTGTTCATGTCCCCCTTCGCGACCGCTCCGCCGTTGCCGACGCGAGCTTCTCCAGACGAGAGCATCACCAGAATGCTTGTCTTCAAGTTGAACCTCTCCTTATATATTCCTTTGATCTCATATCATTCTGGTCGCGTTCTTGTTGATGGTTGATCACTTAGTTACCCCAGCAGGTGCAATATTTGGTTACGTATGGGGTATGAAGCTCCAAACCCCTGCTTTCAACTTGCTTACGGGTCAGCGAGCCAGGTCAACCGATACAGTTCCAACTCAAGAGACAGCCGAGGCTCGATAGAGACACGAAACTGGTGTTGGAGGCGCTGATCGAGACGATGCAGACTCGAGTATGACATCACCCCGGCATCATTAGGAACCCATCAGGACCTGCAACCCAAGTCCAGGGTTAGGTCTTGCGCATCATAAATTCACCCCTTCCTCGAACTTGCTCATCCACCAACCTAGTCCCCGGCCCCTGTGTAACCTCTGTGAGGTCAAAATGGCAGTGTTCTCGAGACTTCTGGCCACTGTAGCGAGTGCCTACGGCCTTCAAGCTCGTACGTGATATCCGTTTCCTCCCATCAGCTAGTCTGGCACATCTGAAGCTAACTCGAATGTTTCGCCCGCTGGTAGTCTTCGCCGGCATCTTCGTCCCGCAAGCCAACGAGAAATACTATGACCTCTGCGGTGCAACCGGCTTCCTGACCACTACCTTTGTCTCGATGTACTACCCCTGGCTCAAAGACCGCTTCTGGGATGCCAAGGCTATCCCGTTCCCCCCGCTCAGCAGCTTCGCGCCTCGCCAGTTAATCCTCAATGCTGCAATCGCACTCTGGTCGGCTCGTTTGGGCAGCTTTCTCGTGCTGCGTGCCATCAAGGCGGGTGGGGACTCCCGCTTTGACGAGGTAAAACACCAGCCCGGCAAGTTCGCGTTCTTCTGGTTTGCGCAAGGTGGGTCTTGCATACTCCGCGTACGGCGGACGTAGGGCCAATGATCCCTGTCAGCAACCTGGATTACCCTCGTCGGACTCCCGGTGTACTTGGCGAACGCAATCCCCGCCGCGGCTCACCCTCCCCTTGGCGGAAGGGACTTCGTGTCTCTCGTGCTCCTCGTATCCTCCTTCGCGTTCGAGGTCACCGCTGACCGCCAGAAGTCCGCATGGCGCACGGCAAAGGACAACAAGCTACACGACGAGAAGTTCATTACTTCTGGCCTCTGGGGTATCAGCAGACACCCCAAGTACATGCATTCTTTTTTTCTGGAAGAGTCGCGTCTGACTGTCCGTTCCTCTAGCTACGCTGGCGAGATCGGGATATGGTCTGGCATGTGGGCACTCGGCGCCTTGAGCGGGGCTCTTCCGGCTCCTGGCATCATTGCGAGTGCTGCGAGCCCCTTGATGACGTATGCTCTCCTGCGATATGTAGGTCCTTCACACCACAGTGTCCTCGTCGCTGAATGAAGCTGATTCTTTTGGATGCTCTATAGGTTTCTGGTGTGCCTCCTCTCGAAAAGTCTGGGAACAAGAAGTTCGGTAATGATCCTAAATGGCAGGAATACAAACGGTGAGACGGTTCATGCATCATCTCACAACACTGGGCTTAATGATACTTTTTAGCAACGTCCCTGTCCTCTTTCCTTGGGGACCTAAGAACTGAAAAGTTGTGCTTTGAAATAAAGGACATACCAATCATATTGTACTCTATCATTGCTTCACTGCGACTCATAAAAATTATCTATACAAAAATTGACGGAAGCGTTACAGGCTACATGGTTCAACGGATTAAAAAAACGAGCACATGATGGGTCGAGGTTTTGCCTTGTAAGATGACCAAACTATAACCACTGATGGAGACAGGCATGACTGAGAGGCCTTGACGCAGCACGTCTTTCTTGTTACCAAAGGGAAGTAACAAAGTCAAACCGCACCTGGACATTGTCGACGTTGTTATGAGTTACATCCGTGAGCATTCACTGAACAGCGGATTTGACAGCTTCTTCAGGGCACTTCGTACGGTATCCAGTGCGAAGAACCCTTGATGATCCTCGCCTCGATATCGGGAAAGCGTTCTAGATCGCTCATCCGGCACTCCCCACCAGCGTCCGGATCCCCCGGCAGTATACTGAGTCTCACGTGGCTCGGGAGGTTCTCGAGATACTCGAGATGGTTCATATGCCGCTCCTAGGTTAAAGGTAGGCGTCGAGGGTCAGTGCCACCAGCAGCTCGGAATGTCTTTTAGCAGCGGCTGGATATAACCCACCTCAAACACAATATCAACCACCTTGGGATCGCACAGCTCGTTCGCGAGCACCTGCAGCACCGCATCGCGACGTGTCCACTGGGGGTACAACTTCGTGTACAGCTCGGGCTCGGGTGGGTTCTGGACGAGGGTTCTGAAGAGGTTCCCTCTGTCATCCCGCACGTCGTCCGTAAGCGCAAGAGGCGGCTCGAGGAGGAGGATGTGCAGCTGGTCGCCGCCGCTGCGCGAGCGGTGGGCGGGCGGGAGCTCGTGCAGTGCTCGGAGGACGAGGATGGCGCCGAGCGAAAAGCCGACGACGAGGTCGTATGTTGTTTATTTGAGCAGCGAGACGACGTGCGCGGTCATGCTCGTCCATGTGTATGTCTCCGAGCGGGGGCCGATGCCGTGGCCCAGTAAGTCGGGCGCGGAGACTAAGTAGCCTGAAAGACACCCGTCAAATGATGGAAATTCGAACGGTCAAAAATGAACGGGGTTTACCGTGCTCAGCTAGGCCAGTGGCTATATGCCGCATGTTGTACGATGAGCACGTCAACCCGTGAAGGAGTAGGGCTCACTTCGACGCGGTGGAAGAGCCCCAAACATTACTCGGACCAGGAACGATCGATACATTCGGTGGTATAGCCCTGTGCTTGGAGGACATTTCGGCGAAGATGGAAGAGAGACAAGTTCAAGTACACAGACAGGTGGTTGGCGAACTCATAGACACTGAGGCTGTCGCATCCTTGCGCTTTTAATCCAGCAAGTGCTAGCGCTCGGATGATACGGGCACGCCAGATGTAGATCCCTAAGTATAATCAGCCGCTAAGTATAGTGTCCTGACTAGGAGGATCGCACACAATACCAGACGAGCGGTTTGCGTTCTGTCATCGATTCGACAGGCGAAAAATAAACCAAGCAGACTGACCAATAGCAGTAATCAGCGCTCCGTTCAAAGTATGAAATCCGTGCAGTACTTACTTACTAAGTGGCGGCGCCCGTGGCGCTGCGGAGGGATCCGCATGAATTATGCGCGAGTCTTCCGAATAGCAGATAACGGCGAGGTCCAGCGTTCGGCCCCCATCGTGTGCGATTTGGTGCTATCAACGAGGGCAAGTAGCAATATAAAGTTCACGTTCAGAAGAAAATCAAGGATGTCTTATGGGTTGCCTGGTTAGCTTGGTAGAAGCCATGGCAAGAACTGAAAATGAGCTGGTTAATTGGGCAAGATAAATGTGTGCTTTGGCGGATCTCAACGCGTATGAACAGTGGTCACGATGGCAGTCTCATTTTGTTGTTCACCGCGAGATTGAAGATGATTCAAATGTCGGAATGGAGCTCGCGGAAAGATGATAATTGGCCGAGTCAAAAACGGTGAAAGATGGGACAAGGTTACAGACGGAGATGAATTTTGCCTTTCTTGAAGACCAGGTCACGGCGATCAAGCTCACGTTTGGGAACGTTGAAGAGGATGTGGCTGACAAGTGTTATCCGTCCCGATCGTCGAAAAGGTTGGTGAGAAAGAGAGTTGCCTCCGAAGAGAGTCGGAGATTGCCGAGTTCGACATACTTCTGGCATTGTCGCGCCACCTCTCCGCGGCAAATGACAGTCAGCTCGGCGGGGACATGTACGATCCTTCTGAATACTCTTACAGACGCTGAATTAGGATACATGAGCGTTCAATAGTTATACAGCAGCTTTCACGACTTCCTCAGGACACTCGTACGGAATCCAGTGCGAATACCCCTTCATCATCTTCATCTCGAGATTGGGAACCCTTTCAACATCACTCAAAAGGCACTGTCCACCGGAATCAGGGTCCCCGACCAGCACGACGAACTGAACATGAGCTGGCAAGTGATCGAGGAGCTCTAGATGATTGACTTGGTGCGTCTATTTAAACCATGTCAGCCCAAGACTCAGAACACGCCAGAGCAGGCTGCTATAGCTGCGACCGCATGCACACCTCATACACAATCTCGATGATGTTGTCGTCGCACAGCTCGTTCGCGAACACTTGAAAGACGGCATCCAGCTTCGTCCAGCGCGGGAACATCTGCGAATAAAACGCGGGCTCTGGCGGGCTCCGCACGAGGCTCCCGAAGAGCGCCGCGTTGCTCTCGAGAACCGCCTCGCTGAACGAGAGCGGCGGATCCAGGAGCACGACGCGTGGGTGTCCTTTCAAGCCCAAGGCTCTCTGAGCTTCGACTTCAGAGCTCGGGCGGTCATTATATGCGGGCGACAGCTCGCTCAGCGCGCGGAGGGCGAGTATCGCGCCCATCGAATGCCCGACGATAAGATCGTACGTCGTCTCGCGCAGTAGGGAGACGACGTGGGAGGTCATGCTTGCCCACGTGTAGGTCTCTGCGCGGGGTCCGATGCCGTGTCCTGGTAGATCGGGGGCAGAGACCAGGTATCCTGCAAACCGAGGCGATTTCAGTGCATATATACGTGGGGATATTCAGTGGTAAACGAACCGTGCTGAGCAAGGCCCTCGCCGATGTGTCGCATGGTATAAGATGAGCATGCAAGCCCATGGAGCAACAAGGCCCGCCTCGAGGCGTCAGGGGAGCCCCATATGCTCCTGGCACCAGAAACTGTCGAGACGTTCGCCGGAGAGGCCATTTGATGGTCCGTCAGGCTAGGAAGAGGCTGGAGGAAGATTTGGGCAGAACCAAGAAGCGAAGAGGTAGCAAGCGCGCCGAGAAGTTTGCTGAGATTGCTGCGGTGGGCCTGCAGTTGGATGCTGCCCATGTAGTGCGCTGGGCATCATGATGCTGAACGAATTTATGCTCGGGAGGAAACGAGCTACGACTCTTGCAGAATGCATCCTTCGGGCAAGTAAGCTAGCCTTAGATGGTCGAGAGCGGCCTAGTGCTTTGCCTCCGTTGACCACACAATGCAGGTTCGACGAGGGCGCTTCCATTTTGGGTGAACATGTCATGGTGGACTGCTCTATCAGCGCCACCGGAGAACGAAGGGCTGAGCATTACCTCACTTATGGCTACCACGAAGTGTCGTCACAGTGCACTAACGGCGACAGTGCGCTAACGATGAAGCTCAAAGCCATGCCACAAGAATAGTCCAACACGGTCGGCGCATTTCCAGAAAGAGCATGGCTGATCGAGGCGATGCGCGTCGTGCAAGATGGCAAGCCTGTTTCCACAGAAAGAGATACGGGCATCCGAATGGGAATGAACCGAGGTTGATATAACCCATGTCGTGGCAGTTGGGCAATCCCGAGGTACTCACAGCCAAGTCGGCGTCGATGTACGGAGACACGTTAGCAACACTTTCAGCTGAACTCGGGATGTCGACAGTGTTTTGCAAGTCTTGTAAGAGAACCTGAGAGCCGCCCAGAGCCAAAGAGACAAAGGCACCAGTCCGTTTCAGATCATAGGCTTGGTGCCCAAAGAAGATTGGGCGATAGCGGCTTACAATGGGTAGCACTTGACATGAAAATTTCCCTGATTGAGAGTAGCATACGGTCATCGTCGACGTCCGACAGGTTTTCTCTACACTAAAGCAGGCTGTACAACTGGTGAAATCTCGACGGGATACTGAATGGGGTCCCGGGGTCTGGCTTGTTTCGTGCTCGTTAAAATGAAGCGTGATGTACGCGAGCCATGGAGTAGCGCCTACCTTCAGAAGCATCAAGAAATTTACCTCTGGTTCACACATTTCATTCGCAAGGACATGAAGCATTGTGGCCTGCTTGGTGTAGCGCAGCTATGGCTTCATGTAAAAATCAGGCTCTGGCGTATGCTCTGTAAGACTTCTGAACATGTAGCGAAAGGCTCCACGAGTTCTTTGCTCTGGGGAAGTCTGATGTCAACCATGGTAACCTGCAAGGGCTGCTGCCGAGTTGCGCATATGCTAGGGAGCTGGTGGAGGATGCGGTGCGCCAATAAGTCACCCGGCCAAGTATCCGCCACAAAGTTATACGCGGCGGATTCCTGAAGTTTGACGATACGAATTCTATCGTGTTCCACCGGCTGTAGGCTTCCTGGCGAGGTGCGAAGCCACGGCCAATAAAGTCAGGGACTGTAATGAGATATCTTGGGATAATGATGTGAGTTTATCTGCTACCGTAGAACAATGTATGATAGGTGATACCGCGCGATGCAAGTCCTGCAGCTATATTCTTCAATAATTGAGAGGAGCAAGTGAGACAGAGTTGAACGTCGCCATCTAGCGCAAGAATTCAGACTCGTTGAACCTACGAATGGAATGGCAGGGAGCGCAGCATTGACACGTTTTGTCGTCTTTAGGTGGGGCCAAAACGTATCAAGAGTACGTCCAAGCAGAGGAGATACATGGGCAAAGAGGGGTGCGAAGTGGGTGTGGGTGCTACATGGACTTGTAAGATGGGGTAAGCACAGTGTGGATGTCAAATGACCAAGGGAGAGAACGGAGGGAGAGCCAGCTAAGAGGTGAGACAGGTTGACACGGCGGAGTTATCCCAATTGCGCATGCATGCCAATTGATTCCGTGAACTCGTGAAGATCCCTGAAAGCGATGTTCGGCGTTATCCTTCACTGTCTTACGCTCCGTGCTCGTCTTGCTGAATACTTGAGTCACTGTACTCCAACTGGTTCGACCTCTCTAGGAATTAGGGAAGACATCAAATGCCACGTTCGCGCTGGGCCTGGCAGTATACGGATACGCACGGGATGAAGTCCGACTCACGATGGCCAGCAACCTCAACGTGTTCAAGGAGAGAGCACCGCAGGATTGGACGACACTATCGAGATGACTCACTTGCAGCGTCTTTTGATCTCTGAGGACGTCAATAACTCATTGAAGATGCGGTGTAAGTGTAGGAGTAAAATAGCTGACTGGACCCGGCGCCTCCTTCGAGTTTCTATACAGGACATCGCGATACTTGAAACCATTCTCGTCTACTCCCACGCCATCGACTGCTGTGCAAACTGAACCATGCTCGAGCCGAGCAATCTCCATGAACGACGCCACTGTTCAGGCTTCAGCGCTTCAGCACCAGCTCTGCTCACGCCAGATGACATACACCAACAGCATCGACAGCCACGCTTTTGGCACACTCAACGCGATTACGCTCGAAAACCTGGGGCCTATTGTACCGCTCAGACTCTCCGTGAACCGCTGGGTAGCGTCAAGCATTGGATCAGCTGCTCCCATGGGTTGGGCTGTTGACATGGACTCGCCCGAGGTGGTGGATCGTAAGGTCAGGGCGCTGCTGAACAAGCTCACGATGAAGAACTTCGATTCGATCTCAGACCAGATAATTGCATGGGCGAACAAGAGCGAGAAGGAGGAGGATGCTCAAACACTCGTACAGGTCATTCGTCTCGTGTTCGAAAGGGCGACAGTCGAGGCGGCATGGAACGGCATGCACGCACGCCTCTGCCGCAAGATGATGGAGCAGATCAGCGAAGATGTGCAGGACTACGGGATCAAGAACGCGGAGGGAAAGCCGATTGCTGGTGGCCAGCTGTTCCGCAAACACCTCCTCAACCGATGCCAAGAAGAATTTGAACGCGGTTGGCCAATGTGCAAGGCAACCGCCGTCGCAGCGCGCTCCAATAGTACAATACACGACGAGAAGGTCAAAGTCGCTAACGAAAAGATAGGCGTGACAAGGGAGTCGGAGCTGTACTGGGATGAATTGTACGCTATTCAGAAGGCGGGGCGACGGGGTCTCGGTCTCATCAAGTTCATCAGCGAGCTCTTCAAGCTACATATGCTGACGGAGCGGATTATGCACGAGTGCGTGAAGAAGCTGCTCGGCAACGTGGAGATCCCCAAGGAGGATGAGATCGAGGGCTTGTGCCAACTGCTCACGACGGCCGGTCAGATGTTGGATACGCCCAAGGCGAAGGCGCACATGGGTGTGTATTTCCAGCGCATGAAGGAGCTTGCGAGGAACGGGAAAGTGAGCTTGCGCGTGCAGTTCGTGCTCATGGTGACTATTATGCTTGGGTAACTTCGAAGAAAGATTGCTGACACCCTTGATCAGGATGTCATCGAGTTGCGCGAACGCAAGTGGACTAGTCGCAAAGCTGTCGCTCGCGGGTTCGACCACGACACTGGACATCCTGGGGGCTGCTTAGCTGCTGGCAAGGGTAGCCTTGCTCGTCCACCTCCCAAGGTTGGCGACCTATCGCAGTTCGGCAAGATTTCCAAGCAGCAACCTCTTCAAACCTTCGGCCCGAGCAGCGTGTTCAAGAAGAACACAGCCAAGCAGGAGACCAACTTTCGGACCAGCTCGTCCTCTAACATGTTCCGGATGCTCAGTCAGAGCTCCCCTTTACGATACCCGTTCGTAGCTGTTGGTACGGATGATGCTCTCGAGGCGTCTCCTGAGCATAGCATGCTGCGGCTCTTGCCGCGGATAAAGTCGACGGAGATCACCCCTGCAATGTCGGAGGATGTGACCAAGACGTCAGCCAAGGATGGCCCAGGGCCTATGACCGAAGCGCAAGCGGAGAAGAAGATCGATCAGAACGTGCATGAGCTGTTCGGAGTCCGATGTCTTGAGGAGGCGGAGGTGTATTTCACAGATCTGCCCAAGGAGCACCACTTCCGGCTCGTCATGCGCCTCGTGGATCATGCGCTCGAGAGCAAGGAAACGGACGTTAAACTCCTTGCTGATTTCTTCTCACAGGCGACGTCTAAGGGTCAGTGCGACGCTGCGACGTTCGAGGAAGGCTTTCTGCCTGTCGCGGAACTGCTCGATGACACGGCGGTGGACGCGCCCAAGGCGGTTGACTATATGGCGATGCTTGTTCGGGGCACGCATCTCGACAAGGATAAGGAGAAGCTGAAACGGATCGCGGAGAAGTCAGAGTTCAACAGTGAGAAATTCCTGCGGCTCGTTGCCGCCCCATCCTCGATGTTCATGCCCGTACACGACTGCTATACCGCCGTCTCGACTTCTCCCGTGGTCGCTTCCCCGCCATCACGGCTCTCGCAGATAGCTTCCAGCATTTCTACCACATCTTCCCTATCCACTCCCTCCACTTCAACGTCGACATTGAGCTTTGCTCCTACGACCAGTCCTTTCCCCCCTATCACCTCCACACCGCGAAGGCTAACCGAGGACCCCAAGAAGATCGTCCGGGATGAGCCCCCTACGTCACCCCTCCCCAAGTTCGACCCCGTTTCTATGCCATCTATGCAACCCCTTGCTCAGGTTGATGCCACCCCCATGGAAACTCCATCCACTCCCGGTGGCATCAGCCAAGGCGTCGACATCGAGGATGGAGTAGGTGTCGTTGGCACAAGCAATGTCGGCTTTGTTAAGCAAGGTAAGTACTTGATTTATACGTTTACTTGCGGCGACTAGAGACAAGAACTCGACAGGCGCACACTCATCAAATGAAAATCATGTCGCCAATAGTGTAGTCTTAGTAACACTTGATGGCAAATCCTCAGTCCCTCAGATTGCACACAATTCCACGTCCATCGGTCCCGCTCCTCCAGGCCTTCCTGTCAACCCTGATCCGTCCAGAGTTAAATGGTCTTACATCGACTCTTCAGGAAATGTCCAAGGTCAGTACTAATACTTTGGACGTATCGACATTGTTCATCAAAGCCATAGGTCCATTCGCCGCCGATTCAATGCAAAAGTGGCTTGACGAAGGCTACTTTCCCCTTGATCTACAAGTGAAGCGCACGCATATAGACCGAGAATTCATTAATATTGGAGAATTGGAACGACGAGCGGGCGGTGATAGACCATTCCTTTCCCAGCCTCCGCCCTCTGTACCTCCCAGACCTGTCTCTAGAACCAACGCGGGTCCTTTACCTTCTTCTGCGGCTCCCAAACCTGGTACGGCAGACGTCGTCGTTCAAATTGATAGCCACGGCTATACCTTTCACCAGCGCATTCCCCCGAGCAACGTCTTCAAACTCAAAGAGCTCGGTATTCAGCCTAGCACTGACCAAAAGGGGGACGAGATGCTGCGTTTTCATGCTGTGCGAGACAAGGCGAAAGCTTGGCTTCAATGCGACGACCTCCAACTTGTCACATCTTTTGAGGTCATCTGCATGGGTGGAACCGCTCCTTTCAAGCCATGCTTCATCATGCGAGGAAAAGCTCGCTCTGAAGGATGGTGTGAGGAGGATGAGGGACATAGGTGCGTGTTGTACTATCACAAACTGAACTTCACTCACGATTCACATAGTTTTGTGACCTCGGAGAGCAACTGGGCTAATAAAGCACTTTGTTCGGATTGGTTTCTCAATGTTTTCTTCCTGCAGGCTCGAGCCCACGCCGATAGTACTGCACAGCCCATTGTCATCATATTTCACGAGCATTCACTGTCTCCCCTTATTACCGGTATTGCTGATGTTGCTCGCTCCAATAACGTCATTCTTTTTTGTCTTCCTTCCCTTGGTATTTAGCACATTTGACTGTAACATCATCGCTTTTTGGCCCTCTAACAATCCAGCTTCCTCTGCTCCAAAAGACCGGGAGTCGTCTTCGCATTGACTAGGCAGCCTTTGTGAGCAATGCAGCCCTCATGGGGTCATTCTTATTATCACGCCGCTTCACCAAACAATTGCAACCAAAACTTGACTAGCATCCAGAGGATCCTGCCAGTGTCATGAGTCATACCGCGCTATCAGACGTCTCCTAGTGGTTTACTCACTGACCCGTAAGCTGTTGCTAAAAGGGGGATCCCTTACCCAGAGACTCCTACGTTCCGCGTTGACGTGGTCATTATTGAGACATCTAACATACCGCTCAGCTTCTGCAAATCAGTATTCTTACGTATGAACCATGTAGCGTTCCCGGTGTTAGGGGAGTAAACGTGTTGAGCACCATACATATTATATGGGCGGCGACTGGAACGGGCGATTAATGTAGCCACAAGGGCCGAAGAAGGCAAATCAAGTAGGAAGTTGAACAAAGTGGGGGGACACGAAAGGTGCGCAAGGATGCGCGACTTGCAAATTGGGGTAAGACGGCTGGTGCGATTAAGTTCAATCGCAAGTTGAATTAAAGGACCCAGCTGCAGACGAGTAGTACTAGTTGGTTTGCCAAATACGAACATGCAGCTGACATATATAATACGCTGTCAAGTATTAAGAGTGGAAACCCCTATCCCTGATAGCGTCCTTATCCACTCCCCACGCACTGCGCATAATGTACTCGGCTCTCGACCTCGCCCTTGGCAGGAAGGACTCGAAGGATACTCCTAACCCTTTCACGTCTGCCCTTGCCACCGCGCGCTTCATTGAGAACCTGAATGGTATGGAGTACCCAGAGGGCATCAAGGGCCCGAAAGTTGAGCTTAATACGAACATGCCGGTAGGCAAGTTTAGGTACGTCAATCTGTGATTCTGAGATGACCTTGAAATCAATCATTTCTGGGCAGATATGACCGTGATTTCTTGTTCCAGTTTATGAAGGTCTGCACTGAGAAGCCGGAGCGCCTCGCTCCTCTTGAAGGGCTTGGTATTGACCCCGCCGAGTGGCAGTCCCACATCATGTATCACGGTCGCGGTGGCCGCGGCAGCCGTCACAGTTCTGGTGTAATGGCTCCCTCAGGCTCGCGCCCCAATCCTGTTGGTGTCGGTATCGGCTTTGCCAAGCCTGGTTTTGCAGGTCCCTTCGCTGGGATGGGCAACTTCTCTACTCCTAGTAGCAAGCTCACCAGCGAGGAGCGTTTCCAACAATTGCGCTCCGCATCCGTAGGCACTGGCCCAGGCCACCCCAGTAAGCGCACGCGCAACAAGCGCGGCGAGAAGCGTGGCAACCAGAACAGGGCCCCTAACCCCCAGCAGGACGGCAGCGCGTCTGGTGCCTCTGATGCCACTGCACTCGCCGACCTTAAGCCTATCGCAGAGGTCGAGATCTCCGTGCCCCGTTGGATCGCGTCAAGCGCTGGGCCAGCAGTTCGACAGGGTGCCGCCGTCGACATGGATTCGCCCGAGATGGTAGACCGTAAGGTCAGAGCGCTGCTGAACAAGCTCACGATGCAGAACTTCGACTCGATCTCAGACCAGATCATTGCCTGGGCGAACAAGAGCGAGAAGGAGAAGGACGCGCGGACACTCGTCCATGTCACGCGTCTTGTGTTCGAGAGGGTGAAAGTCGAGGCGGCGTGGAACAGCCTGCACGCGCGTTTGTGTCGCAAGATGTTGGAGCAGATCAGCAAAGACGTGTGGGATGATGGCATCAAAGATTCGGAGGGCAAGCCGATCGCTGGGGGCCAGTTATTTCGCAAGTATCTTCTCAACCGCTGCCAGAAGGAGCTTGAAAGTTGCTGGGGGCCGCGCAAAACCGCCGCGGCCGCGGTTTCGGGCACCAAAGCGACGGACGGGAGGGAAATCAAAGCTATGAACGAGAAGGAAGGCGCAACAGACAGGTCACACCTGTCTTGGAATGAACTTTACACTGCACAGAAGGCAAGACAACAGGGCCTCGGTCTCATCAAGTTCCTTGGAGAGCTGTTCAAGTTGCAGATGCTTACGGAGCGGATTATGCACGAGTATGTGAAGAAGCTGCTCGGCAACGTGGAGAACCCCAAGGAGGATGAGATCGAGGGCTTGTGCCAACTGCTCACGACGGTCGGCCAGATCTTGGATACGCCCAAGGCAAAGGCGCACATGGATGTGTATTTCCAGCGCATGAAGGAGCTTGCGAGAAACGGGAAAGTGAACTTGCGCGTGCAGTTCGTGCTCATGGTAACTATTATGCTTGGGTAACTTCGAAGAAATATTGCTGACACTCTCAATCAGGATGTCATCGAGTTGCGCGAACGCAAGTGGGCTAGTCGCAAAGCTGTCGCTCGCGGATTCAACCACGACACCGGACATCTCGGAGGCTGCTCAGCTGCTGGCAATGGTAGGCCTGCTCGTCCACCTCCCAAGGTTGGCGACCTATCGCAGTTCGCCAAGGTCTCCAAGCAGCAACCTCTTCAAACCTTCGGCCCGAGCAGCGTGTTCAAGAAGAACACAGCCAAGCAGGAGACCAACTTGCGGACCAGCTCGTCCTCTAACATGTTCCGGATGCTCAGTCAGAACTCGGATCCTTCCGAGGCCGCCACCAAGGAGGCGAGCAGCCGCCCTTCACGAAATCTGCCCGTAAATATCGGCACGGATGGTGCTCCCGAGCCGCGCAAGAAGGTGCAGCTCTTGCCGCGAGTGAAGCAGAGCATTCCCGTAGTGACGGAAGACGAGTCCGAGACGACTGCCAAAGGTCCTCTTTGAATGGCGGAAACGTGGAGGTGTAGGCAGTGTCGCTCAGGGAGAGCGCAGAGCAGACGGTTCGCAGAGCATGGTTACAGCAGGAGCTTGAAGGCCGTAGTAGTCATAGCATAGTGAAGCCATACCAGCGTGCTAATGGCAACTGAAGTACACAAGCGCAACTTGTTTCCGAGGTATAGCACTAGTCGCGTCTAATCCGTAGACTTGCTGGCTGCTGATCGATGGAGGAGAACGAAAAGATACCTTGAGGTTACTACGACAGGTGGAAAATGTCGGGTAGCGGAGTTCAATATTTCAATATTAATGTCAAGGAAATTCCGGCTGCATTTGCTTGTCCGTTCCTTGTTGTTATTATATTATAAATCCTCAAGCAAAATGGCGATCAAAATGTAAATACGGTAGGCGCAACTTAATTCTGGGACGAAACCCCAGCAGATGCGTAGAATTGCTGGTTACTGGAGGAGAGCCAAGATGGCAACGTGACCTTCAGGCCAGTATGGGTGCGTATATAAATGCATGACCCTAGCTTCAGGCCTCAGTATTACTTCTACAGACATTGAATGATTGTTACATGTGAGCATTCAAACGTTCACGTTGCACAGCAGCTTCCACAACTTCCTCAGGACACTCGTACGGGATCCAATGTGAATACCCTTTCATCATCCTCGCCTCGATATCGGAAACCCCTTCAAAGTCACTCAGGCTGGCCTGTCCACCGGCATCAGGGTCTCCGACCAGCACAACGAACCGAACATGAGCCGGCAAGCTATCGAGGAGCTCGAGATGATTAACCCGACGCGCCTAACCGGGCTCGATGTCAACCCAAGACCATGGAATGTCAGACTTCAAAAACATAAACAGCGGCGCACCTCATACGCAATATCCATCGCCCTGACGTCACACAGCTCATTCGCGAGCACCTGAAACACCGCGTCCAGCCTCGTCCAGCGCGGAAACATCTGCATGTAAAACGCGGGCTCCGGCGGACTGCGCACGAGGCTGGTGAAGAGCGCCGCGCCACGCTCGAAGGCCTCCTCGTTAACGGAGAGCGGCGGGTCCAGGAACACGACGCGGCGCGGGCGGAGGCTGTGTCCTTTCACGTTCAAGTCCGAGTCCAAGTCTAAGCTGCCGGCACCCTGGCCGCACAGCGCACGGAGGACGAGTATCGCGCCCATCGAGTGCCCGACGACGAGGTCGTACGTCGTCTCGCGCAGCAGGGACACAACGTGCGCGGTCATGCTCGCCCACGTGTAGGTCTCTGCGCGGGGTCCGATGCCGTGGCCCGGCAGGTCGGGGGCGGAGACAAGGTATCCTGCGCATCGCGGCGGGCTCGGTTAGTGCGGTTTGTCGGCCTGCTTTGTGGGAGGGCGGACGGACCGTGCTGGGCGAGGCCCTCGCCGATGTGTCGCATGCTGTAGGATGAGCATGCGAGTCCGTGGAGCAGCAGGGCGCGTTTAGGGGCGTCGGGAGAGCCCCATACGTTCCTAGCGCCAGAAACTGTCATCGGAGAGGTTGTTTGGTTGAGAACTCACCTGAACATCACGGAATGTAAAGCTTGATAGCCGGGTTGCTACGCGGCAACGGCAGGCTAGTTAGCCATCAAATCCTCTCACCTCCGACACCGCAGGTGGAACCTGTGGTTTCTCCCTTTTATGGTATGTACATGTTAACTCCCTTTTTAGTAAAGCTCCCCTTCCCCTCCCTCCGCCCAAGGCCTCTGCCCGCCGTCGGGCACGATGAGCACAGGCTCCTTCAACGTTCCTGCCCTTCCCGCGGTCGTGTTCGCTCGGGGTTTTCTTAGACGTACTTAATACTGTATTTAGAATCGTTTTATGTCATAATATATGGTACATACATGCGAATGCCTGGACGGCATGCCATTTAAGGGGGGGCACGTGATAAAATAAGTGCCACGTCATCATTTACCTTAGAGCTTTTCTTACAAGTGCTTGTATTGCCGCCGGGAAGCTTCGGCACGTCCGGCACTCAATATAAAAGCCACGTGTGATATTTG